AGCTAAGGTTTGATGGAAGAAAAGGTTCAAAATTATCTCGAGTGTTAAAGAAAAACAGTCGCAGTTTTGATGTCAACCTTTGTGACAGATTTCTTTGTCCGAGGTTGACGAAAGCTGGATTTATTTGCTTGCCACTGGGGGTAACCAATAATCAATACACAATAACTTCTGTTCGTATCTCAGTAATCAAATACATCTTGTACATAGCTGCCGGCTGCTGCTTCAGTTTTCGAAACTACCACTGAGAGACGCCTCAAAAACACATCCACTATTTGAAATATGGAAACAAAACAGAAGACTGAACAGTTGGACTGATTAAACTGGATTTAGTATTTGAGTTATCTATCTGAATCCACTAAAATAATCTATTTGTTGACATTTTTTAAATTTTAACTACTCTTGCAAATATTTCCTGTCACAGAGCACTATTGTTTCACCACACGTACAAATAATCCGGCCACATTGCTCCCCTAGGTGACATTCACCATCAGTACAACAGACATGGGCATTGATTGAAGTGTATTGTCGGCAATCTCACGTGCACAGATTTACCCAGATGGTTACAGTACACTGATGACCTGCCTGTGGTATGCAAGCTTTACTTTCTGGAGACATTAGCGGTCTGCTTAAAGGTCTGATAACTACATTCCAAGTGTCCTTGGTCTCTAAATTCAACTTTTACAAATTATGTAGGAGTTACTCAATATTAAAACTGAACATAAAAATTTGTCTGTGTATAATAATTGTATTGCATCCGGCCTTAATTGCATTGTTGATTAAGGCAGAATAAGTTGGAATTTTTTAAATAAAGGGTAATAACATTTGAGAGACAACTGCCATCCTGCCTGGTCTTTAAAGGTTATTAATGTCACCATGATGTAAAAGAGGTGACTCCTTTTATTGTGTGTATTTTTATTTGATAGATAAAAATGCATGGTCGAAAAAGTTTGAAAACTTATGAACCGGATCAATTCATCAGCTGAAAATGGTCACCTATAAATAACTTTTAACTCTGTAGCTAAAATTGTAATCAGACATTTTGCCTTAGGTGGAAATTTAAGGTCCCTCGCAGAACGAATTTTCAAGTTTTGAGAGGCAATTAATTCTTTGTTGGGTTTGTCAGCTCATTGGAATTATTGACAAAAATAGAAAATATTGAGTATTGCTAGCTTTTTGCTCTGATGTGAGTAGAGTTCAGGCAGCTATGACATTTTTTTTCACCTAATCCCTACGTCACACTTAATCTCTAATATGCTTGAAAATGCAGCATGCCCTCAAGATCAAAGCGCATAAAAACAAAGAGTCGAAATCCAAAGTCAAAAAGTTATAGGCAACAAGTCCAAACAAGCTCCCTGACTGTAGGGCAGTAGTCTAATGCTGCTCTCATAAAAATGTGCTTCGGGCAGGCTTTGACAAAACAGGATCTCTTGGTGATGATGTAAAATATCCTCAGATATTAAATCAGTTTTTCAATGCTTGAGGTTTTCCCTCCTCATGCACATCCACTACCCTTAACTTATCCTTCAATCATTCAGACTTTCTCCCCCTTTTCAGCCTGTTATCTTTTTCTCCCACTCATTTCACCCAGAACACTTTCCTTTCTTTCATCCTCTTTCCATCTGCTTCCTATTCCTCCCACCTCTCTTCGTCCTCCTCTTCCTCCCTCACTCTCTCTCCGTCTTTTGGACATTTCTCTTAGTCTTTTTCTATATCCCTCCACCCTGCCTCTACACCCCCTTTCCCCCTCTCTTTCCCCTGTGATGAATGAGTCTGTCTGCTGGGTGCAGTTCATATTTACTGAGCAGGGGAGCACACACTGTCAGTCTCTCTCGCCCTCCACATCTCTATCCCTCCACTAAAGAGACAGAGGGAGCAAGAGGTTACAGTGGGATGAGAGGAGGAGGGAGGCCGTGGTCAAGAGATCCACTCCGGGAGTTACTACGACAGCAGTCGGCTTGGTAGGGAACACATTAGTCCTGAGCAGCGTAGTTTCTCAGTGCTAGCATTAGAGGTGGTTGAGGGAGAGAGAAATCTTCCTTACCCCTTGACCAACCTGTCAATGCGGTGATACTAATAGGGAATAAACAGTGTCTTTCCATCTCTTTGTGTGTAACTCGGCAGCCCACTCTCAGCACTCAATGCAACACAATTTAATGGAGTTTTCTTGCTCCGTCCTTTGTGTGAGCCATGCTTTTAGGCACATTTTCACTTGAGAGAGAGAGAGAAGTAAGAGCCGCTACCAGCTGAAGCTTACCAAAGGCCCACAAAATACCCAGTTTCATCTACGCCCACACGCACCAGTGTGTTGCGGGGAGTCAAACGGTGTGTTTTGACCCGTGTTTTGACCCTTTCATGAATAAGAGGAGTGGATGTGGGCCCGCCAGAGCCCAAAGGGACAGGCCAAGAGCCGCTGCAAAGCCCCGCAGAGCCACCATCTCTTCCCACACACTGACCTCCGAGGCCAGCCAACACCAAAACCGCCGTAGCGTGACGACACCGGTGACACCCAGCGCCAACGCACAAAATGTGTTCCTCTGCCAAATTGACAAAAATATAGACAGTAAATACAAGGAAAATTGGATGGCTCAAATTACATCAGAAAAAGAAAATCCCCTCAACTGCACTTTTATAAGATTCAATATGAAGTAATTTAATCCTCAGACGGCAACCTAAAGCTCTACCAACTGTCTGTCAAAGGGGGCAGATGGAAAATGTTTTTGCCGTTCGGTTTTGGGGAAGGAAAGGCTAAATAAATGTAAGGATTTATGGTTCGATTTGAGGATGATTTGCAGCAGACACTCAGCCATCTCAGTGTTTTTATGTCTGCGCTGATTAAACATTATTTCACTCTCAACATTCATATCATGTCGCTGTATGGCAGAGTCTAAAAGGAGGAGTGGAAGAGAATCAGAGGGAAATAGGAGCAGGAGAGAAAAATAGAGGAACGCTGAAAGGAGGAAAGGGAAGCATCATGCCATAATCATCTGAATATTAGGGAAAATTGGAGACGGGAAAGGTGAAAATTGGATATGGGGGAAGATTTCTGAGGAGCAGAGCAGAGCCCGAATGCATCAAATGTGAAAACAATGACCAGTATCAAAACGGATGAAACAAATGCAGCCTCCTCTCTGGATAAATCACTGCTGTAAAATATCCTTTAGGAGGCTCTAAAAGCTGTCGTCAGCAGACAAATGGAAGGGTCAGAGGTCTTACGCAGGGAGCACTATCGGCTGGAACAACACTGTTTATGATGGAGGAGGTGGTATAGTGCTTTACAACAGGACATAAAAGATATTCTCTATATGCAATGGCGACCGCAGGCTTTTTCCACATCACAGTTCTGACAAACTTCCGAACAAGAGGCATTTCCTGAGCTCGCCTTTTCCCTGAAGCATCCTTTCCACAGCTATCCATTTCCCCCTGGTGCCTCAAGAGAGGAACTACTGCTGCTTCACTGTGGCCTTTCAGGGAGGATTCATCGGCCGAGTCATCCGCTCTACAGCTGATCTAGGCCTCACACTGTGATGTATCCGGCTATCACCTGCCAGATGATAAGTTACACACACAGCACAGACAGGGTAAACACTAACACCTTTATTTGTCAGGATGTATTCTCCGCTGCCCCGTGTTTGTGCGCCGTAACGAGCCCATACCCCACCTACACCTCTTCATCCCCAGATCATATTTGTCCATCTGCCTGCCACGCCGATGGAACGTTCCAAAAACGGCTGCTGCGCAATCTATCTCAATTTTCCAAATCTATTAACTTTCTTTGTGTGGCCTGCCTCTCCTCGAGCCCGATCTTTAAAAACCGTGGTTGTTCAACAATTATGATAACTGCAACAGGGGGAATTAGAGAATCCACCCATTCATCTCTCTGCCCCTCCTCCGCACAGACATGACGCGGCTAAATGAAAAATGGACACGCTTTAAGAAGTATTGATTCCAGCTTTAAACAAAGGTACAGTCAATATTATTTACTACTAAATATATCTTTGTTATCTGCGCCGGAGTTGTAGTTACTGCTCTGTCCTCGTAATTGCGGACATAAAAATAATAGACCAATTCCCTCTGAATTGACCGAGACAGGTTCGGTTGTAGCCCTTGTCCTGGTGATGCATATCCTGGGTGTAAATGAATGTGTGAGGCAGGTTTTCCTCTGATGACTGTCCTACCAGAGGCAGATATCTATTCGATCCACACAGAGATAGAACACATGAGACTGATATATAAATATATATACTTTTTTTTAAAGTTAATAGGAAGACGAGCTTCACAAGTCATCTTATTTCCAGAATGGCTTTTCCTGCAGCCGGTTTTAAATCTGTATTTTCCACCTCAGAGATACTTTTATGTATTCAGTTTTGTGATTTTTTTTAAAAAGCATTTTGTGCGTTCTTGATGTACTTCCTCAGCCCCCTGGGGTTCATTTTGGCATGTGGAAAATTTAACAATGTTTTGATTTTTCAAGGTATTTCAATTTCGGGGCGTTTTACTGCACACAACTTCTTCCTAGCTAAAGAAGATTTCTTATGCTTGTCTTCTGTAAAATGAGTCAGTCGATATAAGAAAATTAAGAATCAATTACAGAAATTTTTCAGAACAGCATTGTACAAAATCCTAAAGTGGAAAAGAGTTTTGAAAATATGCAGCAGCTAAAGGTTGATTATTCTACATGTGGCTGGTGTTTGTACCTTTTTGGGTGATTAAAAACCTTTTCTGACAAATGTTTACAATCTCTTTGCCATCAGAAAATAAATCAAAATGATTTTCCTGAATATTGTTGTATTAAAAGTGGGCATGAGTAATGGGGTATCTTTTTTATTTTCAACCTGTGAGGAGAAGCATGTGGTTCAGTAAACCCTTGTAAAGTTTGCATGTATCCTTCCACAAGTGATGTGTGAGTTAATAAAATTAGTTCCTTACCAGCACATCCACAAAGATCTGTCCTGAGGAATTGCAGAGATTTCTCTCTCTCTGCGTTGAGGAAAATGACTGACATGTTTGGCCAGCTCTGGCAATAATTCCTCAGGTGTTGAAGTGAGCAAAACTGTGAGCAGACAGGGCACATGTGGAGTTCCCTCGTGTGCTGAAGGATGGCCCTCTTCATTGTGAACTCTGAGCTGCAGCAACATAAAGAAAAACAGAATTTCACAAAGGACACTTGAAGGATGCACACAAGAATCACCGTATTCAGAAGACAAGTGTGTATTTCTACCGCAGTGCTCAGCCAGGTGATGACACGGCTTGTGCTGTTGCTGCTGCTGCTGCTGCAAGATGCCAGACTCAGTTTACTGTACGAGGGACACAGCGGTGAAACTCTGGAGCTCCTTGCAGAGGCAACGCTGGAGAGAAAAAGAGGATCAAACACTTAACTTCAGATTAAGTCACACTAAATTTATAAAGCTTAATATTTAACACACAACACTGGGCTATTAACAGAATAAAAAGCTATGGTTGTTTTAAACACTGGAAAATCTAAGACAGCTGCTCTCTTATTTTGTATTTTGTTGAAACATAAAAATTTGGGGATATTTAAACAGTTACAATAAGCTTTTTTTCTATCATTAGGAATTAAACAACCCTGGTCTGTATCCCTTTTTCAATGCAAAAGAAATTAAATATAAAAATATTCAATCCTGAAAATTTGACCAGAAAATAAACAACTTCACACTCACTACTTCTCAAGTTTTTCCTCCATTAAAAAGATGTGTCTGAGGTCTCCTGCAGCTGTGCTTTTTGAGTGTTGGTAAAACAGTTTTGGACAAGAGGCTTTTGTTAAAGGTATGGATTTATCAACCTTTGATGGTTACTGTTTGAATTCTCTCTGGTTTTATTCACTGTCAGCAGCAGCAGCACGTTACTGCATGTGCCTTGAAGCCTTGTGTACCGAAATTGTTTTCTGAGGCATGCAGGGATCAATGGTTTACTACAGACACAAATAAAGCATACAAAAATAAATAAATAAAACTTAAGTCTGACACGTTAAAGCTTATTTGCTGAGGGCACATGACAGTAAGGTTAGTGGGGTTGATTTAGTAACCAGAAATCAATTATTTGGGCTGTTGTGAGAAAAAAAAAACTGATCCATAAAAATCCTTCCAAAAAAGTCGCATCCTCAAAATTATTTTTCATTAGTCTTATAGAGAAGGACATCCATGATCTAACTGATATAGAGTTGGCTTAATATTTTCAACTATGCATTTAATTGCACTGCCAGTGATCTGTTTAAGTTATACCTGAGCCAAAGGGACTTTCATGTGTTACTATCAGCCTGTGCTGTCGTGGCTCAGTGTCCCACTTAACAAATGCCTCAGGGCCTTAATACTCATCTTTTTTATTTATATGTCTCAGTATTTGCAGGCTCTTTTTTTACTGTTTTGCCTTTTTAATTTTTTTCCCGATCTTCTCTATGTCACGAAAGGTTTTGTATCTTTTCTATTTTTTACAGATGTTTTTGTTCTTAATCACTGGTCTGTGGTATAATTTTTTTGCATGTCCCTCTCCATTCTCTTACCCTTTTGGGTTTTTTTTAGAGGACACATTTCTATAACAAGGTTTTCAATTTGTCCTCTATTTAGACAATCAGCTATATTTTTTTACGATATGATTTGTGAGGGTCATGTGACTGTGTATTTATTGCAGGGCCACATCACTTCCTTTTGAATTGTGGGATCTTGAACAGGTGAGATGATCCACTTCACCTGTTCTCTTCCTGTTTTGTTAAGGGAGCACCATTTTAGAACATAGTCACTTATTCACTTGTTAAAGCATCGACAAGAAAATAAGGTTAATGTCTTACTTAATTTAGGACACCATTTTAATGGTGACTTTGACTTCAGAGGCAGAGATCCCAATCTCACTCTTGTTGTGTCTTTTGGGAAAATTGCCACAAGAGGTCTCTGTATCTTAGTTTTATCTTTATCATGTTGTCTGTTGAATGTATACTCACCAGTGTGATAAAAGATGTAGACTGTTGTGAAGACGTAAGTGAGTCACATGTCCTCCATTCACTTCAGGGAGTGAAATTACTGATCGGCTGTGTAGAAGAGAAAACAATTCATGGTTAAGTCAGAATTAACAATACACTCTTTTGTCATTGGAAATTTGGTACACATGCTCTTTTTGTGTAGGACTATTTTCAGCTTCATGTATGAGGCACCGGCCAGCCATAACATTATGAATACCTGGTAATCTGATGCTGATGCTCATGTTTGTTAATGAAATGGACAATACAAGGAATTCATTTTAACATGAAAATGTCTTTAAATGATTCAGAACTTTCACAGCTGTATTTTGAAAAGAAAAAGTAACACATTTCAACAATCAACAAAACTCTGATCCTCTCAGCAGACTCCTTTACTTTCTCAGTTGAGCCACTGGCTAAACTTACCCCTGAACTACTATTATGATTTTATTAGACCTCTAAGCTAAAATGGTGGACTTTTATGCTCGGTTTTGACCCCATGTTATAGCTCATAGATACCACAATTGAAGTATAAAACTATTTTAAAATGATCTTTTTTGGTCTGAACACAATTATAATAAAACTTATAACAGACTAAATTCACTTTCAAGAGTGAAAAGTGTTTTTTTTTTTGTTTTTTTTTGTAAATAAATGTCTACCCCTTCACTCATGTGCCTCTAACCTTCACAGACTCCATGAATTGATGCCCATCTCCTAAATATTTGGTCACATGATCAATTTCTTTTACCAATTTCAAGCAACAGGGGGTGGATCAACTTACCCCACTCTCCCTACTATTTGAAAATCGGGTTGAATATTTAAACATGTAAATGATGCTGATAATCTTAAACGGAAGCGTGTGAAATCACTGTAATGTTACATGAAATGCAAGACTTCCTTTTAGCTTGACAAAATAAAATGATAAGTTTCACAACCCAAACCAATTCAACCTGTACTGAAAGGAAGAAAAAAATCACTGACCTTACCTGATAATCCTCAGACTTGGCGTTCTTGCCTGAAGTTGTTTAGTTGTTTGGAGTTCAGGATGGGGTGGCTTTAAAGTAATACTTTCAGTGTGGGACATTTAAAAACACGCTAACAGCGACAGAAAGCGCCACTTTTCCTTAGCTTTAATATCAACTGTAAACATAGTCGTGGATTAGCATATGTGCAACTTCCCTAGCCTAGCTACTTGAATCTCGTACGCTCCGTTAGCGCTAGCTTGTTCACAGAAGTAGAGAGTAACGTCTTTTATGTCACTCTCCACTGCGTTGTCTGTCGGGTGAATGAAGTTTAGACATATCCAAACCAAGACTCATTCATAGCACTTTAGCTCACCCGAGTTTTACAAACTAGTCTGAGAATCCATCTCTCTCACGCAAACGGCAAAATCTGCCCGCTAAAATTGTGAGCGTTTTGTATGTTCACATTGACCTCGCTTGTGGAGCTTCTCCATTGTGGGGGTCGTTGGCACCGCCCCGCCAAGATGAGCTGTGCTTTAACCAAACGCTCCGCGGTGTAGGTTCACCTGAAGCCCGAGTGGGATCAGGATGTACATTTTTATTCAGTGACCTGGTTCTTAGCTCTGAGTTTTCTACTACTTATTTGTCAGGCTGGGGAACTGTGTTTCTGGGACATTAATGAGTAGTACAGGGACTCCACAAGGGACAGTGCTGGCGCCATTTCTGTTCACACTGTATAGGTCAGACTTCTAATACAGCACTGAGTTCTAGTCTGCTGGGGAGGAAGCATCAAACACAAAGATGCAAGACGTCTTAACAAACCGGTGAAAAAGGCTAGCTCTGTGGTAGGACTCAAGCTGGACTCAGTGGAGGATGTGGTGGAGAGATCTACACTGTGGAAGGTGGAGACTATTCTAAAGAACATGGATCACCCACTTCACAACACCTTGATGGACCAAAGGGCCAATGGTGGTGGACGGCTCCTCTCTCTTCGCTGCAGGACAGAAAGATTCAGAAAATCTTTTGTACCAACAGGTATTAGACTTCATAACTCTTGTGTATATAGTAGATAACGTTTGGAGACATTGGGGATTAATAAAGTTCTTCTTATTCTTATTCCTTTCATCAAGAGCATTATTCTTGTAATAAAATTTACATATACACATAGTCGATTTTTAGACAGAAAAGTTGAAAGCTGTTGAAAGTTGTCAAAGCTGGACAGAGCTGGCCCAAGGCATAGGTGAACTAAGCCCCTGCTTAGGGCCCCGCAGCCAATAGGGGGCCCCCAAGAGCAATTTTTTATTTTTTGTATGTATGAGTGATGCTTTCTGTATGATCAAATATATATTATTGTAAAATATAAAATAAAGGAAAAATATTTTAGTGCTGCTGCTGATGTAGACCTATGGTTTTTACTGTCGATATGTCAAAGCTCTGCTACCTTTATGTGCCTTCTGCTGTGCAATGTGCACTGAGCATCCAAAGTGCAGGTAATTGTGGGGCAAAACAATGTTGCAAAAAAGGACGTATCCTTCAGGAGCAGAGAAAAGAAATAGGAAGAAGAGAAAAAAACACCAAGATAAAGGTATATTTGCATGTCATGGAATGTTAAAGAGATTTGTGAAGGTGTGTGAATGATCAACAATCAATATAACTGACAGAAACAGAGGGCCCCAAAATCAAATTTTGCTTATGGCCCCATCGAGGCTTGGACCGGCTCTGAAGCTGAAATGATGAACTCACTTGCTTTTTTGATTTTTATTGTTTAGCACTCAGCTTGTTTTCTTTTTACAGTGCTATATAAGATTATTCCTCCCAATAATCTGAAACTTTGCAATATGATGAACCATAACAGGTGGGTAATTTCATTATCTTAATTCTTGCTGAGATCATAAACGGGGGTGGGGGTCCTATCACAACCATAATACATTGTTTTTCTGGTTGAACAAGGCTATTTTTAACCTGTGAACAAATTCCTTTCTGATAATTTTGCCTCTTGTAAGCATTTAACATCAAACACAGTGTCCATGCATTCATCTTGTCATTTATTACATCATTACAAATTATACAGCAGTGATAACTGGGGAAACACACCAATTCATAATCTGTATATCTCATTGGACAAAGATTCATACCACATCCTTAGACCTCAAATACAATAGTGTTCAGCAAAACCAGTTCATCAATCAAGCAATGCACTGGGTAGGTCTATGTAAGAGTTCTGTGCAATGACAAACAAAATAGCTAATGTGATAAATACACTTTCATAATAAGTTAGACAGCGATCTGGCTCAAGAGAGATAGAGAGAGTTCTTTTAAATAGTAATGTACAGATATTAGTTTGAATCAAACACATTTAGAAAAGTGAGTAGTTGATTGTTTACATTTCTCAGGATGACCACTTAGAAGCAGGCAGGCTTTTTACAGTCCTCTTTGGGAAGCTTAACGACATTTAGCCACATGCCCGGAAAGATGGTGAGAACGAGCAAATCTGCGGAGACAGTTTGGGCAGGAAAACGGCTTCTCCCCTGTGTGTGTTAACATGTGAGTTTTCAAGTGGCCTGACAAGCGAAAGCTTTTTTCACATTCTGGACATGTGTAGGGACGAAGGTTAGTGTGACTCCTCCGGTGCTTGCCCAGATCACCCGAGGAGGTGTAACGGCGATGGCAGTCTGGACATTCAAAAGGCTTTTCCCCAGAGTGTATCCTCTTGTGCTTCACTAGGTCGCCAGACTGAGTAAAACTCTTGTCGCATTCATCACACTTGTATGGTCTCTCACCAGTGTGGGTGCGCTGATGGTTTCGTAAGTGTGAGATACGAATAAATCTGTTTCCACAGACTGTGCAATGGTAGGGTCTTTCTCCAGTGTGTGTCCGCAGGTGAATTTTCAAAGCCCCAAGATCTCCAATTTTCAGCCCACAGTCTCCACACTGGTGAGCTTTCTCACTGTTGTGGAGTTTGCTGTGAACCCTCAGGTTTTTCCTGGTGTTGAAGTTCTTCCCGCACACATTGCAGTGAAAGGGTTTCTCACTGGAATGTGTCCTCAGGTGAAGATTTAGACTTGCCTTTAATCCAAACTCCTTTCCACATACAGAGCAAGAATACTCTTTCTTACCGGAGTGGGTAGTTAAGTGGCAGTTGAGGTGGTGTGATCTTAAAAAGGCCTTACCACAGACCTGACATTTGTACGGCTTCTCTCCTGTGTGAATTTTCATATGTTGCCTCCAACCACTTCGTTCCACAAACCTCCTACCGCAATCCTTGCAGACAAATGGGCGGTCCCCTGTGTGGGTGCGTATGTGGTCCTCCAGGCTTTGAGGTGTGCGTAGAATCTTCCCGCATTCTGGACAAGGCAAACCAATATCTAGACAAATCGGTTTGTCCTCTGATTCTGTGCGATCTGGTTCGTGACACAAATGTGGCCCTTGACCCCAGGTAGCTTTGAAACTTTTCCCACAGTCTGCACAGCTGAGGTGCCCACCCCTGGTAACCACAGACATATTGTGCCATCGCTGACAGTGATTCTTGAGATTCTTCAGGTACTGGAAGCTGCGCGGACAAGTTGGACAGGGGTAGAGTCGGCGGGGAGGAGCAGAAGGGTGAGCTTCGTGTACATGAACCCTCAGTTGTACTTTAGAGGTAAAGGTGCTGCCGCAGACAGTGCAGGTGTGTTTTGGGATGAGGTTCAGTGTGCGGCTTGACAGGCATTTTTTCAAACTGGCAAGATATTGTTTCTGATGGACCCACTTGACATGCTTCTCCAAGAACTCCAAGTCGGTAAAAGAGACGGAGCAGTGAGGACATGGGAAGAACTCAGATGATGACTCTATGTAGGAGTGGACACAGAGAATGCACAAGATCAGGAAAAAATGATGATTTAAACTTTGTTGTGAAATTGACAATCCAAAATATACTAGTTCAAGTTCTGAATATTGACACTATTTCAGATACTATCAATTAGCTTTGGCTAACGTACTAAGTAGTGTTGCAAAATTCCGGGCGTTTTCAAAGTTTGAAACTTTCCATGGGAATTAACGAGAATTAACGGGAATAAATCTGAAATTTACAAAATTGAAGGTTGGCTTTCAACAGGGAACTTAAATATAGTTGGGGAACAGATATTGTAGCATAATCTTGGCTAAAACAACCAGATTCAATGCAGTTACACTCCTCAATCACATGCACACAGCACACTGTTTACTGCAGGGTTATTGAGTCCACACCCCCTTCATGCACTGTACTTTCCTCCATTGCATGTACAGATGATTTCTTGAACCCTAGAGGACAAACTTTTGAGCCCAAAGCACAAGACATTTGAGTCCACAGACTATATCAAGTCAAGGAAGTTTTGATAATATTATGGGGTAAATATATTTGATCTATAATCTTATTAATTTATAACTAGCAAAAATAAAATAAAATAAAAATAGGTGCTTGCTTATTATGGTGGTTGCAGTCTACCTCAGAGTGATGCTGTTTCTTCTGACTCCTGCAAGACAGTTTTCTGTAACCCTACAATAATTTATACACCAATTGTCAAATATTCTGAAGACCATTCCAGTTGATTAGCCGACTATATTTCTGTTCATGCCATTACATTAGTGTTTTTATAAGCTTTTTTGTTATTTTAATCTACAGATAAATGCCACGTTCGCCATCTGACGTGTGGAAGCATTTCACACAAGCTAATGTTGAAGGAAAAATATTTACATTTATGTTTGGATATGATACAGTTTGTTCAAATTATCCCCAATTTCCAGTTTATTCTCATAAATTCCCAATAATTCTTATAATTCCCATGGAAGGTTTCTAATTCGGAATATTTCCAAAATTCCCAGGCTCAACTCTCCATGGAAAGTTTCTGGAAATTTACCTGAAATTTTCCGCCCCTTTGCAACCCTACGTATAAGGACCCCTGAAATATTTTTTTTGATACTGAGAGGCAATTAAATACAAGAAATTCCCTGCAACAATAATTGGGGGGTTAAAGACCATCTTTTAGGCTACATCACACTTTAATAACATTTCTATATATACAATAGTACTGGGAATAAAGAGAGCACCAAACACAACAGAAACCAAAACAGAAAAGTGTGTTACCATTGACTTATGCCTCTTACCTGTGCTGACCTGCCCATCCTCTTCAAATTCCTCCTGGATATTATATTCAACCTCTTCAACTTCTGCCTCCTCTTTCATCCACATCTCTGACTCCTCCTTGACAACAGCTTCAGTGAATTCATAATCGGGCTGCACAAACTCGTTTTTAATGAGATCTTGTTGATCTGGACCGTCTGACCAGCATGTCCCAGTATCAGGAATAGTGTCTGAGGAGCTACATGAGTGTAAATCGACCTCATCACTGATCTCCTCCGAGTATGGTTCCTCTTTGATTTGAATGTTGAGATCATCTCCGTTAGTGTAAACCTCGAGAGGGTCTTCCTCTGATTTACACTCAGTTTTAACTTCGACCACATCAGCTGGTGTCTTTCCTGTCCTTCCTTCACTGGGCAGAGACTTTTTCTTGGCAGCTTTCATCTTCATAGTGCCACCATTAATTCAGAGTAGGGTTTAGTCGCCTCAGTGGGCTGTGGACGACAACAAATGTCATTTTATTTTGATAAATACTGTTAAAGGCAGGGTTAGTGACTTACAAGTCAACGACAGCAAAGCAAAGACAAAAACAAGAGGCAGTATCCCTGCCACCATCAAACGTTAGCATCGTTGCTAAGCTACACCAACCGCAGCTTTAGCTTTAGCTTAGCAGAAAGGCTCGTATGCAGTAGCAACTGTCATTCAGCGTTTATCTGTTGTAAATTTAAGTCTTACCTTCACAAGTTACGAAATTCAGTCCAAGCATCGTGTAAACCTTTCAGCAAACATGTTTCTAGTGCCTTTATTAGGCGTCAGTGTGCAGTGTTAATAAGATAATAACACAAAACCGGACTTCCGGTGATACTGGCCAATGAGCTCACATTAAATGTCCGGGTTACCGCCCATAATGCACAAAAAAGGACATTTTAATTCTTCACAAAGATTTACCTGTAAATCTGTAGAGCAGGGGTGTCAAACTCAACCACAGCAAGGGCCATAATCTGGGTTAAGGTCTAACCTGAGGGCCAAACAGGGTCAACATTTCACCAAAATTGTCAGCCTACTTTTCAAAAAATATGTAATAAAAATAGCAATGATTATAAATTATAAGTTTAAAGGCAATCTGAGAAAGTTTCCTTTTTACACACACAAAAGTTAAAAAGGTGATTCCCCACCTTTATTTGGTTAGAATTTATTTACAAGACAAAAAGACACTGTTCTTTCTCTCTCTGCAGCTAAATAGATCATGTCAAAATTATGTTATACATCCAATGGCAACATAATCTAAAGTGATTTTTGAAATGAGAATCAACTTTATTATCAGTATCTGTTATACCACGCAGTATTTGTCCGGTCATATCTTTCAACCTGTATAAAACACACTCAGACTCATGTTCCACAGACTTTATTTCAGCTGACTCGAGTCAGAGAATCTTGACACAATCTTCTTTTCGACACTGTTCCCTTCTTTAAAAACAAGAAAAAACATGACAGTTATGTACAAAAATAAAGTATGTTAAAAAAAAAAACATACACTTAGAAACAAGACAGAAAACTGTTTTAATGCTTATTTGTGGATGGCTGCTATAAATAATGACAGTATTTATCTGAGCTCCTCAGTGTTATTTTCAAAACCTTGAATGATTTTGTGAATTTGATAAAAAGCCAGTAGCACCGTTCTGAGTTCATCCATGACACTGTGATGCCGAACGACTTCCCCTCTTAGTGTTTCACATGAATTATGGGGCTCATTGCCTCCATGCAGTGCAAAAAGAAAAACAAAAGGAAATACTAACATCAACACCAACCAGTGAACAAGATATTCAGTCCCATTACAACTAAATGCAGTCAAGTCTTCCCAAATCTCTCACCAGGAGAACCGTCTAATGCAACTTCCCAAAGAGTAACATTTTTCATCCATATTTGTGATTCCAAGTCCAATTTTTCTGGATCAAATTGAAGCTATGATTGACTAATACAATCATCTAGGCAGGCACATTACCTGAAAAAGCAGTCCAGCAAAACTAGCCAAACACCAATGCACATTTTAAGTCAACAAAATGTAATGAAATGTTTTCAAAGACACCTTATTCTTTCATTTTGACAGTCAAGTTCTGCTGTGTTTCACAATAAAATAGGGTCAGGAACTAAAGATTGATATCATCCTTCATATTTTCACAAAAATTCATGACAGAAAATGTAAAATATGCTTTTGTTAATGTGTTCTCCGGGAGCTGCGCCGCACATTTCTATTAACACAAGTTTTGAGTGTAAGCCAGATGACTCACAGACAAGGCAAGAAGTGAAGGCAGATGAGAAGTAAAAGAAAACAAACAGAGCAGGTGAACGAGTCTGTTTAACAGAAACATGTAGCTTAGAAGCTCGCCATATACTGAGTTACAATTTTAAATTACTCATATTGACTATGATATAAAAACCATCTCACAAGCAACTTTGACTTTTGTTTCCTGCGCTGAGCTGACAATCAAAATCTTGCACGTTATGCCGAGCCTATTGAAGTCTTTTTGTTCTTTACGGCAGCTTTGATTGTCACTTTTTGGGGGTATAAAGCACATGTTGGTTCTAAAGAGAGCAGATCCACTTTTTTTAAAACACATTTGTTGGTCGAGAGGCTTTCGGCGACAGTCCCAGCCTCGACATTTGTATGACACTGACAATCAGGCGTGCTCATACCTCTGAAGTGATCGCAGACAGGTTGCAACATTGCTTTGTTGATACGTATAGCAGTTGTAGTGCATTCTAAAGACAGCTGGCTTGGTCATGTGAAGCACTGAGATACAGTTTAGCGATACATAATACAATAAAAGACACTTAATAATTCATTATACAGTGTATGTACAACTCTGTTCAAAATGCTCACGTTAACTGGCTCTGTCATAACTCTTATCTTTTTCTTTCAAAAATTAATTTATTTTATATCACACACTTTACAGCTTTACCCCATCTTTTTTTAACTGTTATCACCGCCCTCTGTAAATGTATATCTCTGCTTTTCTACATAGCCATAGTGGTCAGATGTTGGTTCCCTAACAGCCCTTTGCGCCCTGCACCTCCCCCTGGGTGCCCCCCTCCATTGCCATGGCCACAGTACTCTTGCAGGTTCTGGCGCAAAGTAACCAAAGCAGAGCCGAGACAGGCACGATTCGGCGCCAATACGCCTCCAGGTAACTGAAAGAGGACAGTAGCCACCCCAGCCATGCCGTCGTCTGTGGGCTCCAGAGTGATGGGCCCGATCTTGAAAGAGGAATAAGAAAAGCCCATGAGCTGAGAGAGGAAGGGGTCGGACCGGCAAAAGTGCTGGTAACCGCTGAATGTGGATGGGTGATGATGGTGTGAGGCTTGGGTGCCAGCTGTTGTGCTGGCATAGTGGTGGGTGTTCAGGTAGTGCAGCGGCAAGTGCTGGCCGCCATTGCCCCCTCCACCCAGGGCGAGGTGATGGTGGGGGTGGGCTGTGGGTCCTGAGCCTGGGTCATGTTTGTAGGAGACAGCTCCTGCCCTGCCCCTCTGGCCCACCACCACTCCTCCTAACTTGCCTGTACGGGCATGAGCAAGTGATACAGTGCTGCCCCCCACTCCTCCACCTGCTGAAGGCAAGTAGATGAGCTGGGGCTCCTCTGGCTCCAAATAAATGGTTAGTTTAGCAAAGGGCCTTGACGCCATTTTGGTCATCTCCTGGATGTGGCGACGCTGCTCTCGACGGAAGTCCAAGAACTGCTTCACCTTCCACAGGAGGACGCAGACCGACAGAAAGAGGAAGAAGCAGGAGAAGAAAACAGAGAAGAAGACAAACAGGTCGATGTGGGCTTGGTCTTGTCGCAGAAACAGCAGGCCCTGGGACTCTCCCACTTTCTCATTTGTTCCCACGCCTCTCAGAGCGATGTAGAAGCGGCTGGATTTCAGGGAGTGCACCTCATGGGGGAAGGTGATAACCACACGATCTCGTACGGCACGCACAATAAGCACCGTCTGTGGTTTCCACACGGTGATGTAAGTGATGAGTCCTTCTGCCCTCTCTTCTCTGATTTCCCTCTCTGCCCCTGGAGCTTTAGCTTGTAGCTGCAGTGGATTGTGGGAAAGCACAGGGCCTCCAAGACTGGATGAAGAATTGGCGAACACTTTGATAGGGGAAGGAGCTGAATCCTTCTCTGCGCCTGTGGCCGTCCCCCGAGTCACAGATTCCTCCTCAATCTTAATGGTGTGAATACCTGTGAGCCGGTCCACATCCACTATGAAGGTATCATGCGAGTTGGACACGTACACCTCCACCTCTCCAAAAGTTACATCGATGGTGACCCGTATGTCCACATTGGTAAACTTCGGCTGGGCAGCGAAAAACACAGTGCGCCCCTTGGGGAGGTTACGAATGGTTGGATCGTGGAAGCAGTTGGTCTGGGATGTTGGGTCAAAGCAGCACTCGGTGTCCACGTTAAACTGACGGTAGCACTGACGCCCATTCACAGGTGTACCATTGAAGGAGTCTTTGCACTTCGCACACTAGACAGAAGAGCACAAGGATTCAAATTTGAGGAATATTGTACAGTCATGCACATCTGAGATAGTGTCCTGCGTGTGCATACCTGTTGTCTGTAGCAGTCTTTTCTGTCACTCTGAGGGCTGCTGAGGCAGGAGGAGGTCTCTGTATTGTTTTGACAAGGGCAACCTGTACCATCATGTTCGTTACATGTGTCTGCATGGCCGTTACACTGACACCTGCAATGAAGAGAAAAAAATACCAACACTTAAGAGAAGAAAAGGAAGAGATGTACATTTCTGAAGCTGTGGGAACATCAAATTGTCTTCTCTTTTGTGTTTACGTCAATAAGACGTCACGTAATTGTACAACATGCTGTTGCATTGTGTGTCAATGCAGAATATATCCAATCAGCCCATAAGCACTTAATTTTAAGTGGTTATTGTTGGCAGTAGTAAAATAATACAGTATAAAATGACACACCTGAGGGTCTCATTTTTTCTACTTAATGGGATATACCGGAGCATTATTTGTGGCTATAGAGTGGCGTTTTGGTTGAGATTTGTGTGTGGCTCCTGAAACCGCTGTGTATTGCTAGCGTGCGGTCGTTACTAAAGTTGGTATAACAAGAGAAGCAAGTGGCCGGCAATATTCATCTCTTGAGGGGGTGTCCATCTATCTCTGTGTTATGGTGTGTCTGACCCTATATTCATTTTACACCGGAATATCCCTTTAATAATTTGAGACTGTAATGTAGTCACAGCAAAAGAACCAAGAAAGGACTGCTTACTTCTCACATTTCCCCTGCAGCAGAAAGTAGCCACCGAGGCAGCTCTCACACTTGTCCCCCACACTGTTGTTCTGGCAGTTGACACACACAGCATTCTCCTCTGTGGGACCCTCAGACACCCAGTCCTGAATCTGATGAAAGAAAAAGAGAGGGGGAGACCCACAGCTAAAAACTGACTGAGAATAAAGATGTTACCAAAATACTATTCTCCTAAAATCAGGAGGAGGACGCAATGATTGCACACTTACACTACTGGGGTCTAAAGGGTAGAGTCGGGGGTTCTCAAGGGCCTTCTTATGTTCATCTCGTGATAAACACACACCACTGTTTCCTCTGCAAAACTCCCGGCATGGACGACAAGTTCCGCCCCCCTTCGCAGAGCCCACAAACAGCGGCTTACACTTCTCACAGTGTTTACCCTGGAAAAGGGGAAATGATTCACCATCAGAGGACAAGGAAAACCCGCGTTTACTGTCTGTGTGTGGGTTTTATTACAGGCACTTACAATGGTGTTGTTGTGGCACTCAAGACAAACGTCTGGTTTGCTAACACCAGCACAGTTGCTGTGTTTGTTGCAGCTGCACTGAGAGGAACAGTTATCTCCGACAAATCCAAAGTGACACTGGCACACTCCTGGAGACACACATGTTCCGTTTACGCAGCCCTGTGCGCACACTGGCTCGCACTGACCAGAGACACTACGGGAGAAAAACAGGAGAAGAGATTCAGACAACCTGGTGATCAACAATGGAAAGGTGAGGATCTGTTTTTAATATCATAAACTCCTGAACTTACCTGCTGAGTATGTAGCCATGTTTACAGGTGCAGTGGTATCCCTGGGGCAGGTCATGGCAGTCCTGGGTGCTGTTGCAGTGGTGGTGACTGTTGGCACACTCATCTTCTTCTGGACAGTGGAGGAAGGACCAGCTGCTGTTTCTCAGGGGGCAAACACCCTCACTCACACCTAGGTAGCAAGAACAGAAAAAGGTGAGTGGATCAATGAGAAAAAGCATAAAGTCAGATAAATCAAGTTAATTTCTCACCATCAAGTCCCCCCTGGAGGCAGCGCCCGGCCCCGTTTCCACCCCGAGTGGCACACCAGCCACACTGAGGCCTTGCGATGCACTGGGAGCACTGGCTGAGCTGGGAGCACTGAGGAGAGCAAGAGTCTCCCCCAGAGAGCAGGCGGCCACACTGACCTGCCTCACATCGCAGGGGTATGAAAGAGGGGCTCATGCACTAGAAGAAGAGCAAAAAAGGTCAGTTGTATTTCAATAAAGCTTTGGTTAGAAAACTCAAAATTAGTCTGTAAAGCTTAAAAAAAAGCCAGTGTTACCTTCTGCAGAGCCATGCTCCACACACAATGCTGCCAGCCCCCATCAGAGCCTCGGGAGCCCAGACAGAGGCTGCAGTTATGAAGGCTGTGGCAGGGTGGAGGGCATGGCATTGGGGGAGAAGACTCAACCTGCATGGGGGAGACGTTGAGCAGGGCGTAGCTGAAACATGTCCAGTCGTAGGTGGGGTTCACACTCAGGATGCGCCTTGTTTCACCTGCGAAAATCCGAGCAAAGCCAACAGTCTAGATCATAAAAACTACTTTGTCATCTCACATCTATTTTCACTCAGAAGTTTAAAATTCCAAAATTTCCATTGTCCATACCTGTGCGTTTGAACTGGCGAGTCCACATGCATTTTCCAGAAGCAGTACACTTGGGGCAGTCGGAGGCTTCACAGCTGGTCTCAGTGCAGTTGCTGGACAGGAAGATCTCTCTCTGGTTGATTCGGCAGTCATGTTCAGATGTACAGCTCACAGAGCTGCTGATACAGGCACCCTCTGGGCAGTTTGTGCACCACTTACACTGCAGGGCAGGCTGGGATATTAAATGAAGGTCAGATTTAGTTGAGTTTGCTTCAGCTTGTCTTCATGTTACAAGGAGAGGTGTTGTATGTTACCTGTGATGGATTGTAGAAAGTTTTAGGGTGTCTGGCGAGACATTCACTGCAGGTCTTCAGTCTGCGGCACTGGTCTGGCAGACGTGGAGTCGGAGAGCAAGGAGACTGGCTGGTGAAGCAGCCCATTCTGAAGGAGAGGGATAGACGCGTTCTGTTTATGTGCAGCGATAACCCTGAATAACAACGCTATCAATAACTCTCAGAAGACGTTACCTCTCTGCAGTATCAGAAGAAGCACAGGTCCCTCTACACCACAGACAGCTGCCGGTGGTGGTGTTACAGGCCTCGGGTGTTTGCATGAGGGCACAGGGATCAGACGGCACAGACAGGGTTAGGAGTCTACCCAGTGTGACACCATTGAAGCCTCCTGAAAGGAAGAGACGACCTTCCCAACTTGCCATGGCAAGAGACACCGAGCGGTTTACTGGATCTCCTACAGCTGAGGCTGAAGAAAAAGAAAAGATGCGCTGCCAGGTCAGGCTGTAGTTTGTTATGACTGACCATAAATCTACTGAAAGTTGATGAAATATTCACCAGGTTGTATCCAGGTGTTACAGTTGATCTGGTACAGGGACACCGAGTTACTATAGTCCTCTGCTTCTGTTCTCCCCCCGACAATGACCATGGTGTCTTTGATCAGGGCAGCAGCATGGAAGAAACGAGACAGGGGCTACATGGCAAAGAGATTATAGCAAGACAAGTTATCTTTTTTGCAGTGCATGAGAAGAGGATAATTGCAGAGTATGTTAAACCTATTGGCCTGTAAAATAGGCAGAAACTGAAGCTGAGCTCTTACCTTATTACCCTGTGAAGGGACCAGCAAAGACCAGGTGAGGTTAGGGTAGTACAGACTGTAGAGCTCTCCTGAAGGCTCCACAGTCTCCACATGAAAGCGGTAGCCCCCGAAGACATAGATGGCATCAGTCTGCTCATGGTAGACTGCTGAGTGGCCATACAAACCTAAAAGAAATATGAAATATAAACAGGGTTACATAACAAAGGAAAAGAAATATTTTTCTGCAACTGCCTTTGACTTTTCTATGTAATTTTCAGAGTAAACATGAACTTCTGAATGGGGCAAGAACCTGTGGGTGGTGTGCCGGTATGGGGGGCTATTGTCCAGTTTCCAGAATGAGGGCTGAACTCCATCAGATGGTGGTTGAAACCATTCTCTGGAGAGTAACCTCCAATCAGCAACACAGAGGAGTCTCTTCGCACAGTCAGAGTGTGACCTGCCACTGGGGGCAGCAGTGAGCTCTGGAAGAAGGAAACAATATATTAAGGTATGAAAAAAAAACATTAAGAGGTTTTTTCTTTCCTTTTGGGAGTACGATATTGACCTCATGATTAATCTCATTCTTACCTTGTGTTCTCTCCAGACTAAACTGCTGAGATTGAGACTCCACGTATCCATGGCAACACCATTTTGAGTTACACCACCCACCACCAACATGAAGTTATGACTAGCTGTGAGGCTTCCAGAGCCAGACTCGTGACTGGTCAGCAGTGCAGAGGCGTGGTGATAGCGAGCATCCGGGGTGGAGCCTTCTTCCACAGAGCTAGTTAACATCTGTGTCCAGCGACGCTCAGAAACAGAGTACCTGAACAAATCAGGAGAAAAACCACATTATTTGCATTCATAGATGGTTTACACCACATTTGACTCTCTCTTTGTCGTGTTACATCCCCCTACCTGTAGACGTTTCCCAGAATGCCCTCTGCTAGAGAAAGCCCTCCATACATCCAGAGGTAGCCTTGTGGTCCAGACACCAGGGTGTGGCCCATCCTATGGAGGAACCTGTGGGCCTGGTTCTGTGGAGTAGCAGTGCATGTAAATACGTGTTTGTGTGAGAATGATTTCATACACGCAAACTGAACTTGTGTTGGGTTCCGCCCTTACCACTGTCAGTTGTGTGTCTAGTAGTGTTTCCCAAGCCAGGTTGTTAGAGTCCCGAGGAACAGAGCAGTCTGAGCCCGCCCAGCTGTCTGTGCAAACACACACTCCGAGAGACTGACACAGACAGACATGTTGATTAGTAAACTTGTCCTGCCCTCTTTAAGTGTTTCAATATTGTTGTCTCATTAAATGCACTAGAGGTATATAAATAAAGTGATATGTTCTACAACTCTTACTATATTACACGCTCCTCTTCCTTCTGCTATTCCACAGTCCTGAGGGCACATGGGCCGGTCGCAGTGCGGCCCAGCATATCCCTGAGGGCACTGACAGAGGCCCCCCTGGCACTGGGCTCCACCTGGACACACAGGTGACCCCTCTTCACCATCGTCTGAGCTATGGTGGCACCGCCGCACCCAGAAAGATGCATTGAAGCCTTGAGGTTCGTTTGAGGTGACGTTGGCCTCGAAGTAGACTGAGATCACACCTGGTAGTAAAAAGAGAAAAAAGAATAAAAGAGGCACTGTGACTTTTTATCTCTGTGTTTTTATGGAAGATATAACTTGAGAAGAATTTATACTGTAAAATCCAAAATAAAAGTCGCAGCCTGTTTTTGAGGGGCTCCAAAAGTAAAAAAGGTTCAAACTTTTGAAACTCTTGCAGCATGACCGTACCTGCATCTAATCATCTCTCATCATCTTTATCACTCAATAACTTATCAATAGATACCTGAGGTGGCCTCCACAGTGATAGGCTGAGTCCTGGTGGTGCCGCAGAAAGCCCCAATCAGGTTGTGATCTGAATGGACAACCCCATTACTCAGGAAACGAGGGAGGCCGTCAAACACATAGACATAGGAGCTCTGCAAAGCAAAACAGAAGAGGTGCACCATGGTTACATAGAATGAGACACTTACTGCAAAGCTAGCATGATACTTTGTATGTGAGCTTGTGTGAGGTCAGGTTGGAACTCACTTTACAGTGTGTATGGGAGTCTGGATGAAGAGTTAGGGCGATAGGGGGACAAAGCTGTCTGGGTAAGCAAGGTGCCAGATTCTCCGTCACAGAGAGGACCCACAGGCAATGAGAAAGTCCGCCTTTCCCTTCTGTGCCACTTCGCCAACCAAGTGAAGAGGAGAGAGGGATGGCAGAATTGGAGGTGGAGGAGAGCAGCACTGAACGGCCCTGACACTGCCGGTAGCATGTGCCGTTGTTCCTGTTGGGAAAAGAGATAAGACGGGCTGAGTAAGAGAATCACATTTTAAAATTATTTAACAATTATTTGTTCCTTGATCAATATTTCATTAAAATCACCACCTCTGGAATTTGCATAGTTTCAACTATTCAGAAATGAGGAATTAATGCTTTTTTTATCTCCTTACCTGGGGTCACCATAGTAACCAGGCAGGCAGGACTCGCAGTGTGGTCCATGTGTGTTGTGGGTGCAGTAGCACTGGCCAGTCTGGTTGTGACAGTATCCCCGCAGAGGGTCACCGTGACCGTTACACTCACACTGCACACAGCCGCCCCCACCAGACAAGGCTGACCCAAAGCTGCCAGGTCGGCAGTGCTCACAGTGAGGCCCAGTCGTCCAATCTAAACAAAAAGACAGAGGAAGGTTATCAGAAGACGAAACGCTTTTCATCGCATAAATCTGCTGTCATGAAAAAGAAAAAGGAACATGAAGAGGTCATTAAAAAAAAAGCTGTTTTGTAAAGTTTCACCTTGGCATTCATCACAGATTCCTGGTGCTGTAATACAGGTGGAATGGAAGTTACACCCACAGTCCACGTCGCATTCAACACCACTGAGAACTAGAGTTGCAGGGTCAGACGTCCATCCAAGGGAGCATTCGCACTCAAAACGTGGGCTGCCACTGCACTGACCTTCACGGCACTCATTGTAGCAACTGTTGGAGGGAGAAGGAAGGAGCCAAGATGTACTTTTTCATTTTTGGAAAACGCAGCATTAATGTGTACAGACTGAGCGGGATTTGATCTCTTACGTCTGGTTGCAGTGAAGCGTGCCATCCCCTGTGTAACCTCTCTCACAGTGACACTCATAAGAGGTGGGAGTGTTGATGCAGGTGGCGAAGGGGTGACAGTTGTGGAGACCCAGTCTGCATTCCTCTACGTCAGGGCAGGTGGGGTAGGACCAGATGGCGTCTTGCTCTTCGTCTTCTAAGTGTTCAAACTCCATTTCCATGTCCAGGGGTCTGGGAGGAGCTGAGGTCTGGGGTTCAGGGCTAGAAGAACAGGACAGGGAGAGGTAAAGACAGATGAGTATAAACTATCTATCTATCTACCAAACAAGTGTGTTACAGCTCTGTACAAAATTAAACAATCATGTCATTCAAGTGAAATATTTGTCTTACTTTGCAGCTCGAGCTTCAGCAACAGCAACACTACAGTTATAAACTAAGGGGTCGTCCATGCCTGCCCAGTCACCCCTCAAACATCTGCAGAGAAGGTTATGAAAACAAAATTAAATCATGACTGAAGTAGAAACTTGATTGAACTAAGGTTAGCATAATGTGTCCTATCTCTGTACAATGCACGATTTAAAATATGACTCGTGTCCTGCATATGTGCCATACTTACTTCCCAATAGTGGGATTGTTATAGTCACCACACCAGCCACACTGGAATGTCCGCAGGCAGTCTGTGCATGTGTTCAAAGCTGAGCATTGTTTACACTGAGGGACTGAGTGAACACTGAGGAGTAAAGAATAATGTAGAATATTAGATCATTAATCAAAGCTTCACTTCAGCTCCTTCATTGTCTCAAAAACTTTTCATTGTCTTTTTTTTAAGCCATATTTGTCTCTTTATGGTACTTCACTTTAAGTACAGTAGTAGTGATTATACATGCAAACATAAAGATTAAGAAAAGCTAAAAAAATCTCCTCATTTTACCTGTCGTACCAGTCCCTGCACTCTCCATAGGGGTATTTTGTGAGGTAGGCGGCAAAATAGAAGCAGGCCTGGGCTGATTCACACCATGCACACTGGCTGGAGTTAGAGAGGCACTCACCGCACGTCTTCCTCCTAAAGAAGACGAAGAGATGATTGGAGAGAGCAGGAAACATGAGTGAGCTGCAAAGTAACTAGAAAACTGCATCTTAAATTAAAATGTAGTTGTTGGACTCACTGGTTGCAGACTTTAGGGCATCCTCTTGAGTCACGTATGGAACCATCCAGTCTTCCGCGTCGACTGCACTGGTAGTCTCCTTTCTTACTGGAGTTGATCTGCCACTCACAGTAAGGGTCCTGTTGGCCAGAAATTTAACAGCATATTAGGGGTGTGTACAATTAATCTAGTTGTTAAGAACATACTGGAACAAACATTTTCTTTTGCAGCAAATACACATTTGGTTGGTAAAAAATTTTGCACCAATAAACTGACAGCTGAGGTTGTCCTGAAGAAAAAAAAGATGTGTATATATTTGCTGTGCTTGAAAGGATAGAGTTGTTACATAGATTTTTACAAAAAAAAAAAAACAAACGAACAAAAAAAAAACAGGCGTTTATGTTTATATGTTTATATAAAGGTGTATTTGTTGCAACTTCTCAATATAATGTACCTGAGTGCAAGCAGCGCAATCTCTATATTCTTCACACAAGGTGCAGTGCTGTGGTGCCAGCAGCAGATGGCGCTGACCCTCTGTCTTGCCTTCTTTCTCTCCCTCAGGGCAGGGCTCGAGGTCCGGGCTGTCTCGCAGCAAGCAGCGGGACAGAGATGGGCACCAGCCACAAGACTGATCGGACAGACAGGCCAAACAGGACATGTACCCTGAGCAGGAGCCTGAACGGTACGGCTCCAAAAACAAGAAAGAGATCTCCTGAAAGGCGAGAAAATTATAGGGAGAGAAAAGACAGCGTGAGGTCAGCTGGTTTACTCCACTGAAGGAGACCTATTGTGTAGAAAAAAATGACAGAAATGTGAAAGTTAAACCTCTTTGCTTTTGCGGAGAAGCACGGGTTTAAATGTTCCTGTACTCACACTCCCTCCGGGTAATGTTCTGTTCCAGATCAGGGCCATCTCACTGGTCTGTCCAGAGCCTGAGTTGTTGAGGTAGCCCTCAGCTTGAACGAGATAATGGTTCCCTCTGGTCAGGTTTGAGAACAGTTTACTCCCATCTGATCGAGACAGCAGCTTCAACTCCTTCTCCTGCTGGGCTGCCCAACGCCCCACCACCTCCTGTTCCGATAGATCATGGACCCATGGGAAGTTTGAGAGAGAAAATGGGGAAGAGTTCAGTAACACTAGGGATAAAGAGCAGCTTGTTTTAACTTAATTCAAAAATATGCATTTCCATTTTCCCTTACCAGCTGGCTTGAGTTGGGCCCTGTAGCCATTCGAGCCTCAAAGTGCAGCCTCTGGATGCGAGCCCACATGGAGACGGTGTCTGTGGGAGGGGGCGCGGGTGGAGGGGCCCCCCACAGCGGGTGGATGAAGCCCCTGAACTGTAACGCAACATCCATTTCTGTGGTGGGACTCAGGATGATGGTGGTGCTGCGGAGGATGGATACCTGGAAAAAGGTGGTGAGGAGGATGGAGGATAGTGGAGGGTGGATGGAAGTGGAGACAAATCAACAGAAGCACTATTCTCTACAAACTGCTCTACAAAGTTTGACAAACTACTCCAGAAAGGAATCTTCTCTGTGAGTGTGTTGCAAAAAAAAAAAAAAAGAGAGCAAAGAAAGAACAGGATAAGAAAAGTGAATAATGGGAACAAGGTGTTTAAAGCCAAGAGCACAAAGTAGAATATGTCAATAAAAAAAGGAAATAGTAAAAAACTCAAGAACTAATTTGGATTGTTAAAGCAATGCTGGAGGAAGGAAGGAGGGATGTGTATTAGTGGAAAGGGGAGTTTATGCAACCACAGCTAGTACAGTTAGCACTTGATATTTAGACTCCGTACCTTGTCAGGCTGGGAGTCGTTGCGGGGGTGCTGGAAGGTGAGCAGGTGCAGTCCCGGGACATAGTTCTCGGTGCGACAGGAGTGGAGGGAGGTTAGGAAAAGGGTACGCTCCCCCCACCAGCCGTACGCCCCTGAGATCTGGTCCACACGGCACGCACTTCGCTCTGTGAGACCGAGAGGGAGAGGTCAGCAAACAAGGAAAACATCTGACCTCTTCAAATCTAATCATTCAGCAGCCTGATCTTTCGACTCCTGTGTGATGTGTGCTCAAAAAGAGTACGACCACGTGACGTCACTGCACTGAAGAATAACTGTGATTGGACAGGCAAGCCAAATCTTAATCTGAGTTGCTTGTCCGATCTCAGCTGGGTGCAATCAAGTCAGCGTGCTCCGTTTTTGAGACATGCCAAACAGGAAGCCAATCCCTCCCATATCAGCACCCAATTTTTTTAACCCTTCTTTTCAGCCCTCCTTCCTCCCTCCTTGGGTCTCACCTGACACAGGTAGGCAGGACTCATTCTGAACACACCAACCGAAATCCCCGGGGGCGCGAGCGATTGAAGCTGGGGTGCCGCTGAACACCAAACATGACTGGCAATCAGAGAGGAAGCGAGCCAGGCCGAGGCAACCGGTACTGCCACACTGAGGAAATAAAACAAAGGCTTATAAATTCCAACAGTACTTAAGTTTCCCGACACACAGATGAGAGGGAATACATGATTCAGATGCCTTACTATGAAAAGAATGCATAATATGTGGATGAGCAAAGCTGTGTAAAAGGAAGCGTTACCGGATTAGTGGGCTGGTACTCTCGACAGCGGCCTTCACACCAGCTACACTCCGGATTCTTCAGGCACATACTTTCATCTAACGCCTCGGCACAAACAGCATCCTGGTGAAAACACACGCACAAGGGTTAGTGACTTTTCCCTGAATGCTCTTTTTTTCAGATGTCATGTGATTTGCACTGCTGTACTGTGACGCTACACTGTTGCACATTTTGTACATAGGCTATTCTATTTTTATTTTGTACTATTTTATTTCATATTTTATTCTATTTTTTGTTACTCCACTTTCTTAGGAAAACACCACTGCAAGCTGTTTTAATTGTCGTTGTATGCCTCATACAATGACAATAAAAAGTCTGAGTCTGAGTCTTTTAGGCGCCTTTCCCAACTTTAAGATACTGTATGTGTCTGTGTTTTCTCATTACCTACAACACTTTCACTCACCCTGTCTCCTTGATCGCTACTGACAAACAGCGGTACTTTGTAGGCCACCAGGTCTCCCCGAGCAACACCACTGTAACCACCGGCAACAAGTAGCACCCGTCCCTCCATCACAGCGGCAACGTGCGAGTAACGGCCTCTCACAGGATCTCCCCCTGGTCAGATGTAAAGTTTATATCAGAACAGAAATTTCAAACAGCCAAAGAAAAACAGCAGTGGATGAAAACAGAAAACATGCCGTTTTGTTTTTGTGTGTTTTTTGTTTTAAGTTTTTTCCCCACTGTAATTAAATTCCCCATCTGAGTTAGAATGATCATTTCTTCATGAAAGGTCATCCAGATCTTTACTACACTATCTTTGAGTAAGCGCAGATACAAAAAAGTGAAAAACAACCTTTAATTTAAAAATCTTTTACAGGAAAATACTTTCTATGAAGTGAATTTATGGTCAATACCAGCACTAGGCCAATATTTACAGGTGCATTCCTGATTTAAACTTACTGAGTGACCATCTCTCCCCGGCAGACACCCATTGGTGACAGCCCAGATGGTAAAAGAAGATCTCCTCATCGTAGCACTTCTCTTCTTGGTAATGAATATGTACATTTCCCCCTGTGAGAGACACACAAGAAGAAAATAATGAAAACATACAGAACAGCGCTGACGGGGAACATGAATGATGTTCTCTTCATTTCACAATGCTCACCATAGACTACCATGTAGTTGCCGATCACAGTGGCTGAGTGAAAAGCTCTCTCCCTGGGGCCCGTTGCTGGGAAACGGGAACGGAAGGAGGTCCAAAACCGTTTGTCCACGTGGAACACATCTGTGTTGTTCACCCTCACACTAAACCTTGGAAAAAACAGCAGGAGGGTTATTAGTACATTTTAATATTATTACATATTAGTACATTTTGTTTTATTCAATATAAAATGATCAAATGTGTTAAAAAAGGAAAAATCAAATCAGAGAATAGATCAGTTACTGAGCTGTTTCTCCTCTTCCTTATTAAACCTGTACATTGTGTACAAAGCATTATCAACTTGCACATGTATGTATGCAGTGTGCCTTTGCATGTTTGGGTGGATTACCTGGCAGTGGTAGGTCGGTGGCCCCCGTAGACCAGTAGAGTCCTAGATGGGCTGTGAAACACCATGGAGTGTCCAGCAGTGGCGGGGGGCTTCCCACCAGTGGGCTGAACAGTCTCCCAGCGTCCAGAGCCATGCAGGCCGAATCTGTACAGAGTGGAGGAAAACATATCCTCCTCAGTGCGACCTGGGGAATACAAAGAGGGGAAAAAGAAAGAAACCGCATTAGTCTGATTGATTATGTAAGGGCTGATTGTGAGCCAGCACAAATACAGGTGGCAAAATGTGAAACGAACCTCCAAAAACATAAAGATAACTGTCCACTACAGCTGCAGCGTGATTGGCCAGTTTAGGTGCACCATGAGAATTTGATAAACCAAGCTGCTGCCAGTCATCATGAAGGGGCCGGTACATCCAGACGTCACTCGCCAGGGAGCCATTTGCCAGCTCTCCTCCGAAGATAACCATGTTACCCATCCACTCTACTGCAGTGTGGGAGTGACGAGCCACCTGACCACACAGAGAGGAACACCAGACAATGAACAGAGATGTAAAACAATAACAGGAGCACAGCTACTGACAGTAGCTGTTTGTACATGTAAACAAAAACGAGCTATTTACCTGCACGGCAACAAGCCGATAAATGTCAAATCCACATATACACTGATAGCAATTACTTATTTGGGTGACTTTAGGTGTGAATACTGGACTGTCAGAATGTGAAAGTATAGGCTCTGTAGTGAAAACATCATAGATTCATATCTGAACACTGAAATTTCTACTGTAAGGTGTTTGAATCAACTTCAATTTTACAAAAGTACAAGCTGGGCAAATGTCTTAAAAGCATATTGTTATTCTAAGAAATATAGAGGTGAGGCAAACTTGTGTTTGGATGTATATGTGTGTCTACAAACCACTTACAGGAGAATGACCATAAGACCTGCTGTCCCATTGGTTGGATGTGAAGTTATATTTGATCAAGTCACCGAGAGCTCTATTGAGGTCAAACCCTGGGGAAAAAAGTCGTTAACATGCACTTATTAGCTTAACCATTAAAAACACTATTAGGCAGCAGAAAGGATTGCACTACAGCTAAAATAACGACCCCAATTTTCTTTATTGTTTGAATCAAACCATAATCTAATTAGTGTAATAAACAGCATTAAGAGCCACAATAATACAAATAAACTTCAAATGAAAGAACATTTTTCACAGAATATGTTGTGTTGAGGTACTAATAATCAGAGTATGATAACAAATTACCAAACAAATTTGTCCATACCATTTTAAAAAGTGTGTATAGAGGCTATGTGACTCTTACCACCAAATAAGTACATCGCTCCGGAAGAAGACAGGTACACGCCAGCAGAACCTGTCCTCGGGGGTGTGTAAGGGTTTCCCTCACTCACACGCCACCACCGCCCGGCCCCACTGTCGTCATGGAAACCAAACTGGCAGTTTTGGCCCATGAAGCCAAGATTACACAGGCAACGCTCTCCTTTCTGTAGCAAAAAAAAAAACAAAAAAAAACAGCAAATGTAATGCCTAAATTTTGATCAATGTCTCAAAAGCTGCTCACAATACATGTAACACAGGTAAGGATGAGTGATCATTTGACTGTTTGCTTTCTGCATTCATCTAACCTTTGACCTCCCCACTCTTACCTTGTCACATAGGCCATTCACTGAACAGATCTGGGCGCAAAGAGGAATTGTACACGCTGTTCCTCCCCAAGCCTGATGGCAGTGGCACTTTAATGTGGAGGGGTCACAGCGGCCATGACCACCACAGGCTCCAGGACACAATGAAAAAGTGTAGGTCGCATTAAAGCCCAACAGGTTGTAGTTGGCATCGCTGAAGAGATGAAGCAGCATCTGGAATGAGCAAAAAAGCAGACCCATATTTTGAATTTCTCAAAGTTAAAGGGACCACTGTGTATTGCTATCATGCGGTTGTTACTAAAGTTGGTTTAACTAGAGAAGCAAACGGTCTGCAACATTCATCTCACGAGGGGGTGTCCAACTCGGTGTTACAGTGTGTTTGACCCTAAATTAATTTTACACTGGAGTATCCTTTAAAAATTCATCAGTCTTTCTTTCCCATTGTTCCATTTGGTTACCTTTCCAGACTTCGCCTCAATTGGTTGAGGCAGAGTGTTTCCACTCAGACTGGCTAGCAGAGGGCTCTGGTAGGAGTCTCCATCATACACAAACAGGTAGTCATAGGTACACTCTGTGTCCATGAAGGTGAAATTTAAGACAATGCGATGGTTGTTGCTGGGAGCTGAAAGATATAAAAAAAGAGGGAGTATGAAAATTTGTTTATTTCTGACAATTTTTTTCTCACACATGAAAAAAATCATAGCTCATTATACCTTTGATGAGCCACTCGCAGTTCCCATTGACAGAGTAGTTTCCTGGCCCATCTGTGACATACCCTGGTGCTCCCCTCAACACCTGCCTGTGGCCCTTGCAGTCCCCTGTCTGACACACAGGCGACTCAGCCAACAGTAAAACCACCAGGACGAAGGAGACAGGGAGGGGGGAGGCCATCACTGGCACAGCCTGGATGATGGTAAGCAAAGGGTAAGAGAAATAAGTCTGGGTTCAGATGGACATACTGCCATCAAAAAATATGCAGGAGAACTGTGCGGCAAAGGGGAACAACCTAAAGATTTCCACTCATGTTATACCACAAAAGAAAAATGAACTATACCTGCCAGATATAGAGGATTATTTTACTAGAAGACCAAGTAAGGATGCATAATATTGAAATTCTGCAAATACCCAATCTGACAGCATTTTCAAACTCATTTGGTCCAACATTCATACCAATATCGATACTGCTCCAAGAACATCATTAGCCTGTGAAGGCCTGCCCTGCATATTCCACCAAGAGGTCGAGAGCAGTAAAGTCAATAGTTTCCCTGTCAGGCTCCTTCACTTTCAGGTGGAGACTGACTCACTGTTTTATTTTTTAGCTTTGTTAAATGACTGAAGTAGAGACTAAAATTAAAAGCCAATTGAAAAAGGTGTGTTTAGAAGTGATTTGAAAGTATGGGGGTCTGTACGGTCTTGGACACTTTCAAACACGTCTCCACAGGTGACGTGAAGCTCCTTGCTGGCGAGTGAGCTTTCGTTTTAAGCACATAATTCCTGTCACTGTATTAACCATTCATATACACAGAAATGTTCTTATCTGTCAATGACAAAAACGAATTTGAAGCTGTTATCTGCCGATTTGACGCTGTGTTCATAATAGGGATGTGACGATTACAGGTAAAATGATAAACTGTGGTAAAATATCTGACGGTTAGTACTTCCGTTTCAAATTTTAATTACCGTTGAAACTGTGTTTTATTGCCACACTCTTGAAAAGCTTGTAGACTGCTCAGTGCTGAGAAGAGCAGCCGCATGCAGCAGTCCTTTGGACATTGGCGCGCCATGCGCAGTATACAACTTGAAACATGGCGGAGGGCAGTTTTGCAAGCAGTTCTGCCGACAGTGTTGAATTTTATTTATTCGTTATTATGTTAATGTTTATGCCACTTGCACATTACTTTGTACTTTGTTATTACTAGTACTAGTGTTGATCACCTCTGGCTCTTTAAAGGCCACATGTTTCATTTTTTAAGCTTATCGCTCCTCTGTTATTTAAGGTTAAGGACAAGTTCATACTTTGATTTATTTATTTTTTTTTAAATAAAACTTTGTTTCATGATTTCAGGGCATGTATAAGTACTTTTTAAACATTTTGAACATATTTTAACAATACCGTGATAATATTACTAACCGTGATAATTTTGGTCACAATAATCGTGATGTGAAATGTTCATATCGTTCCACCCTAGTCGATAATATCATGTATACTTTTCTGTGGCCCTGGTTTCCCCCTATCCATCTTTATCTCTGACAGTAAAAACATGCATAACCCTCAAATGAGTTAGAAATCTCCTACAGCTGCAGAATTACACAGATTTAAAGAGGCCGTTTACGTTAACATGCTAGATGTGCATTTCAGGGACAGCCTCTGGAAAAAGATCCTGTTCTCCCAGAGCTAAAAACTGTTAGCCTTGTGTATATAAACCAAAGCATAACTAACACATTCATATCAGTACTACTACACTTTGGGTGAAACAAGACAGAGTAACGTAAAAGCAATGTAAAACGGCAGCATGTCGCTGATTAAACGTGTAATTTAAAGGGAAAAGCCCACTAGCATCCGCAACTCAGGGTCTCCGCAAGCTATCACAACAAAGCTAACTCGGGCTAGCTAACGGTGAGAACCGTTAACAGCCAGAGGCCGTTAGCTGAAGCAGTTTATAAGCTGCATTATCAAAAACTCACCAGTTTCCGTCTCTTTGGCCCCATGACAATTTACATTTTCGGCGATCCTTCGAAGCTAGCTACCACATGAGCTAACTTAGCTAAATTAGCTTGTAGCTTCTGATTCAGAGTCCCCGAAGGCGACAGCCCTGGATGGGGCTTCAACTCCTCGGTGGTCGGCTAGCCTCCTCGAAAGCTAGCGGTAGCGGCGGCTCACACTGATCCAGATGCGCAATCGTGAGGAGCTGAAAAAAATGTACCAGTTCAAGTCATTCCTTTGAGTACATTATCCTTATGTCATTACAGAAACGTTTGTGAAGACTAAGCCATAATATCGGTGTGAAAAGCTGCCGGCTAGCAGCGAAGCCTGGAAATGGCATTGGGCCGATTACTGCGGTCCATCTCAGGGACAGATGCCCGTTGTTTTGGTGTTTATGGCTGGCTAGCACAACCAGTGGTTACCAAGACAAAAGAGAGAAGTAGTCCACCACTGCCATCCAGTGGACAGGAAAATCACTTCTTAACATCTGGATAGAGCTCACTAGATGATGAGAAACTATGAGATTTGGTTGTCAAAGTTTGAATATTCAGTCGAAATACTTAACTCTTAAAGTTTATCTACACATTCACCAAATTAGTCATAGACCAAAACGCTGTGTTGCAATGAGCTAAGGTGGTTTTGTAAGGCAAAATTAATTGGACCAAAACAAATTTAGTTTAAATGTACTTTATTAAAAGTTTATAGAGACAAGCAAAACACAACAGAAACATTTGCAGTGAAAACTCTATAAGATAACACACTCCTTTATTAGTCCTAAAAGGTGAAATTTCACCTTTATGCTCACTACTGTTTCCTGTCTGCACTTGATTTGTGATTGATAAACAGCAATGCAACAAAGATATCTTCAAATTATTAGGCAGAGCCAGAGGACATCTTACACCAAAGCAGAATCAACATAAAAGCAGTATAACAAAAAAAGCTCTTCTCCTAAGAAAAAAAAATACTTCCAACAGGCACAAAAAACATAAAATCACTTTGTTTTTTTACTACAAAGAGCAGAATGTTACTCAGTTTTGTTGATTGAAAAAAAAAAAACACATTTGTTTTGTCTTCTCCTCATGGAGAGACTTAAGAAAGCTCAATCTTGCTTCCAAAGGCACACACAGTTTGGCATTTGGTATTGTCCGACATCCCAGAGACATCAGTCATGCTTACAATCATACTTAAATTTACAATCTTCAAATTATCCTAAGCAATTCATCAGATTACAAGGCTTCTTATGTCTCATAAGTCAGCCATGTACTGGTGGTGAACATGTTTTTAGTGTGATTTAAGTTTGACACTGTTTAGTTACAGTCCTGACTTACTTTATTTCTGATATACATTGCAATATCAATGTTATAAGTTGGTCTCATTATTTCTCAGTTCAGTTTTTATAGACATAAGATTAATAACTTTGTTGTAAATTATTTTTAAGTTACTCAATTTGGAGCATCTAATGTTCAAACTTGTTGATCTCTTCTCCAATTATTATTTTTTGAAATCAGTCATATCTGTGAGCAAATTGTTTAATGTATGTTTGAAAACATTTATGACTATTACTTACTTTACTTTTCTGACTTCCCCTCAGTTTCGTCAGATTTTATTTTTGACACCATATCTCTCTGCAGCATACATGCCCATCATGAGGTATGTACTGCCATTTTCCCTGGAGCCAGAACCATAGGTGCATCATGGAGCCCAGGGCCAAATATAGGAAATACCTTCTCATCAAACTTGTGCTCTAGAGTTACAAGGTGCTTTGCCGTCCCCCCATCCCAAAATGACACCTCTCCTTTATCAATATTTAACTTGATCCGGATTCTTTCTGGGCGCTGCTGCACCTGAAGCACTGTACGCTCAGGTGTTGAAGCAGTGTACACCCCTTTGCTCAGTACTACGGCCCACACACCACGGCTTGTAGAGAGAGTGAACTTCTTTTTACGAGCCAATGACTCCTTACATACTCCCACAACCCACTTGGGGCTGTCCCCTACAATGATGTCCCATCTGTGTTTGCCAGAGGTGTAACCTTCAGCACCCAGGACAAAGAGGCAGGGATCAAAGCGCTCCACATTTTCAGGGACGGTCAGTCGTTCTGAGCTCTCCTTCACACAGGTCAGGTCTTCACTCAAAAAGAACCATGGAGAGGCTGTGTTCGGGTTAAACACCACCGGATCTGTGCATGGGGAAAGACGGGATGCAGCTCTGTGACATTGCTGACATTTTTTATCCTATTGTTTCAATAGTATTCATGAAATGATGAAAATGGTCTGTTCCCCCACATGGACAAGAATGTAATAAGCCCCTTTCACATAAACATTGCACTCCTGAAAATGTCCTGATATTGTCTATGAACTGCACATGGCTGAATTTAGACTCTTAATCAAGCCTACATGGGTGTACATCATAGTCTTTTTCAGATCAAAACAATGAGTTATAGAAATCATACCAAGTACAGTTGACATCAAATTACCTACAGAGATCAAAACCTGTTTTGGCATTAACGACAGGGCATCTAATATGAGCTGTAACAGGGTTAGTAAGTGGACACTTGAGGAACCACATTTTTTGCACTTTGGCGCTAGGTTGCAGTTTGATAATGAAATATAACTGGTTGTTGAACACAGATCATCTCACATTGAGTGAAGCATATGAGCCAAAAGCTCCTGAAACATCAGTGCCTTAAAGTCCAAAAATTATCTTAAAAATTCAGGTGTTCAAGTGTGAAAAGGGCAGTCGACATCCAGTCCTTCGCTTTTCCTTAATCACACAATATATTTTACTTACTGTATTTGACATGAGGCTGCAAGCTTTTCCAGATTTTGAAGCTCAAAGCCCCAACATGCTCGCCCATATTCAACAGACAGTCCGCAGCAAGGCAAGGATCCTCCTCGGTCCACTGGGCTCTAAAGTAAAGGTGATAATATATGGTTAACATTAGAAACTGCAGTCTCCAAAATTCTGCAAATGCATTGTAAATATGAGATCAAGAGTACTTTCCAGGTACTTTCTTATTGATACTCATGTAAAGATTTTCAAGCACAGTATATGCATGACAGCTTGAGTGACATTTACTGATACTTACTTTTGTTTCAAAGTCTTGAAATTCTAAAACACACACAAAAAAGATATGCAGACTGATTAAACAAAGGAGGGAAAAACAAGATGCGCTCTTAGTGCTGTGGTGATGACCCCCCTGTCTTACCTGCACAAGGGGTAAGTCTTCATTGCCCATCTCTCTCTTCAAAGACTCAACAAGCCCTTTCAGGTCAACAATGTCATTTTTTGTTTTGTCATTCAGCTCTTGTAAGGCATTAATCTTCTCCTCTTCCTCAGAGGCCAAAGCCCTCAGACGCATGGCTTCTTCTGTGACAAGCACCTGTCTCAGTCTTTCAAACTCTGCCTTGATCTGCTTCTCTGCCAGTCCTGCTTGAATCTGCATCCAGCAAAAGAGGAGGAATTATTAGTATGAAATCTAATCAGTGCAACATAATGTGTGTTCAGCAGCTTGTGCTGTTTTGTGAACAAAGTTCAGGTCTGGTGATTGACAAACACGGTAGAAGCAGTGCAATGACTCTACCTTGATGTGGTCCATTGCGTTGTTGATTTTATTCGTCATTTTCTTGTATGATTCCACTTTCTTTTCAAAAATCTGGACTTTGAACCCCAGCTCCCTCTGCAGAGAGACAGAAAACAGGTGAACAAAGACATTGAATAAAATAAAACAATATGCTTTACAGCTGGTGTCTTGTATTGTTCCCCTTACTCACACTGGGGAAAAACTGTCTCACCAGATTATTGTGGTAGGTAAAATGGTTGGCCTAAGTGACCAAAAAAAGTGGATTCATTCGTTCATTCGTTTTTATTTGTTCTGCTCATGGCCATTTTTAAGCATTTCCATACATACAAAAGGCATTTAACAAATTTAGCACAGCATATGACTGGATGGAGCAGGTAGAAGACAAAGCTTATTTTACCTGCCCCTTACTCAAAATAGAAATAAACCGTTATGTAAGATCCGATCCGTCGTGGTGAAGAAAGAGCTGAACCGTAAGGTGAAACTCTCGATTTTTTGGTCGATCTACGTGCCAACCCTCACCTATGGTCATAAACTTTAGGTTATGACAGAAAGAAAAAGATCGCAGATACAAGCGGCCGAAATGGGTTTCCTTCGCAGGGTGGCCGGGCTCAGAGACAGGGTAAGGAGCTTGCACACACGGGAGGCGCTCAGAATAGAACCGCTGCTCCTCCACGTCAAGAGGAGTTAGCTGAGGTGGCTCGAGCATCTGGTTAGGACGCCTTTTGAACGCCTCCCGTTAGAAATGTTCCAGACATGTCCCACCGGGAGGAGACATCGTGGTCGGCCCAGGACCGGGAGGGATTATATCTCTCGCCTGGCCTGGGAAATCCCCCCGGAGGAGCTGGTGGAAGAGGCTGGGGTGAGGGCAGTCTGAGCCTCCCTACTGAAGCTGCAGCCCCTGTGACCCGGACCCGGATAAGTGGAAGAAAACGGCGAATTACATAAGACGGTCTGTCCACTTCAGGTTATTTTCCTATAACTTTACAAACAATATTACAACCACATAAAAGGAATCAAACAAACAAAAGCAAAGTCTGCGTCCGCATCAGAATGTATGCATATTACAAAACACTACTCGTCAGCTCCGTATTTTGTAATTATACTTTATTTAAACTATGTTTTAAACTGAAATATGTTTGTGCAGCCCTTTAAATTACTCTGTAAGAAGTTCCACATTTCCACATTCAGTGTATTACTGGCACTGAGGTGGAAAAAGAGGCATTACGCAAAAAGATACTCCTTTTTTAATACAATTATACAACTCATGGGTCAGCACTGGTATAAGTTGAGTATCAAATTTGGCATCCACAAATATTTAAAGCCTGTAGTCTTTTTCCATGATTTAATTCAAAGTTGAAACAAATGTTTTTCCCTCCTCGAAGGCAAATCTAAAGGAGAGACTTACCTGTGTCTTGACTAGGACTGGGTGATTATATGATCGGGATTAATGATAAATTTCAGTCCGATCATGGTGATCACCTGTGAGCTTATTTATTCGATCAAACATGGCGAAAAAGTGCATCACAACAGCCAATCAGAGCCGAGCTGCTGGACAAGTTAACAGAGTAACCTAAAGTGGAGCTGAGGGCAGTGAAATAGATGTCAGCTATGACTTTGAGTCATCCTCCAAAGATGTTAGTTTAAAGTACAGATGCTGGCAGTTAAAAGAAATCGTGATAATAATCGAGATCGGACGACACGACAAAATATATCGTGATAATCTCTTTGGCCAAATCGCCCAGTCCTAGTCTTGACAGAAACACTTCGACATTTGGTGACGCCCTACCTTGCATATTGGTGCTCCCTCTTTCAGAGGCCACAGCCTGTGGGTGCTGTGGAGAGTCACGCACTCCACGCACACTGGCTCCTCGTCTTTTTCACAGTAGAGCTCCAGAGGTCTCAGGTGAATGTTGCAGGTGTTCTGTCTGGTAGGTGTTTCTCTCGGGCGCCACTCTGGATATTTGAGGAAGCTTTCACATGCGTCTCCGAGCGCACGGTTGGGGATATCCTGGCCGTCGCGAAACACCGTCCTGCACACTGGACAGCCTCGATTATACCGCATACTTTGCGTAAGACAATTCTTACAGAAGCTATGAGAGCAAGGTAGTAACACGGGGTCCCGAAAGATGCCCTGACACACGGGGCAGGTTAATTCCTGCCGGAGAGGTACAGGCTCCTCTTCCATGTCTTCATCCATACTGTCCGCCATGACTCTCTGGGCCCTCTTAACTTTACTTTCGCTTTTTACCAAACTCGTCGACGACGTTTCAACACGAAGCTACACGTTTTCACTTGAATCGAGCTGATATTTCGAGGCTTTCCTAATCAGTTTAGCTTACCAAAAAGGGAAACAAAAACAGAATACCAACGATTTTAACAGCTGAAGCGGACGACAGCGAACACAAACTTCGCAGTACTTCCGCGTCGTCGTCTTCTTCTTTGAGCTCTTCGACCGAAAGTCCGACTGGTTAAAACGGTTTGCTGTTTATTTAAATGTCTTACGCATACACTAGTCAAAATGAGAAATACGAAGTTTTCCTCAGTATCTTGCTACGTGACTCACTACTCCTCCGTGTTTTAGTGGCAGGAAACTGAGTGACAACCCCACCTCCAACAGTTTCCATCAAACCACACCGCCCTCTAGTGGACAGAGAGTTTTCTTCTACAACAGCCGAGTAAACACGTCAAGATAACGCGATAATAATTACTTACTATAGAAAAATAACTTTCAAGGAGAGCAAGTAAGTTCAGCTTGCCAGATTCATCGCTTCTGCTCTGGAGTCAGTAGACGGGTTAGAAGTAGGGGAGAGTGGGGTAAGTTGAGCCAAAAGGTAAGTTGATCCACCCCCTGTTTCTTGGAAATGGTCAAATAAATTGATCATGTGACCAAATATTTAGGAGATGGGCATCAATTCATGGAGTCTGTGAAGGTTAGAAGCACATGAGTGAAGGGGTTAGACATTTATTTAAAAAAAAAAAAAAATCACTTTTGAAAGTGAATTTAGTTTGTCAAAAAAATTATTAGAATTTTGTTCAGACCAAAAAAGATCATTTTAAATTTGTTTCATACATCAACTGTGGTATCTATGAGCTACAACATGAACATAAAAGTCCACCATTTAAGCTAAGAGGACTGATAAAGTCGTAATAGTAATTCTGGGGTAAATTGAGCCATTTGGCCAGGGGCAGATCACTGAGAAAGTAAAGTAGTCTGATGAGAGGATCAGAGTTTCAGTTCAGATTGTTGAAATGTGTTAAAAAATACAGCTGTGAATGTTCTGAATCACTTAAAGACATTTTCATTTTAAAATGGCTTTTTACAAAACAGCTTTTTAGCAGTTATATGCAATAATAATAAAAAGAATTGTTGAACCAGCTGAATAGCGTATAATATAATAGATAAAAATACAAATGAATGTGAAGAAGTGAGGTAGTAGGGATACGGCTCAACTTACCCTGCTCCTAATGTCAAGTTAGCCCTTACACGGGGTAAGCTGACCATAGGAGACCACTCTTTTGCCATGCTATATTATCAAGACAGTTTACACTCATTCTGTTGGTTTGCAGGGATGCACAACATCTTGAAATATATGCAGATACACTAGTTAGAGACAAAACTATGATTAACTTGATGTAGTGATCCGAAAAATGGCTCATCTTACCCCACTTATTGTTATATAGACTTTTCTAGGAATACTATCACAGTTACCAACTAAATCAAGTTTTTATTAGAGAATGGCTTTTTCTGCATTACAAATCTAATGGAGCTTTGGATCACTTTGAAAGAATTACAGGAAGATGGTTAAAAAATAAGCTAACACTGAAACTCAGTTCAAAACACATAAACATCAAAAGTCCTGTCTGCGGGGAGAGCCCTCTTGTCAGAAATGAGTAGATGGCCTGTTAGTAAGAGTTATATTACTATTCAAGTAGCGTACCCCAGCTAAATTTGATGAAACTTGTCTCAGCTGATCAGTAAACAGACAGGTGTTTTCCATTTCTTATCTTTTTTTAATGTGCACCAATTTTATCTTAATGAAAAATACGTTTTTATTAAGCTAGATTTTCATTAAATGTTTGTTCTGTAGAATGTCTTTTCTTTAAAAGCATACATATACATATTCAATCACTTTATTGACTTCTTCCCTCATCTCTGCTCAGCCTGTTGCAGTTGTTTATTCGGGGAAGCTCCCTGTGTGTTTCATGGCACAGATCCAGCAGGTGGAGCCACATGCACAATATTAGATAGGCCAAGAAGTGGTGCATCGACACATGCGGTCATCTGCTCAGGCGCTGATATAACACTGTCGGCCACATTTAAGCTCAAAATACCATGTGTGCTTTTGGTGTTCCTGTACTTTAAAGGCTCTTCAAAGTACTTCAAACTGAAACCATAAAGAGATCAAAGTAGCAGTAGTTGAATGTCGACACTGATGGTGGTTTTTTGTTATGTTCAAAAAGAGCTGGGCTTTTTTTCAGTAACTCTTGTCTTCTGGATTGTATTTTATTATATATATGCTTTAGCTAATCTATTTTTATTTCTCTGCCCATTTTTACTTTAGTGTGTTATTTGGCTTTGAGAATTGAATAACCACATTAGTTGTAGACTTAGATTTCTCTTTAAAAATGACTGAAATATAAACAGGTCTTTTTATTCATGAGGATTACTAGCCTATATATACTATACATGATGTACATGAATGTCATTTAGGTTAAAGTAGGCCTGCAACAACCTGTAAATTTCTACATTTTACATGCAAATTTTCAAGTGTGTGTGTGTGTGTGTGTATGTGTGTGTAGGAAGTAGGGGGGAAGTAGGGGGGAGGGGTGCCAATGCGGAATCAAGCCTATAATCATGAAGTCAGACTCATTCACGGTTTGACAATTTCATTCAGAGAGCATACATACAGACCGGAACGGAAAGATTTCAGACAAGGACTGGAAAAAAAAAAATCATGTGAACCTCTCGAAACCAACAAGACATGTGTCAAATGTCAACAGCACTTAGAAACGTGTTATGTTTTGTTTTCACAGAAAAAGTAATGAGTTTCTTCAGCAGACACATATTTCTTTGAAAGCTGTAAGTGAAACCTAAGCACTTACTGCTTTATACAAAACTGCATCTTGCAAAAAAATTGAAATAAAATTAATAAATACAAAATCATGGAAAGTGAATGTAAAATTATCTCAGGTTTTGTGATGTAGGTAGCAATCAGATGGAGAGACAGAAAGAGTTTGATTAAAAAAAATTAATTGCTCCTCATAGCAACACAGTTATACTTTTTCTTTTCTTTTTTTTCTTATGTAGCAGTTTGGTAGGCTTCCAATCTCCTTTAAAGTTAAAATATAGTTTGCTTTTTTTCTAGCACTGTAACTCCAAACGTTACATAAAATTTCATTTTTTTAAATAATCAGTGTTATAAAGCATCAAGTGACAATTTTTTAAAATACTTTGTTCAGTGTAAATTAGGATTTTCATTTAGTAGCAAAGTGATATTTACCTTTTTTATTATTTTTATTTTTTTAAAGGTTTAACATATTTCTGAAAAAGCACAGTAGTGTGAAGCAAAGTAGTGCCAAATATCACTAGGTGTCATATTCTATATTGGGCTTTTTTGTTGTTGTTATTGCAAAGTGATGCATTTTTTTTTCTTTTAAGCATACAGCATTACGGTGAATGTCACAAAATTGGTTTGATACATAGAGATGAGATGAGTTTTTCATTTGCATTATCTAAATGGCTTAAAGAGAGCAAGAAAACATTTTGAATGACCTCGTTGCTATGTCAGCAAGATTTACATGGCACATCTTTTTCATCATTTTGTTCAAGAGGGCAGAACAAGTTGAAAACCGCTAGTTTGCATTCACAGCAGTCAAACCAATCATATGTGCAAGACTGAAACTGTTAATAATAGATAAAAAGGGCTCAGCTGTCTTCGGTGTTATAGACCAAGTGGCACACTAACCTTTAGTTTTGTAAAACCAACCACTAAGTGAAACCGACATCTACAAAAGGAAGGAAAGGTTTTAAACCAAGCAGGAGGCAAATATCACGCTGAAGGTTAACGTTATGTTCCTTGTAGATAGGGGGATAGGGGGAGTGACAATAAAAAACAGTAAACCTCTGGAAAAGATGGAGGAAGCAAAGTATTAAACAGGGAAGGGAACAGGGAAGTTAGTCATTTTCAATAAATCTAAATAATGTTTACTATAATTACAACAATAACAGAGAAAAACACCCTCATTCTGACAAAGGAATCGTTTTTGACAGATTCTAGAACTGTTGTGTGTCTACCTGATCAACACTGAATGCCAATGAGAGACGACCGAAACTAAAGGAAATGGTTTTCAAAATACTGCTACAGCCAAGTATCTATTACCAGCAGCTTCCTGCATGCTGGTGCTCTGTGGCACACAGAGGTGCTCTTTTAACCTTTTTTGTCTTTACACCTCAAACAGCCTGACAATGCCACTGCATCTACCACTGAAAACAAGATAAGATTGTGGATTCTCTGAACAAGACCCACAAGCAACTATGTATTCAACTTTACACCACTTAACCAGATCTTGCAGATAGGAAACTTCATCCACCTAAGCTCAACCACCTGCTGCTGCAGTGAAGCTGAGAGAAGGGCCTGGAGGAAGCATATGAGCTAGAGGGAGAAAACACCACAACAGACATTCCACACTACCATAATCAGACCTCAATCAAAATCAAAACTTGTGAAGATGTTTTAAACAGAAGCTTTAAGTAAACTTACATCCACATGTAGCGTGAGAAACGAGAAACGAGAGTCAAAAGCAGATACAATTACAACGCCGTCTACATTTACATTTGTACATCTGTAAAGCCTAAAAAGACTTTTAATACTGCTCTTGTTTATCCACATTTCCTGTCTGTCTTCAGCTATCCTATCCAATAAAGGCCCCCAAAAATGTAACTTTAAAAGATTGATAAAGTTAGAGAGCTGAGAGAGACATTTGATGTTAAAATATGACTTCCAATCCAACTAAAGAGAGACATACTTCACAGAGGAAGGTACAAATGTGCTACCATCTTCCGACATGAGGTGCAGCACATGAAACCTCACCACAATCCTCAAAGCAGACTGCATCGCAGTCAATTTGTGTGTCTCAGTGGTTTCTATAGGTGGAGGGGCGTTGTTGTGTGTGCCTAGCCTCCCAAGTAGTCAGTAAAATAAATAACACTTGGCTGCTGAAAGAAAATAATTGCTAAAAATATTAAATAACCAAACAGAATAAAAACACAGATAACCTAATTGATTAAAGGAAAATGACTCAAGTAAACCAGCTCATAAACAACCTTTAAACAAATGGACAAATACAGAAATCACCCTGCAGTACACATTTAAATCAAATCAAGCTCAAAAAGTAGACAGTTTCTTAATTTCTTTCTGCATTTCTATCTATCCCCTCTCTAAACCCAATAACAGGTGGCAGATGACTCTCTTACATTAGTCTTGTTCTGCTCAAGGTTTCTACCTTTTGAAAGGAAGGTTTTCCTCTCCTCTGTAACTTGCGTACCGCTGCAAAGTGTTACACTAGTATGGCTGCGCTGCTTTGCTTGCTTTAATGTTTCTTTTTATCATTTTCTGTACTTTCTTACGAAAACATTTGAATAGAAAAAAATGAATAAAATGAAATAAAAGGGGAATGGAAAAAGATTTTAAGGGGAAAAAAAGCATAACAGTGAGTTAGAAGATGCAAAACAGCAGCGCTTTAGCTGAGCGTCAGCCACTGTAAGGTTTCACAGAACATATTTGAGCAAAACTTATGGACCCATTCGCTAGGACAGCAAAAAAATAAACATGTGGCATTTTGGGGCACGAGGACTTTTATAAGGCCTGATTTGGAAGTTGGTGAAATAGGGGTTTGGTCAATTGCCTGTCATTTGTAAGGTTATGTCATGTTGTCATGTCAGATGACTGGGTGCTATTCACACTACACAAAATGGTTACCATCACTATGGAAAAAAAACCTAGGCATCAAAACCAGCATAAGGACATACTTTTTTAGATGTTGTTTCAGTTCCCCAAGTCATGTGTTGCCATAGCTTCAGAATAAACAGAACCTTCGTCTAGGAGCTCTCTGACAACAAGACCTTCATGAGAATTGACTTTTACTTTCTTGACTTTAAGGGGATTGTTCATGTACATATGTTTGTGGTTCAGACATGAGAAAAAGACAGTGAGGAAAAATGCCAACCATTGGATCAAAAGTCAACTTTAGTGGCTGTGTCTGAGACCACATTGTGGCTATGAACCATCCACATCCTTTCTGCCAGGTAACAACTCAGGCTCTCGTTTCTCCATCTTCAAAGTTGATGATCTGAGATGAAATGTTTCACATCACATCTTAAAGTTAAACTATGGCGTGCAATAAGACTCTATTTCATGTGATTCAACTAGTTTGCAGACTTAATTTTTTTTCTTGTTGTGGGTTGGAATTGTCAGATTTGCATCACTGTAGCAATGAGCCCTTCTAACCGCAAACTAATACCAAAAGTCAAAGGTGTGAAAAAACAGGAAAGGCCTACACGAACTTTTGCAGAGGAAGGGGAGCAGACAATCTAAAAAACCTCCATCACAGGTGTCATTTTTGCATGACAGGATGCATACACTCATGAGCAACTCAGAGAAAAAAATAAAGGTGTGATAGAGATCTTGAGGTTTGAGAAGAGGATATTTGCTATGTGAAATGATTGGTGAAAATGATTACCACAGAGATTTTACACTGATCTAATCTGTCTGGTAAGTTTTTACACTTTTTTGGACTTCCCCGCATGATTACCCTATCCAGTGGAAATCATAGAGACACATTTGTAACATACACTTCCATTCGCAAAATTAAATAGTTGCATATCAGCTGTTCTGCTGTGCAACTGTTAAAATCCATTTGTGCAGGCTTATAGTTTACTTCTTGGATATAATTGTCATCATCTTGCCCAAGAACTTGTTCTGTCTCCAACTCCTGATATCTGCAAACGCTTGGTGCACATGCACAAGGTAAACGACAGTAAACCACTGTGAACAAGAGCATGCAATATTTTATCAATACTATCAATCAGTTTGAATGTGTCATCAGATTGGATATAAAGCGAGTATATGTGACTGTGATCGGCTTGTGTAGCTGCTGTGTTGGTGTGTTAGCACCAAGGTTTCAGTAACCTCAAGTTCAAACCTCAGATTTTCCTGTAGACAGTCACTCAGGAGAATCAAAGTAAGGACATGACCTAAATAAATGAAATATTGTTTTTTGAATGAAAAACTCGAACCTGTATATTCACAAAGAAACTGTTGTGGTTTCTGTTATGTTTGTTTTTCCTGTGCATCACATCATGATCATAGATAACCTATTAACCAACTAATTTCTCAATGGACCAGCTAAGACGTTTAATTCAGTTTCTGATTGAATTACGAGCCACATTATTGCCCTGCAGATAGATTCTTGGTGCAGCAGTGTCACTAAAGTAGAGGCGGTGTAGGTGCTGTCTGCTTCAGCCTCAGCAGGGAATCTGTGGTTGGTGAACAATATAATCTTAATGCCCCACTGAGAGAATGTGATTACAGTTTTTCTCAGATCAGAATTAAAAATCTCAAAACTGTAAGTTCAACCTCCACGACATTTAGTCATTTGTGTACATCATAGTAGTAGTTTCTCTTTCCGTCCAACAAATTGCAAGTGCTTATGTACAAGCATCAACTGCTTTCATACAGTTCTTTTCAGTTTTGTAACATTATCGTTCTCATTTCACTGCTTGAGTCATTACATTACAGAAATGTTGAACTAGTTGTCATCAGACAAATTTTAAATATTTCTTTATCATTTTTTTTCCTGAAAATGTCTCCTAAATACACATTTTCTCCTCACCTATCACTGAGGAAGAGGGCAGTGTGAAGACGTAGTGTGTACCATTTCTACAATACTGTGACACGGAAATGGAAGGTCAGCGTGATGGGAGAGGGGTGAGGATGCTGGGAGGAAGGAAAGGGGACATTACAGGGGAAGAGGAAAAAGAAGCCGAGTACATAGACGGATTCATAATGAAATTACACCTACAGTTGTGGACCATGATACTTGTCACGTCCTCAGAATGGCTGAGGCTGGTTGAAGAGTGCTGACAAATGTCCGGAGAAACACTGTAAATTCAATTATTCAAACATTTGGTCAGGAGAACGGGTGAGTCTATTACACAGTAATTCAACTCTAAACAATCTGCACTGCACTACTGTCATTGTTTTAGACATGAAGCTCACAGTGAGACAAGAACTCGTCACTTTTTACATTTAGACTTACAGCTTCACTGCAGCACAGATTTACTGTATTGTAGTGTACAGAAGTATTACAGTAAAGATTTGTCACATTTACAGTCAGGTAATGTACTGCAGCATTTTACAAGTGGAAAGCACTGTTACTGTACACTAGAGTAATCTGGGTTAACACAGTTTATATCATGTTTACTGTAAATTACTGTAATTTTAATCTGCATCACACAGGATAAATATTCTGTGTTGTTCTCAGTTACCTCACTAAATACAGTGATGTGTAACTTTACTGCAGTTTTCATATGGCTGTGCAAAGAGTGTATAGTGCTGTTTTGAGCCTTTTTAAGTAGTGTCGCCAAGATCTGACCTTATATTTGAAAACACCTAAAGAGTAAACTGTCATAATGAAAACCTGACAAAGCCATTTGACTATCTTGTCCTTAAACAATAGTGTCAGGACTTTTAATCTTGATGACAATGACACTTTCACTGACATAAACACTTACTTTTGAGGAACAAAATGTCAATTTTCAGCAAGTTTGCAGGTTATCAACTAGGTTTTGCAGTTTGTACAATTTTTTGAGAGATGCACTGTTTCTAAATGTTAATAGTGATGTGAGAAATACACCAAAGCGACTAAGAAGACCTGTAATTCAGTCATCTATATTGAGTCACCTATACCGCTGAATCTCAAAGTTATCGAGCAGTTAATTCACAAAACATCTCATTAAACGGGTGATTATAGTTGGCCTCTTCTGTCGTCTACTCAAGGAAGTTGAGGGGCACTTCTGGAAAACAAAAGGGATCTGAAAGTCCTGCACCTGAAAGCAAAACTTCATGCTGCTGCTCCAGACCAGAATAAAAATAAGACCAGGTGTTCTTCTGAGGTTGTCTGTGTCCCCCCCAGTGACAGTGAACACACAATAAAGTCACTGCATACGGACACGACAAATTCATCAGAGGCATTTCTTTTAAATGCGAGTGACTTCTGTACCTGAAGGTAGAGAAAGCTCTGGTTTCAGAATGAATCAGTCGACACGGTTATCATGAGTCGATCTGGGAAGTGGAAAGCATGAAATGAACACATTATGACGAGAAAGCAAAGAATCATTACGCAGATCTGCTGTAAATTAGTCATGTGGAAGAATTCAGAAAGTATATATCAACACAAATACAGTGAAGCCACGCTTTCACAAACAAAGAAATGAATACGTTTTGGGAATTTCAAGTTTGTGGGTTTAAGTAAAAAAACTCTGCTAAGATTTGGACTGAGGAAATAACTGTTTACATCAACTGAAGTTGATTTTAAACAAAGATTGACCATTTTGGGGTAAATCTGGGAGACACGGTGGGAGAAGGCATCAAGAATCTTGTAGTTTAGAGGAGAATCTGAACAGGATCGTACTGTCATATTCTGTCGTTCTTGCACTCTTTATTGGCCTGTCAGCTTTGCTCTGAGCTAGACGCTGCTTGTCTCTTTGCATTTTTATACAAAAATATTGTACCTTTTGCAAGACTGATAGGATTGAAAGTTTGATAAAAGTGCACAATCCAGCAGAGGAATGTAAACAAATGTTAAACTAACTCAACTTTGCATTGATATAGATCAGCGAAGTGTAGATCTGGTATTTAAAGGGACCCACACCTAAGTAAAACATATTTCAGTACAGAGGGGTTATGGAAAATTTTGAAACTAGATTTTTAAAGAAATTCAAACAGGAAGTCATAACCATACAAAGTTTTTTGGGGGCCAGAAATGATATTTCTCCTAAAAAAGAAACTTGCACGATTGCTCTTCCTACTTCCTCTGTGGTATATTCAAAGACAGCTGTGGCTTCTGCTCATTTCTGCTCTATCTGCTCAAAACCCTTCACACCGAGGATACATCACCAGAGGACTGCAACTAACTAAGTAAGTAGTTACTATAAGATAGTGTTCATTTTCTATAATGCATTTCTTTTAAGTTGGTTGCTCACAGACTGAGAATATTAGACAAATCAAAAAAATCAGGAACTGCACCTTTTTTTTTAGACAAAGAGAGACATGGGCACGGGCACACACAGAGACGGGGGCAGCTTTACTCACTGTTCCTGTGCAGAAACCACTTTTTATTTTCAACTTACTGCTAAACAGTGCTGTAAAATAGATAAGTGCAAAAACTCCTGCTCTTTCAGAATCTACGCCTGTACACATTTAGTTACAATTATGTAAAAAAGGACAAAATAGTCACTAGGAAGTTTTTGTTCTTTTTTCACCATGTGCCTCACTCACTGGGGGAAACTTGCTCCTGTATTTAGCAGCATTTACATCATTTATACACGAGTTAACAGAAATCAACCATGACAGGTTTGGGAGTTTAAGATATAAAACAGGACTTTGAAAATTTCCAGAGTAACAAAGGAGAGGGGAACATCACAACTGGTCTTGCTACCTCAAATCTCAGAACCCACCGGTTCTGTTTGACAGCAACAAGTTACTTCCCGAGCCTTTCGCTGCACACAACAGTAAGAAACGCATGATTTTCTGTCCAGACCTCCTTTCCCCAATCCAAGCATTGGAAATTGGCAAATTACAACATCACATATGACTATAGGGCAAGTTTATCAATATTTAAGGTTAGCTCACATTTATTTTCTATTATTTACATATTTCAGCTGGTCTGCAAAACACTGTAGCTGCTCTTATGCGTCTTCAGCCTCCTGTTTCCTCTCTTGTGTATTTTCTGTACTTTAAAGTGTGAGCATGTGCTATGTTCAGTCTTTGTTCAGTATGTTCTCACACCTTCAGCTCTGTCGGGGACCACAATGTCCTACACTGTTATGTGGTCGAACATCGACGGTTCACTGTGTGTGCTACTCATCAAAAACAAAGCAACACTACGAGGATTATGACACTGTTAACTATGTGTGAAAGTTTAAATGGTTTAAAGGCTTTCGAAGTGTATGATGAAAGGGCAAAGGATAACTTCTGTGGCAAGTAACAGGTTAATTTGCTTTAAAAGGTTTGCTTTCAGAGGAAGTGTCTTAAGGCTCCTTATCTGACAAAACTGCACAGCCTTCCTTAGATATGTCATTCAATATCTTTTCTTTATCTGAATGCACAAAGAGGAAATCATGATGAACCATGCAAACAGGAAGACAACTAAAATCATAACAATCTCAGTCTCATTTCTCCGTTTTACAGTTTTAACAGGACAAAAAAAAATAACATTTTAAGTTTAATGTTTAAAAGGATAGATAGATAGATAGATAGATAGATAGATAGATAGATAGATAGATAGATAGATAGATAGATAGATAGATACATACATAGATACATAGATACATAGATACATAGATACATAGGAAAAGTCAAAGGTGAACAGCACCACCTTGTGGTTGAAAGAGGGCACACAGGACAATCATTGAACTTAATTCAAGGTGATCATTTTTTAAATTTTCTCCTGTTTCTATTTCATTTGGACATATTTATTTAATTTCAGTTAGGACTGAACCCAGTTTTAAAAAATATATATATTTGTTTTTTAAATTGATTTTTTGGTTCAAACACTTCAGTTTCAGTCAGGAGATTTGTTGGTTCCAGTCATAGCTCCAGTTTTTTAAAATATGGGATACTTGAAAGAGTATTGTGTAAAAATAATATATTAGTTTGTTAATGTTAATGATGAACAACCACAAGTTGTCCACAATAAACAGACTACAGCTGATGTGTTTAAGTCAATATGCTTTTTTAATAAATAGTCCCCAAGTTGGTTCTCCCTCCTGCCATTAGTTTTTCTTTATTTCTTTATTTATTTTTAGATATTTATTCATAATCTGTTTTTATCATATCATATGTGTGTGTGACTGATTCTTGTGAGCAGTTGACCACTCTTGAATTTCCTTCGGGATTAATAAAGTACATCTATCTATCTATCTATCTAACTTGTTATATAATCATTAAAGTCAGTTTTGAAACACTCAGCACAGTTTCGGGGTGCCTCTTTCTGTGTAAATCCTTTTTATTTTAATCTTAGTTGATGAAATTTGTATTTATGGAGGGTATTTTGACAGTTTTGTCAGCTATGAAATTGATTAACACAAATTTCCTCTTCTTTTTCTGCAGAGCTCACTCATGTCTGACGCATATACCTTCACTGCAGCTGAGCTCATGGAAGGCCTAGATGACCTATACGACAACACCTCTTACCCAGACGACGACTGTGGTCTGGAGGATGTATGTCAGGGGGATGTCTGTCCACTAAATGAGGGCATGCAATTTGAAGCGGTGTTCATCCCGGTTCTGTACTCGGTTGCCTTCATTGTGGGTGTGCTGGGAAATGGAGTGTTGCTGGGAGTACTGGCTCGGAGCAGGAAGAGCTGGAGTGTGACAGACAACTTCATCCTCCACTTGGGCGTGGCAGACATCCTGTTGCTACTGACGCTGCCCTTCCAAGCCACACAGGCCGCTCAAGATGAAGGATGGACCTTTGGGACCCCTTTCTGCAAGATTACAGGAACTGTTTTTACGGTGAGAGATTTTTTGGGTTGGAAAAACCAAAGAAGTTCATCCTGAATAACAGTGTGATCAAAAATGTGCATGTGTCAACCAGAGTATATTCTGGGGGTGTATAAATTATGGTCCCTACTGGATCTGTAGCACTGTAGATAACCGATATAATATTTTAGGTAGTATAAGTTGAGGTTCATGGTAGTTAATATTCACTTTTCATATTTTTTGCCTTATGTCTTTGTGGCTATAGATCAATTTCTACTGTGCCATCTTCCTCCTGGCCTGCATCAGTCTGGACCGGTACCTCTCCATCGTCCATGCCGCCCAGATGTACTCCAGCAAGAAGTCTTGGGTTGTCCACGTCAGCTGTTTGGCAGTGTGGCTCTTCTCCCTGCTCCTCTCCATCCCTGACTGGTACTTTTTAGAGGCTGTGGGGGATCCCTTAAGAAACATCAAAACGAAGTGTGTTCGCAACTACTTTGCCTCTCATGTGTCGGTGGATAACTGGCGGCTGGGATCGAGGCTGCTCTACCACATCGTGGGCTTCCTCCTGCCTTCAGCTGTCCTGGTCTTTTGCTACTCCTGCATCCTGCGGCGGCTGCAGTGTGGTTCACAGGGCCTCCAAAAGCAGAAAGCTTTCAGGGTCATCATGGCTGTAGTGGTGGTGTTCTTTCTCTGCTGGACGCCGTACAACATCACCCTCATGGTGGACACACTTCACTCTAACAAAGACTGTGGGATCAGAGAGTCGATGGAGAAAGCCATTATAGTCACGTCCTCTTTGGGTTACCTCCACTGCAGCCTCAATCCCATCCTGTATGCCTTTGTGGGCGTGAAGTTCAGACGTCAGCTCGTGGACATTTTAAGGTCTCTGGGCTGCAAGCTGAAGACAAGTGCCCAACTCAGATCGGCCAGCAGCAAAAGAAGCTCCTTTTGGTCAGAGTCGGGCAACACTTCAAATTCCATCGCCGTCTGATCAAAGAGAAACAGACAACTGATCAGAAGTGTATAAAAGAATTAGATGTTGACACCCATCCAGAAAAAAATCAAATCCAGAAATGCATGAAAACTGTATTATTTACATGGCCTGCAGGGTAGGACTCTTCTGGTTCATAAAGGATCCTTTCATAACCATGGTACGCTTTGGGTGTGGCTACTTGAGACTGAGAGGTTTCTTCCTTAAAATCCAAATTTTTCCAACATTCAGTTGTACAAAAAGAAGCTCTAGTGAGTCTTGATTTCAGGATGTTCAAGGTCTATTTTCTGCAGTCAAATGTAACCTCTGAACTGACACTTTTGCAGGCAATAGATAAAGGTTGAGTGCTGCTGGCCCATCCCACCAATTTAAAGCTTGATCCATAATGGCAACTGGACTTGGTTGGATTTTAAAAGACATTTCACCGCTTGTCTGAAAGATTTCTTCAGCTTTAAGGCAACTGTTGGACATGAGCCTCTTTGGGTTTTATATGCAAATGGTCATATGAGAGCACCGTTAAAGTTTTACACCCACTGACTGTACATAAAGTCCACACACTTGATCAAACTTCAAACGGAAATGAAGACAGAGACATCCCCCTGTTCAGATTAGCCCACTCTTTGTAATTTACTTTGTTTTATTTTAGACTGTGTTTGCCTTCATCTCATTGTTTTATTGTCGTGTTTTTATCCGTAAAGTGACCTTGAGTTGTTAGAAAGGCACTTATAAATAACGTGTTATCATTATTATTATTAAAGACGTGTATATAATGTGTGTATATCCTGTGTTTTACTGTTAAAGGCATTACTTTCATATCATTTCCTTAGGTCCGCATTATACTGGCAGCTAAACAAGATCATGACCACTAGTTGCAAGGAAATAATTTTGTGGTCACACATGTGTGCTTGTGGCAACAATCTATTTTACTCATCAGAGCAGAAATGTCACAGTTCCTCTCTCTCGCTCTCTCTGTCTCTAAATATGTGCATATATGTACACTGCAGTATGTATCACTGCTGAAGCTTTTTTCTGATTATTTTTGTAAATGAAAATAAAAAATGACAAACCTGAATTTACAGTGTAATGCATCAGTTTCTTTGTATGGTGTTTTTAAACAATACTTTGTTTAATAAAATCTTTATATTTTTCAATCATAAACCAGTATGTTTTGTGTTGAACACAGCTGATAATACACTTCCTGACATTGAAGTCTGGATTTTTGGGAAGACACTTGCACAAGAAGAACACGATTTATTTTTGGGGGGAAATATTTCGTTAAATGCCCATTTTAAAAGCAGCAGAAAAACCCCTGAATAATTAATGTCTTCCCTTTTTACGTGCTTCCTTTTTTTAATGACTTTAGTCTCCTTGAATGATACTTCCTCTTTGGGCAAACCAACACGTCAGATTTAGAAGGAGTTTACGCCCTGCTTGCATTTCTTAAAAAAAGAAACCTATTATTATCTTTATTGGCAGCAATTGAAAACTGTATTGGTGTGCATTTTTCTACCCAGTGAGAAGAAAAGTTAAGTCGTGTGTCAAATATACTCAGTGATTGTGTGACTCAGAATCCGAGAAACCTCGACTTGAGTTTAAAAGTTATTGTGCAACATCTTTTTCCTTTTTCCTCTTTATCTTCGCAACAAGCATCTCATTGAATCTGCGTCACGTAGGCTGTAGATCTGAGACTTTCTACCTGTTATAATTAGAATATGGTGATTACAAAGATAATTTACCACAGACACATAAAAACCAATGACCGGGGTTAGAGATCTGTTTTAACAGGAAAGTGAAACAGAGTGACACAAATGATACTGCATGTCTTCATCTTCATGCACGGGGGTTCAGCTGGAGTTTACAAGAAACTGATGAGCAAAGAAAGATGTGACTTGTGGTGGACACATTAAAACCGACCAGTATGCTCGACATGAGAAAATAACCACCACAGGTAAGCCTTATCGTAAACAATTCACACTTATCATGAAAGTAACAAAAATTCAACCCCAGCAGGGTTTAATGTGTCAGCTCTTTTTTCTTGTGGAGGATGCAATAAGCTCTGTGTTTGTACTGATATCATGTTTGTTTCTCTTTTAATAAGCTCCCTTGTAACAGCTCGGATTCAGTAAACAAATCTGCTCAGGCTGATGCAGGAAATACCCCATTAAAGCAGTCCTGACAACTAAAAAAAGCTAATAATGTTGATGTATTGCAGCTGTTTCACTTAATCAGCACTTCTTGTAAATCCACGTGAGTTTGGTTGAGATGGGAAAACGGAAATCCAGATCGTCTGAGAATAAGGGGAAGGATGTCTTTTCTTGTGTCAAAAAACCCCATACTGGACTTTTGAAAAAAGAAAAAAAAAGACACCACCAAGTTATGAAAATACACTTTATTTCAGGCCTCAGAATGTGTGTCTTGGAAATATGTTCCCATTTCACTGCAGGCCATAATCTGTGAAACAGCTTGCAGATGAAACCACAGATTTACCGCTCCAAGCAGATAGAGATTTTCTTTCTTTAAAATTTCTGTCCTTCTTGACTCTTACACTCTTTTTCCATCTATTTTCCTCACAGACGATGTGTGGCACAGCTCCGCCTCTGTCTCACTGAACAAACACGACTTTGGCTGGCAGTAAACAAACAGAGAGCTTTTCTTCCCCTCCTCCTCCTCCTCCTCTTTGCTGCTCAGCTGATCATGATATCACCCACTGTTTGTGTCATCCTGAAGTCATTCAGTCCACACACACACACACACACAGGTATGTTGTAACAATGACACAAAAAACCCACAAAGGCAGGAGGGGAAATCCCCTGAAAATACCTAAGGTCATTCACAGATATCCACATGTTCCCTGTGTGGATTTTACACATGATCTGCCTGAAGTTACCCTGGAGACAGAAAAGTGAAACGGCTCTGATATGTCATTAGCAGTCAAGTAAAACACACCACAGAGGCGAACCCTTTAAAACATTATAAAATGAGCTTAATGATTGTGTGAAGAGTTAAAAACTGTTTACTCAAAAACAGATTTGTCTTTAGATATAAAAATAATGTCATAAATTCAACAATTATAATATATAAAATACAAAAAAATATATCTGTAAGTGATTGAATAGCTAATGATTTAGAGTGTCAGAGTACAGTTGTGCAATAGTGATTGAGAAATCCGAGTTCACATCAAATCTGAGTTCAGGAACCTCAATGTCGAAGGGAGTACTTCTTATAAATATGTATTTCTCATCACAAGACCAAATATAGTTCTCCACCTCCTGAACCCATGACATGACTTCCCCTCAGGAGGAGAGCATCGGTGTGATCACCTCTGAGTCACAGGAGGGGACTTTGTCCATTTATCAGCACTGTGCTGACTGAACCTGATGATCCGTCATCGTCGTCATCATTTGTTTCAGCTCTTCTCTCTCATTGTGATTCTGTTCAGGCGGGGCCTCCTTGCCCACACCCAACTCCCACAGCGAGCCCTCCTGTTCAACTTCCCCACATCCCAACAAGGTCAGCGCTCGTTTTCTGAACTTTCCACACAGGCCGAAGTAGAGAAGAGGCCTGAGGCAGGCATGAATGCAGCCAAGAACTTTTGTGGCCATCAGAGCGGTTTCCAGGGATTCATGTCCAGGTTGAAGCACACCAAGTTCTCTGGAGCTGTCTCTGATGGTGTCCACAATGAGTGTGATGTTGTATGGCATCCAGCAGAGAAGAAAGGCCACCACCAGGGGCAGGATGATCTTGAAGAAGGCTCTTTGGGTCCGCAAGACTTCAGAGCTACGCTGTAGCCGCAGCAGGATACAGGAGCAGGAGATGAAGAGGATCGCTGTGGGCAGCAGGAAGCCCAGTATGTGGTGGGGCAGACGATAAACCAGTTTTTGATCTGTCCCAAAGTAAGAGTAGTTATGGACACACTGGGTTTTCTCTTGCTTTGAGTGTTTTGCAGCCACCATGAAAACCCAGTCAGGGATTGTGAGAATTAGGGGGATGACCCAGACAAACAGGCAGGTGAGGGGGACTAACTTGGGCTTTTCCTGGAAGTATGACTGGATCCCATGAATAATGGACAGGTAGCGATCCAGACAGGCGCAACTCAGCAGAAAGATCCCGCAGTAGAAGTTGATCTACAAAAAAGAGAGGGAGAAAAACTCAAGTTGTGGTCTAAAGAATTCCAACAATTTTTCATCACTTTCACTTTTCCTCTGCTTTAGTCCTCTCCCATCGCTCTCTTCCCGGAAAATATGTTGCTCAATAACAGCGTTTAGTACGACAACTCTTGCCTGCCAAGAATCCTGATTAAACAGGAATTTAAGGTCTGAAGCCAAAAAGAGTCCACCCAGATAGTTATCTCACAGCTTCACTGAGAAGCTCTTCCTTTTACTTTCTAATCCAAGTCTGGTTCTGTGTTCTGTCTGCATTTTTTTTCCCATTTGAACTGTTTACCTCGCCTTTGTAACGCTGCACTACTGCCTTATGGTCATGTTTATAGACTGTTTTTATTCATCCTTTATTTAGTGTAAATATTGTTACAGAATTTGTAGAATGTGTTTCAAAGGTGCTGCATCTATCTATCTATCTATCTATCTATCTATCTATCTGGTACTTACATTAAAAAGTGCTCCGCTCAACTTGCAGAGAAAACCCCCAAAGCACCATCCATCGAGCAGAGCGGCCTGTGCAGCCCAGAAAGGAAGTGTCAGCAACAGGAGGACATCTGAGACACTCAGGTGAAGGATTAAGGTGTCTGACACACTCCAGGATCGCCTCTTCAGAAACAGAATGACCAGGAGGAGCCCATTCCCAAACAGACCTACAGCCACCGCCAAAGAGTACAGAACAGAAATGAAAACTGCTGTACCGCCTCCTGACTCGGGGTCCTCAGGGTCCTCTATATACACGTAGTCCTTGTAGTTATACGAGAAATTCTCAAATAGTCCATGAAGGTCCACTTCCATGCTCATCTACAGACAAGACAAAAAATCAAAAATAAATCAAAAAGGGAGCACTCAAAAGTGTTGCAGTTTCTTTCTAGGTGAGTGTATGTGGTCTCAACAAGCAGCCATGTGAGAGTGAGGTGTTGGGAAGTCCAGTGGAGCCTTTATAGACACCCTCATACTTGCACATACCTCACATGGTATGGTTTCACCGTATTAAGCAAGAGTGGAGTAAGAAACGGAAAACACAGTTCCTCATGATCATGCACACATACACACCCACTGCTTCTCACACCATGTATATGAGAAACCTTTACATGCACAGCAGCTGGTGAGATCGTGTCACTGTTTATGTGGGTGAAGTCGACACAGGTCTATGCAAACAAGCCACAAAACCAGAAGTACTGGTGCGAAATGAGAAATACAAATTAAATAAGCGTGATAACGACTATAGGAGCTCTTTTACCACGTGAGGAACATAAATATTAGACTTCATTTTTCACACTGCAACTATGTACGGCTCAAGCTAAAATAAAACAAAGACCAGACGAAAATAATTCATTTAAAAGGGTTTAAAACTTACCATAAAGGGTTTTTATGCAGGTAGAGATAACAGACTCTCAGTGTTGGTGTGTTTTGGTCTCAAATCCAGAGCAAACCCACAGACTCCTTCGCAGTTTCACAGGGGAAAACACGTCCCTGCGTGTTTTTGGACGGAGGCCAGTGAAGCTCCTGCAGCTGACGAGGGCCGTCAAACCAGAACAATAAACGAGTCAAAACACCCTAAACTCACCAACACTTCACGAACGACGAGACCCCACATAAACAGAGAAGATTATTCATATCTAATTTGGATCCGAGTGAAGCTGATACAATAAAACAGCCGGACGAGAAAGGAAACTAAAGATTACTCGACATATAAAGTTTTTCGACGAGTTAAGTTTTACTAAGCGTACAGACCTCCATGTAACACGGTTTAGTTTTAACACGGTATTAATCTGACCTTTTACAGAGAGAGACAGAACTTGCATACCCTACACATCACCAATTTGACCACCAACCAACTTCACAGAGGGTAATCAAGTCTCCTGCTACTTTCCCTTCAAAATAAAATTCACGATTAAATCCAGAACAGCCTCTCACAATAAATTCCAGAAAAAGTGGCTAAAAAATTCAACATGTCTATTCGACGATCTAGTAGAAAGAATATATAAGGTAAAAATGACACATTACTGACAGTCAAAACGGTTAATGTGGGGGACAGGTGATTTATTTTGAAGGCCAAATTATCTAGCTTCCGTTTTCCCGCGTTCTTTGCCTCACTTGACGCAACTATGTAACAACAGAGACAGACACAAAGCAGTCACTCAAAGAAAGCACCGCAAAAAGGGCGCTTTCCACTAGATGACACTATTGTGCTGTTTACAAACTTTCATAATAAGGAAAAGACTCAACCAGACCGGCAGGGGAGTGGAGATACGGAAGAATAGAAGGGTTAATGTGCTTGAAGTAGGTCAGAGCTGAGCTTTAACTGCGGAGGAAAGGTAGAAGTAGTATTTATTTATTTGGGTCCCCATAAGTCCAAACAGGAGAATTATAAAAGATGTTGATATCATAAAACAAGAATTATGATGACATTACATTTCCAGTTACAATAGACACCAATAAAGGCCAAGATAAATGTACCAGTCTTCAAAATCCCATCGGCATGTATTGTTTGTTGTCACAGTCTAGTTAAGGTGTTGTGTTTCTTAATTCAGTGAGTCTGGGTCATTAGATATTGGTGTACCTTTTTTCTGTTTGTTTATTTGACAGGGACAGTACATCTGGCATTGTTGTATCAAATCAAAAAGCAACTGATGCTGTTTATACAGGACTTCTAGACGTGGCTAATTTGCTGTCCTTGTCCCTGGTTAGACAGCAGGAAATACAGCACATTGTACATAAACCACCAAATAAAAACTAACATTATAGCAGGTGCAGACAGGCAATAATATGTTTGCATAGAAACAACAAGAAAGCAGACAAACTAGCAGTTTCTTCTATGCACAAAAACATAAATGTTAGTGTTCACAGATTTGTCTTTGTTTCAACCATAGTTTTGTTTTGATATTGAAGGCTTTGGGGTCCTTTCATGTTTTTATTTTTAATGGTAATTTATATCTTCTTTTTAAACACATGTTTCCTGGTTAACCTTGTAATGACAGAAGGTCGACTATTCCATATTTTCATACCTTTGAACATGACAGTACGCTGTCCAGAGCTAGTATTGGTGAGTGTAAGTGTGAAAAAAACCATTTGATACATGCCTTGTGTTGAAAATATGACCATTACAACTGAGCAGCAACTGATTAAACAAAACATTTGTAGTAGTAGTAGTAGTAATAGTATCAGTTTTACACACTGAAACTAACAGTGAGGCCTCTTTATGACTTCTACAAAGCACATAAGACCTACAGCAATGAACCCTTCTGAAGAAACTGCTCATAAAGTTAGAATGTCCAGGAAAAAGTTCATTATTTTATCTAAAGGATTTGATAACAAAAAGTTAAACTTATATATTCTTGATTCATCAAACACTAAGTGAAATATTGCAAGACTTTTTTGAATGTGAATCTTGATGATTTTGGCTTATAGCTCACAATAATAAAAACTTCATCTCAAAATATTAGAATATTATGTAAAAGTACATTTTTTGTCAGTTCTTTCAGTTTTATTTGAATGTATTGTAATGTTTTATGATGTTTTAATGTATTCTATTGTATTTGGTTTTGATCTTATTTCAATTTAAATCTTTTACTTTCTGTTCCCTATTCTATGTATATTGTACGGTGACTTTGAGTGCCTTGAAAAGGCGCTCTAACAAATAAAATGTACAATTTTCGTCTCTCTCACTCTAGTTCAGGATAAGCCACAAAAGGTCATTGTTGAACAGGCTGGCTGTTTGCATTTGTTTGTATTTTCAGATGAAGGTCAGTTTTGCATCTCATTTGAAAATCACAGGATAGGATTCAAGTTGCTTGAAGTCGCCGGATGACGCTTGGCTCAAGCAGTGTATCCCCCGGGTGAGCTAAGCTTGTTTTACGCCCACAGTCAAAATAGCCTAAGGCCTACCAGGAGTTTTTTGAGTATTTTACACCTCCATCTGCTATCCACAGAGCCTGCGATGTCGGAGGTGAATGAACTCAGGTAATTTCAAGGGTAGCTGACTGAGATACACTGCATGTGACTCTGCATGTGCTGTGCAGCAATCCATCAATGCATGCCTAAGTAGTGTCTTTTGACAAAATGTCCCATCTTGTTGACGTTTAACCGTCAGTGTATGTATGTAATGTATCATTCATTGCAAATATCTTATGTGGAAGTTGTAAATCAAGGCTTTTTCTTCTGCTGCTCAGTTGACATCTGCCCCCCTGTCCCAGTTTCAGGCATTCAAAATAACATGTAAACTTTTAATCTTGTCCTTGATGGTCTTGTTTGCTTTTGAATATTATGAAGAGGCATTTATATGAATTTCCAAGAAGCTTTGACTGAAAAGACGGCAAATGCTACTTATCTTCTGAAATAACACGCACACACATGCACACAATACAGTGATGCCTTGAACCTGATTTTAAAAAGTGTTTTTTTTTTTTTTTTTTAATAATTAATCAGCTCCAGTGTTCATTAGACATAAGATACAAGTGTTTTACTACCGTTCTTTCACTCAGATTTGATCTGATGTCGTTTTGGCACCTTTTCTCTAAATACAAAAAACCTGGTTTCTCTTTTACTTCTGCATCTGCAAATAAGTTGGCAGTTTTTCAAACTTAAATAGGGGAAGTATAAGTATTAACTGAGGAATCCTGTAAACTGTAAGTTAATTGGAAAACATGGGAAAGATTGAACTTACACTCTTTTATGTGAAAATGTAAACTCAGTTTTCATGTCAAAGAAAGAAAGAAATCCACAGAACTATCTTATCATCTAAGGGACTGTTCCTAACAATGAGAACTTGTATTTGTAATCCTAAATTGCTTGTGCCGACAATACTTTTGTCGAATCACTCGCACAGGGGTATTTTCTCCCATAAGCATAAACACACTGATCATTGCAGCACCCTTAAACTTCAATCTGTCACAATCCCAGTTGAAACAAATAAAGAGAGGACCTAAATGCAGGATGACAAAAAGGGTTTATCTGAAGAAATAACAAAATGAAAAGCAACAAAAACTTACTTAAATCCATCCATCCATTTTCTACCACTTATTCCCGGGGTCGCTGGAGCCTATCCCAGCATCTTCGGGCGAAGGCACGGGACACCCTGGACAAGTCGCCGGGACTGACATATAGAGACGAACAACCATCCACACTCACATTTACACCTGTGGGCAATTTGAAAGTGGCCAATGAGCCTAACCCCACTTCTGCATGATTTTGGGATGTGGGAGGAAACTGGAGTACCTGGAGTAAACCCACGCAGACACATGGAGAACATGCAAACTCCACACAGAAACATGTCTTCTGTTGGCAAAAACCAACAGAAGACACTGGAGACACACAGAGGCATCGACATACATTCACACACTACACAAAATGAACCAACAAAGAAACAGGGGAAGACAAGGACTATATATACACAGGGAAACGAGCAACGAGAGGCAGGTGAGATGCTAAGACACAGGTGCAGACAATCAGAGAGGAGGGAAAACTGAGGAAGTAAAACAAGACTAGAAACACAGGGAATAAGCTACTACAAAATAAAACAGGAAACACTGAAAAATGATAGAGATTAAAACAGTGAGAACATGAGGGAAACAGGGTCAGACACAAACTGAAAACTCACTAGACTGGACTACATGGGAACAGGAACAATGGGGAACAGAAACACGAGGGAAAATCACAAAGAAAATACACTCATATAACCAAAACCAGGGGAAAACTGAATACCAGAGCATATCATGACACTATCAGCTGTTGTTTGCTCTAAAAACGAGCTCTGACAAGCAGCTGCACTGCTGTTTTGGATGAAAAACAGTGTTAACCAAAGCTGTGGTAAATATTTGACATGACACCATAATTTTATTCCAAAAATATTTATTAAAAAAAAAGCTTTGAACACCACAAAAAAGATTGGATTTTGATGAACATAGCATTTAAAATAATCGTCCTGTTTTCATTTCCACTTTTTACAGGACAAAGTTCAGATTTGATGCACACAACTGAGAGAACAGCTGTATCATGAAAAAAGAAACAAGAAACGAAAACTTCAACATTCACAACTTTGAAAGAAATACCACTATTTCCTTATTTCTTCTTTAACGCTGAACCTTGTTCTTTGTCAAGCTGTGAAATCTGATGAAAGAAATGTCAAAGAGCGAGAGACACTGTGAGTCTGACTTCTGAAGCCACAGTCTTGACTTTAAGTGCTTAGCAAGCTTTTTTTTTTCTGTGAGTATGAAGAAATCCAGATGTTTCACAAGATTTGACTTATGTAGAGCAAAAAACATCGGGGTCTTTTAGAGAAGTTCAGATGAAAGTATCAGCGTAAAGGATGTGTCATTCTGTTCATTACTTCATGATTTTACTTTTGGTACAATAAGAAAAAAAAAGATGCAATCTGCACAAAACCAACAGGAAGACTGCAAAGCAGTGATGGAGAAGATTTGAAAGTCTTAAAAAAAATGAATCTCCCCTCACACTCAAAGCCGCACATTCACACACACTCACACACACACACACACACTCTTTATCTGACTCTTAATTTCCTGTCTTTTTCACACCATGACTGAGTATGATGTATTCTCGCTTTCTGCCGAGCTGAATGATCCATTAGGTTTCCGGTTCTTTCTCTTCCTCCATCCCTCCATCCCCAGCAAGCCCCTCTGTCCCAGCAGCCCCTTACACATTCTGACCAGCTCCCGCCTGAATTTCACCCCCACAAAGCCGTACAGCAGCGGGTTCAGAGCGCAGTGAGACAACCCCATACTCTCAGTGATCAGAGTCCCAATGTCCACCACACGACCAAACTCGCAACCCCCAGACACATAACCGAGCCAGTGCAGACTGTCCACCAGCTGGAAGCAGTTGTACGGCGCCCAGCAGAGGACAAACACAGACACTAGGGAGATGATGAGGCGGAGGGATTTGCGCTTTTGACGGCGAGAGGCATTGCAGAGAGACCTGAAGATGCGGATGTAGCAGTAGAGCATGATTAGAAGGGGGAGCCCAAAACCCAGGATCACGCTGACCATCTGTGTCCCGGCCTGCCACTCTGGGGAGTTCTCATCAAACAACATACGGCAGAGGAGCACCTTCTGTTTACCTTCGATCTCCACCTCATCCACCTGTTTGAAGGTAATGTCCACTCCACTCAGGCCCAGACAGGCCACCCATATAATGGCACATGTAACCTGCGCATGGCAGGTGTTCCTCTTCCAACCGGGGCTGACCGCATGAACGATGGCCAGGTATCTGTCGAAGCTGATGCAGGCAAGGAAGAGGATGCCACTGTAGCGGTTCAGGGTGAAGACTGCGCCGGAGATCTTGCAGGCAGCCACTCCGAACACCCACTCCTGATTCCACTGCACTGCAAACAGGGGCAGAGTGAAGGCCAACAGGAGGTCAGAAATAGCAAGGTGTAGGAGGAAGGTGTCAGTCAGAGAGAAGGCACAGGGTCCACCGCTCTGAGAGTTACGATAGCGACGGATCACACACAGCACCAGGATGTTGCCCACTAAGGCCAGAATGAACACCAGGCTGTAAACTGCAGGAGAGTACTTCTGTGCAAAACTGTAGATGCCTTCCTGTGAGCATGGGACTGCATGACTCCTGTAAGCATCGGGAGGTGAGGTGTAATTGTCGTAATCACCAAGATCCTGTGAACATGAGAGAGGAAGAGCTCTGTTAAATTCTTAGAAGTATGCAGAATAAAAATAAAATCTTCTAAGCACTATGTAAAACTCAGTAGGAGGAAACCAGGAAACCAAGTTCTCTATTTCACTCGAGCGTTACTCAAAAGCTTTCTTTATTAAATGTCCTACAGATTTATGTAGTGAATGAAACCTGCTCAAGAATTTGGTGAATAAAAATATATATTTCAAAAGCTGATGGATGTACCAAGTACTCTGCTGCTTCACCTATCCCATCCAGAAATTATTTTTTTACATTTTTCTTTCAACTGTCTGCAGATTCAGAGGGATTTTCTTTTTTCACATGAAGGCCAAAGACAAAATCGTGTAAAAACTGTTTCACAACTCAGCAAATCACATCTCAAAAACTACATTGTACATGTGAGAAAATGTGCAAAAAGAGACAAATCACAGGGAAAAACGAGGTTAATATCAACTCACCCAATAATCTTCTGGTGTTGGTGTGATTTCAGCCATATTTGTTACAAACCAGGAGGCAGCAGAACACCTGAAACCCTCAAGCAGTCAAGAGCAAACTCTGAAACACATTCAAAGTATTGTTTTACTTTACCCCCCACTCTAGATGAGGGGAGGTGAGAAAGAAGAAGTTGCATTTCAGGAACTGAATCCTGCAGATTTCAGACAGATGCAAACAGGACTGTGTGTGTGGCAGGAATAGATGACTGTCAGGGAAATTGTGACATATTTTTCTGTTTTTCATGGCTGCAGCCAGCGATAACACCATGGGAGACAGGCGACGCATGACTGGAATACACTCTATGGAAAATAGTCTATTTCTGCCTCAGTCCACATATACTGCAGATCTGGGGTCTTTTTGGAGGAGATGTGTAAAATCCCTTAAATATGATGTTATCAAAAGGGTTTTATTTGTCAGACATCCAAGATGAAAAACAGTTTTACAAACACACAAATAAAGGAGAAGTGAAAGTGCTCTCCCAGCAGAAATTTTACGGTCCCCACGATGTTATTTTTTATATTTAATCTCCTCTGACGTGTTCACATTTTACTCAGACTACACAGATAAAAAAAGGTAAGGATTTAGAGAATATTTGTTTACCACTGCAATTCTACAGATCCAGAAATGCCAAAACTAAAAAATAAAAGAAGTTTCAAATACTGAAGCTATCTTTTTGGTGATAATTCTAAAATCCAGCACTGTCACCAAGCTTTGAATAAGTAAAGGTGGAATTGTTAAAAAAAAAAAAAAAAGAGATACAGATAATGATATAAATTCATGAAGAGAAGGTTGTTGGTGACCTACCTTAAGTGTTCTTATGAAGAAAACAGGATATGAACCCAGCTAGGTGTTGATGAAGGACGTCTTAACACCTTTTAAGGTGCATTTTCAAAGAACTCAGCAGGAAATGAAGATATCAGGGGTTATTTATTACAAACCCACTTCAGCAAAACTTTGAAGCTGCTTTATCTAATTAAGGTAAAGAGCCAAAAAATAATCTTAATAATAATCTAAACAAATAGATAAATGACAAACTCTCAGAGATGATTCAGGAAACCATTTTCCAAAGAGTATCAACATTACATCAAGGTGCATTAAAATGAGTTACTTTCAGACCTAAACCAATTAATAGTAAATGATACTGGGACATGTGATACCCCCTTATGAGGACTTCACAACTTGATGCTTCACTTCAAAATCTTGGTATATAAACATTTCCGTTAATTTGACAATATTAAGCCACTATTTTTGCATAAACTGAGTGGTTCGCCATCTGTGGTGAAGAGATGAAGCACAGTGATGAGTCACAAAGTCGCTTTTGCTCCCTCCACAAACCAGAACAGAGAGAGAGAAGGAGACACACAGAGCGAAATCCTGTCTCTGTATAACCATAAAAAAACAAAACAAAAAAAAAAAACATGTGAAGGGTGTGAGGAACTGAACACTTGCGGTTTGCTTTGTCTCCAAGGTCTTCTGGTAAATTCAATTGTTGAGCAACATCAGGAAAGTTTTTCTTAATTCTCTTAAACATGTATTGAATGTACAAATAACACAGCAGAAAAGGTATTGTTTGGTGAAACAGATTAAATACACAGTCCTGGTAAAAATGGAAAGGATAACATGACTAAAATGCAGGCATGTATTGATACATTTAAATATGCTGTCCTCTTGTTATTATGAGGCATTTCAGAGATCGTAACATGCTAAGAGGTTCAAAAACAATAAAGACAGTCTAGACTTGTATTAGGTACTAAGATAAAATCCTAAAACCCATGTCCAGACCAGATGCTGGTGCAGTGGGCCCTTGGTTCCTTGTGGGAACACTCTCCGGCTCACCACTCCCACAGGTGAAGCTACAGTGGCCTATCAGGACAAGGAGCTGCTGTGATGCATGACAGGTATGATTCTCCATTTGTCACATTTTTACCATCAAAAACATGCACTGACACAAATACTGTTGTTGACAACAATCACTGTCTTCGTGAACACGAACATTCTGCTCTACAGTAAAAACATGCCGGTGCAAGTTCGCAGCCTTGGTGTAAGAGGAGCCTCTTCTGTGGAGATATAAAGAGCTGAATCTAAGTTAACTATAAAAAATGTTTTTCATATTCAGGTGGTTCTGCTCTAATTTGAACAAAGTTTTACATTCAACTTCTACCAAGTCTGTTTTGATAAATGTCACCAAAAATGAACTCTGCACCTTTAGATACAGACTCAGTGTTCTGTTTTTCTAGAACAATCCAGCATTTGACCTGAATACACACAGTGTGAAAATGAATATGTTAGTGCACTCTGGTGGACAATCTGTGAAGTGCTGATTATATTTTCTAGTTAAACCTGTTCTGTGTTACAATTTCCTGTCTGCAGACAGAAACACCTTTACTCATATCAGGGGTGGGCGACCATTGCTGTGTCCGAATTGCCCGCTCGGATACTACATGCTACTGCTACATACTACTGCTAGATCCTACAACTACATACTAAACACGTTGGCCCAATTCGGACACACTAGATGAGCGGTGGGGAAAGACGACCCCCGCAGGCAGAGAGTAGGTACTGCGCCCGTGCAGACAGCGGTAACTGAAGCCCCCCATCTGCTGGCCTGACTGTAGTACTGCAGCTGTGCAGTTTAATGATGGAATAAGTGAGCTTTACTTCCATGATGTCGCCACATATTTGCTCATAAAATGATTACTTGGGCAATTATGACACCATGACATGACAAAGAGATACAACCGCACATTTTTTAGGACAGTGTGTGAAGTTACATGAAACCGCCATGGTGCGCGCTGCTGTGGCCAGCCGGCGTTCGCGACGCATCTATGCTGGTGGCGCTAGCATCACATGCGCTTCTACAACTTTTAAGAGGACGAAGAAGAAGCCCGCGGTGCATTTTGGGTCAGTAGCATGCCCGTAGGATGCACCGCGACCAACCTACAATGTGGGCGTGTCTAGTATCTGAAGTAGTATCTGAAGTAGCATGCTACTCGCTCCGGTGGCCAATTAGGACATGCTAGATACTACTTCGACTACTACTTCGACTACTACTTGGCAATTCGGACGCAGCTATGTATTGCCTCAACCTGCAATTAACTAACATTGGCAGATTGGTTTATTGACCTTATTTACTGGTTCAAACTATCATTAAATAAAACTCTGACTGTCATTATTGTGTGCTGTTTTGTTGAAAACTTGGGACTTGATCTGCAGATTTGAAGTCTGAAAACATGAATGCGAACATTTGAAATGTTAAATGCCTTTAAAAGATTTGTGAAATAGTGTGCATTGAATGAGTCATGGTTCAGCATCAAAACAGTGCCCTTTGTTCGGTCCTTATCTTGTGTTTTATTGACATTGGTTCGACTTCCTGGTTCATGAATGGGTTCTACTCCCATGTGTGCAAATATAATGAACACCAAATCTTTTTCATCACGTATTGTTCTTTTCCATCTTATCAAGCTTGATGGAATCTTAAATTTGTAGTCTGGACGCATTGGGGTTAAATAGTGTGGATTAAAAACACAAACCTGCAAAATAAAGTAGATTCTGATTCCAATTCTTTCTGCTGGTGTTGTTTTGCATGAATAATTGTAATTACAAGCTCAAGGAGAAATAAATGTATCCCTCAGAAAAACAATGTTGCATGACCACAGCACACATTTTGACAGCTATTTTTTTATAGGTTTAAATATGCAGAATACCAACACCAAACAATGTATGGAAACACATGACAAATCCTTTTCAGTGTGAATTTACTTCATATGTGACATTTATGTTGTTGGACCCACAGTGTGCAAACATAAGGTTGGTCAAATACAAATATGCACCACATGCCTACTTTGTTCTGTAATAGCTGTACGTCCCCAAAGACTCTGTCATACTAGGTGCACCCTTCTGAAAAATGTACTCTGCCCCTAAACTAAACAGTTTTATTTTGTTTTACAAGCTGTTTGCACCAGCTTGAATGGGCTTCAGTAAACATGTGGTGGTATAAGAGCCGTGTTCTAGTCCTCGCTCTTCTGTTTGGAATACACATGCGAGCTGGCCGCCTTTAAAGGAGTCCAACGCAAACCTCAGGAGGTGAGACCTCTAAGGGATGTCCATTCCTGCTACACGGATTTATTCTCAGTTTTTTTGTTTTTAATCTATTCACTCTTTAGGTTTTGCTCATATTTTCCTCTCTTCAAACTGCAGCAATGGCTTTCCAGTCCAACGTGATCAGCTCGCAGCCTCAGGTCACGGTCACTCGGTACTCTGTGTCTTCTGGATTGTCAGATTGGAGTTCAAATGTGTGCGACTGCTGCGAAGACTGCGGCATCTGTAAGTGTTTTTGTACTGTGTGTTCCTAGAATAACCGTCTCAGTTACATGAACCACATCGGTCCATCACGTCTCTCTCCCCTGCAGGTTTATGTGCATCCTTTTTGCCTTGCATCCTGACCTGTCAGGTGGCTCAGGACCATGGGGACAGCTGCTGTCTGGCCTTTCTTCCTGGGGCCCCGATTGCTCTCAGGACAAGTCTCCGTAGCAAATACAACATTGAAGTGAGTGTGTTAGAGTTGTTCTTCTCTAGGTCAAACATGAACAATGATAGAGCTGGGTGCTTCTTATGATAGTAGCTGTTAAAAACCAAGAACAAAACAATCACCATATTGGAAGAATGCGACACTGAGCTATTTCGCAACAAATCTTATATTGAACACTTTATTCAACATCAGTTTTGTGGCTGTACAAATATTAAACTACCCCTGTTTAATGGCAAATGCTACATCGCCATGGTGACAGCACTGGATACAGACTCATAAGCTTGTTAAGGGAACAGGATCAAGTCTTTAACCTTCCTCCTGTGTTAGCTTTTACTACGCACCCACTATGTTAAGGGTCAGTTTTGACCCGTGTCTTAAATCAGCTGTAAATTACACAATTACAATTACACAATCAGCTGTAAATTACACAATTCTCTATCATCAATTCATCAATATCATCAATATCATCAATATATCAACAACTCTCTATCATCCAATTTGGTTCTCATCTCTAGGTCACCTTGTTAGGCTTCATTATCCATGAAAATATTGCTTATAATAGTTTTTGTTGTTGGCCTCTGGGCTTTTCTTCGTCAGTATGCCCCTCATACAGACATCCATACTGAATTGATCTCACATGTCTGGACATGTCAGTCGTTTTTGTGCAGGGAAAAACATGAAATCAGAATTTCCTAAATCTCACATGATTGGAAGAGGATCTGACTGTCAGTGTGGTGCCTGCCAGTGCACTTGTGATTCCAGTTTTTGCTCTGATTATTAGATTTCAATCTAACCAGGTCAACAGCGACTCTAACATGACAAGTGCCATAATTTTAATAAAAGCATTTTATGATTTAGTCAATGAAATTTGTTATTTTTATTTTGTTGATAAAGAGTTTTCTGACAAAGTCAAAAAGTATTGGAGCAAAAAAGCTAATGTAAGTGGTTCTTTTAAGCATTTAAAAAACAAAAACGGGTCGGTGCAGACCCTAACACAGGAGGAGGTGGGTTAAATGTACCCGATGAAATCTGAGTGGGATGCAGCTAGCTAGACCAGTATAAATCTCTTCATTTTTTTCACAGTGATGGTACATGTCATAATCTACTTTGTATGTATTCTGTCACAGGGTTCGGTGTGCGATGACTGGGTGGTCATGTCCTGCCTGCCTCTGTGTGGACTCTGTCAGATGGCACGAGAGCAGAAGATGAGAGGATTGAAATAAAGGATGCTTAATCTAATAGTCAAACTACAAACATGGAAATGAACTCTTTGAACTGTACAGAGCTGCTGCGGTTTATGCTTTCAGATTTAAAATGAAACAATCATAAAATCATCTTATTTTAAAAGATTTTGAATCTTTGTAATATAATAAACTAATAATTGGACTAAATCACTGTTTTGTTACTACTAATTTTCCTTTACAAGCATATGAGATTACATATACAGTAACATCTGGCAGTCTTGATGATTCAGATGGTAGAAAATAACATCCGATGGACTAAAGCTGAATAGTGACACAGTGTGTTTAAATTGTGTTACTGCAATAAAACCTTTGGCCGCATGAAAGACAGCAAAGTTTCCAGAATAAATAAATAAGTAAATCAGAAGTTCATAGCTGTGGATTTACACATTTTGTATTTTTGAATGTCATTCCTCCTTGATCGTACTTTAAAAACAGTATTAACTCAATGTATTTAGGAAATTCATTTCATATTTTACTGAAACATATGTCTTAATTGTTGAATAAACCGATTCATGAAAAGCAGCAGTGTTAAAGTTTAATTCAGAACTGTCAGCTTATGATTTAGAGAGTTTTATGTGCTGTTTATAGTGACTGAACTTGAAAAGGAAAAGACCCGGCTGCACCCATCTTCCTCTTTCTTATTCAGTGCATATCTGAGACATCCACACAACGAGAGACTCTCTGAAGAGACAACAGCAGCAACACTTCAGCAGGTAAGAACGTGAGAATAAAACAATTTTCTTTAACAACTTTAAACTAAGGGTCATATCTAGTGGTCACTGCAAGTTGTTTTTAGACTTGAGTTTATGAGATTGTGAAAAAGATTATTAGAGTTACTTCCCTCACGAAACCACAGTTAGTTGTACATGATGTATTTGTAGATAACAATCTCTTTGATAGAGAAATATCTTCTGTGACTTAAAGTGAAAGTGAAGTGAAATCAATCAATCTGTATGACAAGAAATGTACAAAGATGAAATCAGGAGTGTCTGTCTATGTTAATGCTCCCATTATCCACATTATTAAATCTATAACAAAAGTTTAGTCCTTTGCCTATTCCTGTTGGTGTCATAATCTACCGTTAAACCGTGTATTACATGTTTTAACACTGAGATTCAGTGGTTTGACAAATCATCTTAAAAGGCAGTTATGGGAGAAGGAACGCATTAACGGGATCTGAAAATGTCAAAAGAGGAAACAATTTTCACAGGGACCATTTTAGTTAAGGACTTTATATAAGTTTGGTCTCATCACTTTCTACATTAAAGTTTATTTATAGTGTGAGCTTCAAGAACGTCTGGTTTGTGTGGATTTTTGTGCAACACTTTTTGCAGCATGAGTCAAATATAACGCTGTTGTGAGTATCTGTTGAAAATGTTTAATAAAGGCTGTTCCTAAAATGTGCTTTTAGGTTCCTAGGTTTAACATTCACCCTTTACAATGAACATTAGAGACTGTCAGCCTTGCTGCTTTTGTTGCACATAAAGAGGTGATAATATTAGTGTCACAATGAGATGGAAAGTCCTCAAGGCACAGCGCATACCAAAAGCACATAGTCATGTGAACTCTGAGTATATAAGGGAATGACATCTACATTATGAGAGGTAAAACACATCTCAGGGTTTCAGTTGCACTTCTGTTTTAAGATTGTTCTGCTTCTTAAGTTGGAGGCCTGATTATACACCCTTCGATTCAAACATGTGACGTGTGAACTCTATCTCTGCCCACAGATTCCTGCCAGAGAAGAACCCAGCAGCCTGACTGACACTTTCAACATTAAATTTAAACAAATATCTAAAAACTGATGAAGACTATTTAAAGGGTTGGCCCTTGAACTGTTAGGTGACAACATGGGGAGTCTCACTCATTGGCTGTTGTCAGTTACAGTTTCTCTTATTGCAATTGAACTCATCCGTGGTTACAGCTTTAAGAACTGCATTGAAAATCAGTTCTCATATGGAAAAGTTTTCCAATGCATCAATCGAAAAGACAAAAACATATCAGCCTTTGTGGATGACCTGCCGCCGTCTGCAACCAAACTCATCATCTCTGATAATTTTCTGACGCATGTCCCCAACAAAAGCTTTGTTCATCTACCAAACCTTCAGGACCTCAGAATGGATAATGACAGGCTGAGAACTATCGATAAATTAGCTTTCCAGAATTTGCATCTTTTAAAGTCTCTCAACTTGTCTCTGAACTACCTATCAAAGCTTGACCCGTCTCTGTTTCAGGACCTCGACAGCCTCGCCGTTCTCATGCTGTCCAACAATAGACTAAAGCAACTCCCTGGAGACATTTTCTTCACACTTAGAAATCTCACAACTTTAGTTCTGAGGCAAAACTTTCTGACACAGTTCTCCAGGATTGCAGACTCTGTGGCAAATTTAAGACATCTGAAATTGTTGGACCTTTGCTCAAACAATTTGACTTCTCTCAGCCACTCAAATGTGTCTCTGCCAACATCCCTGACAAGGTTATATTTGTGTAAAAATAACCTGTCCACATTAGGATGTACACATTCATTTCTTGGGTTTGTCCAGCTGTTAGATTTGTCATACAATCCTCGGCTTTCTACAGCGGCTTTTCAGGGAGTAAATCTGAGCCGTGTAAACTACCTGCGTTTGCGTTCAACAAATGTCAAGATACTGGAGTTTTTAAACATCAGCAATGTCAATGCCCGTCACGTTGACTTCTCAGGCACACAACTCAAGGACGAAAAATTGCTAATGGAGCTGTGCAAATTATTGAAAAAGTCGGTGTGGATTAAAAACATGAGCCTGTCGAGTAATGAGATCAAAAATCTATCAAGAGACGCTCTTCGACATTGCCCTGATATCAGAGGCGGACTGGATCTATCCTACAATGAACTGAAAAACACAAGTTGTCTCATCTTTCTGAACCGACAGAAACATTTGAAAGCGTTCAATGCAGACCATAACCATTTAACTTCCCTCCCACCTTGTAAGAATCACACTATTATTCGTAATGTGGAGGACATCACTTACCGTTACAACAAGATCATGTACGTCAGCCCTTATGCTTTCATTAATACACCAAATATCAAGACTCTGCAACTTAACATCAATAAAATTGTGTATCTGGACGTTAAAGCCCTCAAAGGCCTACAAAGCCTTGAGACTCTCCGCTTGGACAATAACTTCTTGACTGAGTTGTACAACAGTACATTTGAGGATCAGGTCAAGCTGAAAACCCTCAACTTACGCAACAATCGCATTGATGTAATTTTTAATATGACTTTCCACAGTCTAAAGAATCTGATTATCTTGGACCTTGGAGGTAATAAGATTACTCATATTAAGCCATCTGGTCTTTATGGGCTGGAAAGTTTATCCAAATTCTATCTTGATGGAAACAGATTAAAAAACATTGACTCTTCCCTCTATCATGCTTTTCAAGACACTCTAACAGTGCTGGATTTACACGGTAACCAGATTCGCTACCTTAAAGAACATGAAAGATCACCGTTTATGAATCTCAGCAAACTCAAAGATCTGAAACTGGATGCACAGCAGCCTTATGGTCTCACTGTCATACCCCTAAAATTTTTCCGTGGCCTCAGCTCCTTAGAGTCCCTGTATTTCAGCAGCAATAAAATCCATCAGCTCCCCCCTGATGTCTTTGATGATCTGAAAAGCTTGAAGTTCCTCACAATGACTGACTGCTGTGTCGGGGTGACACAACTACAGCCAGGACTCTTTAAAAATCAAAAAAATTTGACCACGCTGATTGCAGAAAGTATGGTCATTCAGGACTTCTCAAAAGCTGTTTTTGGAAATCTGACACAGTTGCGTAAACTGCAGCTGAACCGCAATGGGATGGAAAGCATTCCTGTCGATGCATTAGAAAGTATGCCTAAACTCCGCTACCTTGATGTTAGAAATGTACCCTTAACCTGCACCTGCGCAAACAGCTTATTGCAAAACTGGACTATTAATAAGCCAAGTGTCCAAGTTGTTTATCTCTACAGTCTGCCATGTCCAAATGAGCCCAAACACAGGTTCCACAACTTCGATACCAAAGTTTGCTACATAGATCTTGGAGAGTACTTGTTCCTCAGCACAGCGGTTGTGGTCTTTCTGTTCACAATCACTCCTTTACTTTATGTCAACCTCTACTGGAATATGAAGTACAGCTACTACGTGTTTCGGTCCTGGTTCAGTGAGCAGTGGCGCAGGATCAGAGATGAAGAGGAGAATTGTAAATATGATGCTTTTATTTCCTATAATTCTTCTGATGAACAATGGGTTATGGATCAGTTGATGCCCAACCTGGAGGGAAGTGGATCCCCTTTTAAACTTTGCCTGCATCACAGGGACTTTGAGCTGGGCCGGGACATTGTAGACAACATTGTCTCTGCTGTATATGGCAGCCGCAAAACTATTTGTGTGGTGAGCAGGAGTTTCCTCAAAAGTGAGTGGTGTTCTCTGGAAATCCAGCTGGCCAGCTACCGGCTCTTCGATGAGCACCGGGATGTTCTCCTCCTGGTATTTCTGGAGCCGATCTCTGAGAGGCTGTTGTCATCCTATCACCGAATGAGGAAAGTCATGTTGAAAAAGACTTACCTGCAGTGGCCGGACTCAGACTGCACTGACCCCTCACAGGCCCAAGAACTCTTTTGGAATCAGCTTCGTAAGGCCATGAGAACAAGGAGCAGAGCTGAAACAGCAGAAAGTAACGAGAGACATGGTGCTGTGGTTCCTGGGAGCATGGATACTAAAGGCTGTGAGACTCAAATAACAGATGAAAACTATTATTTGCAACCGTAAAAAGATTTAACCTATGGTTTTTGAGTCAAACCTCACTGTACAGTCCAGCAGACGACAGATGAATTCTCTTCTAGAGGGAGAGGGTCATAAAAACATGTGGATGCATGGGACTAAAGACAAAAAGACGATCCACAATCATCTTGTAGAAATATAATTTAAAATTTTGTTTATATTTTACCAAATAATACATGTCTGACTCACACAACTGTAAATGTTTTCTTGCTTTTATATGTGAATCCCACCTACACAACAAAATGCCAAATACTTGACTAAGTTTGTTCTGTCAATAACTTTGCATTACAGCACCATTGTGAATACTTGTGTCACTTTACAGTTTTGTAATTTAAAAAAAAGCAACAAAGATGTAAACAATTCATAATTGTGCTTTCGTTTACCTCAGAATGAATGGGACAAAAGAGTAAAAATGATTGACTCTTGACATTAAACCTTTGCTCTTAGTTTTAATTCTCTGTGTAAAATAAAGGCACACAACTCACTGCTTTGCTGGTTGTAGACAAAAAGTCTTGGTTGTATGAATAAAGGAGGATAACTGTATATCTTCACAGAAAGTTCACTAATATGGCACTTTAGTACAGTCTCATAGGAGGGAAGGACCAGTGCTCAGGACTCAGGAGCAATGAACGGGAGGGTGCTGTGTCTCTTTCCAGCATGTGAGATGGAGGATAATAAATCATGTCCCTTTGGTGGGGTCTTAGGGGAGGGCAAGCTGAAGGTTCCCTGGCTTGGCTGAAAGGCAGTAAGCTGTGGCCCTGTTCGGGATGTTGAAGTTGGGATGGGAAGGATAGGAAAAGAGTGCCTCTCAGCTCTAAATGGGTCTTGTTCCTGGGGGAAGTGTACTGGCTCTGTTGAATATCTGTCAGGCAGCTGTGTATAGTAGGGAGGGACACTTTGTGCTGTGCTCAAACTGTATTGAAGTGCATCTCGTGCTCTGGTTTGGTTCACAAAGCTGTTTCCAAAGGAGTTAAATGTAGAAGCCTCTTCGCTCTTTTGCCTGCTTAGGGTGTCCCCCCAGTGGGGAAATGCAGAGTTTTTTTCTTCCCAGCATGAGGTAGAAGAAGGTGCAAACAAATAATCTCTGATTCCAGACGGCTCAAAGTCCATGCTGAACTGAGGTGAGTGAGGAGATTTGAGGAAATTGTCCAAAAGACCGGTAGAGGTTTCCACAGGCTGTCTTAGCCATTCAGCAGGCTGTATAAAAACAGAGTATTTTAGATGAGTGGGGCATGAACTTATCAGCTGATGTCTGAAGAAAAGACGACTCAACCTGAAAAAGGAGTTTCTTTTTGGGTCTTACCTGTTCCGGTTTTAGGAGCTGCTGTGGACTGAACCTCAAGTTCAAATATGCACTTCTCTTTCTTTTCGAATACTTCCTTTGTGGGCTGACTGAAAATGGATTACTGGCTTGAAATTCTGTTGTAAATGCATCTGAAAATAAGGCCAAGTGATTAAATGGACCATATCTAATAATTGAACCAGCTTAACACCCATATCAAGATTTCAAAGTAAAAACATATTGTAAATACAGAATAGATACTAAATTATTATGATCATACTACTATAGTACAAATAAAGTATAACACCTTATTTGAAAGATGATAATCTCAAAGATATCAGGTAATTTAGTACTTACCTGTACGCTGGAACTCATCTTCATCTCTCATGGTCGGCTCTTGATCCTGGACCTCCTTTGAGTGATCAAAACCACTGCTGGGGTACTGCCGCAGTCTGAAGAGGTTCTCCTGAAGCCAAGGCCCGTGCCTTTCCTTTAAAGCTTTCAGTAGCACCTCCCTGCTCTCTTTCACCAGGTCTCTTCTTCTCAAAAGTGGGAATAGCTGGCGGCCACACAAGCTCGCTGCCACTGACTGTACAGACTCAGATAGAGAACTTGGATCAGGTCTTTGGTGCCGTGAGTCTGAGCTTTCTGCAGTCCTTGAGCTGGGCAGTTGGAACGTGCTTCGGCTAACACCATCATCGTTCTTTGGGGTTTGCTTCAAAGTAGAAGTCATCTCCTTTTTATTTAGTGTCATCATGTTATCTCCATTATCAGCAGGAGTCAACAGTGTTTCAGTGGGCTTTTCTGACATGACAGTGTTGGTTTTCTGCTTTGGCGTTTCATCTTCTTTCTCCTGGCAATCAACATGGGCCTTCACTGCAGGTTCTCCTTCCTTTTCTAATATCACAACCTCATCAGGCTCAGTACCCAAGATATCATTACTGGAGATCGGTGAAGGAATGTGAGATGTTGAGGAGGGACGTGAGATGGCATTGTTTTCATGATCTTGCTGTCCATTTTTCTCCTTTTTTTTCTGCTTACTCAACAGCCGGTCAATATCGATTGACTTCACCTCATGGTTGAACAGCCCGTGGTGTCCTATTAGGCGACTATCTGTGATGATACTGGGCTCCTGTGCAGTGGGTACAACATTTAGGAACAGTGCTTCTTGTCTTGAGGCACAACGACAGCTACTATGACAGCTACTATGACGACAGCTGTCATGGACATATGTGATGTCTTTACTGCTCTGGCACCGACAGCGATGGTGGTGTGACTGGGACTTTGGGGCTTCTTTCCCAAAACCTCTCATCTTGCTCCTTTCTTTGCGACTCCTCAATCGCTTTGGTCTGTGCTGCTCATCAGCTTTACTGTGGTGGTTTGAACATTTGGAGTCTGCAGTGGATCTGTTTACAGAGCAACAGTTTTTATCTGTTGTTTTAAACTGCTTGTTGAAAGCATTTAAGATTCTGTGTTTGTCTGATGAAGACCTACCACAGGTGTGGCTCATACTGCACCGGTCTGTAAGAAAGAGGACTACGGTTAGTCATTTGTAACCACTGTATGCAGATAGGAAAAGTAGGGTTGTTTTATCACAATGAGGATTAAAAAATCTTGTTGGACTATATAAAAAGGACACTGATGCTTTACAGGGATGTTCTGGCTTAATATTATTTTAGGGTCAAAAACACCGTAACACTGAGTTAGACACCCCACAGTTAGAGCGGTGAATGTTGCCAACCACTTGTTTCTCTAGTTATATCAACTTTAGTAACGACCGCAGGATAGCAATACACAGCGGTCTGAGGAGCCATCAACAAACCTCAACCAAAACGCCACTCTATAGCCACAAATAATGCACAGAACAGCACCTAACTTTATCAACAGTACATGTAGGGTCCCAGCCATAGCACTAGCCACCAAACATCTTTTTAACTTTGCCTAATTTCCTTAGAAAAGAGACTAAACACAACTCACCTACTCTCTTCGAGCAGCCAATTGGTTGTAGCTAGACCTCGGGCCAGTCCATTACGGACTACAACGGGTGACGCAGCTCAAGGAAGAACATTTATGATCGATACTTTATTATTTCCTTTAAGTAATAATCATCATATTAATCATTTTGCACTGGAGAGGCAGTAGTTCTTCTGCCTTAGCGTCTCGGTCTGATTGCGTTTCCATGAAGAAATGATCATAAATGTTCTTCCTTGAGCTGCGTCACCCCGCTGTAGTCCGTAATGGACTGGCCTGAGGTCTCGCTACAAACAAGCAGCTGCTGGAAGAGAGTAGATGAGTTGTGTTTCGTCTCTTTGCTAAAGAAATCAGGCAAAGTTAAAAAGATGTTTGGTGGCTAGTGCTGTGGCTAGGACCCTATATGTACTGTTGATGAAGTTAGGTGCTGTTCTGAGCATTATTTTGGCCCTATCTGAAAAACAAAGACAAGTTTGCACTGTGGTGGATATTAGAAGGTCAAAAAGGGGGTCCGTGTGTAACACATGCTATAAACATTGTAAACCCACAGAACCCGGACAATATAAAAAAGTTTGCCGTTTACAAATATTGATTAACCAAAAATTATTTCAACCACCCGAAGGAGTGTAACTTCACCCACTGTGGCTCCGGGGACTCGTCATGTAGGGCCCAATTATAAGGTTAACTAGCAGGTGCGTGTTTGGAGCTACCAGCACTCTGTCATAGTGACTTAAACACAGTAACAGATCCTCACTTTGAATATACGTGAAGTGAGAAAGCGTCAACTTAACCAGGAGAGTATTTTGTACTAAAAAAGTTCTTAACTGACTACTTAACTTACCCAAACTGACATTGACTGCGCAGTCTTCTTCAGCCTCTTATCAATCTGTCGTTGCTCAGCAACATGCCGCCGCAGCTGTGTTCCTCTGCGCAGCACCAACTCCCACGAGCACTATCGAGGAGGGCGAAACCACTTCTTCTGAGGAGGGGGGGGGAAATAGTCTAATCATGTAGCTTCGTATTTACTTTAACAACGGTTTTTTCAAAATTAAGTGTTTTGAAATGTTTATAAAAGTTGTATTGGTTGTAATGTATCATCGTTACGGTAAGATACGTGAAAGAATATATGTCGTTACCCATGGTCCATAATGGTACATGCAAGCAACGCTAGAGTGAACACTCACTTCCTGAAACTGAGTTGGGAGATGACGATATTTTGATTTTATGGTAATCTGTATCATTATTATCATTAAATGTGGCTGTCAGTCGAAGTCTTGCCTTTTACCCTTAGCTCAGCTCAGGCTCGTGTACTTTAGTGATATTAATCTGTGCTTTTTAGTCAGACAACATCAGTCTATTCACATCTTTCTTGTGTTAAAGCCAGTAAGCTAGCTATAGAAGCTAATTCAACCAGCCTCCTCAGAGTTAGTCGGCTGTTTCATCTGCAGGGCTTCGGTTAATTCGGTCGTTTCCGTTGTTAAAAGGTTATTTTAACACAAAGTGACTGCCTTTCTTACACAGAGTCAAGTCATGAGTGCAGAAGACCCAAACCCCGCCGCCACACCCACTCCCTGTGAAGACACCCAGGGAGATGGACGATGGATGTCTCTGGTGTGTGAATTACTCGCCTTATACGCTTTACATAGTTATGCATTTTCAGTGTTTCACGATCTGCATGCTCGTATTTAGTTTGGCACATGAATGGCTGCAATCTCACATTGTTTTCAATGCAGTTTTCTCCCCTGATCCACACTGAGGTTAAAACAAAACATACACTTAATGTTAATGTTTTGAGTTAACCTGCATAGATAAAGTCAATCAGAAAGGAATCTTGTTTAAACTAGCAGTTTTCTTTTGTTGTTTCACAATCTGCATGCTCGTATTGAGTTTGGCACATGAATGGCTGCAATTTCAGTGTTTTTAATGCAGTTTTCTCCCCTGATCCGCACTGAAGCTGAAACAAAACATACACTCAATGTTATCCCACCGAGCAATTTTTGGTCTAAAAGAGGTCTAAATGTAGCCTAGACGACTGGTCTAAAATCAGGCTACCACAGGTCTAAAAATTAAAGTTTTTAGACATCTGAATTTAGACCAAGTTTAGACTTGCCGGCTAACAGAGGTATAACTGTATTTTGCTCAACATCTATCATAATTATTTTGGTTCAGTACTTGGAGATCAGTTATGCAACTCACAGTTGCTTTTTGAAATACATAGTTATTGAATATGGGTTAAATTGCAACGACTAAATTCTGTCTAAAAATATACAGGTTCTAGACGGTTAAAATTAGGTCTAGAAAAAAACTAGACGTCTAATAGCCGTCTATTGCTCAGTGGGATGTTTTGAGTTAACCTACACAGACAAAGTCAATTGGAAAGGACTTTTGTTTAAACTTGCAGTTTTCTTTTGTTGTTTCATAATTTCTGTGGGATTATGCAATAAGTCAAAGACTGTCTTTACTTTGTATAAAAGCTGATGTTTCCCACCTCAAGATCCAAATAACAAAATATATAACAGGCGTATTGTTGTTTTTATGCAACTGTAACAATTATTTAGTCGTATTTAGTCAACTGAGTCAAGCCTCTAGAAAGGCCCATGGTGTAATTGTACATAAAATATTTCAGTCTACCTAATACCTTTTTCCTTTTTTTTTCATTTTTTTGTCTATAGCACAACCGTTTTGTGTCTGACAGCAAAGACAAAGAGCCGGATGTTCTGTTTGTTGGAGACTCTCTCGTTCAGCTCATGCACCAGTTTGGGGTAAAACACTCATGACTAATGAGTCCTAACACTCACACTAATGTTCCATATGCAGAGTTTTTTAAAAACTTGATTTGTCGTCTTACATATCTCTTCAGTTTGGGTATCAACACATAGGTTTCTCTTTTGCAGGTTTGGCGGCAGCTGTTCTCTCCCCTTCACGCTCTTAACTTTGGTATAGGTGGTGATGCAACACAACATGTGCTGTGGAGACTGAGCAATGGCGAACTGGATAATATCAGCCCAAAGGTTCCAATCACAGCTAAAAATAGAGAACATTACCATGCTTGTTCAGTAAAACAGTCGATCCATTGTGCCTACATTAAACTTCCAGGTATACTGATTCCAAAGTAACAAAAACATGAGTTCAATCACACAATCCTTTCTGTTTTGTTCTGCTGCAGGTCGTTGTGCTTTGGGTAGGCACTAATAATCACGGTCACACCGCTGAACAAGTCTGTGGAGGCATCATGGCTATTATCCAAATCATCAAGAACAAGCTCCCTCATGCCCGGACACTTGTGCTAGTAAGTTTTCTTCCTTGTACATTCCTCAAAGGAGGGAAATGTTTATCTGCACACTCATTGTTAAAAATGACAAACTAATTGATATCACTGTATTCAAGATTTGTCTCCAATTTTTTAGACATAGGAAAACAATTGACTTTAGGGTTCAATCAGGGGAGAGAAATTGTTAACTAGCATTTGCTGAAGATTAACTTTCGATGACTGAACTTTTGTGAGATGTGAGGAGGCTTAGATAGAAGTGAATTTAAAATACAGGACTGTTTGTTGCTGCGGCACAAAAGTTACTGAGTTTCAGTTTATGTGTGAAAATGTGGTGTTGGGTTGAGTTACGTAATTTTGGCAGTCATTCCCTTTTATTTGTAATATCAAACACCAAAAGATTGCTACAATGCTACAAGCATTTCCTTTTCTTAACATATAATATCATTTGATCTTGTTCCAGAGCGTACTGCCAAGAGGCAAACTGCCGAACCCTCTGCGGGAGCGAAATGCCAAGGTAAACAAGCTGGTCCAAGAAGCTGTATCGTCCCTCCCTCACGCCTCATTCCTTAATGTGGACCCAGGATTTGTCCACTCTGATGGTAACATCTCCCATCAGGATATGTATGATTACCTTCACCTGACCCCCCAGGGCTACCAGGCTGTATGCGAAGTCGTGCACGCCCATCTTACATCCATGCTAGACAAGCCTGCAGAGAATTGAGCCTAAAGATAGCTTACACTACAGCAGTAGTCCTCATCCCTGGTCTCCAAAGAGCATCCCAGTCAGCCCAGACACACCGTCATTGATGGGTAGAATCAATCAGTAAGGGCTAAGAGCTGTGAAAATTGTCCTCTTCGTGGCCAGGGTTGGTGACCATTGTTGCACATAATGGGACCATAAAGCCTTTTTGTGTTTATGAAGCAGTCAAAGATTTAATTTGCTGTGCTATGGAGAGAAAAAGTCTTCCCCAAAGTCTCAGTCCGCATCCAATTTACCAGGTTTCTGTGTTTGAAGTGTCATTCCATACAGGGTTTACTGAAATCCTCTGCCCCCTGATACAAACAGTGAAGATCTGAAGTTAAACTCTCGTGAAAAGACGTTTGAGCTTGGTCCCTCAGTAAAGATATGAAGTTGCACCTGATTGAAAAACTTTATTCAGATCATTTCTTTGGCTGCAGCTCTTATGAGACTCTCCAAGTCTAATTTTTCTAAGAAAATGCTTTTCAGAAGAAACCGTTTATAACATAATGCACTGTCCTCCCAAAGCTACTGGAACAGAAGGTAGTCAGTCGGAAAATGATGTGAGACTTTTGCTCTTTAGTTACCATCAGAGAATATGAGATGTAAGAACTGCCCTTTCCAGAAAGTTGTTGTAATTTGTCATTTTGGTTTCTCAGTTTCTCTACGTTTCATCAAGTTACATTTATTTGGTAAAAGCTTTGTTTACTTTTTTGTGGTGTTTGGTGTCTTTTGTAGATGTTTTGAATGACCAAATATTTTTGATTGACTGTTTCCGTCTATTCTGTCATGTCATGTCCTATATTGTTGTCCTTATTGCTTCATCTATTGTAACCGCCGCAGAGTTTGAAGTGAGAGACCGGTTTTGTCGCTAACATAGATGTACTGGAATAGGTTTAAAGTTGTATTGATAAATGTGAAACTGCTTCTGCTTCAAGTTTAATCTCCTCTGCAACATAACACCCCTAAGAGCATCTGTAAAGGCTTTACTTCACACTAAAATGCTTCTTGGACAATGATTGTGTTACAGAACTTGAATTATGCTTCAGGATGGCTGGTTGTGCAAGTGATGGAAGAATGCATTAAATACGAAAACAAGATGATTTCAGTGCCTTTGTTCGATCTGCATGCTAATACTGAGCAAGAGTCATTGTTTGTGATGCAGCAACCTTTTGCACACCTCGGACACCCAGAAGTGGGTTCATTAAAAGTACATGTAGGAGGATTTTGTAAACAGGAGGTTCATGGCATTTGCTTGAGTGGTTTAGTAAGAATCTCAGATATGGTTGTGTGCAGATTTGAAACTGGAGCAGAGTGAACAAGTTCGGCTTTGCTCTGAAACAGTATCCAACCTCTTTGTGATCACTATAAGACCAACCCTCCCTCCAAAAGTCTTGACATGTACAACACCTTAGACCCCAAATTCTGCCCATTATCTTTATTACGGTGAATTTTAAGTCTGATAGTGAGTGGTGGTGTCATCAGGGCTAAAATGAGGAAACTATTGTCATTGATTATGGGCCTGAATAGCGTGAAATTCTACAGTAAAAGACATTTTCAATCTATTGAGGACAAAACTTTAGCATTGGTAAACACATATCACTTTGATGTTAAGCCTCCTACAAACAGATGTACACTGGAGACAAAGTTTGATCACAGGTAACCCACAAGGTAACAAAACCCTTTAGGAAAAGTTCCCTTTACACGTTAAAACACCCACATCTGGCACTCCAGTTGGCCTTCCTTGCAGATCAGTATCATGAGGGTCCCTTTCATAAACCAATAGTCTGTTTTTCCCCCTTTTTTTTGCCAAGGTATGTCTATTCACAGCCATCCACTGTAAAGGTGCAGATGGGCAAGACATGCGTCATAGAACTGGCAGTTGATGAATGCGCCATGACTACAATTTCAGAAATCAACACCGTCCTTTATAAGGTGTCACAATGAGAAGATTTTCATTCCATTCCAGGAACTAAAGTTAATCCACAGGCAGAGTTACTGTACCTGATCCCCCTTTTATTTTGCTGGCGCTACTGGAGCGAGACATCAACAATGTTTTTGGTGTTAGTTCTTGGACTGCTTTTATTCATCGATCACAGCCAAGGTATGTAAACTTAATCAAAATGACACAATTTAGCAACTTTTTAAAGTAACTTCAATGTAAATGGAGTCTTTTTTTGATTTAATTAACAAAGGTCTTTCTGAACTGGAGCCTTCCTTGGTTCCTGGAACATTTTCTGATGGTATGTAAGATTACTTTTTTAAAACTCTGCTAACAAGAGTGGTGACAATACTTAACTAAAGCACTATTATTATGATTCTGATGTCTTTTGAGATAAAACATGTATGAAAACTGTGTTGTAGCTTCTGCTGAAGGACAACCACCAGTAACTGCAGATCTGATCAACTCAAAACGGTGCAGATGTAACGGTAAGAGCAGCATTTTTTTTTTAGGTAAACAGAAAACAAAGTAGCTACAAAGTTTTTATTTCATAGTTTTTTCTTTTTTTGTATAAGCACTGCATCAGTATAAGTCAATTATTTAAATCTCTTTAACTGTGTCTTCATGACCCAATCTCTGGTGTGTTCACCCAGGAAAAGGAAGAGGAATAATGGATACAGGCTGCCCTTGTCAGCAGTTTGCTCTACTCAAAGGCAAGTGTGGAAGATGTAAGTGCTCTACCGTGGAGAAATCTATAGAATCAAAAGTAGAAAAACATAAAAATTAACAGTTAGATGTCACATACTTTTTAAATAGTCTGGTTAATCTGTGTTTTTTCCCCTCACCATGTTATCTGGATTAACTTAAACCACAAGTGAAGAGGCTGTGCCAGAGGAAAAGAAACAAGAACCTGAAGAAGTGCAAGTGGTTTTCTAAGGTTCAGATGGATTGTAACCCCAGGAAGTTTGGTCCGAGTGTCCCCATATGACTGATATGAGACAATCCACTCACAAATAGAAATGTACATGTAGGTTATTTCATGTATGTGTGATGTTTGTGAAATGATACCTGATATATACTGTCAACTCATATAGAAGCTGTTGATGGCACAAAAACACTTCCTTCAAGACTTGCAAGCTCTTTTCTGTATTAATGATATCTCTCTCTGTTTACTGCAATGTAACTCTAAGTGGTTCTTGAAAACAAAACAAGAACTCTACCAATCATTCAATAAAGGTCTAACAAAACTGATTATGTATTCTTTATTGATTCAGAACTAACAATGTCAAAAAACTCCTCATAGACGCTTTAACCCCAAAAACAAAAAGACAGAAAAATGCAGGTTGTTAAAGTGAAGAAATACAATGTTTAACAAATATAAAGGCATTCTAAATAAATGTGTATGTGTATTCTCTCCCCTCGGTACACAATAAAGTGCATTATTTTTATAATCCAATTAAGGGCACACAGAAAAAACAAACACCACAACATTAAAACTACTCGTACTTGCCTACACTGAAAATATTCAACATAATAAACCCGATCAGACAATGCAAGCAATTAACGACATTTACCATTTCACCACCAGAATGATTCTATCAAAGGTTAATGAATATGATAAGTTAAATATCAAACCTAAATTTCTTACAGGAATTTAAGACGACCTCTCATTTACAGAACCTCCCCCTTTTACTTTACTGAAAGGTTGCTGATAAAGCCAGCAGAGGGCGCAAGAGGCCTTTCCTCATAATCATATTACTCAGCGTGAAGACTCAAATGGAGATAACATTAGCAAACAAGGCAAGCAGACCCATCATCAGAAGAGCAGTTTTGGATTGGGCGTGGAGGCCGTCAGCATGACCTAGGAAGGAAAGACAGGCCAGAATAAAACATCTGAGATCTGCATTCAGCTCATGAATAGAAACAGAGAGGGGAAAAAACTCTCACCAGTGAAGTTTTTGAACTGGAACATTGTGATATTGGTCACAGGGTTCTTCGCCATGCATATGTAGGTCCCATTGGTCTCATTTGTCACAGAGAATTTGAGAAGGGAGCCTTCCATCAGCGGCTCATTAAACGTATTAAAGAACCAGCTGAACTTACACTCTGGACGGGAATCAGCAAAGCATTTCATGTACACGGTGGGGCCGGTCAGTGTTGTGTCTAGAGTAAGGATACTCATAGACAGAGGACCATCTGCAAACACACAGAGAGAAAGTCAGAGGATGTACAGTGAAGAAGGACTTCAAACCACTGGAAATCAATCATTATTGTTGTCCTCTCTTAATCTCTTAAACCAGATGATTATGGGTTAGATTATATATAATTCGTAGAGATAGCAGAAGTTAATGAGAAATAGGGCCTGAATCAACACCAAAATGTTAATAACTAAAAATTCAAACCATGTTATTTTTTTTATTTTATGCAATTGTAACTGTAAAATATGTATGCAGTGAAACCTTTGATACTATACCTTGAAATTATTTGGAATAATTTCCTTAAGATCAGTTGAAATTAGAGGGGCGTTAAAAACATCCAGACTTCGCTAATGTATTTCTTTATATTTTAAAATCTCTTTATATTATATTAACTACTTTGGGGGCTGCAGATTATAATAAATATTGTTGCTAACTTTGTCATGTATAGATCTTGCATGTTACACTTGTATTTCTGTCAAATAAACAAATAAATCTAAAGCTACAAACTGGCCAACAGTTATATTTCCTGGTTGTGTCCTGTTACACTCACAGTTCCCCAGGAGTGTGTACGGTTTGCTGACATGGGAAGCGGCCTTATTGGTAGCAACACACTCATAAATCCCGTCATCATCCCTGGTAAGTGGAGTGAAGTGTAGCATGTTGCCTTCAGAGTAATAGGACATGTTTGAAGCTTCGGGGCTGTGCATATTCAGGTCCACATCGTTCTTCCTCCAGTAGAGGCTATCATAGGGCCCAGTTACTTCACAGGTGAGAGTGAAGTCCTTAGTGTCTATTGGAATTTCCTCGTCACTTGTGATCATCAGGGACTCAATGGCCTCTGTGGACACGAAACAAAGCAGAAATCAGTAATGCAGTCACATGAGCTACATTTAATGATCTATATCCGCATTTGAGTTTTCTTACCGATGACTGTGAGCTTGTGAGAGATTGTGCTGTCCTCGCCTGTGACATTATTGTAAGCCATGCATGTGTACTCTCCACTCATATTCAGTTGTAAAGTTTTGGTTCTAAACACTGAAGTAAAAGCCACCTCTGAACCATTGTACCACCAAGTGTACTGACTGGGAGGCATCGAGTGGGCAGAGCATTCTAAGTCCACTTGCCGTCCAGTCTCCCCATAATATGGTGCTTTAATGTGTGGTGCATCTGGTCCAACTGCAAAAGAGACAGTGATCTTGAATGGCGTCATGTTTTTCCAAATAAATTAGGATGATACGATTGTCACTAACAGTGACAGCAATCCATTAATTGTTACTTACAGGCAACTTTGAGCATGAATGGGAGGCTGGTCCTGTAGATGAAAGCATTAAAAGCTATGCAAATGTATTCCCCTGTATCATTGCGGTGTATGGGGTTGAAGGTCACTGTCTTATTATCCGTGCTAAAAGTCATCCTGTCGTCCCCAAGCAGTGGGAGTTCGTGCTTCATCCAGACAACATACTCAGCAGGTCCAGTCACATCACATGTTAGCATAAAAACATCACCTTCTATGGCAGGGTCATCTGGCATTTCTATGTTTACACCATGAATTGGATCTAAAAAGAAAGAAAAATTCCAGTTTAGCTCTCTTAATGCTGCTTTTTTCCTTGTATAAAACTGTGAAGCTGTCTAAGTCACCTCACCAACAACAGTGAGCGTCTTGTGCACTGTGATGTTTTTGAAGGTGATGTGGTTCAAGGCCATGCAGGTGTACATCCCACTCATGTTGAAGGTAAGAGGAGATAGGACGTACTCAGACGTGACGGCCACTATGGTATCATTGAAGAACCAGGCGTAGGAGCTGGGAGGGTGTGATGTTGCATTACACGTGAGTGTGATGTTGTCGCCTGGGAATGCTATTTTTGGTCCTGTGATAGTTGGCATTGTTGGTCCAACTAAACAAAGAGACATTAAAACATGTTCACAAGACTGACTGCATGTTTATAGATTTAAAAGATTTGCTCTTTAATTACATTTTTTTCTGCTGTTCTTGTATGGGCAATGTGCTGATGTGCAGAAAAATACTTACAGTTTATTTCGACAGTGTAAGAGCTGCTGACCAATTCACTAACTTCATTAAATGCCAAACACTGATAATCTCCTTTATCTGAAAGTTGGGCTGGTGTGAGAGTCAGTGTTTTGTTGTCATTGTCTAAAACCATCGAATCGAAAGCAGAAATAATCTTCTGGTCTTTCCACCAATGAATCGCGGTCACTTCAGATCCAGTCACTTCACAGAGCAGAGTGAAATCCTCATCGAGGATCGCTGGCCCACCTTGGTTTTTCACATGAATTGCTTCTATTGGCTCTACAGGAGGGAGAGTAAACAGAGTTATTGAGATTCACAGAAATGTGTATACTGAGTAAAAGTGACACGTGATCTGGAAATATTTGTTGAAATGATTTGACATTTTTGAAAATGTCCTGAGCATTGAAGTGGAAAGATATGACGTCAATTGCTGATGCAAATTAGAAAGATCAGTTCACAGGTTTTTTGAACGGTGCAGACCAAAGTGTCATCTGGATGCTTCAACCAATCAAAGTAACAAAATTGCATATGTATGCTGCACTCCTTTATACATGACAGTGTAAATCATTGACAGCATAACAGCTGCCACAAGTGAAGCCAAAACCTTTGGAAATCCCGCTGGTGACTGGCTTGAGTGAAGGTCTTTGAGCCCACTTCCTAAACAGATGAGCCATAGGTCTGATTACTGCAATCAGAGTTAATTCTTATCATGGTGACTCCTGTGCAACTGTTCACTTTTCTGAGACTTTACTCGTCATTTGAGCCTAAAAAGAGAGGATGTGACATCATGACTGACAGCTCTGTAGACAAATAAGGCTGAAATGAGGCTTCAGAACAAGACCAGCACAGAGGGAAGACTGGGAGAGATTATGTTACAGCCTCAGACACACGAGTCGCTGAACTTTCCATAAATGTGAGCGTCTGTGTCAAATCAACACAAGAACCTGTTCTGCTGTAAATTATGCTGACCTGAAGGATCTTTGACATTCTGGGTGAATGTTTTGGTTAGCAGAATATGTCAGTCTCATGGCTTTCCCCGTGCATGCCCCGGCTCCATGAATACAGCATCGCAAAATTAGTTTTTTGGCCAGATCGCTGTGAGACAACAGGCCAGGCAGGACAGAGCAATGCCTTACAGTACCCTCAAAGAGTTTGTTAATAACTACATAACTTTTCAATAGTTTGTCCTATTTAAAAACCTGTTGATGGCCTAGCATTGCAGTTAAAGTCAGAAAGACTTTAGGATGTCACTTGGTTTGTCTGAAAAATGGCACCCCCAAGTAATCAGCACTTTTGAAATACTCTGCATGAATTGCATGGTTTCAAAATCTCCCCCAGTTCCCAACATTGTTGAAAAGCTAAGTTAATCTGCTGCATGTTACACTACATATTGAATGCATGTATATGAGAGCTATGTCAGTAATTCTTGGAGGAAGGGCAGGAGAGTACGTTACCTAAAATGTCAAACTATTTCTCAACATCAACCTGAGCATCATTACAGAGGAAAAGACAATCTGGAAATACGAACTCCACAAATACTTACTCACTACCCTGATCATTGCACTTGCACTGCTGAACCTCATTGTGGCCGTGTTATGAAATAGACATTCATAGTATCCCGAGTCATTCTTTGTGACCATCTCCAGTTGAAGCTGTGGGCCGACATTTTCGAGGTAAGTGTCGTTCACCATCCACACGATTGGAGCTGGGTGGCTGGACTCAGCTGAGCAGGATAGAGTGATGTTGGATCCTGTTCTGTGATAGCTGCCCATTGGTGTGATTTCCATTAATGGATTACTCGGACCATCTGATGGAGGAACAAGAGGAACACCATGTAAGGACAAAGATTGAGTGATGTAGTGTTACGTAAAAAAAGAAAAAGGCCTTCAAACTTACAGCTGACGGTCAGATCTACGGGAGAGCTGACTACTTGGCCGAGAAGATTGGACACAATGCACTTAAACTCCCCCTCAAATTGACGTATCACATCCACCAGGGTGAGAGTGGCACCTTCATCACTAAACTCTACGTCCTCAGCAGGTGTGATCACAGAGTCGTCTATCGTCCAAACATAAGTTAGGGAGGAGCCGTTGGACACAGAACACATGAGAACTGCTGTGTCATTGAATTCCACCAGGCTGCTTTTATCTACCTCCAGAGTCACACTTGAAATGGGTTCTGCAAAGTAGAAAACAAAAATTTGTCTCCTGTTTACGTTGCTATTTTACTTGATACTAGACTGTGTTAGATACTTAATTCTGATTGGTTAAAACTCCATTACAGCAGGGTTAAAGTCTTTGCAACAAAAGTGATTTCAGGGACATCCTTATCACAGAGGTTATATCAAATTGATCCATGAAAATGAGTTCTGGCTCATTTTTAATCCTGCTTGTTGACACTGTTTGTTTTTGTTTCAGGACAGAAATGTGAGAGCAGCATGAGTCCCAAACATTTCTGATAAAGATCTCTGCTGAGAAACTTTAACCATAAGTGTTGGCAATAACTCAGTGCTAAAACTTGTGATATTTGCCTTAATATGTTTAATGATGTGTCAACTGCAAAGCTTGAAAATGAGAGCTGAATGAGGACAGAAATGTCAGTTTATAATCCTGTTCATCTTGTCAACGTGATCTTTGATGGTAACATTCATTTTAATGTAAATTACTACAAATAAACATATTTTGACATTGAAGGGAATTGAAATGGTGTCCTTTTGTCTCTGTAACTTGCCAATAAGTATCAGCTGCAGTGGAAGTCAGAAATGTCTTATTTAGCAAGTTTAATCTCCGAGCCTGAATTCAAATCAAGTTGAAATCTAAGACCAACCTTGGCGAAATCAGTCTCCAGATAAAACAAAGAAATGATCCTTACCTTGAACATTGAGTGTTAACTCAGCACTGAAAGTATTCAAAGCCTCTAATTTGTAAATTCCCGTGTCCTGCAGCTGTAGTGACCTTATAGTCAATGATGAAGTAGTTGAATTAAAAGTCACTCTGGAGCTCCAAGAGTCAGAAATGGTTGGAATCCCCAGGATAATAAACACAATGATATCATTTTCAAAGAGCCAGACTCCTGAGCTGACATTGGCATCGGTGGAGAGTGTGACTGTGCTGCCCACTGGTAATGGGTTTTGAGAGGCCATTATCTTCTGGCCACATGAAGGGACTGAAAACAGAGAGCAATGAAAGAGCAATGTTCAGTCATTGTTAAATGTTTTCCTCATCAATTTTGTGGAAATATTGCTCAGAATTTCCTTAACAACAACAACAACAACAACAATGACAAAAATGAAATAGCATATTGTGAAAAGATTTTATAAACCCAGGTAGACTGAAGGTGAGAATGAATTCATGCTTACCTGTGTAGAAGGTAATCACAGCCAAGATCAGCACTGACACCACTGGAGACTCCATTTGATTTTGCTGTTTGTTTTTGTCAGAAATTTCCTTCTTAACTTTACAGATTTGACTGGTTAAGATAAATTCAGATCTTGTGATGATGTGTACTCACAGACGCTTTTTGATCAGCAAATATTTGCTCTTTATCAGCCCAGCTTTCTTCTCTCAGTGCTTATCCTTCATCTACCATCACAGTACCTTCTCAAAGTCTTGGCCACACCTTGTTTTGCCCTGATCCAAACTGGTACACCAAGGAGTGTCCATTTACTGTAAACCTTAGTCTTTCGGCAAGTTTCGTCTGGCGGGCAGAAGCTATAGAGGCTATTTTTCAAATGTAACCTTTTAACTCAAAAGTGATATTTGTTAAGACCGAAAAAGATGAGTCATGGGCTCATGCCAAATTGATTATGAAGAGTAGCATCAAAAAAAGGGAACAGACTGAAAACACAATGAAAAATCAATCAAACACAAACAAAAGCAAACACAATTTTAAAAAATTTGAAAGTGAAAAACCTTTACAAATATTTATCACTCACTTACGAACATTTATAAACCACTATGGGAATTTCCAGCTATCAGCGTCATTAGAGATAAGTCATAACCCTGAAAACAGCTCAGGTGACTCTTTCTTTCTCTGTCTCTGTTTACTGTAATCAACGGCCCACAGAAGGAGTATCGTGGTCAACAAGAAGGGGGAAAAACCTAATATTCCTGTTTTATTACTATTAAATTACTTCAATATTTGAGAAGTTTATTGTTTAAGAAGCAAAATAAGTTAACTCAGGTTTCTCTTTTAAATTTGTTATTTACTTTTTTATGTAATTTCTGCATGGTTCTAGTTTTTTTAGTTTTTGTTTTTGCATTCGGATCATTGTATTGTTGTTACTTTTGCTGTTGTTTTTTTTTAAATTTTATTTAATTTTGTGAAGCATTTCATGACCCCACTCCATGAAAGGGGCCTTACTAAGTAGATTTCACCTACTTCCACAGTCACTCATTCACGATGAAAACCTGGTTAATAGTTGGAGTTGTGATGCCATCAGACAGAGAACTCTTTCAGATGATTATTTACTCAAGAACACACCATGTATTTCAACATTTCTGTTTTTTCCATTGACCTTTTCTCGGGTCTTAATGATGATTTACTTTTCTTCTTGGCCACAAAAAGAGCTTTTTTTCATTGATAAGGATTTTAAAAACACTGCAAAATGTAGTTTTTCCAAATATGTTTAATGTTAGTTAAAGACATACAACAAATCATGCAGATAACAAACATGTTACACTGGACACACATGGTTCAATGCTTATAGACTGTGTAGCATCAAGACAACCCTGTGTGTAAATCTCACACATTCCTCGCAGGAAAGGTTCCTTATCTGGTCCCAGGATACACAGTAATATAAATCTCTCCAGACCTGTTTGCACTTTCAGGTCACCCACCTGTTCAGCACTGACCTGCTGTTCACTGACCCAACCGGAGTCTTCACAGTGGGTCAATAAGGAAAACAGAGACAGAGCTTTTATTACCCTTCAAACTGACTCCATCACTGACCATCTATTAATTATAAATGCCTCAACCCTTGTCCCCCATTTGAGATTTACTGTCTTAAAGTGTGGGAACACACAGAACCTAAGGAAAGGTCTGAGGAGTTGGGCACTGACCTCCTGACCTCTGTCGTAAAACCCTGCCAACCATAAACTGATAAAAACTGCATTCCTTTGGAGAAAGAATACAAATGACTGATCATGACATCTTATGCATTCAGCAATGTACTAATCTGTCTAATCATGAAATCTGTGTTAAAATGAAATGTGTCCTGTTTTTCTATGTGCTCCAGAAGCCGAGTTATCACTCTGACAGAATAAATCCTCTATTCTTTAGTTTCTTTAGACCAACAGCTTTTCAGACTGTTTCAAGAACTTCTAAGAGTAAATGTATTGAGTATGAATCAATTTTACTCGAAGTAACAGAAGTAGTTTAGAAATGTGTGGTTTATATTTTAATCATTTATTTAGTACTTTTTAAACATAAGGTGGTTAAAATGTCATTGAATAATCAGAATGTTAGTATATAGAACCCATTATTAATCATTATGAAGTTCATTTACATGGATTTACTCTTTTGTTGTTCAGTTTCTATGTGTTCATAGAAAGTTGTCCCTCGGTATAGGGTCAAGATTTGACCCTATACCTGCTCCTTGCTGGCCATATCTCATCTCATATAAGAGTGAACACATTGTAGTATGATGAAGAATTGAGCTGATCTGAATCAATATGGAGGTGAAACAAGAAGATGTTTCAAAAATTAAATAAATTTAATGCCAAACCATTTATTACAAAACTTCTTTGAGCTGAATTGAATTTAAAGGTATGCATAAACTCAGTGATTTCCCCCTCCACACAAGTTACCTAAATATTAGAGGAGCAGTCCAGTCAGTAACAGCAGAGGCAGGAGCCACACAGAGACTGTCTGCTCAGATGATCCTGCAGACACAAACAAAAAGAGGATGAAATTAGGAGCATATGTGGAAAAACTCAGACCGACAGAATTGTACAACTATCTCACTTGCTATCAGGATGTTCATGGTAATCATGCTGTTCATGTTGGTGCGATTGTTGAAGGCCAGACATGAATAAGGACCGCTCTGATCTTTGGTGACACCGAGCAGTTCCCACAGTGGGCCTGAAGTGTTGGTGAGCTCTCCTTTGAAAGCCCACTGGAGCTGAGCTGGAGGGTTGGACTGTGCTGAACAGAGCATGGTCAGATTGGACCCAGCTGTAAAGGAGGTAGTATTCTGTCCATTTACTGTCAGTGCCATGTTATCTGGACCATCTGAGGAGGCAAGAAGAGAGAGCAAACAACTGTTAATGGGCCACCACACCTTTTTTACACAGCTGTCTCTTGCTCTGGTGTCAGGCTCTGGGTGGGAGCTTTATAGCATTGATAAAGCAGATCAGGAATGAATGACACCATCCTACTTACAGATGATAGTAAAGTTGACTGAATCACTGATTCCATTGCTGACAAGATTGAACGCATGACACCTGAAGGGTCCCTGGTCATAGCGGGTCATGTTGGTGATGGTCAGAGTGGAGTTTCCATCCGTGAGCTGAACTCTGTCACTGGCTGTGACCTCAGAGCTGCCGTTCATCCAGAGGAAAGTGGGGGACGATCCAGAGGAGACAGAGCAAGTGATGACAGCTGAGCTGTTGGACTCCATCAGGCTGGTTTGAGTCGCCTTCACCGTCACATTTGAAACGGCCTCTGTGAGGGACAGAGAGATCAATAAAACACATGATTATGTTTGTTGTTATAGGAAAACTCAGTGGAGGTTTAGGAGGAGTGGGGATTTTGCATGTTTAGAGACGGATAAAGGTGATATGTATCAACAGATGTTTTTATTCTTTTTAATTTACAACCATGAGGGAGAAAGAACATTACAAAACCACATTTAAATCAAGTCCAGCACAAAATCCCAAACCTCTGAACTAAAAAGAAAAAAAGACAATTTGAATAATCATATAATACACAAGGATTAACTTACAAATGAATGACCTTTTTTTGATAAATTGATTTGTTTGTAGAGACACTTTTAGTCTTTTTAAAAAGAAAACAAGCGTTTCGTAAGGGGTCATTTCATTTAAAAAAATGTAAGTCAATTTGTCGGGTTTGATGATGCAAATCTTAACAACTAGTACATCAAACATTTTCCCTCAATGGGGTCTCTAAGTAAAAAAAAAAAGTGCAAATACTTCATTAAAAGTTTGTTTTTAACAAAAATGATGCAGTTACATAAAGTTATGGTTAATGCTACAGACAGAAGACTTTGTAACCTGTTAAGTGAATAGTTGTAGTAAACTCATTTTGGAATGCTAATTTAAAGAAATATAAAAAAAGAGGTTAACTTCAATAGATTTAGTTCTGTGAGCAGAGGCAGAGATATGTCTACGAGGACTACTGACCCCGCAGAACTAGGCCGAGTGTAGCACAGTAAAACAAGATAGAGGTAGAGGTGAGTGTTGACGCACACAGAAACTGATGAAAGGTGAACGGCATCATGTAAGCAAAGGGGCGGCAAAAAAAACTGTGCGCGTCTAATTTTATAAATATCACGTGGCAGAAACACGAGTTCCTGTAGGATTTACTGCATGTGTTTACAGGGACCTCCTACAGCAGAGCCTGTTTTTTAATCTGCACTGAGTAATGAGACTAACAACTATACTAACTATATGAAATATTTATTCAAGTAGTAATGTTTAAACTGTCTAAAACTCTTGGATTAACTTGATGTTTACTTAAAAGTTTATCAATATAGTTTACAAAGGTCAAGGACAGTGTGACAATATTTTAAATCAGAGGAAACTACACGCATAAGTTCCTGTTGCTTCTGACCAAACTTTCTGTACCATATATAAAGTATTTTATTCTTACCCAGGACAGTGATGGAGGTATTTGCCTTGAGCTGGGGGTCAGTGCTCTGCACAATATAGACCCCTGAGTCTGTCACCTTCACAGAGCTCAGGGTGAGAGCACCAGTGAGTACATCGACCGACGCTCTGCCACTGTGACTGGGGAAGACAGCCTGCTGCGCCCCGAGCCAGGTGAGGATTTGGGATTCCCCGACAGCCCAGCTCCCGCTTTGAAAAGATGTTGAAGGAGACAGAGACAGGGTCAGCGTGTCCCCGACCGCAGCAGGGTTTTTAGAGGGCTTGATCTCCACAGCATCAGACACCAGAACTTTTGAAAAAAAAAGACAGTGCATTATTCACTGTAATGTAAACAACAAATATTACCTGAATTTACATCAGAAAGTCATTGGCTAGCACAGAGCCTATACCTTGTATCAAAGCTAGCGTTATAAATGCCACAGTCTCTCCGCTCTTTCTCCCCATTTTGTAAAGGTGGTCTGAGGATGACCTTGCTCTCTCTCCCTTTTAATACTTGTACAGTCATCCAACCCCCTATCCATAAATTCCTTCAGCATTAACAGCAGCTCTTATCTGCAGGTGTTTCAGGTGACTCGATGTTTATTCTTGTCAAATTTACAAAAGCTGTGTTCTTTTTTTGTTGACTATCTTGGGTGAAGTTCTGTAAATTGCCAGAGAGCATAATGACAAATTATGACAGGAGGTATGTGAGGCAGAATTGAGGATTGGGTGAAGGGTGGGGGTGGAGTGCTGGTGCTACTGTTTACCCGGTTGTTTATTTGCTTTTGGGCTTTACGGACATATTTTGGTGAAATTAATTCCGTTTTTTCCCCCCTTTTTTCAATATAATCTCTACTTGCCTGACAATTCCTCAAGTGTTGGAAAAAAACTGGATGTTTCCATCTGAAGTGTTTCCATCCTTACTCCTCAAAGTTTCAGTATGCACATACATTCAGGGCTGCGGTATCGTGTGCGTATGTGTGGTCCCTGCGTGATTGTATTGGATCATTTGTGTCGTAACGAGAGACAGGACCAAAAGATTTGAGTTTTGGCCTGTTTAGTAGTTCAAACACTGGGCTCCCTCTCAGTTAACACCTGCTGCATTATTTGAGCTGTGGGGTGCAGAGTTCAGTATCAGAGCACACCTGTGTCATGCACCTGACACACAGGAGGTGAGATTGATGACTTTGTATGCTGCTGTTTGTAGAGCGTTGTAGCAGCAGGAGTAGTAGCAGCAGTAGAAAACAGGTGTCCTACATTTCAAAATAGTTTTCCCTCAAAGGATTTAGATGTTTTTTTTATAGATACTAAACTTTTCAAGGATTTTTCTTCTTTAGCTCAGCAGTGCAGTTTTTTATTTTTATTTTTTTTTCCAATTTGGCAGGTTGAAGGTTTGATCTCAGCTCAAATAGCTGCATGTTGAACTGTCTTTGGTAAAGACACTGCTACCCAAATTGTTCCACATGCAGTATTTAGTTTTTTTTTTTGGTGAATAATACTGATTGTCCTGCCTTGTTGCATTCTCCACCATCAGTATATTAATCTCTGTTAAGTGTGACAGGTAGTCCTGTGAGGAGTCAGAAAGACTAAAAGCTTTAAATTGAGTACAAGTCCATTTAGTATTTACTATATTCTTCTCAGCGTAAAGGTTCTGCAGTTTTAATTTGCTCAGAGAACAAAAAATCTCCCTCGAATAGATTGTTAGTAGATTTGTGTGCATGTTCTTGCAATGTAACATGTCTCATGTGTCAAAACTTATTTAATTTACCATTATGTTTGGTCATGGTGCAGGATCAAATATCTGTCTATAGGTGACTAGATGTTGAGAGTTAATAAACAACCCCAGTGTGCTAAAACCTAAAACTTTTGTTCATGTGATCATTTCCATTTGTTGGAGTATAGTTTGTTGGTTCTTGATGGGTCTTTTCCACAACAGGTTTTTACATTTTTTGTGTTCTCTTAAAGACACGCTTTAGTGCCATTGACAGTTGATTCTTTCCCTCTAATATCTGTGAAAATCACTCTGGTATAACAATTATAACTATGATGAGACACTCCTGGTGCCACTCCTTCCCTCCCTGACACCATGTTGAGCAGCAACTATATTTCACTCAGCCTTTGTCACAAAGTGCCACAGTACAGCTCAGTCATTCAATCAGGCCAGGTTTGAGCATAAACAGTATTTTTTTTTTCAAATTGGCCAGCAGAGGGCGACTCTCCCTTTTGAAAAAATTATATCAAAAGACAACATGAGATGTGTCAGTAGTATTAAAAACCAATAGATGAGATCTACTTCGGGTAACCTCTCGGGATGGTCGGCGTCGTGACATTCAACGGGCAGAGAATCACTGCAATATCCGTCACAGAAATTCACGGATCACAGAAATCCGTCCAACCTGTGTGCTCACATCGAGACTTAGCAGGACACTGGGTCTTAAAATGTAATAATGTTAAAATGTAATATAATGCATGAATGTTTATGTCAATCATATGTCATTATGTCATAAAATAAAAACACTTTCACACCATTTTTGTCCTCTTTATTTTTTATTCTTTTCCATATTTTCGACATTAATCATACAAAATATTCTGATTGTAAGAGAAACCTCTTTTTCACGTTTGCTCATCTGATCACCACTCACCTCATGGTTAACCTGCTGTGTCTCTCTAAAAGTGCTCATGACTCGAACTTCAATGCAGGGCTCAATTCCACTATCGACGAGCAGCTCGACTTTAAGGAGGCAGCAAAAAGTGGTGAAAAAGTTAAAAACGAGGGACAACCAGCTTTTAAAGAGGGTTTCCGTGCCTGGTGATTCTTCCAACCAATTTAAAAAGCTTCGTATTCACTCGACAATGTTCTGACAATCGGATTCAAGGCTGAAATACACGGCCTCTTCATTCCATAAAATGGCGGAATCATCCAGCGGGGACCATGGCGAGTCGTTGTCTGTCGTGGCAAAGTCTCTCTAGGCAGAGGCAGTGAGTCGTCTCGGCACACGCCTTGGCGTCTTTCTCCCACACTCTCTGATCCCGTGTATGAAGCTGACAGAGAGGCCGCGACTGGTGAGGCAGATCGACACAGAGGCAGAGGCTCCCTCTTTGGGTGACCGAGAACCACTGCTGGTTGTAGTCTGTTTTTAAACTATTAACGTTATGGGGCAGCACTATGTGTGACAAGCATCAAGCTTACATGAGAGACAAAAAAGAACACATTACCTCCGGCCACGAAAACTAATCAAAATCCCGGAAAGATAGTAAGAATTAACGCGGAGAATCTTACTTAACTCTGTCTGAAATTCACCCAACTTTACTCCCGGGATCAAGTTTCAACAGGTCGAGCCAGACAACAGCATGGACAGAGTCAGCGGCACAGTCTTCAACACACTGCTGAGTGTACTGACGTCTCCGAGGAATCTCCTTAGACGATTTGGTGTACACGTCGGTTACGAGGAACCTCTCGGGGTGGTCGGCGTCGTGACATTCAACGGGCAGAGAATCACTGCCATATCCATCACAGCGCTTTTCACCAGACTGCTAGTGATCCTCTTCAACATGAACGAAGACACAGCCCAACAACAGTGACTGGTGACATGCTGCTCGTCTGCGTGGAGGGCGGAGATTACACTTCCTCAAAGTCTCTGAACTCTGAATCGGACAGCTCTCTGTGTCGAAGGGAGGGACTAAAGGAAAAACCTGTCAAACACACAGCTCTCCACATGAAGAGAATGAACACTCCAACCTGTGTGCTCACACCGAGACTTAGCAGGACGCTGGGTCTTAAAATGTCATAATGTTAAAATGTGATATATTGCATGAAGGTTTATGTCACTCTGTCATAAAATAAAAACACTTTCACACCATTGTAGTCTTCTTTATTTTTTATTCTTTTCCATGTTTTCGACGTAATCATACAAAATATTCAGATTGTAAGAGGAACTTTTTCACGTTTGCTAAAAATTAGTTTCAAACTGAGCACCACTCACCTCATGGTAAACCGTCTGTAGGCTACTTCTCTTAAAGTACTCAAAACTCAAACAGTTTTGATAGCAGGACTTCCATGCCGGGCTCAATTCCACTGTCGATGAGCAGCTCGACTTTAAGGAGGCAGCAAAAAGTTGTAGAAACATTAAAAACGAGGGACATCCAGCTTTTAAGGAGGGTTTCGTGCCTGGTGATTCTTCCAACCAATTTAAAAAGCTTCTTATTCACTCGACAATGTTTTGACAATCGGATTCATGGCTGAAATAAACGGCCACTTCATTCCAAAATATGGCGGAGTCATCCAACGGGGGCCACGGCGAGTCGTTGTCTGTCGCGGTAAAGTCTCTCTAGGCAGAGGCAGTGAGTCGTCTCGGCACACGCCTTGTCCTCAGATTCTCCCACACTCACTGGTCCCGTGTATGAAGCTGACAGAGAGGCCGAGACTGGTGAGGCAGATCGACACAGAGGCTCCCTCTTTGGGTGACCGAAAACCACTGCTGGTTGTAGTCTGTTTTTAAACTATTAATGTTATGGGGCAGAACTATGTGTGACAAGCATCAAGCTTACATGAGAGACAAAAAAGGGCACATTACATTCGGCCACGAAAACTAATCAAAATCCGGGAAATAAAGCACCGAGAATTTACACAGAGAATCTTAACTTTACTCTGTCTGAAATTCTTTTTAACCCTCCTGTTGTCCTCAAGTTAAGACCTACATCCCATGTCTCAAGGGTCACACTGTCCCAGTCCGCACTGACTGGGGTCTTTTTGACCCAGTGAAAGGTCCTGTAGTCCTCACACAGTAAAAAAAAATAATAATAAAAAAAAATAAAAAAATAAACCTGCATCCCACGTCTCAGGGGTCACACTGACTGGGGTACTGACTGGGGTCTTTTTGACCCAGTGATGACTGGGGTCTTTTTGACCCGGTGAAAAGTCCTGTAGTCCTCACACAGTAAAAAAAAAAACCTGCATCCCACGTCTTAGGGGTCACACTGTCCCCAATGTGGAAATATATACTCACACACATATAGTAATAATAATAATGATAATAATGATAATAATAATAATAATAATAATAAAATTAACAAATTAATAATAATAATAATAATAATAATAATAATAATAATAATAATAATAATAATAATGAGCAGACGGAGGGGAGGCGAGAGATGACCTGATATCTCTAGCCGATACCACACTGTTGAGCAATGATGTTTTGATCAGAAGGACAAAGTTGAATTTTATGATGAATGACGAGATGTCCTTTGAGGATTGGTACAGCTACTATTATGACTTTTAGCCATAAAACAATGTTGTGTTGTAATCTGTGGTGTGATGTGCGCAAATAAAGTCATCATCTGAAGCAAAATTGCCAGCTTTCGCATCTTTATTGAGCAAGCGAGAATATGTAAGCAAGCATAAGCTACAGCACGAATTCACATTTTAATAATAATGATAATAATAATAATAATAATAATAATAATAATAATAATGCATTTTTAGGCACATTTCAGCGGCAGTTCTTCCTAAATCTTTCTATAGAAGCATGCTCATACAAACACTTGAAGGAAAAAAAAAAAAACAAGTTCACAAACTCTTTACAACCCCCCACACGTCTTACATCGGACGCTCCGGTTCGCTCGCAGTGAGCAAGAATCTACAGTTAATCACAAAGTGTACTCCATCGACCTCACAGATATGTGACAGCAGACTTGTGAGTCCGGAGAAATGTAGACCCGATCCAAACGTGAAGCCCCATTTATTAAATGTTACTTTCAGCCTCTTCCCCTTGGCGTCTATAATCTCAAACAGGTATCCCGGACTGTCATCATCTACGCAGCAAATTAACGCCGCTGGCGTAACAGAGGGTCCTTCCTTGTTTTGTAGATACTCTATTACGCGATGGGGTCGGGAAACGTCACACCATCCGCTTTTCACCAATTCTAAAACGCTCCACATATCATCCACTACCCGTGTAAGAGAAAAGCTCTGGGGATCGGAAGGTATCGTTGTGGGTCGGGGGAGCAAGTGTGTGTAGGTTTCACGGGCCAGCTTTCTCAACATGTCGATCGGACACGAAAAATCACCTTCCGCCAAGTCGGCGCACACGTAGCGTCTTCGACGGATAAGCAAAGGAAGCTCCTCTCCGTCGACGTGCCGCGCGTCAGAGGCCGAATCCCGGAGCGGGGGACGCGTCGTCTCAGAACCACGGGTCCGTCCTTTTCGTCGCCATGCCGGCGCCGGCTCAGCTGACGAGAAGAACGGACGCGTAGGATGAGAAACGACGTGACCGTCCCCCGCGGGATGGCCTGTCTTGCAGAGGGCGCTGGGCCCGACGCCCCCGGGGAAGGGGGGGGTAGAGCGCACTTTCCTGCTCCTCTCCGTCGACGTGCGGCGCGTCAGAGGGCGAATCCCGGAGCGGGGGACGCGTCGTCTCAGAACCACGGGTCCGTCCTTTTCGTCGCCATGCCGTCGCCGGCTCAGCTGACGAGAAGAACGGACGCGTAGGATGAGAGACGACGTGACCGTCCCCCGCGGGATGGCCTGTCTTGCAGAGGGCGCTGGGCCCGACGCCCCCGGGGAAGGGGGGGGTAGAGCGCACTTTCCTGCTCCTCTCCGTCGACGTGCGGCGCGTCAGAGGCCGAATCCCGGAGCGGGGGACGCGTCGTCTCAGAACCACGGGTCCGTCCTCTTCGTCGCCGTGCCGGCGCCGGCTCAGCTGACGAGAAGAACGGACGCGTAGGATGAAAGACGACGTTACCGTCCCCCGCGGGATGGCCTGTCTTGCAGAGGGCGCTGGGCCCGACGCCCCCGGGGAAGGGGGGGGTAGAGCGCACTTTCCTGCTCCTCTCCGTCGACGTGCGGCGCGTCAGAGGCCGAATCCCGGAGCGGGGGACGCCTTGTCTCAGAACCACGGGTCCGTCCTTTTCGTCGCCATGCCGGCGCCGGCTCAGCTGACGAGAAGAACGGACGCGTAGGATGAGAGACGACGTGACCGTCCCCCGCGGGATGGCCTGTCTTGCAGAGGGCGCTGGGCCCGACGCCCCCGGGGAAGGGGGGGTAGAGCGCACTTTCCTGCTCCTCTCCGTCGACGTGCGGCGCGTTGTCTCAGCGGCCGAACCCCGGAGCGGGGGACGCGTCGTCTCAGAACCACGGGTCCGTCCTCTTCGTCGCCGTGCCGGCGCCGGCTCAGCTGACGAGAAGAACGGACGCGTAGGATGAGAGACGACGCGACCGTCCCCCGCGGGATGGCCTGTCTTGCAGAGGGCGCTGGGCCCGACGCCCCCGGGGAAGGGGGGGTAGAGCGCACTTTCCTGCTCCTCTCCGTCGACGTGCGGCGCGTCAGAGGCCGAATCCCGGAGCGGGGGACGCGTCGTCTCAGAACCACGGGTCCGTCCTCTTCGTCGCCGTGCCGGCGCCGGCTCAGCTGACGAGAAGAACGGACGCGTAGGATGAGAGACGACGCGACCGTCCCCCGCGGGATGGCCTGTCTTGCAGAGGGCGCTGGGCCCGACGCCCCCCGGGGAAGGGGGGGGTAGAGCGCACTTTCCTGCTCCTCTCCGTCGACGTGCGGCGCGTCGTCTCAGCGGCCGAACCCCGGAGCGGGGGACGCGTCGTTTCAAGCGCACTTTCCTGCTCCTCTCCGTCGACGTGCTGCGCGTCGTCTCAGCGGCCGAACCCCGGAGCGGGGGACGCGTCGTCTCGAGCGCACTTTCCTGCTCCTCTCCGTCGACGTGCTGCGCGTCGTCTCAGCGGCCGAACCCCGGAGCGGGGGACGCGTCGTCTCAGAACCACGAGTCCGTCCTCTTCGTCGCCGTGCCGGCGCCGGCTCAGCTGACGAGAAGAACGGACGCGTAGGATGAGAGACGACGCGACCGTCCCCCGCGGGATGGCCTGTCTTGCAGAGGGCGCTGGGCCCGACGCCCCCCGGGGAAGGGGGGGTGTAGAGCGCACTTTCCTGCTCCTCTCCGTCGACTCGCGGCGGCTCAGAGGCCGAACACGAGGAGCGGGGACAAACAAACAAACAAACAAAAAAAAGAATACACAGGCGCACAGGTCACACACATCTTACCTCTAAAGCCCAGGCGTCCTCCATCCGTCTCCATCAGTCTCCATCCGCGCGCCACACGTTCGGCCGCAGTCGCGCGCCCTTTTCTCCCTCGTCGAGAACGTCTCCGCGGCGGTAGCCGGCCGGAACGGGAACAGGAGAGCGTCGGGGGTTTCTCAGCACGTCGACTCGCAGACGAATCCTCCGTCCCCCGTTTTTCCCTTTTTCCAAACTCGCCTCCGGCGCTTTCCCCCTCCTCGGGACGGTCTTGGACCGTAGCCGCGGAGGCGCACTTTCCTGCTCCTCTCCGTCGACGTGCGGCGCGTCGTCTCAGCGGCCGAACCCCGGAGCGGGGGACGCGTCGTCTCGAGCGCACTTTCCTGCTCCTCTCCGTCGACGTGCTGCGCGTCGTCTCAGCGGCCGAACCCCGGAGCGGGGGACGCGTCGTCTCAGAACCACGGGTCCGTCCTCTTCGTCGCCGTGCCGGCGCCGGCTCAGCTGACGAGAAGAACGGACGCGTAGGATGAGAGACGACGCGACCGTCCCCCGCGGGATGGCCTGTCTTGCAGAGGGCGCTGGGCCCGACGCCCCCCGGGGAAGGGGGGGTGTAGAGCGCACTTTCCTGCTCCTCTCCGTCGACTCGCGGCGGCTCAGAGGCCGAACACGAGGAGCGGGGACAAACAAACAAACAAACAAAAAAAAGAATACACAGGCGCACAGGTCACACACATCTTACCTCTAAAGCCCAGGCGTCCTCCATCCGTCTCCATCAGTCTCCATCCGCGCGCCACACGTTCGGCCGCAGTCGCGCGCCCTTTTCTCCCTCGTCGAGAACGTCTCCGCGGCGGTAGCCGGCCGGAACGGGAACAGGAGAGCGTCGGGGGTTTCTCAGCACGTCGACTCGCAGACGAATCCTCCGTCCCCCGTTTTTCCCTTTTTCCAAACTCGCCTCCGGCGCTTTCCCCCTCCTCGGGACGGTCTTGGACCGTAGCCGCACTTTCCTGCTCCTCTCCGTCGACGTGCGGCGCGTCGTCTCAGCGGCCGAACCCCGGAGCGGGGGACGCGTCGTCTCGAGCGCACTTTCCTGCTCCTCTCCGTCGACGTGCTGCGCGTCGTCTCAGCGGCCGAACCCCGGAGCGGGGGACGCGTCGTCTCAGAACCACGGGTCCGTCCTCTTCGTCGCCGTGCCGGCGCCGGCTCAGCTGACGAGAAGAACGGACGCGTAGGATGAGAGACGACGCGACCGTCCCCCGCGGGATGGCCTGTCTTGCAGAGGGCGCTGGGCCCGACGCCCCCCGGGGAAGGGGGGGTAGAGCGCACTTTCCTGCTCCTCTCCGTCGACGTGCGGCGCGTCGTCTCGAAGCGGCCGAACCCTCCGGAGCGGCCGAACCCGGGGGACGCGTCGTCTCGAGCGCACTTTCCTGCTCCTCTCCGTCGACGTGCTGCGCGTCGTCTCAGCGGCCGAACCCCGGAGCGGGGGACGCGTCGTCTCAGAACCACGGGTCCGTCCTCTTCGTCGCCGTGCCGGCGCCGGCTCAGCTGACGAGAAGAACGGACGCGTAGGATGAGAGACGACGCGACCGTCCCCCGCGGGATGGCCTGTCTTGCAGAGGGCGCTGGGCCCGACGCCCCCCGGGGAAGGGGGGGTGTAGAGCGCACTTTCCTGCTCCTCTCCGTCGACTCGCGGCGGCTCAGAGGCCGAACACGAGGAGCGGGGACAAACAAACAAACAAACAAAAAAAAGAATACACAGGCGCACAGGTCACACACATCTTACCTCTAAAGCCCAGGCGTCCTCCATCCGTCTCCATCAGTCTCCATCCGCGCGCCACACGTTCGGCCGCAGTCGCGCGCCCTTTTCTCCCTCGTCGAGAACGTCTCCGCGGCGGTAGCCGGCCGGAACGGGAACAGGAGAGCGTCGGGGGTTTCTCAGCACGTCGACTCGCAGACGAATCCTCCGTCCCCCGTTTTTCCCTTTTTCCAAACTCGCCTCCGGCGCTTTCCCCCTCCTCGGGACGGTCTTGGACCGTAGCCGCACTTTCCTGCTCCTCTCCGTCGACGTGCGGCGCGTCGTCTCAGCGGCCGAACCCCGGAGCGGGGGACGCGTCGTCTCGAGCGCACTTTCCTGCTCCTCTCCGTCGACGTGCTGCGCGTCGTCTCAGCGGCCGAACCCCGGAGCGGGGGACGCGTCGTCTCAGAACCACGGGTCCGTCCTCTTCGTCGCCGTGCCGGCGCCGGCTCAGCTGACGAGAAGAACGGACGCGTAGGATGAGAGACGACGCGACCGTCCCCCGCGGGATGGCCTGTCTTGCAGAGGGCGCTGGGCCCGACGCCCCCCGGGGAAGGGGGGGTGTAGAGCGCACTTTCCTGCTCCTCTCCGTCGACTCGCGGCGGCTCAGAGGCCGAACACGAGGAGCGGGGACAAACAAACAAACAAACAAAAAAAAGAATACACAGGCGCACAGGTCACACACATCTTACCTCTAAAGCCCAGGCGTCCTCCATCCGTCTCCATCAGTCTCCATCCGCGCGCCACACGTTCGGCCGCAGTCGCGCGCCCTTTTCTCCCTCGTCGAGAACGTCTCCGCGGCGGTAGCCGGCCGGAACGGGAACAGGAGAGCGTCGGGGGTTTCTCAGCACGTCGACTCGCAGACGAATCCTCCGTCCCCCGTTTTTCCCTTTTTCCAAACTCGCCTCCGGCGCTTTCCCCCTCCTCGGGACGGTCTTGGACCGTAGCCGCACTTTCCTGCTCCTCTCCGTCGACGTGCGGCGCGTCGTCTCAGCGGCCGAACCCCGGAGCGGGGGACGCGTCGTCTCGAGCGCACTTTCCTGCTCCTCTCCGTCGACGTGCTGCGCGTCGTCTCAGCGGCCGAACCCCGGAGCGGGGGACGCGTCGTCTCAGAACCACGGGTCCGTCCTCTTCGTCGCCGTGCCGGCGCCGGCTCAGCTGACGAGAAGAACGGACGCGTAGGATGAGAGACGACGCGACCGTCCCCCGCGGGATGGCCTGTCTTGCAGAGGGCGCTGGGCCCGACGCCCCCGGGGAAGGGGGGGGTAGAGCGCACTTTCCTGCTCCTCTCCGTCGACGTGCGGCGCGTCGTCTCAGCGGCCGAACCCCGGAGCGGGGGACGCGTCGTCTCGAGCGCACTTTCCTGCTCCTCTCCGTCGACGTGCTGCGCGTCGTCTCAGCGGCCGAACCCCGGAGCGGGGGACGCGTCGTCTCAGCGCACTTTCCTGCTCCTCTCCGTCGACGTGCTGCGCGTCGTCTCAGCGGCCGAACCCCGGAGCGGGGGACGCGTCGTCTCGAGCGCACTTTCCTGCTCCTCTCCGTCGACGTGCTGCGCGTCGTCTCAGCGGCCGAACCCCGGAGCGGGGGACGCGTCGTCTCAGAACCACGGGTCCGTCCTCTTCGTCGCCGTGCCGGCGCCGGCTCAGCTGACGAGAAGAACGGACGCGTAGGATGAGAGACGACGCGACCGTCCCCCGCGGGATGGCCTGTCTTGCAGAGGGCGCTGGGCCCGACGCCCCCCGGGGAAGGGGGGGTGTAGAGCGCACTTTCCTGCTCCTCTCCGTCGACTCGCGGCGGCTCAGAGGCCGAACACGAGGAGCGGGGACAAACAAACAAACAAACAAAAAAAAGAATACACAGGCGCACAGGTCACACACATCTTACCTCTAAAGCCCAGGCGTCCTCCGTCCGTCTCCATCCGCGCGCCACACGTTCGGCCGCAGTCGCGCGCCCTTTTCTCCCTCGTCGAGAACGTCTCCGCGGCGGTAGCCGGCCGGAACGGGAACAGGAGAGCGTCGGGGGTTTCTCAGCACGTCGACTCGCAGACGAATCCTCCGTCCCCCGTTTTTCCCTTTTTCCAAACTCGCCTCCGGCGCTTTCCCCCTCCTCGGGACGGTCTTGGACCGTAGCCGCACTTTCCTGCTCCTCTCCGTCGACGTGCGGCGCGTCGTCTCAGCGGCCGAACCCCGGAGCGGGGGACGCGTCGTCTCGAGCGCACTTTCCTGCTCCTCTCCGTCGACGTGCTGCGCGTCGTCTCAGCGGCCGAACCCCGGAGCGGGGGACGCGTCGTCTCAGAACCACGGGTCCGTCCTCTTCGTCGCCGAGCCGGCGCCGGCTCAGCTGACGAGAAGAACGGACGCGTAGGATGAGAGACGACGCGACCGTCCCCCGCGGGATGGCCTGTCTTGCAGAGGGCGCTGGGCCCGACGCCCCCCGGGGAAGGGGGGGGTAGAGCGCACTTTCCTGCTCCTCTCCGTCGACGTGCGGCGCGTCGTCTCAGCGGCCGAACCCCGGAGCGGGGGACGCGTCGTCTCGAGCGCACTTTCCTGCTCCTCTCCGTCGACGTGCTGCGCGTCGTCTCAGCGGCCGAACCCCGGAGCGGGGGACGCGTCGTCTCGAGCGCACTTTCCTGCTCCTCTCCGTCGACGTGCTGCGCGTCGTCTCAGCGGCCGAACCCCGGAGCGGGGGACGCGTCGTCTCGAGCGCACTTTCCTGCTCCTCTCCGTCGACGTGCTGCGCGTCGTCTCAGCGGCCGAACCCCGGAGCGGGGGACGCGTCGTCTCAGAACCACGGGTCCGTCCTCTTCGTCGCCGTGCCGGCGCCGGCTCAGCTGACGAGAAGAACGGACGCGTAGGATGAGAGACGATGCGACCGTCCCCCGCGGGATGGCCTGTCTTGCAGAGGGCGCTGGGCCCGACGCCCCCCGGGGAAGGGGGGGTGTAGAGCGCACTTTCCCGCTCCTCTCCGTCGACTCGCGGCGGCTCAGAGGCCGAACACGAGGAGCGGGGACAAACAAACAAACAAACAAAAAAAAGAATACACAGGCGCACAGGTCACACACATCTTACCTCTAAAGCCCAGGCGTCCTCCGTCCGTCTCCATCCGCGCGCCACACGTTCGGCCGCAGTCGCGCGCCCTTTTCTCCCTCGTCGAGAACGTCTCCGCGGCGGTAGCCGGCCGGAACGGGAACAGGAGAGCGTCGGGGGTTTCTCAGCACGTCGACTCGCAGACGAATCCTCCGTCCCGCGTTTTTCCCTTTTTCCAAACTCGCCTCCGGCGCTTTCCCCCTCCTCGGGACGGTCTTGGACCGTAGCCGCACTTTCCTGCTCCTCTCCGTCGACGTGCGGCGCGTCGTCTCAGCGGCCGAACCCCGGAGCGGGGGACGCGTCGTCTCGAGTGCACTTTCCTGCTCCTCTCCGTCGACGTGCTGCGCGTCGTCTCAGCGGCCGAACCCCGGAGCGGGGGACGCGTCGTCTCAGAACCACGGGTCCGTCCTCTTCGTCGCCGAGCCGGCGCCGGCTCAGCTGACGAGAAGAACGGACGCGTAGGATGAGAGACGACGCGACCGTCCCCCGCGGGATGGCCTGTCTTGCAGAGGGCGCTGGGCCCGACGCCCCCCGGGGAAGGGGGGGGTAGAGCGCACTTTCCTGCTCCTCTCCGTCGACGTGCGGCGCGTCGTCTCAGCGGCCGAACCCCGGAGCGGGGGACGCGTCGTCTCAGAACCACGGGTCCGTCCTCTTCGTCGCCGAGCCGGCGCCGGCTCAGCTGACGAGAAGAACGGACGCGTAGGATTAGAGACGACGCGACCGTCCCCCGCGGGATGGCCTGTCGTGCAGAGGCCGGACGCTCTCCGGGAAGATGTAGCCGCAGAGGCAGGAAGCTCTCGGGGAAGAGCGCTTTTTCTTGCTCCTCTCTGTCGACTCGCAGACGAATCCTCGACCCCTGCGTCTACGTCCGCGCGCCGTGCGTTTCATCGTCGTCCTCTCTCGGCCGCGGTCCGCTCCTTTTTCTCGAGATCGAGGTCTCGAGGTCGAGATCGTCTTCGGCTGTAGCCGCAGAGGCCAGCCAGTACAGGAGAGCGCTTTTTTTTTCCTCTAAGTTGATTCACAGACGATTTCCTCCTTCTTCACTCTTCGCTGCGTAAAAGAGTCTGTGCAACAGAAGAATACAGCGGAGGTTTTTAGTCAAACGTTTTCACGACAGGGTAAAGAAGGAAAACAAAAACAAAAAAAAAATAAAAAAAGAGAAAATGTTATAGATAGATAGATAGATAGATAGATAGATAGATAGATAGATAGACTACTTACTCTACTCTCTGCTCTACGATCCTTTTTGTAGATGCGTGTCAAAACTTCGACTTTATTTGTTTTTTTTCCTCTTTCTTCGCTCCTGCGGATCCAGTGCCCCCCCCCCGTACTGCGAAAAGAGGAACACAGCAAAGGTTTTCAGTCAAACGTTTTCACGACAGCGTAGCAGAGGTGAGTTTTTAGATAACCATTTTGACAAGCAGAAAGAGCTGAGGGTGAGTTGACCTCGACCCTCCGCCGCGCATTTTGCGCATCACGGGTGGAGGGCGTGTGTGTGCGCGTGTGGATTCAAAGACTCGTTTCTGTGTCATGTATTTGTTATGCTCTTACGGATAGACAACCAAAAACAGCTAAGTCCAATCGAAGCGAATCGTTCAGTCAGGAAGGTGAGCTAACGAATGATTGAATGCGACTCAGCGTAAGAGCATAGCAAATTTACAATTCACGAAACAGAGCGGGACCAAAACGACTGCACAACTCAGTGGTCGCGGAGAGAGACATCCGTTTCTTTCGGCCTGCAGAACAGAGACAGAGAGAGAAATGTGGCTTAGGGGACACGGAGCTATCACGGTGATATAAATATATTCATGTCTTTACATAGATAGATAGATAGATAGATAGATAGATAGATAGATAGATAGATAGATAGAGAATACTTACTGTTCTCTGGTCTGTCCTCTACGGTCCCAGTTGTCGGTCTGCAAACCTTTTGAGTAAACTTTTCTGTTTTTCTGTCCTCCTTGGCAACAACGGCATGAACGGCCCTGTGGAATGCAGCGCGGCTGTGAAGGGAAAACAAGATCCTGTAAACGCATGTTGAGAGAGGGGGAGAGAGAGAGAGAGAGAGAGAGAGAGAGAGAGAGAGAGAGAGACAAACTATATTGTTTGACTGGATTTCTGAGTTGATCTAAAATCCGAACAGATTTTGTCGTTCTAGGAATTCACAATACCCTACACTACTACGCGTTCACATTGTTTCGTTGGAGCTATTACAGCCTTTCCCTTGCTTTAAAAGCACACAGAGTGAGAAGATGAACACAAACAAATAGAATAGAATAGAATATTCCTTTATTGATCCCCCCATGGGGAATTTTTTTTTGTCACAGCAGCATCACAGACAAGACAAAAAGTGCGAACATGCAGTTATAACAATAAGGGTATAAATAAGGTGCAAAAAAACAATAAGAAGGCAAAAACGCGAACTCTGTGAGGAGCTGCTGTGACTTGCTGCCACTCTCAGGGCGCACGAGTCACGAAAAACGCAAATATATTCATGCCTTTACATAGATAGATAGATAGATAGATAGATAGATAGATAGATAGATACATATAGAACACTTACTGTTCTCTGGTCTGTCCTCTACGGTCCCGGGTTGTCGGTCTGCAACACTTTGAGAAAAACTTTTCTGTTTTCTGTCCTCCTAGGCAATAACGGAATGAAGCGGCCCCTGTGAAACGCAGCGCTGCTGTCATACCGCGTGTTGAGAGAGGGGGGAGGGAGAGAGAGTGAGAGAGAGGGGGGAGGGAGAGACAGTGAGAGAGAGGGGGGAGGGAGAGACAGTGAGAGAGAGGGGGGAGGGAGAGAGAGAGAGAGAGAGAGAAACTATATTGTTTGACTGGATTTCTGAGTTGATCTAAAATCCGAACAGGTTTTGTCCAAAATCCGAACAGATTTTGTCGTTCTAGGAATTCACAATACCCTACACTACTACGCGTTCACATTGTTTTGTTGGAGCTATCACAGCCATTCCCTTGCTTTAAAAGCACACAGAGTGAGAAGATGAACAAACACAAATAGAATAGAATAGAATATTCCTTTATTGACCCCCCCATGGGGAAATTTCTTTTTTGCCACAGCAGCATCACAGACAAGACAAAAAGTGCGAACATGCAGTTATAACAATAAGGGTATAAATGAGGTGCAAAAAAACAACAATAAGAAGGCAAAAACGCGAACTCTGTGAGGAGCTGCTGTGACTTGCTGCCACTCTCAGGGCGCACGAGTCACGAAAAACGCAAATATATTCATGCCTTTACATAGATAGATAGATAGATAGATAGATAGATAGATAGATAGATAGATAGATAGATAGATACATATAGAACACTTACTGTTCTCTGGTCTGTCCTCTACGGTCCCGGGTTGTCGGTCTGCAACACTTTGAGAAAAACTTTTCTGTTTTCTGTCCTCCTAGGCAATAACGGAATGAAGCGGCCCCTGTGAAACGCACCGCGGCTGTCATACCGCGTGTTGAGAGAGGGGGGAGGGAGAGAGAGTGAGAGAGAGGGGGGAGGGAGAGAGAGAGAGAGAGAGAGAGAGAGAGAGAGAGAGAGAGAGAGACAGAGAGAGAAACTATATTGTTTGACTGGATTTCTGAGTCGATCTAAAATCCGAACAGATTTTGTCGTTTTAGGAATTCACAATACCCTACACTACTACGCGTTCACATTGTTTCGTTGGAGCTATCACAGCCCTTCCCTTGCTTTAAAAGCACACAGAGTGAGAAGATGAACACAAACAAAAAGCAAATACATTCATGCCTTTACATAGAGAGATAGATACATATAGAACACTTACTGTTCTCTGGTCTGTCCTCTACGGTCCCGGGTTGTCGGTCTGCAACACTTTGAGAAAAAACTTTTCTGTTTTCTGTCCTCCTAGGCAATAACGGAATGAAGCGGCCCTGTGAAATGCAGCGCTGCTGTCATACCGCGTGTTGAGAGAGGGGGGGAAGGAGAGAGTGCGAGAGAGAGGGGGGAGGGAGATAGAGAGAGAGAGAGAGAAACTATATTGTTTGACTGGATTTCTGAGTTGATCTAAAATCCGAACAGGTTTTGTCCAAAATCCGAACAGATTTTGTCGTTCTAGGAATTCACAATACCCTACACTACTACGCGTTCACATTGTTTTGTTGGAGCTATCACAGCCATTCCCTTGCTTTAAAAGCACACAGAGTGAGAAGATGAACAAACACAAATAGAATAGAATAGAATATTCCTTTATTGACCCCCCCATGGGGAAATTTCTTTTTTGCCACAGCAGCATCACAGACAAGACAAAAAGTGCGAACATGCAGTTATAACAATAAGGGTATAAATGAGGTGCAAAAAAACAATAAGAAGGCAAAAACGCGAACTCTGTGAGGAGCTGCTGTGACTTGCTGCCACTCTCAGGGCGCACGAGTCACGAAAAACGCAAATATATTCATGTCTTTACATAGATAGATAGATAGATAGATAGATAGATAGATAGATAGATAGATAGATAGATAGAGAATACTTACTGTACTGTAGTCTCTCCTCTACGGTCCTTTTTTGTCGGTGTTCAACACTTTTGAGAAAACTTTTCTGTTTTCCTGTTAGGCAACAATGGAATGTCGTGTTCGGCACCTTATGTGTTGTAAACCCGTTTTTTTGTTTGTCTGTTTGTTTTTGTCTGTATAGAACCTCTGTTGCAGGTCTGCCCCGTCCTGGGTGAGGGGATCTCTCCTGTGTTGCTCACCCTGAGGTTTCTCCAATTTTTTTTTGTCTTATTTCTCCATTTTTCCTCAGTTGACGTGAGGGTCTAAGGGCAGATGATGTTGGCGTTATAATGCTATGTGAAACTCTCTGAGACAAAAGCGTGTGTAAAAACAAAATCCCCTTGCCTTTTCACTGTACTGCCTTTATTTTGTGATAGGTTGTGCTCATTTATATGAATTAGGTAGTGCGGCTGTTGTTATCTGTATTTGCAAGCTCTCTGACACTCTCTAAGTTTCCCTGCCGTGATGAATACAGTTTTCACTCTATTCTACTCAACTCTTGAGATGGAACTTTTGTTGATACCGACATCCTTTCCTAAAAATTATTTCATTTATTTATTTTTTTCCAGTCCTCCAAGTTTCCAAGTTTTCTTAGTCTCTATATGTAGTGTAGCCTTGAAAGTAAAACCTAGAGCTTTATGTTTTTTTTTTTATTTTTTATTTTTTACAGTCCTCACGCTGTAAAATACAGGGGGTCCTCAACGCCGCCACCACCACAGGATACTTGACTGGATGAGCGAGAATCGGGTCATGGGGTTTATGCTGTTTGAGATGCGCGCTGGAACGTCAGGAGTCATGAGTTCGAATGAGTAAAAATAAATAAATAAATAAATAAATGAAAAAAAAAAAAAAGGCTATGTACACCACGGTGGGGTATATTTGACCCTGCCGAGGGCAGGGGCGCGAGTTTACGATTCTCAAATCCATACTTGACTGGGGTCTATTCGACCCAGGCGGGGTAAAACAATCAGGAGTCGTGGGTTATCTTAGTCCACGCTGACTGGAGGCTAAATTCACCCCAATAGGGCGAGGGTATACTGACTGGGTCCTTTTGACCCTGAAGGGCAGCACAAGGGTTAAACTGAGTTTGAAACTAAATCCCCCTCACCTCACGGTAAAGCTCACGATCATACAGCTGACAAAGGAAAACACTCACTCACTTAAACACACTGAGGGTGAGCACTAATGTGGCGCACAACTGGCACTCTGCAGTGCGTGATTGTCCCAGGCTGTGCTTCTCTAAACGTGCTTATGGCTCAGACACACTGGATACAAGCACTTTTACGCGTGTCTCATTTCCACTATGGGTTAGCAGCTTGAATATTAGGAGACAGCAAATAGGCTACCGGACAGTTCATGAGGGACGTCCAGCAAAGACAATCACAGCCAGTTGTTTTATGTCCCGGAAAACTCAGCTGATATGACACAACTCTCTGCATGGAAGGGAAGGAGCAGAAATCCAGATAAGCTCTGGCACAGACTGTGTGGGGCACTGGCATTACATACGCGACATGAGTTACCATCTTAACTCCGTGTGTTCCATCAGTGTGTACCGACGGTTCATTGGCAAAAGTCTAGATTTGTTTGAAAATGTGTTTTTTTGTAAATTTGGACATTTGCTCTACCTTAGCCCGCCTTTTTTACACTTTACTATGATTGGTCGGTTGCCCTATCTCTTCCGGAGGCGGGACCCAGTGCAGAGAGAGTATAAAGCCTCCACTCCTGCTTTCAGAGTGACCGCGACGTAGACGGATTGACAGTGCTTCACCACAGCTGTAACGGCCAGCGAGGAACACGGCCAAGCAACAGCTTAAATACCGGAGGTCGACATAGTTCGCCAATCAGCCCAGCTTCAGTGTCGGGTATTAAAGCGAACAGTGGCCGACCTGCCGCACCTGGACGCACGGCAAGCTGGGTTTATAACCCGCCGGTGCCCGACTGACAAAGACCGCAGCAGGTCAGCGCGGTTAACCCAACCCGCTGTGTTCTGGAAAACAAGTTGCTCCTCAACGCATGGCAAAACAGGCCACAGAGGTGTCGGTCATACACCCAGATCAACTCAATTCAACTCGAAGTACTTCTCTGTCACACCAACATTTTCACTTAAAATAAATTTGAGTATGGACAAAGTCCGCGTGGGAGTCATCGACAAAGTGCAGCGTGCGCTGACGGCTCTGAGAAATTTTATCAGCCGATTTGACGTGCAGCTTTATGACGAAGGGCGTGTAGTCGTTACTCTTTATGGGGTGGTTATCGCCGAGACGCACCTGATACGCCTCGTGAGAGTGCTGTTCAGGAACGACGGTCAGCAGCCTGAACGGAGCGGTTCACAGCGCTGTGTTGTGTGAGGAATGAACCCAAACGGAAACCCCACCTATCAAAAAGGCTGGAAACAGCACACAGCCGGAGCACACGAGGTATAAACCAGTGCTTTAATTTTTATTTTCTGTCACAGATACACCTGTTGTCCAAAGAGTACTAGCCGAGTCTTGGCGCACGCCTCTGCCGTCAGATTACTCCATACTCGCTTGATACTGTGTCAAGCTGGAAGAGAGGCTGCGACTGGTTTCGCTGTGCCGACCTCAACACAAAATACTCAAATTCTTTCCTTTCCCTGATCTTCATTTGAAATTCAACTTTCCTCCCAGCATCAGGCTGTAACAGGTCAGGCTCCCGACCACAGCAACTGGTAGACTGGAGGGCGGAGATTGCAATTCTTTCTCAAGGCTGAACTCAGTGAATCTGACAGCTCCCTGAGTCGAAGTGGGGGACCACAGGGGAAAAAAACGGGCAGCTGAACAACATGAAGTATAATGAACAGCATAACCTGTGTACTCACCAAGACTGCAGGATGCTGAGTGAAGGCTCAGTTCTTACTATATCACTCTCAGTTCACAAAATAAAACACTTAACAACTTCTTTGCCTTCATTTTTTACTCATCCACTCACTTTTGTCAAATAAATACTCTCTGCTTAAACTGAATCTAAAACTGAGCACCACTTATCTCATGGTAAAGCTTATGATCATAAAGCTGACAAAGGAAAACACTCTCTGGCATGATTCTGTTTATCCCATGAGTCTGATTTTGGTGATCTTAACCCATGGGAAGTCCTGAACAAACACCTTAAATATCGATATGTTTGTAAGAGTTTTTGCAGAGGAAAACAGTGGACTGTTGTTGTAGAGTAGGGGAGAGAAAAGGAGATTTTTGAGCTGTTAAGTTGCTAACAAAATGTAAAAAACAAGCGAAAGAGACCAAAAAGTTATGGACTCTTTTGCTCTTTTTCTGTTGTATTTTATAAATTAGTTTAAGAAGTGATTTTTAAATTAATATTATTATAAGACTGCCTTTCAGTTCTGTAAATATTGACTACAGTAGGTCAAGTCTTATTTTAGGTTCAAGCTTCATTTAGAATTCCAATTCCAATTGCTGTGCTGCACTGGAGGTATGTTTCATTGTAACATCACAGCAATTTCCTTTATGTAGTCTTCTTCCCACTAGTGGCTTCAAACCTTCAAAATTCAGTTTAGTTTAGGCTGAATTAAAGCTCATGGGTCACTGAATTTTGAAAGATTTTATCCCAGGCTTTTTTTAATAATGTAAATTGTTACACTAAACAACTGTTCCCTCCACTTACTTAAATTTGTGTATTTATTTTTTGATTGTCTAACCTCTTTTTCTTTTTTTGAATTTAGTTGTGGATTTTTTTTATTTGATTCAGTTATTATCATAAACCAGCAAAGCACGTACGGCCAAAGACAACCTTCCACAACAATACACCTGCATGAAAAAGTCGGACTGGATCATATACAATCAGCAATTAAATTTGAGTGCTGAGGGGGTCATCATTAAGATAATTGTTTATTCATAAAACTCTAATTGAGTAAAGTAGCTAACTTAGTACAACCTAAAAGCCAAACTAAGGCTAAATGTTCCGCTGTGAGTTGGAGTAAGTTAAGGGCAAATGGAGAACAGGAGCATGGAAACAAGACGAGAGAACTTCATCAACAAAAGTGGAGTAGTAGGGGAGAGTGGGGTAAGTTGAGCCACCCCCAGTTGCTTGGAAATGGTAAAAGAAATTGATCATGTGACCAAATATTTAGGAGATGGGCATCAATTCATGGAGTCTGTAAAGGTTAGAAGCACATGGGTGAAGGGGTTAGACATTTACATTTATTTCCAAAAAGACATTTTTCACTCTTAAAGTGAATTTAGTCTGTCATAAGTTTTATTAGAATTGTGTTCAGACCAAAAAAGATAATTTTAAATTTGTTTTAGACATCAGTTGTGGTATCTTTGAGGGGTTGACCCACCCTAAATCCCCACATTTTTCGGCCAGGCCTGGAATAAGGGACACCCAAATTTTATAAGGGACACCAAACATTTTTCGATTATTCTGGCCCACTGAATTACTATGCCTTATTTCAATCTCTTGGAGTTAGCAATCCTACATAAAAGTCCACCGTTTTAGCTTAGAGGACTAATAAAGCCACAAGTAGAGGGGATACGGCTCAACTTACCCCGCTACTATGGTCAACTTACCCCATAGGAGACCACTTTTTTGGCATACTTTATTATCAAGACAGTTATGTTTACACTCATTCTGCTGATTTGCAGGAATGCACAACATCTTGAAATTTTATGCAGATACACTAGTTAGAGACAAAACTATGATTGCCTTGATGTAATGATCTGAAATATGAAAACTGGCTCATCTTACCCCATTCTCCCTTAAAGGTGTTTGAAGGGAAAGTGATGCTGCAGTCCTCAAGCATAGGGAGGTCTCTGTCTCCCTCTGCTGTTAGTTGGCAACAGGTGATGATGTGTCTGCTTTATCGAAATACGCACTAACTTCTCAAAAACTTATGTGGATAAGACATCCAGACAGGACGCAGCATAAACAGACACACCAAATTTTCTATTTTTGACCATTGATACTCAATCTGGCTGCATTCGCGTCCTACACACTTACTCTCAGCAGCTTGTTACCCATGCGCCTGCTTCAGGTACGTCCAGATTGGCTCCGCCCTCTTCTGTATGCATGTTGGGTGTTGTTTTCGCTGACAGCGACACACAGAGAGGGGAGTTTTTCAGGGCAGGGGAGTGATTCTTCCTTCAGGACTTGGCAAATGAATGACGTGTCACTCAGTGAACGATGCTGTGACTTTAGCAGCAGGGGAGGGGAGGGCTCATTCAATGAACGAACTCGTGGCTGTGTCACTCACTTGTGTACTGCACTGGCAGGACGGGGCTACAAAGCACTGACTGATTCAGTGAACAAATCTTTTGGACGAATCCTTTTAATGAACGGATTCTAAAGATTCAGTACAGTCAAAAGAACTGTTCTTCCCATCACTACTGAAGGCAGCTTGAAGAGACATGAGCTGCGTCCGAATTGCCAAGTAGTAGTCGAAGTAGTATCTAGCATGTCCGAATTGGCCACTGGAGCGAGTAGCATGCTACTTCAGATACTACTTCAGATACTAGACATGCCCGCATTGTAGGTTGGTCTCGGTGCATCCCGAGGGCATGCTACTGACCCAAAATGCACCGCGGGCTTCTTCTTTGTCCTCTTAAAAGTTGTAGAAGCGCATGTGATGCTAGCGCCACCAGCTGCTCTGCCTATTTAAATGTGTCGCGAACGCCGGCTGGACACAGCAGCGCGCACCATGGCGGACCAGCAGCAGCAGCAGCCGCAGGCGGGACCGCAGCAGTACAGATGCAAGTTTCATGTAACTTCACACACTATCCTAAAAAATGTGCGGTTGTATCTCTTTGTCATGTCATGGTGTCATATTTGCCCAAGTAATCATTTTATGAGCAAATATGTGGTGACATCATGGAGGTAAAGCTCACTTATTCCATCATTAAACTGCACAGCTGCAGTAATCAGGCAGATCTCATTGAACAAACGATCACGATCATCACAAACGATGAGTGAATGAAGGCTAAAAGTCATGGAAAAGCTACTTTGTGAATTTCTAAAGCAGTGCAGGAATATAATACAGCAGCATCCATCACTTGCACAATTACCATTCACTCTAAAACGGGCGCAGTACCTACTCTCTGCCTGCGGGTGTCGTCTTTCCCCACCGCTCGTCTAGTGTGTCCGAATTGGGCCAACGTGTTTAGTATGTAGGAGTAGGATCTAGCAGTAATATGTAGCAGTAGCATGTAGTATCCGAGCGGGCAATTCGGACGCAGCAATGGCATCTGATAGGAAGAACCCTCTTTTTGTTTTGCTGGTTATTTTAGGTATTATAAACAGGTAGGACGTTTGGGCATGTGAAAAATCTCCATCGGGCATTTCCTTGTCTTCAACGAGCTCTTGCCCGATGGAGTTCCAATGAGAACTTGCCCGATGGAGATAAAATGCACACTTGCCCAAAAGGATGTCAAACACACACTTGCCTGATGAAGTTCCAACGAGGACTTCCCTGATGGAGTTTTCAACGAGGAAATACCCGATGGTGTTTTTGCACCTGCCCAAATGTCCTACCTGTTTATAATTCCGAGGATGACTCCAGAGGAGTTTTTCACCTGCCTAAACACCAAACACTGTGTGTCTACACTTTATGGCCTAGCTTTATTGCTACAATAGCTTATCGGTGGGATGACTTATATTTATGTTGATAGTCTTGCACAGTCTTGGAGTGATGGGCTCAGGGCAGCCTCAGATAAAAGAGTGCTGTATTGCACGCACAGATGTTCAGTAATACATATGAGGACTCTAACACCAAGTTTAGTGCACTAAATAAGTTCAAGGCAAAACGTAGCTCTAATTTTTTTTATTACCATTTGTTATTGTTGAAACAAAACAAAAAAGTGTGCAGCTTCACTTATACTTACTTGGATGAGCTATCTAATTACAAATACTCTCAAAATGAGCCAATATCCACCATACATACTTATACATAGATATGACACAACTCTCTGCATGGAAGGGAGGGACCAGATATCCGGAGAAGCTCTCGCACATACAGAGGCTGTGTCTCAATTCAGGGTCTGAATGAAGATGAGCACGCTCAGACACAACTCTCTGCATGGTGTGAGTGTTTTTAAAAACAACACTCACAGGGAAAAACCTAATCAGGTGCTGAGGCTTACCCGATGGATAGGGAGCTAGTAAAGGGGGGAAGAGTCATGCAATATTCATGAATTCATTCAACTTGATTGTTTTATTATATTATTGATTGGATTATTTAATTGTTTGAATTACTTTCCTGATAATTCAAAACTTCTTTCACATATTTTAAAAATCAGGCCATTCGCAATCGAAGTTTAGTGATAGCAATTTCAGCATTTTTCATCCCATTAATAATTTTCAAACAATTAGGAAATTGTTTCTGCCACAGAATTGTTCCCATTTGGAGTTTCCATTTTGGTTTCGTCTTCTCATGACATAGAACAGTGAACACCACCATTCATTCAGTGTCAGGCTGCAGGCCATTATACCCAAACATCAGCACTCTCATGAGGCGTATAAGGTGAGTCTCCACACAAATTTCCCCAAAGACACTGAGGGTACACTTTGGCTGTATGTTCAATGGAGAACATTTGGCGTCTGTCTCTCTCGTGTACCTCTTCAGCGGGGTGACCTTTGTTAGGCAATTTTGTTGAGATTCCGGGGTTCTGACGGTGGGCTGGCCTGTGTCCATGTGAGCTTGTCCTCCATGGTGGGCACTGGCCTTTGTTGGCGGTAAGGGTCTTGCCGAAGGACGGAGAGTGGTTGATGTAATTGGCTCCTTGTAAGCGCGTGTCATGCAGGATTGGCACGCCGGCCCCGCAAAAGTCAGTGGCTGATGTTATTTGCTGGAAATAGATGTGCTTAGTACAGGAGTCAAACCCGGAGCGCATGGTTGGCAACCCGATGCTCTACCGGATGCACTATCCGGCACTTGCGCAACAGGTAAATATACACATATTTATGTGTTAATAACTATGTATATGTATATTTATATATATAGTATATCTCAAGATATCTATCTAGTTGTCTATCCATCCATCTATCTATATATATATATATATATATAAATATGTGTTTATTTTATGATCATGTCAACATATGGGAAAGAAGAAAAAATGTGTTCATAAACATAAACATACATACACAAGTATATCTCAAGATATCTATCCATCCATCTATCTATCTATATACATATGTGTGTGTGTATTACATGAATATGTCAAAAATATGAGAAAGAAGAAAAAAATACACAAGGCAAAATCAAGGTGTGTTTTTTTTTTATTTCATGAGCTGTCATCTGCACTGAGTTCGGCATCAAGAAGCCGTGTAATCTCTGCCCTTCAGCAAGTGTCTCCTGTCAGGATTTGCACGCACGCCCCGCAACAGTCAGTGGCTGGTGCTATTTGCTGGAAATAGATGTGCATAGTACAGGAGTCGAACCCGGAGCGCATCAAGGAAGTCGTGTAATCTCCGCCCTCCAGGAAGTGTCTCCAGTCACTGTTCGGCTGTGTCTTGGTTAATGTTGAAGATGGCCATCAGCAGTTGGTTGATCAATTCTGTGATGAATATGGTAGTGATTCTACGCCCGCTGAATGTCAAGTGGCCAACCAGCCCGTGAGGTTCCTCATAACGGACCTGCACACCAACTTGTCTGATGAGAGACGTCAGTACGCTCAGCGCTGTATTGAGGCCTGTGCTGCTGACTCCGTCCATGCTGTTTGGCTCGACCTGTTGAGGTTGATGAATTTCAGGAAATGTCCTTTTATTTTCACATATAGCGTGGTCCCAACACATTAATATTGTAAGTTTAGGTTCTTTTTTGCTTTGTTTTTTCAAATCACCCATGCTTGTTTTTCTCGTATGCCTTTCCAGTATTGTCCAGTCTCCAGTCTTGGTGGATTGGCTCGTGAGTTCTTACCCTGTGGCTGAGGGTACACTTTGGCTGTATGTTCAATGGAGAACATTTGGCGTCTGTCTCTCTCGTGTACCTCTTCAGCGGGGTGACCTTTGTTAGGCAATTTTGTTGAGATTCCGGGGTTCTGACGGTGGGCTGGCCTGTGTCCATGTGAGCTTGTCCTCCATGGTGGGCACTGGCCTTTGTTGGCGGTAAGGGTCTTGCCGAAGGACGGAGAGTGGTTGATGTAATTGGCTCCTTGTAAGCGCGTGTCATGCAGGATTGGCACGCACGCCCCGCAACAGTCAGTGGCTGGTGCTATTTGCTGGAAATAGATGTGCATAGTACAGGAGTCAAACCCGGAGCGCATCAAGGAAGTCGTGTAATCTCCGCCCTCCAGGAAGTGTCTCCAGTCACTGTTCGGCTGTGTCTTGGTTAATGTTGAAGATGGCCATCAGCAGTTGGTTGATCAATTCTGTGATGAATATGGTAGTGATCCCACCCAGCTCACATGCTGCAACCATCCACCCATCAAGCATGCACGCTCGCACGCGCACACACACACGCGCGCACACACACGCCATCATATGCCACTTCTGTATTTTATGAGGAGTGTATTTTTTTTCCATCTCTATGCGGACTATGTACCTTTTTCAATGCGTAAGAGTCTTTAGAGTTTATGTTACATAAACTCTACAGACTCCTACGCACCGGCACAGTAACTTGTATTTTATGTTGTGACTACGGTTTGCATGTTGCACTTCGCACCTTTTTTACCTCTGTGTTCACTCTGCACTTTTTTACCTCTGTGTGCTGTGCCTCTACTTGTAAAAGCTGCTGGGAATTTCCTGTGGGATCCACTGGAAATTCCCAAGGAATGAATACATTTTAGTCTCTTAAGTCTAAGTCTAACTTCAGGTGGTTAAACCAAGGAGTTTTCATGATGTTGCAATTTTTAGGCAGAGGAAATTTACCCAAACCATAACAGGAAACTGTTGTAATGGCACAAAAATAGGGGTAGTTTCAGGCTAATGGCACAGTTTTTATTTTTTTTACAAACATTCATGTGTCTAAATTAAATAATTAAATATCTGTGCTGGTCCCATTCTGGCTTGAAACACTAGATGGTGCTGCCTCACAAGAGTCCCTCATTAATTCTAGTTCCCTTTTCTTCTGATAACAAAGTTCACCAAACACTGTGTGTCTACACTTTATGGCCTTTCTTTGTTGCTACAATAGCTTATCAGTGGAGTGAACATAACTATAAAATGGCAGCTATCAGTGTAGGATGTTGGATATTATAGTTTCTTGAATTTAACTTCCTTGTTGTGATGTTTATTCATTGTATTTTTTCAAATGCTGCCGTTATTTAGACTTGTCTGTATTTCTCATTGTCAACCACCTTTTACCACATTTCCTGTAAATGACTTCCTCTGCTTGGGTGTCCTAATCTAACACCAGTGCAAACAGGTTTAGTCTCTCATGTGAACGACTCTGATGACTTTAAGAAAACAAAGGGAAAATACAGAAGTTTATGGTTTTTGTGTTATCACATCATCCGACACGTGTTTTACTGCTCTGTTCTTTGCTGTTCTTAAACTGTTGCTATGGTGATATTGGTTTGGCACAATGATGTAGTTAGACACAGTGAACTTTGAATTTATTGCCATAGATTAAATGCTGTGTCATGTCCGGATAAAATTTTCCTTATTGTTTACTAGGACTTACCCCCTCTATTCTTTCATGAGACCTTGTCTTGAGAAATCTGTCTTGTACTTTAATAACGAAACAAAGAAACAAGTTTAACCACTTCTCTGCTGAATCATTTCCTCTATTTCGTATATTTGCACTGACCATCATAAGTCCACTGCATTAATGCACTGTTTACCGTCATAAAAAACCCAAACACACATGCTGCTGACCTGATCCCCTGCAGGCTCACTCTGTTTAAATGAATAACCAAACGTGATTTGCATGAGAAACAAACATGAGCCTGTAAAAAAATAACTGATCCTGATGTGTGACACTGAAAAAACACACAAATGCTCCTGTGGTACAAACTCAACACACATTGTTGTTGCAAAAAAATGGTTTATTTATGACTCAAATACAATATCTCCAACCTGAGTCAAACATTCACTGCATTGACTCTTTGGTAAAATGTGAATCATAATTCTCTACATGACTGTTAAAGAAAAAGCTGTGTTTAACTTGAACTGTTAATGACTGACAGAGGTTCGAGGGAAAAACACGACACAACACAATAGACGTCTCTTTAAAACCATCAACCTTTTAGATTTCAGGAATGACTTAAACCCCAAAACATTAATTTTAAGTAAATCCACTTAAAATTTGGGGTGTATTTATGGATTCCAATATATTTAGATGTTCTCCTGGATTATCCAAAGTGTTATTGTCTTTTTAAAGGATAGATTCAAAGAAATACATCACATGTATCCATCAATTAATATTTAAAGGACAAGATTTCATGGTCAATCATGTATTCAGTTCATTTAAACCTTTTAAAATTACGATACAGTCATTTATTAGAACAAAATCTGATTGCAATTTACATCACTACTCACCAATAGTCAAATAGAATTTGAAGGGAAAATAAATATTTTCAGTATTTGACAAAACTGTACAAGTTACACAGTTAAACACACTTCATGAAACCTTTAAATGCAGGTGAAATAATTTGTGACAGACAACAAAGCCAGTTTGAGTCTGGGTAATGATTTACTCCTTGTGGAGGGGAAAAACTGGCCTCTCTGATTCATTAACTTAGGCTCAGATGCATTAATATGTGATGTTTCAAGATGATATAAAACAAAGCTTGTTTATGCAGTTTTTTTGTGACTACCTTAAAACCCTGAATCTTAAAATGTTGGTCAACTTTAAAGTAGATCATTGTAATGCTTTTTAAAAAAGCCCACAAAGACCCTGATCTGACATAACACCAAAGATAAATTACATTCTACCTTAAACTTCTTCTCTATAAATATACATATGCAACCAATCAGGACATTTAAACCAGCCATGCTAGAAATTCTGTTTTTTTTTTCTTGTTTTTTTTTTCTATGCCCTTTTATTGCTATCATCTTTACTTATATTCACAAAACAAGAACAGAAAAGGTCAAAAGAGTGATCTGACAGGAAATCCCCAGAAAAGGTGACTGCCAAAAATGAATGAGGAAGTAAGAAAAAGCACAAAGGTTGCGTTAATAAACCCGGTATTGTACATTTTGTTATTGTATTTAAAAGCTCAAGCTTTGGCTTCCAGATTATGTGGAATAATTTATACATGACCAGTACAAAACAGGCACTTAGTTCAGGAATGAGAAGCACAAAAGAGTGTGAGCCGTGACACAGTACCAGGGGTGCGTCCAGGGTTTGCACCACACCTTTGACTTTTGAATTACAGCTTCAGTGCCCCCCATAAATCCTTAACTATGATCAATCAAGCAATCCAAACTTATTTCCCAATCATGGTTTTACTGTCTCCTTTAATAATATAAAAGATAATTTATCAACTTAAAGTGAACCTCCCTTTGATGAAGAATGCTCTGCCTTATTTACAAAATAAATCCTCTCTGTCAGTGCAAACATCACATTAATGCCTATGAATTATAATACAGTACACAGCAGGGTGTGTTGGATGAACATCTTTACAGAAGTTAGATTGTTGAAAGGTGTCAAAGTCAAACATTGTGTGTCCGTATTCATGCTAAACATGCTTTTCTATTCCTCTTGCACTTCGTCTCTTATTTGAATTGGTTCCCAGTTGGCACAATGCCTCTGAGGAAGAAAAGCTTATAAAGACAGCATGCTATCAAAACATTGCAGCCTTTACTGACATTTACCATCACTGTGTTTTGAATTACTCTGACCTTCATTTACAGTATTTCTTGTAAGCCACAGTTTCCGCATACCTCTTGGATTGACTGGCCATAAAACACTTTTATTGCACCTGTAGACACCTGTCACAAACCCAGTGGACACCTCAAGAAACCTTTAACCTCCCTTACACGTCTTTCGCTTGGGAATTAAAAACAGTAAATAAACCCCTTAAATTGTTTTTATATTAGAGTTCCAGATTGTAAGATGCCTGTTCTTGTTGTTTCCATTTGTGGGATAAAAACCTTTTAGTTTCTTGTTATAGAATTAAATGACAAAGTTGTATTTAAATCACCTCACGGTTCTAATGGATAAAGGATTAAAAAGTTAATTTCAGCTTTCAATTGTAATAAAAGTTTTGTAGGTTTGCTGGTACCCTGTAAAATACTGCTAAAAGATAGATTTAAATAAAAATAAGTAAAGCTTACAACTATTGAAGTCTGTTTCTGTCAAACAAGCTGCAAATCGGCACACATGTAGAATCAAATGTGACTTCACATCTGATTCAAGCATCAATCTAAAGTAAACAACCTAATCAAATAGAGAGAATATTTACACCCATAAATGTGAACGCAAAGAAAGGCAGAGAGAAGTTCCTGAATGCGTTGTGTGCCAGTTTATATGGCGGCATTGTGCCTTCTAATCTCAATTCCTGTCATGAGCTGGTTGAATATTAACTGCTGGTAAAGTGCTTTCACTGGACTCAAGTCCACAGGAGTCCTCCACAAAAATACCTGAGAAAGGAGGCTTTTCTGACCACACATCAGAGGCTTCTGGTCTAGTCCGACTATATGATCTAATATTGTTAATCTGACTATTTTTTGCGAACCTCAGCATAAACCTGAGCTCCATTAGCAGGAGGCTGAGGAGCCTGGCTCTTCGATCTCTGTATGTGGGCGTCATAGGTGGGAGGGGAGGACGCTGCAGGACGGTTGTTGTTGATTCTGACCTGAGCGTACTCTGATGTCTCATTCTGTGGCCTCAGTTGGACCGTCCCACCATCTTTCCTATGGAAAGCTGCAATATCTGCGTAGTCCAGCTCCTGGAGGATGAAGGGGATGAAAAATGTTCAGATTCATTTGATACTGTGTAACCAAACATGCATTCAGACTTTGGTTACACTGCAAGAGCGATATCTGACACAACAAAAAAGGGAAGCTGTATCACAGCGCCGTCACGGGCTGACACACATGTACACTCCCCACTTTACTGTGTCCACTAAAAAAACTCTTCAAGGTTCAAAGTCTAGTGTTTTGCACTGTGCTATTAATAGATCCTCCATGAGCCTGGAGCTCTTTTGAACCAACCCACAGGAACCAGATCACACTCACAGATCAGAGAAAACAGATCACGATATCCTGATTTATTCATTTCTTATTTGTAAATTGTTTTACTCACTATCTATTGAGTCTTTATAGAATACATAAAATTTAAAACATAACAAAATAAAGCCTTGAATGTGTAGTTGTGCTCAGACTGACTGACTTCCCGGATTTTCTGCATCATTTGTTTCTTCTAAGTGACGATTAGGAGAGCAGTCATGCAGCGTTTACCTTATTTCCTTGGAAGGCTGAATTGTCCTGACCGCCACCTCCTTAAAAACGAGAAATAAACAATGTTGAGCAGAGTTCAACAAAGAGGGTCATGAAGACTGTATGCCGTGTTGTAGAACTGGAGTCTCAGAGTGTAACTCAAGGCCTGATTTTCAGGAGTCAACCAGAATTTGACCACTGATTTACAAGGTTTGATCCTAAGGTGTACCAGGACTTGGTAAAAGATCTCGTCCTGTGTCCCCTTTGGATTAAGGCTTGGACTTGAACCTAGTCAGATATTTTGCCTATTGATAATGAAGACTTGGACTGAGACACAGCACTGATTGCATTAGGACTTGTCTTTTGGTCTTGTCTTTTGTTGTCATAGAACTAAAGTTGCAAGTTTTGAATAAGCAGGGCTCAGCTGACTTGACAAGCAGACACACTGATGAAGGTCCACCTTAACTCCACCTCTTTGCCTCTCGCTCAGTCTGGTTGATCCAGTAAATCTAATATGAGGGCTGCCATCACTGCCATCAAAACTCAGCTTCATAAACCTTAGTCCACATTTAGGACAGTCCCGGGTGTTCATTTACTGTCATGTTTGGTAACAGTTCCGACCAGGATGCCTAAAGAGACACCAAGAGTCTGTACTTTTCTGTCAAAAATTTTCCAGTGCAACATGTTCAATCTGTCATGGAACCATTTGGGATGTAGAAACAAAATTAAACTTTAACAAACATCTGTAAGGATGACTCCAGAGAAGTGAGATGCCAAAGTTAAGCGCAGTTAACTTTTAGCTAATAGTGAGCATTGTCAGTGACTCAACGACTGGTCTCATGACGTTTGTTCAAAGTTAAAATTTTGATCATTAGCAGGCTGGATGCAGGTTTTTTTAAGCTTATTAAGATACTTGCAGTGATCCAGTCTCTGCCGAATCAATGGGCGGCGTCTCTCCATTAAGAGAGGCGTTGTGCGCAGTAACTTCATTGATCATGTTCATCTCCAGACGTGCTGACACCAACAGTTAATAGCTCTGATTAAAACTTGAGGTCCTCCCTCTCATAATTAAGAACATGCACAATGAGGATATGACTCAGATAATGAAGACTCAGCTCAGACTGGACCCAGGTTCTTCTTTGGTGACTTGAGACTGGCCTCAGACTTGAGGTTTGCTGACTTATGACAAGACTGGATCTGTAATAAGTGAACAATAAAACAAAAACCTTTCCACGAATATACTTACCAGCTCTGGGGGAGTGGGAGGTTTTCTGGCCTCTTCTGTTTTGAGAAATAATCAGTCAGTAGTGTTTACCTCAGACATTAGATAGACATGGTCTGACTTTTGCAAAATAATAATGGAAATTTAAAAAGGCATTATTTCTGTATCTGAATCACTCACTGTAAACTGTTACTGGTAAGACAGAATCCATTCATTCAAGTGAGAAAGCTAATTGACCAAAATGAGAAAACATAAAGACCTATTAATTTTTTCTGACTTACAGATATTTTTGTCTCAGGAAACGGATAACCTTTATTTTGTCCCAGTCATAAGAAATCTATATTTTTCACATTTTGTACCCTAAAGATGCCAAGAGTTCAGCCACCAAGGTTGTGAACAGGTTACTGTGAGCCATACAGCTGACAGTTTAAAATTTAAACCTGACAAAAAACTTGAACGGTGAAGTTGTACATTGTCGATGGAAATATTGCAGAAGTATTGAAGAGTAAAACTGTAACTGTACTCAAACTATAGGACATGTATTTTTCACCTCTCACACATCTGTGAATCTATAGCTAGTATAACTGAGCCACTATATGTACTACCTGATATTGTATTGAGGATACTTTTAACTTACTTTTTCTTGTAAAAGTAGAACCCAACACCACAGGCTGCTCCAATGACCACAACGCATGCAATTACTATTCCAATGATATAATAAGGTGGTGGTGGTGGTGGTGGTGTTGGGTCTGGGGGGGCTGATATGAGAAAGGGAGAAAAAATAAAATAATTATTAAACTATAATGTGAATAAGAGCTGTATCATTAAACCTGTGCATACAAACTATGCAGTAATTTCTTCCGTTACTTGTTTTCACAGCTGAGCAGTTAAAAATACTTTTGTTTGTGTTCAAGGTTAGGCCTTGACGTTGGAAAACGTTTCAGCAGCTGACCTGTTCCTGAAGCAGAAATGTTGTCATGAGTTTAATATTCGGTCTAAAGAAAAACTCCAAAGATTTCACAGATCATGAATTTGTTCACTTTCTTGTTGAGGTGAAACCCTCTGAGGCTTGAGAGTGTTGGATCAGATCCTATGAATGGTCTTTAGTGATGTTACTGCAGTCATCACTGAAGCTAAAAACTACAAGTCTCAGTCTAGTAAAGTAGAAACTTTGTTTCTCTTACATTGATCGTGATACTTTTTGTCTGAGCTGACTTCTTAGAGTCACAAACTCTCAAACACTCCGTCTAAAGCTAATTTGACTATTTCAGGGCCAGAAAAGAGAACTTTTGATTGCTGACAGTAAATCAGCCACATGCCATTTGATAAACTGGATGTAACAGAAAAATCTTCCAGGTGTCTACCATTCTTCAAATGTTCATCTTCTCACCTGTGACAGTCAATTCAAGCACCGCAGACAAAGATTTCCCAGTTATGTCATTCTTTGCTTGACAGGTGTAGTTTCCACTGTCAGAGGCTTCAGCATCTTTTTTAGTGTACACAGCAGAAGAGTGTATCACTGTCCCATTCAGTAACCAGGTGAAGCTAGCAGATGGTTCAGACTCAGCAGTGCAGGTTAATTCAATGGTCCCTCCGATATTGACCAGACTGTCACCTTTGATTTGAACAGCATCTGGTCCATCTGAAAAAATAAACAGTTCACGTAAAGATTGACTATTTTGGCTTTTGAGCAAACAATCAGTGTTAAGGAAGTGCTTTTTTAGAACAGGGCTGATTATATTGAAGAGGAAACGTTCTCTGTACAGTTTACTTACAGATTACACTTAGGTTGTAGTTAGCTTCAATGGAATTGATGGGGTTGCTGATTTTGCAGGAATACACTCCTTTGTTCGTTCTGTTCAGTGGTTGAAAGGACAGCACTCTGTTGTTGTCGTAAAACTTGATGTTGTCAGCTTGAGTCAGATCTGATCCGTCCTTCACCCACTCTCTGGTGAACACAGATCCAGCAGCATCACAGGTTAAGTTGACTAAGTTCCCCTCAATAGTCTGGTTTGTTGATGGTTTGACTGAAGCCTCTGAGATTCTCTCTGTTGAAGGAAAGATTATGAAAGCTTGTTATTCTTTAAGAGTCGACTCAAACATTCAATAAAAATTAAAATTTTGCACTTTTCCTGTGATTACCACTTGAGTTGATCATTTCAAGAGTTTTACCTTAAGTTTTAATGAAACCCTTAAACCTGCAGTAAATATGGAGGAATGTTTCTTTCTATCAGGTATATCAAGCCTGTTTTTGATCATTTTCTTTTGTAGCTATCCTTAAATGCTGCTGTGTCCAAATTTACAAACATATCTGAATGAAGGAAACTTTACAGACATGTACTGCACTGTTACTTTTCTGAGTTTTGTGCTCAAACCATTGTCTGTGGATATGTCTGGTCTGCTGAAACACTTGGATGAATTTAAGGGAAAGGCGTGTTTTTAGCTAATATAATTAGTGTTTTTTAATTGATTTTTACAATTGGCTGCTGACTTTTTCTGCATAATGTAACCACTAATACTAATCTCTTGTCATGTCTCGTCACTGGAAATATGTCCTCAGTGAAATCCTGTTGATATGTCATTAGTTTTCTTTCTAACAATCTGCAAAGTCTTTGACCAAAATATCTTTAAGACACAGTATAAAAAACTTAATTTTCTAGGAGATGGGCTGGTGATTTGAAATACATTATCATCTCTACTTTTAGCTCTGCTATTGTCTCCACCACACAGTCTGATCCCACCCTTTGACTTATACAAAGACTGACACTGTGTTTGACTTTCTCCTGTTGAACAAAAGAGAAACCAGATCAGGACATGGACTTCATTTTATAAAACGACCAACGTTCAATCTGTCAACATGGATATATTTTTAGTTGAACAAATTTATGTGTATTTAGATGTTTATTCTATTTAACGACAGTAACAGTGAAATTTTCTGCTGAGCACTCAAAAAAGTTAAGTGTTAGATAACCCCAATCATTTTAAATCTGAGACCTCTCAGTTGTCCCTGTGAGCAAAAAACACAGTCTCATGCCAGTGTTAATGTCTTCATGTTCCTCAAATTTTAGTGCATCCTTTTTACATTTGAATCAAGGTTAAATTTGATCCATTTGCCTTTTTTTAAACAAAGCTGGTCTTTAAACTCACCCAGCACAGACACTGATGACAGCATCGATGTGTCACTTCTCAGAGTTTTGTTATTAAAGGACCGGCAGCTGTAGTTTCCACTCTGTCTCTCCTGAATGTTGGTCAGCTTCAGCTCTTCTCCAGTACCAGACAGCTGGTCTCCATTCAGAAACCAGTTAAAGTGAGCTTTAGGTCTGGAGTCAGCTGAGCAGAACAGGCTGATGTCTGATCCAGCCTCAAAGTGTTGTGGTGAAGATAAGTTTAGTTTTGTATTTTCAGGGCCGTCTAGTGATGGGGGAAACAACAGTAAAAGGATTTAAAGATTATTTAAAGATGACATTTCTAATCAGAGGGATTCAGATAAAGTTCTGGATATGAAGGTAAGACACTCACAGCTCACAGAGAGGTAAACTGGATCACTGGTATTCTTACTGACAGGACCACTGACAGGGTTGGTCACATTACAACTATAATTCCCCTGATCATAGCGGATCACAGGAGTAATGGTGAGAGTGGAGCCTTCATCAGTGAACTGGACTCTGTCACCGGCTGTGACCACAGAGGAGCCGTTCATCCAGAGAAAAGAGAGGGAGGATCCAGAGGTGACGGAGCAGGAGAGACGCACCGAGCTACCCTCCTCTAAGTCTGTGCTGTTGGCACTGAGTTTAACATCAGTGATTGGCACTGTGAGAAAGAAAATGGTTTTTATTTTTACCGTTTAACAAAAGCAGAGCAGAGGGAAACTGCAGTGACCATTTTTAACAGAGTGTTCAGCAGTCCAATTTCACACCATCAGGAAGGTTGAACTAAATATGTGAACAAAACTTCTTTGATAGGATCTGACCGAAAGCTTTGAACTACCACAGTCAGTAAGAACTCAGCCTAAAGTTTTCATGGTGATGCACCTAAAGTATGTCAGTGTTTCTTGATCTGTGAAACATTGGTTTGACCACAAATGTTTGCAGACTTCACACTGGAGTCTGTGTATCATTTTCCTGTGCTTTTGTATCTTCAGTCATCTGGTCTACGACAGACATTTGAAACGTTTGTGTTGACTTTAACTTGAGATTTTTTTCAACCTTTTTGTTAAAGAAGAAAATATTTGTGGATTTATGGCATTAACACTGTATAGTCTATTTCTCTTTATATGGAACTGATTTAACATTGAACATATATCAGAAATGTTTGACTTTACACTTAAAGGTCCTCATCAGGGTTTTAACAATTTAGGGCCCCACAGAAATGGATCATTAAGACATTTTGAGGGTGTTGTTTCATCAGATCTGATCAACAGTTTTAGCCAAAAAAACAAAAACCTTTCACCATCAAAAGAAAAAAAATCTTCACTTGTCTTTAGATTCTGAGTTATTTTTAAGCTTGCATGTTATCAATCTAAATAGAGACCATAAATGAAACCTCTTGATAGTTTAACAAGAAATCTATTTCTTAATCATATGCTGTGTATAATCACTGATTTATTTTTTGAAGGATACATGTGAAACATTTGCTCACCATGAACATGTAGTCTTGTTGTGCCCTCAGGCGCATTCGATCCAGGCTCCGTAATCCTAACTGTGTATTCTCCGCTATCATTAACTGTTAGATTCCTGAGCTCCAGAGATCCAGTAGAGGGGAAGAGGGTGATCCTGCCCTCATAATCTGGCTCAGTGACGTTAATAACATTTGAAGTGATTATATTTTCATCACCAAACTTCCAGAGAATGTTTATGAATGGGATTTCTGTTGGACTCAGTGTTGTGGTGAAATCCACTTTCCCCCCAACAGCTGCATCCAGACTGTCTGGTAATATACTAACTCCATGGGTTACACCTAGAAGAGACAAAAACAGGTCTGAGGAGATCTCTGCTGAAGGCATTTAAACATAAAATATTTAGTTTGACTCTATTTCATAGCTGAGAGAGTTGTTGGAGTGGCTTTCTTAGAACTGAAAGCTGGAAACTGTTGGGTTTTGTTTTTTTCGTGGTTAGTCAAAGTGAGAAAAGCTTCAAATGTAGATCAAAACAGACAAGAAAGAAAAACAATGAGCCACTAGAATGATAAGAATTTCAAAGGGTCAAATTCTTAACCAAACTGTGATTTTTACATGTAGTCCTACATTCATGCTACTAAATCACATTACATTAGACTCATCCTTTGTCTTGACAGTTGTCGTTGTTTCAGTCAGTCAAGTTCAATGTATGATGGGCTTTAAACTTTCTTAATGTAGAAAATGTAAAAAGCGACAACAGCAGACATTACTATGTAGTTACAACTTACCTGTAAACACCACAGAGATGATGAAGAGTAAAAGTACATTATCCATTGAGTTATCTTTGTGAGATACAAGCAGCCGAGGGGAGCTCAACCATCAAACTGACAGCGAATAACTGTGAGAGTCCAGCAGACCCAGTTTTAAGAGTCTGCTCCTGATAGTGTTAAAGGGTGAGAGAGAAACGCACTGAAGCTGCTGTCAGACAGCGCCCTCTGGTGGGCAAACCAGAACATTATATAAAAGTGACCACAAACCATAAAACTGACAGACAGGAATTATTACTATAAACAGTTCCGTCTGTACTGGGTAAAATGAAAGAACCTAAAAATGATCAAATGAACATAATAACTCATTCATAACTGTGAGAATGGTGCAATGATGATTTCTGGAAAAGAATCATTTTTATGTCTATTATTTTCTCACAGAGAAAACAACAGGTCTTTAGGTTTAATTCAGTTGTTTTATTGTTTTGAAGTGTGGTCAGAAACACGGCTACCCTTTAAGAAGCAAATATCAGTGTTAGCCTACAACATAACAGAAGTATTTTGGTGGACATTATTGATTTCATTTGACAGGACAGCTAAAGAAAGCCAGAACATGTTCAAAGTAGAATTGGGGGGTGATTCACAACAGATCCTTATTGGACCTACTGCAATGTGGACTTATGCCAAGTCTCCACAGAATGAGCTGGTGCCACTCAGTGATAAAGATAAATGAAAATCGCCAATAATGATGAAGTCCCTGATACAAGTGTTTTGAGTCCATTGTTGAAGAATCGAGTCTGGTGGTTGTTATTGTTGTTGGTTGAGGGACTTCAAATGCTGAAAAATATAATTGCAACAAATTTCTTGTGTTGTCCGCTCAGCAGAGGAAGGGATTGAAGTTGCTCATAGTTTGTTCTGTGGACTATAATCAACATATTTTATCAATGATTAACAAAGGGACTTAACAGCAGGTACACACAACCCTGATAAGACATTATTTCCTCAAACTGTCTTTACTTCCTGAAATTCACATTTGATACTGGACATTTACAGGACAAGTCTAGAGTGTAAAACAAACCAATCTTCCTCATATTATTTGATTCTTTAGATGAAATGGAAAAAACTGTGATACACATCATCCTCTTTGGAGTCATTGCAGGTAAGTTATCACTTCACATTTCAGCACATACATTAAAATTTTATTCCTGCTGTGTTCATCCAGGAAGGTGTTGCAGACGAATGTGCAAATTTTTTATTAAAAATGACTCAGATATATTTTGGATAAAACATCCATTTCAATTATAAATTGTAATAAACATTTAAGGCAGCAAGTAGAGATTGGCCAACACTGAAAGGACTTAAAAAATTAAATTAAGTTTTATTTTTTATTTCACTAAACAAATTTTCATTGTATTCATTTTAATTCAACAGCATGTTATCTTTGTAGAAATCATCGAATAAAAATTTGATCACAACATGAAAACATCGACAAACTGAAATACTGTTGACTTCCTTCATTCATCACACCTGTTTCTGTGTTTAAATGCCTTCAGCAGAGATCTCCTCAGGCCTGTTTTTGTCTCTTCTAGGTGTAACCCATGGAGTTAGTATATTACCAGACAGTCTGGATGCAGCTGTTGGGGGGAAAGTGGATTTCACCACAACACTGAGTCCAACAGAAATCCCATTCATAAACATTGGCTGGAAGTTTGGTGATGAAAATATAATCACTTCAAATGTTATTAACGTCACTGAGCCAGATTATGAGGGCAGGATCACCCTCTTCCCCTCTACTGGATCTCTGGAGCTCAGGAATCTAACAGTTAATGATAGCGGAGAATACACAGTTAGGATTACGGAGGCTGGATCGAATGAGCCTGAGGGCACAACAAGACTACATGTTCATGGTGAGCAAATGTTTCACATGTATCCTTCAAAAAATAAATCAGTGATTATACACAGCAAATGATTAAGAAATAGATTTCTTGTTAAACTATCAAGAGGTTTCATTTATGGTCTCTATTTAGATTGATAACATGCAAGCTTAAAAATAACTCAGAATCTAAAGACAAGTGCAGATTTTTTTTCTTTTGATGGTGAAAGGTTTTTGTTTTTTTGGCTAAAACTGTTGATCAGATCTGATGAAACAACACCCTCAAAATGTCTTGATGATCCATTTCTGTGGGGCCCTAAATTGTTAAAACCCTGATGAGGACCTTTAAGTGTAAGGTCAAACATTTCTGATATATGTTCAATGTTAAATCAGTTCAATTTTAAAAGCAATAGACTATACTGTTTTAATTAAACTCTTCTAAATCCACAAATATTTTCTTTTTTTAACAAAAGGGTTAAAAAAAGTATTGAGTTAAAGTCAACACAAACATTTTAGATTTCTGTCTCAGACCAGCTGACTGAAGATATAAAGGCACAGTAAAATGATACACAGACTCCAGTGTAAAGATATCACAATGACATGTGGCTCCAACCTCAAACATTTGTGGTCAAACTAATGTTTCACAAATCGAGAAACACTGACATACTTTAAGTGCATCACCATGAAAACTTTAGGCTGAGTTCTTACTGACTATGGTAGTTCAAAGCTTTCGGTCAGATAATATCAAAGAAGTTTTGTTCTCATATTTAGTTAAAAAAATAAATAGATAAAAATAAAAACCATTTTCTTTCTCACAGTGCCAATCACTGATGTTAAAGTCAGTGCCAGCAGCACAGACCTAGTGGAGGGTAGCTCAGTGCGTCTCTCCTGCTCCGTCACCTCTGGATCCTCCCTCTCTTTTCTCTGGATGAACGGCTCCTCTGTGGTCACAGCTGGTGACAGAGTCCAGTTCACTGATGAAGGCTCCGCTCTCACCATTACTCCTGTGATCCGCTATGATCAGGGGAATTATAGTTGTTATGTGTCCAATCCTGTCAGTGAGGACACCAGTGATCCAGTTCCCCTCTCTGTGAGCTGTGAGTGTCTTACCTTCATATCCAGAACTTTATCTGAATCCCTCTGATTGGAAACATCATCTTTAAATAATCTGTAAATCATTTTACTGTTGTTTCCCCCATCACTAGACGGCCCTGAAAATACAAAACTAAACTTATCTTCACCTCAACACTTTGAGGCTGGATCAGACATCAGCCTGTTCTGCTCAGCTGACTCCAGACCTAAAGCTCACTTTAACTGGTTTCTGAATGGAGACCAGCTGCCTGGTACTGGAGAAGAGCTGAAGCTGACCAACATTCAGGAGAGACAGAGTGGAAACTACAGCTGCCGGTCCTTTAATAACAAAACTCTGAGAAGTGACACATCGATGCTGTTATCAGTGTCTGTGCTGGGTGAGTTTAAAGACTAGCTTTGTTTAAAAAAAGGCAAATGGATGAAATTTAACCTTGATTCAAATGTAAAAAGGATGCACTAAAATCTGTGGAACATAAAGACATTAACACTGGCATGAGACTGTATTTTTTTGCTCACAGGGACAACTGAGAGGTCTCAGATTAAAAATGATTGGGGTTATCAAACACTTAACTTTTTTGTCACTGTTACTGTCGTTAAATAGAATAAACATCTAAATACACATAAATTTGTTCAACTAAAAATATATCCATATTGACAGATTGGACATTGGTCATTTTATAAAATGAAGTCCATGTCCTGATCTGGTTTCTCTTTTGTTCAACAGGAGAAGGTCAAACACAGTGTCAGTCTTTGTATAAGTCAAAGGGTGGGATCAGACTATGTGGTGGAGACAATAGCAGAGCTAAAAGTAGAGATGATAATGTATTTCAAATCACCAGTCCATCTCCTAGACAATTAAGTTTTCTATACTGTGTCTTAAAGATATTTTGTTCAATGACTTTACAGAGTGTCAGAAAGTAAACAAACATCATATCAGCATGATTTCACTGAGGACATATTTCCAGTGACAAGACCTGACAAGAAAATAGTATCAGTGGTTACATTCTGCAGAAAAAGTCAGCAGCCAATTGTAAAAATAAATAAATAAAATAGTCATTTTAGGTAAAACCACATCTTTCCCTCTAATTCATCAAAGTGTTTCAGCAGACCACACAGATCCACAGACAATAGTTTGACCACAAAACTCTTGTGTGAACTTTTGTGAATTTGGACACGGCAGCATTTAGGGATAGCTACAAAAGAAAATGATCAAAAACAGGCTTGATATACCTGATAGACAGAAACATTCCTCCAAATTTACTGCAGGTTTAAGGGTTTCATTAAACTTAAGGTAAAAATCTTGAAATGATCAAATCAAATCAAGTGGTAATCACAGGAAAAGTGATTTTTTTTTACTTTTCATTAAATGTTTGAATGGACTCTTTAAGAATAAGATGCTTTCATAATCTTTCCTTCAACAGAGAGAATCTCAGAGGCTTCAGTCAAACCATCAACAAACCAGCCTATTGAGGGGAACTTAGTCAACTTAACCTGTGATGCTGCTGGATCTGTGTTAACCAGAGAGTGGATGAAGGACGGATCAGATCTGACTCAAGCTGACAACATCAAGTTTTACGACAACAACAGAGTGCTGTCCTTTCAACCACTGATGAGAAAAAACGAAGGAGTGTATTCCTGCAAAATCAGCAACCCCATCAATTCCATGGTAGCTAAATACAACTTAGTTGTGATCTGTAAGTAAACTGTACAGAGAATGTTTCCTCTTCAATATAATCAGCCCTGTTATAAAAATGCACTTCCTTAACACTGATTGTTTGCTCAAAAGCCAAAATAGTCAATCTTTACGTGAACTGTTTATTTTTTCAGATGGACCAGATACTGTTCAAATCAAAGGTAACAGTCTGGTCCATTTCGGAGGGACCACTGAATTAACCTGCACTGCTGAGTCTGAACCATCTGCTAGCTTCACCTGGTTACTGAATGGGAGGGTGATACACTCTTCTGCTGTGTACACTAAAAATGATGCTGAAGCCTCTGACAGTGGAAACTACACCTGTCAAGCAAAGAATGACATGACTGGGAGATCTTTGTCTGCGGTGCTTGAATTGACTGTCACAGGTGAGAAGATGAACATTTGAAGAATGGTTGACACCTGGAAGATTTTTCTTTTACATCCAGTTTATCAAATGACATGAGGCTGATTTACTGTCAGGTCTTGACACAGCAATCAAAAGTTCTCTTTACTGGCCCCAAAATAGTCAAATTAGCTTTAGACGGAGTGTTTGAGAGTTTGTGACTCTAAAAAGTCAGCTTAAACAAGAAGTATCACGATCAATGTAAGAGAAACAAAGTTGATGTGGTTTTTATTTTAAGTATTCTTCTACTTTACTAGACTGAGACTTGTAGTTTTTAGCTTCACTGAGGACTGCAGTAACATCACTAAAGACCATTCATAGGATCTGATCCAACACTCTCAAGCCTCAGAGGGTTTCACCTCAGCAGCACCCCCAAGAAAGTGAATAAAAGTGACAGTGAGTTTTTCTTTAGACCGAATATTAAACTCATGACAACATTTCTGCTTCAGGAACAGGTCAGCTGCTGAAATGTTTTCCAACATCAAGGCCTAACCTTGAACACATACAAAAGTATCTATAACTATAACAGCTGTGAAAACAAGTAATAGAAGAAATTACTACATAGTTTGTATGCACAGGTTTAATGACACAGCTCTTATTCACATTTTAGTTTCATAACTATTTAATTTTTTTTCCCTGTCTCATATCAGCCCTCCCAGACCCAACACCCCCCTGTGGGCCTGGTTGTATCGCTGGAATAGTAATCACATGTCTTGTAGTCATTGGAGCAGCTTGCGGTGTCGGGTTCTACTTTTACAAGAAAAAGTAAGTAAAAAGTAGCTTTCATACAATATCATGATTAATTTGCTAAAATCATGTCTATCTAATGTCTAAGGGACACTTGAATGACTCATTATTTCATCTCTGAGCAGAAAAATCCAGAAAACGTCCTTTCCCAGTATAGGTAAGTGTGTTATACATGAAGGTGTTTGTTGTTTCATTTTGCACATATTCATACACTCTGTGTTATATTTGAGTCACCAAACCTCAAGTCTGAGTTTGGTCTCAGGTGATCAATAAAGACTTCCAGTCGAGTTTAAGGGACTCCCCAACACTTGAGCCTGGGTTGAGTTTGGACCTATTGAAACAACAATATTAGCTTCCGCTGATCCTGTCAGCGTGTCTGGAGATTGAAATCATAAATGAAGTTACAGCTCAGTAAAAGTGAGTTGGATATGGCTACAGACTTAGGGCTTTGTGTCTTCCTGTCTCATGCCTGGGTGTGTACAACAGTAAGTTCACAGGGACAAACATGAATTCGGGTTGACATTTTTTCACATTAGTACAGACACTGGGATGATTGCATGAGTGAGCTGATTTACGGCACACAAAGGTTAATGAGTCATTTCTATTATGGCATTGTCTGTGACTTCTCACCTAAATTTAAATGAGTCGTCTTGCAGCACTTCTGCTTTCTCCAGTAGCAATTTTTAGGTCTATTGTACAACACTAACTCATGACCTTATGAAGCTTTTGAAAAAATGACTGAGAGGATAGATTAATGTGGTCTCCTCTACATGATTAACAAAACTCCATTTCAAAGTACCAAAAAAAGTGCTCAAAGCCCCGCCCCTTCTCTCTTCTCATTGGTAGTTGATAGTTGCAAGAAGTGACATTGAAAAGCATGGCAGCAGTGTTCCAAAAGTCAAACCATTTTCAACTGAGTGCTTACCCACTTAGGCGATCACAACTTTAACAAAAGTTTGTTTTTCTTACAGTGCAACTGCAACAACCACAGAGAGAAGAACCCGTTTATGAGAACGAAAATATGAAAGTATATGAAAACATATAGACTCAACGTTTTCACCCAGGAAGATTTTTTTTTCTTCTTTACACCAGATAAAATTTTAAATACTGGTAAATGAAATCACGATCTAATGCAGTTACAAAATAACAGAGAAAGTAAAGCAACTAAGTAAAACATTTCAAGATGTTTTCCTGATAAAACTAAAGGGGCAAATGTGTTTGAATTTAAGTGTTTAATGTTGTTACCATGTTTGTGAATGTAGCATTATTTTCAGTGTTGCAATGGAATGAAGGCATGGAAGTAATGTATAACTGAATATAAATATATGTGTATATATATATATATATATATATATATATATATATATATATGTTAGTTTTTAGAAGATGCAGAATCATCTAGAAATATTCTCTTCTTCATGTGATTCTCACAGCGACTGTATACAGAAATGTGTTGAGATGAAATTATGAAATTCTGGCACCTGTGGTAAGGTATGTTGTTTGTTTTGTACACTTTTTAAAGGTTTAATATATGGCATTGTTAGAGGAATAGAATATAAGATTAAGAACGCTTAGGCAAAGCCTTGTCGAATTTAAAGATGTGGTTTCGCACGTCACTTTTGTTTTTGTTGTTGTTGATGTTATTATTATAATTATTATCATAATGCTGTCAGGGTTAAGGTTAGTATATAACTGGTTTGACCTTCAGTACAGTGTTTAAAAACAAAAAAAAAAAAAAAACTCACAAATTAACTCCAACTGTTTCACAAATCACCAAATGTATGTAAATATTTTAGTCTACACAGGTAGGAGCAAAGGGACAACAGGTTGTTTAGATTTTATACAACTGTATGACAAAAGAAGCAATAAAATGAGTCACCATGGTTGTGAACCGTTTGTTTCATCAGTGATTACCGAAAAGTGTTCTTTATGTTGTCTCGCCATCTGTTGAGTTCATCAAAACATACAAAAATAATCTTTGGATAGATAAAATGCAAAAAAAAAGGCCATGTGCTGCCCTCTTATGGTACAACATATTATGACAGCCAGAGGGATCTGTCACATTGAAAAGATCTATCTATCTATCTATCTATCTATCTATCTATCTATCTATCTATCTATCTATCTATCTATCTATCTATCTATCTATCTATCTATCTATCTATCTATCTATCTATCTATCTATCTATCTATCCATCCATCCATCCATCCATCCAGGAACTCAGCCTAAAGTTTTCATGGTGATGCACATAAAGTATGTCAGTGTTTCTCTATCTGTGAAACATTAGTTTGGCCACAAATCTTTCAGGTTTGAACCACATGTCACTGTGATATCTTTACACTTGAGTCTGTTTTTCATTTTATTGTACTTTAATATCTTTAGTCATCTGGTCTAAGACAGAAATTTGAAACGTTTGTGTTGACTTTGACTTGAGATTTTTTCCAACTTTTTTTTAAAGAAGAAAATATTTGTGGATTTAGAAGAGTTTAATTTAAACTGGTTAGTCTATTACTTTAAAAATGGAACAGATTTATTATTGAACATATATTAGAAATGTTTGACCTTACACTTAAAGGTCCTCATCAGGGTTTTAACAATTTAGAGCCCCACAGAAATAGTTTATTAACATTTTGAGGGTGTTGTTTCATCAGATCTGATCAACAGTTTTAGCCAAAAAAAAAAAAAAACCTTCCCAATCAAAACAATAAAAACTCTACATTTGTCTTTAGATTCTGAGTTATTTTCAAGATTGCAAGTTTATGTTAAGACCCTAAATGAAACCCCTTACAAGTTTAATATTATATATTTCTCAGTCATTTGCTGTGTATAATCACTGATTTTTCTGTGAAAGATACATGTGAAACATTTGCTCACCATGAACTCGTAGTCTTGTTGTGCCCTCAGGCTCATTCACTCCAGACGTTACAATCCTAACTGTGTAATTTCCGCTATCATCAACTCTCAGATTCCTGAGCTCCAGAGATCCAGTAGAGGTGAAGAGGGTGATCCTGTTCTCATAATCTGGCTCAGTGATGTTATTAACATTTGAGATGATTGTAAGTTTCTCACCAAACTTCCAGCGAATGTTTATGAATGGGATTACTGTTGGATTCAGTGTTGTGGTGAAATCCACTTTCCCCCCCAACAGCTGCATCCAGACTGTCTGGTAATATACCAACTCCATGGGTTACACCTAGAAGAGACAAAAACAGGTCTGAGAAGATCTCTGCTGAAGGCATTAAAACACAAAATATCCAGTTTGACTCTATTTCATAGCAGAGAGCGTTATCATTGTTGGACTGACTGTCTATAAACTGATGGCTGGAAACTGTTTTTTTTTTGTTGTTGTTGTTGTTGTTTTTTTCCCTGGTTGCCATATTGTAAGTCAAAGTGAGACAAAATTCAAATGTAGATCAAAACAGGCAAGAAACAAAAACAATGATCCACTAATGTTAGTAAGAATTTTAAAGAGTCAAATTCTTAACCAAATTGTGATATTTACACATACTCCTACATTTACCATGCTACTAAATCACATTACATTAGACTCATCCTTTGTCTTGACAATTGTCGTTGTTTCTGTCAGCCAACTTCAATGTATGATGGGCTTTAATATTAGCTTTTCTTTTTTTTTTTTAAACAACTGTCTTAATGTAGAAAATGTAAAAAAGCGACCACAGCAGACATTACTATGAAGTTACAACTTACCTGTAAACGCCACAGAGATGATGAAGAGTAAAAGTACATTATCCATTGAGTTATCTTTGTGAGATACAAGCAGCCGAGAGAGCTCAACCATCAAACTGACAGCAAATAACTGTGAGAGTCTGGTAGACACAGGTTTAAGAGTCTGCTCCTGTCTGACCGTGTTAAAGGGTGAGAGGGAAACGCCCTGAAGCTGCTGTCAGACGGCGGCCTCTAGTGGGCAAACCAGAAGATTATATAAAAGTGATCACGAACCATAAAACTGACAGACAGGAATTATTACTGTAAACAGTTCTGTGGGTAAAATGAAAGGACCTAAAAATGAAGGTTTCCTAGAAAAGAATCATTTTTATGTGTATTATTTTCTCACAGAGAAAACAACACCTACTGGACCTACTGCAATGTGGACTTATGCCAAGTCTCCACAGAGTGAGCTGGTGCCACTCGGTGATGAAGATAAATGAAAATCACCAATAACGATGAAGTCCCTGATTCAAGTGTTTTGAGTCCATTGTTGAAGAATCTAGTCTAGTGGTTGTTATGATTAAACTCTAAAAATATAATTGCGATTAATTTCATATATCGTCAGCTCAGCAGAGGAAGGGATTGAAGTTGCTCATAGTTTGTTCTGTGGACTATAATCATCATATTTTATCAATGATTAACAAAGGGACTTAGCAGCAGGTACACACAACCCTGATAAGACATTACATTTGATACTGGACATTTACAGGACAAACCACCCTCATCTTCCTCATATTATTTGATTCTTTAGATGAAATGGAAAAAACTGTGATACACATCATCCTCTTTGGAGTCATTGCAGGTAAGTTATCACCTCACACTTCAGCACATACATTAAAATTTTATTCCTGCTGTGTTCTTCCAGGAAGGTGTTGCAGACGGTTGTGCAAATTTTTCATGTATAAATGACACAGATATATTTTGTTCCTGGAAATGACTTTGGATAAAACATCCATTTCAATTATATATTTTGTAAATGATATGAATGAAAAATAAATATGCAAGGCAGCAAGTAGAGATTTAGCCAACACTGAAATGACTTAAAAAACTAAATTAACTTAAATTTAAATTTTTTATTTTACAAAACAAATTTCCTATTGTTCACTCAAAACAAATGCTTTTAATAACAAATATTTTTACTAATTCAAGAACATGGTTTTCCTCAATCCTCGTTGAAATCACTGAATAAAAATTTGATCAAATCATAAAAACATCGACAAACTGAAATACTATTGACTTCCTTCAAAGAGCATTCATCACACCTGTTTGTGTGTTTAAATGCCTTCAGCAGAGATCTTCTCAGACCTGTTTTTGTCTCTTCTAGGTGTAACCTATGGAGTTGGTATATTACCAGACAGTCTGGATGCAGCTGTTGGGGAGAAAGTGGATTTCACCACAACACTGAGCCCAACAGAAATCCCATTCATAAACATTCGCTGGGTGTTTGGTGAGAAACCTATAATCACTTCAAATACTATGAACTTCACTGGGGGAGGATATGAGGACAGGATCACCCTCTTCCCCTCTACTGGATCTCTGGAGCTCAGAAATCTGAGAGTTGATGATAGCGGAGAATACACAGTTAGGATTTTAAAGGATGGAGTGAATGAGCCTACGGGCACAACAAAACTACGAGTTCATGGTGAGCAAATGTTTCACATGTATCTTTCAAAGTATAAATCAGTGATTATACACAGCAAATGATTAAGAAATATACTATGTGTTAAACTATCAAGGGGATCTATTTAGGATTTTTAACATAAACTTGCAAGCTATAAATTAACTCAGAATCAAAGGACAGATGTAAAGTTTTTATCCTTTGATTGGGAAGGTTTTTTTTGGCTCAAATTGCTGATCAAAATGTTTTAATGACCTATTTCTGTGGGGCCCTAAATTGTTAAAACCCTGGTGAGGACCTTTAAGTGTGAGGTCAAACATTTCTAATATATGTTCAATGTTAAATCAGTTCCCTTTTAAAAGCAATAGACTATACAGTTTTAATTAAACTCTTGTAAATCCACAAATATTTTCTTCTTTAACAAAAAGGTTGAAAAAAATCTCAACAAAGTCAACACAAAAGTTTCAAATTTCTGTCTCAGACCAGATGACTAAAGATATGAAGACACAGTAAAACAGATCGAGAATACACTGACATACTTTAAGTGCATCACCATGAAAACTTTAGGCTGAGTTCTTACTGACTGTGGTAGTTCAAAGCTTTCGGTCAGATAATATCAAAGAAGTTTTGTTCTCATATTTAGTTAAAAAAATAAATAAATAAAAATAAAAACATTTTCTTTCTCACAGTGCCAATCACTGATGTTAAAGTCAGTGCCAGCAGCACAGACTTAGCGGAGGGTAGCTCGGTGCGTCTCTCCTGCTCCGTCACCTCTGGATCCTCCCTCTCTTTTCTCTGGATGAACGGCTCCTCTGAGTCCAGTTCACTGATGAAGGCTCCACTCTCACCATTTCTCCTGTGATCCGCTATGATCAGAGGAATTATAGATGTTATGTGTCCAACTCTGTCAGTAATGACACCAGTGATCCCGTTTACCTCTTTGTGAGCTGTGAGTGTCTTACCTTCATATCCAGAACTTTATCTGAATCCCTCTGATTGGAAACGTCATCTTTAAATAATCTTTAAATCCTTTACTGTTGTTTTCCCCCATCACTAGACGGCCCTGAAAATACTAAACTAAACTTATCTTCACCTCAACGCTTTGAGGCTGGATCAGACATCAGCCTGTTCTGCTCAGCTGACTCCAGACCTAAAGCTCACTTTAACTGGTTTCTGAATGGAGACCAGCTGCCTGGTACTGGAGAAGAGCTGAAGCTGACCAACATTCAGGAGAGACAGAGTGGAAACTACAGCTGCCAGTCCTTTAATAACAAAACTCTGAGAAGTGACACATCGATGCTGTTATCAGTGTCTGTGCTGGGTGAGTTTAAAGACTAGCTTTGTTTAAAAAAAGGCAAATGAATCAAATTTAACTGTGATTCAAATGTAAAAAGGATGCACTAAAATCTGTGGAACATAAAGACATTAACACTGGCATGAGACTGTATTTTTTTTTGCTCACAGGGACAACTGAGAGGTCTCAGATTTAAAATGATTTGGTTATCAAACACATGACTTTTTTGAGTGCTCGGCGGAAAATTTCACTGTTACTGTCGTTAAATAGAATAAACATCTAAATACACATAAATTTGTTCAACTAAAAATATATCCATATTGACAGATTGGACATTGGTCATTTTATAAAATGAAGTCCATGTCCTGATCTGGTTTCTCTTTTGTTCAACAGGAGAAGGTCAAACACAGTGTCAGTCTTTGTATAAGTCAAAGGGTGGGATCAGACTATGTGGTGGAGACAATAACAGAGCTAAAAGCAGAGATGATAATGTATTTCAAATCACCAGTCCTTCTCCTAGAAAATTAAGTTTTCTATACTGTGTCTTAAAGATATTTTGCAGATTGTCAGAAAGTAAACAAACATCATATCAGCATGATTTCACTGAGGACATATTTCCAGTGACAAGACATGACAAGAGAATAGTATCAGTGGTTACATTCTGCAGAAAAAGTCAGCAGCCAATTGTAAAAATAAATAAATAAATAAATAAATAAAATAGACATTTTAGGTAAAACCACATCTTTCCCTCTTATTCATCAAAGTGTTTTAGCAGACCACACAGATCCACAGACAATAGTTTGACCACAAAATTCTTGTGTGAACTTTTGTGAATTCGGACACAGCAGCATTTAGGGATAGCTACAAAAGAAAATGATCAAAAACAGGCTTGATATACCTGATAGAAAGAAACATTCCTCCAAATTTACTGCAGGTTTAAGGGTTTCATTAAACTTGAGGTAAAACTCTTGCAATGATCAAATCAAATCAAGTGGTAATCACAGGAAAAGAGTAAAATGTTTGAATCAACTCTTTAAGAATAAGATGCTTTCATAATCTTTCCTTCAACAGAGAGAATCTCAGAGGCTTCAGTCAAACCATCAACAAACCAGCCTATTGAGGGGAACTCAGTCAACTTAACCTGTGATGCTGCTGGATCTGTGTTAACCAGAGAGTGGATGAAGGACGGATCAGATCTGACTCAAGCTGACAACATCAAGTTTTACGACAACAACAGAGTGCTGTCCTTTCAACCACTGATGAGAAAAAACAAAGGAGAGTATTCCTGCAAAATCAGCAACCCCATCAGTTTCATGAAAGCTAAATACAACTTAGTTGTGATCTGTAAGTAAACTGTACAGAGAACATTTCCTCTTCAATATAATCAGCCCTGTTATAAAAAAGCACTTCCTTAACACTGATTGTTTGGTTAAAAGCCAAAATAGTCAATCTTTACATGAACTGTTTATTTTTTCAGATGGACCAGATATTGTTCAAATCAATGCAAATCTTCCCAATTTCGGAGAAACCATCGAATTACGCTGCACTGCTGAGTCTGAACCATCTGCTAGCTTCACCTGGTTACTGAATGGGAGAGTGATACACTCTTCTGCTGTGTACACTATAAATGATGCTGAAGCCTCTGACAGTGGAAACTACACCTGTCAAGCAAAGAATTACATAACTGGGAGATCTTCGTCTGTGGTGCTTGAATTGACTGTCACAGGTGAGAAGATGAACATTTGAAGAATGGTAGACACCTGGAAGATTTTTCTTTTACATCCAGTTTATCAAATGACATGAGGCTGATTTACTGTCAGGTCTTTACACAGCAATCAAAAGTTCTCTTTACTGGCCCTGAAATAGTCAAACTCTCTTTAGACAGAGTGTTTGAGAGTTTGTGACTCCAAAAAGTCAGCTTAAACAAGAAGTATCATGATCAATGTAAGAGAAACAAAGTTGACGTGGTTTTTATTTTAAGTATTCTTCTACTTTACTAGACTGAGACTTGTAGTTTTTAGCTTCAATGATGACTGCAGTAACATCACTAAAGACCATTCATAGGATCTGATCCAACACTCAAGCCTCAGAGGGTTTCACCTCAGCAAGATAGTGAACAAATTCATGATCTGTGAAATCTTTGGAGTTTTCCTTTAGTTTAGTTCTTTAGTACCAAGTATTTAACTCATGACAACATTTCTGCTTCAGGAACAGGTCAGCTGCTGAAATGTTTTCCAACATCAAGGCCTAACCTTGAACACAAACAAAAGTATCTATAACTGCTCAGCTGTGGAAACAAGTAATGGAAGAAATCACTGCATAGTTTGTATGCACAGGTTTAATGACACAGCTCTTATTCACATTATAGTTTAATAACTATTTTATTTTTTCTCCCTTTCTCATATCAGCCCTCCCAGACCCAACACCACCTCCACCAAACCCCTGTGGGCCTGGTTGTATTGTTGGAATAGTAATCGCATGTCTTGTAGTCATTGGAGCAGCCTGTGGTGTCGGGTTCTACTTTTACAAGAAAAAGTAAGTAAAAAGTAGCTTTCATACAATATCATGATTAATTTGCTAAAATCATGTCTATCTAATGTCTAAGGTACACATGTATGACTCATTATTTCATCTCTGAGCAGAAAAATCCAGAAAACGTCCTTTCCCAGTGCAGGTAAGTGTGTTATACATGAAGGTGTTTGTTGTTTCATTTTGCACATATTCATACACTCTATGTTATATTTGAGTCACCAAACCTCAAGTCTGAGTTTGGTCTCAGGTGATCAATAAAGACTTCCAGTCGAGTTTAAGGGACTCCCCAACACTTGAGCCTGGGTTGAGTTTGGACCTATTGGAACAACAATATTAGCTTCTGCTGATCCTGTCAGCGTGTCTGGAGATTGAAATTATAAATGAAGTTACAGCTCAGTAAAAGTGAGTTAGATATGGCTACAGACTTAGGGCTTTGTGTCTTCCTGTCTCATGTCTGGGTGTGTACGACAGTAAGTTCAGAGGTACAAACACGAATTTTGGTTGACATTTTTTCACATAAGTACAGACATTGAGTGGATTGCATGAGTGAGCTGATTTGTGGTACATAAAGGTTAATGAGTCGTTTCTATTATGGCATTGTCTGTGACTTCTCACCTGAATTTAAATGAGTCATCTTGCAGCACTTCTGCTTTCCCCAGTAGCAATTTTTAGGTCTATTGTACAACACTAACTCATGACCTTATGAAGCTTTTGAAAAAAATGACTGAGAGGATAGATTAATGTGGTCTCCTCTACATGATTAACAAAACTCCATTTCAAAGTACCAAAAAAAGTGCTCAAAGCCCCGCCCCTTCTCTCTTCTCATTGGTAGTTGTTAGTTGCAAGAAGTGACATTGAAAAGCATAGCAGCAGTGTTCCAAAAGTCAAACCATTTTCAACTGAGTGCTTACCCACACGTGACAAAAAACGGCTGATGCTAAAAATCTGTTATTGCTGAAAATGTTGAACTGAAACCCTGTATTATCTTCTGTTCTGATACTGTTCTCTGAACTGTTTGTTCACACTGAAAGTGTTTATATAAGGCGATCACAACTTTAACAAAAGTTTATTTTTCTTACAGTGCAACTGCAACAACCACAGAGAGAAGAACCCGTTTATGAGAACGAAAATATGAAAGTATATGAAAACATATAGACTCAACGTTTTCACCCAGGAAGATTTTTTTTTCTTCTTTACACCAGATAAAATTTTAAATACTGGTAAATGAAATCACGATCTAATGCAGTTACAAAATAACAGAGAAAGTAAAGCAAATAAGTAAAACGTTTTAAGAGGTTTTCCTGATATAACTAAAGGGGCAAATGTGTTTGAATTAGACTGTTTAATGTTGTCACCATGTTTGTGAATGTAGCATTATTTTCAGTGTAAACCTAGAATGTAGTTTTATGTCCTCTGTACCAGTTGTGTCAACATTGTAATCAATAGAAGTAATATATAAATGAATATATATATATGTATATATAATGTTAGATTTTAGAAGATGCAGAATCATCTAGAAATATTCTCTTCTTCATGTGATTCTCACAGCGACTGTATACAGAAATGTGTTAAGATGAAATTATGAAATTCTGGCACCTGTGGTAAGGTATGTTGTGTGTTTTGTGATTTATGGCATTGGTAGAGGAATAGACTATAAGATTAAGAATGCTTAGGCAAAGCCTTGTCAAATATAAAGATGTGGTTTCGCACGTCACTTTTGTTGTTGATATTATTATCATAGTTATTATCATTATGCGCTCAGGGTTAAGGTTAAGTATATAACTGGTTTGACCTGTTTAAAAAATAAAATAAAAATAAAAAAAGCTCACAAATTAACCCTTACTGTTTCACCAATCACCAAATGTATGTAAATATTTTAGTCTACACTGGTAGGAGCAAAGGGACAACAGGTTGTTTAGATTTTATACAACTGTATGACAAAAGAAGCAATAAAATGAGTCCCCATGGTTGTGAACCTTGTTTGTTTCATCAGTGATTACAGAAAAGTTTCCTTTAAGTTGTCTCTCCATCTGTTGAGTTCATCACAACATACAAAAATAATCTTTGGATAGATGGTTTAAAATGCAAATTTAAAGCTAAATAGAAGCATTTTTTTAATCTACATATAAGATATACAAGAAAGAAATAGTTTTTGGTTGAAATGAAGTTCTACTTTGACTGATGAGGTACAACTTTTAGACTGCAGTCCAAAATGTCCTCATAGTTAAGGCAGGTCACCTTTGAGCTGAAAAAAAGGTCATGTGCTGCCCTCTTATGGTGCAATATATTATGACAGCCAGCTGGATAGGTCACATTAAAGAGCTCTCTCTCTCTATCTATCTATCTATCTATCTATCTATCTATCTATCTATCTATCTATCTATCTATCTATCTATCTATCTATCTATCTATCTATCCAGGAACTCAGCATAAAGTTTTCATATTTGATGCACTTAAAGTTTGTCAGTGTTTCCCGATCTGTGAAACATTAGTTTGACCACAAATGTTTGAGGTTTGAACCACATGTCACCGTGATATCTTTACACTGGAGTCTGTGTTTCATTTTACTGTGCCTTTATATCTTTAGTCATCTGGTCTGAGACAGAAATTTGACACGTTTGTGTTGAATTTGACTTGAGATTTTTTTCCAACTTTTTGTTAAAAAAAGAAAATATTTGTGGATTTAGAAGAGTTAAATCAAAACTGTATTGACTATTGCTTTTAAAAGAGAACTGATTGACCTTACACTTAAAGGTCCTCACCAGAGTTTTAACACTTTACGGCCCCACAGAAATAGATCATTAAAACATTTTGAGGGTGTTGTTTCATCAGATCTGATCAACAATTTTAGCCAAAAAATTTTCACAATCAAAAGATCAAAACTCTACATTTGTCTTTAGATTCTGAGTTATTTTCAAGCTTGCAATTTATGTTAAGACCTTAAATGAAACCTCTTACAAGTTTAAAATTCATATATTTCTTAATCATTTGCTGTGTATAATCACTGATTTATACTTTGAAAGATACATGTGAAACATTTGCTCACCATGAACTAGTAGTCTTATTGTGCCCGCAGGCTCAGTGTCTCCGGCCTCTGAAATCCTAACTGAGTATTCTCCGCTATCATTAACTCTCAGATTCCTGAGCTCCAGAGATCCAGTAGAGGGGAAGAGGGTGATCCTGTTCTTATATCCTTCCCCAGTGAAGTTCATAGTATTTGAAGTGATTATAGGTTTCTCACCAAACCACCAGCGAATGTTTACGAATGGGATTTCTGTTGGACTCAGTGTTGTGGTGAAATCCACTTTCCCCCCCAACAGCTGCATCCAGACTGTCTGGTAATATACCAACTCCATGGGTTACACCTAGAAGAGACAAAAACAGGTCTGAGAAGATCTCTGCTGAAGGCATTAAAACACAAAATATTCAGTTTGACTCTTTTTTATAGCAGAGAGAGTTAGTGTTGGACTGACTGTCTATAAACTGATGGCTGGAAACTGTTTTTTTTTTTTTTTTGTTGTTGTTGTTTTTTGTGGTTGTTAAATTGGAAGTCAAACTGAGACAAAATTCAAATGTAGATCAAAACAGAGAAGAAACAAAAACAACTAGGGCCCCGTTGGGGCACTGGCGGGCCCGAGCCGTGTCGCGCCGCCCCCAGCGCGACCGCCTACCCCTCTTGATCGCGTCACACTCAAGGTCCAAAGATGGTGTGCGCACTTGTCTGTGGTCATTTACCATTATAATGAATGGGAGGTGCAGTTTCTACCAAAACGCTCGCTGCAGACAAACTCCATGTCCTTTTTGAAAAAAGTCTGGACCATGAGTGAGGGCACAAACACAGCTAGTATATATCCAAATGGCAAGTTGCTCCTCCTTTCGGTTTTGCCGAGAGAGCGATGCTTTTGAGCCATTGAGCGATGGGCAGGAAAAACTTGACTTTTTCTCCTGCCATGGGGGGGCGCTCTTTTGGGGAGAAAAAATTCCTTCACAAATGTGTTGATGGCTGGACATTGCATCATCCTAGAAAACTTGGAGGCCAGTGAGGACAAAAATAAAAAGTTATAAGACTTTTAAAAATGTGGATATTTGGGTCCTCTTTGGCACCCCCTAGAACGTAAACTGTGGGGTGCAGCGTCATGATTTGTACAACTTTGAATGGCCATGGGGTGTAGATTGACCTGAGCAAATTTGGAGCCGATGGGACAAAAGCTTTAGGAGGAGTTAGCCACATTCCAATGTGTGCGAATCGGCAAAAAATGCGAAATAGCCCTTTAACCGTACATTGAACAGATACGCTCGCATTGACTTTTTCGTAGATCTTATTGAGATACATGTGTGTGTCAAATTTTGTGTCATTTTGACAAAGCGTAAAGGCGTGACAGTCAACAATGTGTATTTTCGCCTTAGGAGACAAGAAAAAATGGACTTTTTTCTCCTGCCATGGGGGGCGCTCTTTTGGGGAGTAAAAATTCCTTCACAAATGTGTTGATGGCTGGACATTGCATCATCCTAGAGAACTTGGAGGCCAGTGAGGACAAAAATAAAAAGTTATAAGACTTTTAAGACTGTGGATTTTAGGGTTATCTTTGGCGCCCCCTAGAACCTAAACCGTGGGGTGCAGCGTCATGATTTGTACAACTTTTAATGGCCATGGGGTGTAGATTGGCCTGAGCAAATGTGGTGCCGTTGGAACGAAAGCCTTCGGAGGAGTTAGCGAAATTCCAATGTGTGCGGATCGGCAAAAAATGCGAAATAACCCTTTAACCGTACATTTGACAGATACGCCCGCACTGACTTTTTTGTAGATCTTATTGAGATACATGTGTGTGTCAAATTTTGTGTCATTTTGACAAAGCGTAAAGGCGTGACAGTCAACGATGTGTATTTTCGCCTTAGGAGACAAGAAAAAATGGACATTTTTCTCCTGCCAAGGGGGGCGCTCTTTTGGCGAGTAAAAATTCCTTCACAAATGTGTTGATGGCTGGACATTGCATCATCCTAGAGAACTTGGAGGCCAGTGAGGACAAAAATAAAAAGTTATAAGACTTTTAAGACTGTGGATTTTTGGGTTATCTTTGGCGCCCCCTAGAACGTAAACCGTGGGGTGCAGCGTCATGATTTGTACAACTTTTATTGGCCATCGGGTGTAGATTGGCCTGAGCAAATGTGGTGCCGGTGGAACGAAAACCTTTGGAGGAGTTAGCGAAATTCCAATGTGTGCGGATCGGCAAAAAATGCGAAATAAACCTTTAACCGTACATTTGACAGATACGCCCGCACTGACTTTTTTGTAGATCTTATTGAGATACACGTGTGTGTCAAATTTTGTGTCATTTTGACAAAGCGTACAGGCGTGACACTCAATCATGTTAATTTTTCACCTTAGGGGGCGCTATGGAGCCATTTTGCATTTGATTTTTTGGGCGACTTCAGAATATCGAATTTTTCACCAGGCCCGGTCGTCCTGCCAAATTTCATGACTTTTCACCAGTGGGAAGTGGGCCATTTTCCAGTTCAAAGGGGCAGAAAAATAATAAGACTAGGACCCCGTTGGGGCACTGGCGGGCCCGAGCCGTGTCGCGTCCCCCCCCCCCAACGTGCTGCCTCCCCGTCCCATTTGTGTCCTCTGGCCATCGCCCTCTCTGGTAACGCCCATCACTGCAAAGACCCTTTTCCTTCATCGGCGTTTGCTGTTCTTCCTGCCAGTGCGTGTTGCTTTCACTTACACTTGCCACAGCCAGCCTCGTGAGTGCCTAGCCTATTGGATATCACTGTCACCTACACAGGACAGTCATTACCTTTCTATTAATACTTTGTGTTTTAATTTCACATTAATTTCCATATTGTATAAACGACTGGAAAAAACTTGAGCCCCTGCCCCTGTATAATCATGTGCATGTCTCTGTTCTAGCTCCAAGGTGAATCTTCACTGCTCATGTTCTCCTCAGAAGCACTCACCTCACTCCCCTCAGGTTACTGTACACATGCACCAACTGCCTGCTTCAGGTTTGGATGGAGCTTCATGGTTGTCTTTTGGAGAAATGACCAGTCAAGTTGTGTTTGAAATTTGATTTTTTTCAGGGGCAAAAGGAGCCTCTGCATTCTTGTCAAATATGTAAATAGCATGTTTTTGCAGGTGCTAAAAACCAGACTCTGAGTGTGTGTGTGTGTGTGTGTGTGTGTGTGTGTGTGTGTGTGTGTGTGCGTGTGTGTGTGTCTATGTGTGCGTTCAAGTCACATGACATATTTAACCTGATGTAGCTGCAAGACGGAGCCTCGTTGACTCTCCGTTTCAACTTATCTCAAAAGTGAGGATCTCAACCTATATACCAGTTTTTAAATTGTGTTGATAGGCCAAATACAACCAGAGTTATGATAAATTATGTCCGCGATACTTTTTTTCTGCTTATTTTGATCACGTTCGGCGCTCGATCGCGCTGTATGAGACAGGAAAACATAGCATGCAGACATTAGCGACAGGTCTTACAGGCGGAAAAGGCTTGCCAAAAGAAAAAAAAAACACACCACAACATCTCTCCTATTGGTGGAAAACTTCACCACAACAACCAATCCAAAATTATATGGTGACTGATTGACAAGGGGCGGGCGCTTACGTTCTTCCTGCAACATGAGAAGGGAGGGAGGGACTCTCAGCAGGGATGCAGTCTGGGACACGTAGTTGCAAACCTAGCGACTTTGTTGTTAGATTCAATGACTTTTCAGACACCCTAACGACTTTTTTTAGAAAGAAAGGGACTTTTATCGACTTCTTCTGGAGTTTAGAGACTCTGACATGAAGCAGGCTTTCCTTACTGAGGAGTTAGCAACGCTGCTAAGGGTGCAGAGCCACACATGCGCTCAGAGCTCTGCATGGGAGACTGAAGCTGACAGAGCTGCAGCAGTTAGCAGGTTTCACCCTCAGAGACCACCAGGGGTTCATGTTGAGGCATTTTATTTTTTTTGTTTTTTTTGTGCCATAGACACTGTCAGCAAAATCTGCAGTTACACTAACAAAAATGCTGCAAAAAACAAAGAATTATGGAAAAATTACACATGGACTGACATAGAGGAGGATCTACACAAGTTTTTTACATCATGTTTTACATCATGCATCATTTACATCATGTTTTTTTGTAGTGGCATAAATAAAAAGTGACATTTGTGAGACTATACAGTGTTTTGTAAATAATTTTACAAAGAACGCCTGGGCCATTGCCTGCATTTTGATGTAAATAGAGGTAAATTACTATGTTCTTTGTTAAAAATTTGCATATGTTTTGAAGTTTACAATTTTTATTTGAAGTTTAAGTTTTAAAAACAGTTCATCACACATATTTGTGGTTTAATTTCACATTAATTTCCATATTGTATAAATGACTGGAAAAAACTTGAGCCCCTGCCCCTGTATAATCATGTGCACGTCCCTGTTCTAGCTCCAAGGTGAATCTTCACTGCTCATGTTCTCCTCAGAAATAGTCACCTCACTCCCCTCAGGTTACTGTACACATGCACCAACTATCTGCTTCAGGTTTGAAATGGAGCTTCATGGTTGTCTTTTGGAGAAATGAACAGTCAAGTTGTGTTTGAAATTTGATTTTTTTCAGGGGCAAAAGGAAGCCTCTGCATTCTTGTCAAATATGTAAACAGCATGTTTTTGCAGGTGCTAAAAAACAGACTCTGAGTGTGTGTGTGTGTTTGTGTGTGTGTGTGTGTGTGTGTGTGTGTGTGTGTATGTTGGCGTGTGTGTATGTTGGCGTGTGTGTATATGTGTGTGTATCCTGCAGTACTCTGTACTCCTGCAGTGGCCAAAAAGACTTTTAAGAATGTGGATTTTTGGGTCATCTTTGGCGCCCCCTAGAACTGCAGTACTCTGTACTCCTGCAGTGGCCAAAATGACTTTTAAGAATGTGGATTTTTGGGTCATCTTTGGCGCCCCCTAGAACGTAAACCGTGGGGTGCAGCATCATGATTTTTACAACTTTGAATGGGCATGGGGTGTAGATTGCCCTGAGCAAATTTGGTATCGGTGGGACGAAAGCCTTAGGAGGAGATAGCCACATTCCAATGTGTGCGAATCGGCAAAAAATGCAAAATAGCCCTTTAACCGTACATTATACGGATACGCGCTCTTTGACTTTTTCGTAGATCTAATTGAGATACACATGATTGTCAATTTTTGTGTCAATATGACAAAGCGTTCAGGCGTGACACTCAACAATGTGTATTTTTATGTAAGGGGACAAGAAAAAATTGACTTTTTTCTCCTACCATGGGGGGGCGCTCTTTTGGGGAGTAAAAATTCCTTCACAAATGTGTTGATGGCTGGACATTGCATCATCCTAGAAAACTTGGAGGCCAGTGAGGACAAAAATAAAAAGTTATAAAACATTTAAGAATGTGGATTTTTGGGTTATTTTTGGCGCCCCCTAGAACCTAAACCATGGGGTGCAGCATCATGATTTGAATAACTTTTAATGGCCATGGGGTGTAGATTGGCCTGAGCAAATGTGGTGCCGGTGGAACGAAAGCCTTCGGAGGAGTTAGCGAAATTCCAATGTGTGCGTATCGGCAAAAAATGCGGAATAACCCTTTAACTGTACATTTGACAGATACGCGCGCATGGACTTTTTTGTAGATCTTATTGAGTTACATGTGTGTGTCAATTTTTGTGTCATTTTGACAAAGCGTATAGGCGTGACACTCAACAATGTGTATTTTCACCTTAGGGGACAAGAAAAAATGGACTTTTTTCTCCTGCCATGGGGGGGCGCTCTTTTGGGGAGTAAAAATTCCTTCACAAATGTGTTGATGGCTGGACATTGCATCATCCTAGAAAACTTGGAGGCCAGTGAGGACAAAAATAAAAAGTTATAAGACTTTTAAATATGTGGATTTTAGTGTTATCTTTGGCGCCCCCTAGAACCTAAACCTTGGGGTGCAGCGTCATGATTTTGATAACTTTTAATGGCCACGGGGTGTAGATTGGCCTGAGCAAATGTGGTGCCGGTGGAACGAAAGCCTTCGGAGGAGTTAGCGAAATTCCAATGTGTGCGGATCGGCAAAAAATGCGAAATAACCCTTTAACCGTAATTTTGACAGATACGGCCGCACTGACTTTTTTGTAGATCTTATTGAGATACATATGTGTGTCAATTTTTGTGTCAATATGACAAAGCGTACAGGCGTGACAGTCAATAGTGTGAATTTCCACCTTAGGGGGCGCTATGGAGCCATTTTGCATTTTATTGTTTGGGCGACTTCAGAATATCGAATTTTTCACCAGGCCCGGTCGTCCTGCCAAATTTCATGAGTTTTCGCCAGTGGGAAGTGGGCCATTTTCCAGTTCAAAGGGGAGGAAAAAGAAGAAAGAAAGAAAGAAAGAAAGAAAGAAAGAAACAAAGAAAAACCACTTGGGGAATAATAGGGCCTACGCCCGGCTGCTCTGCAGCTGGCTCGGGCCCTAAAGAAGAAGAAGAAGAAACTAGGGCCCCGTTGGGGCACTGGCGGGCCCGAGCCATGTCACGCCGCCCTCAGCGCAACCGCCTCCCCCACCCGATCGCGTCACACTCAAGGTCCAAAGATGGTGTGCGCACTTGTATGTGGTCATTAACCATTATAATGAACGGGAGGCGCAGTTTCTACCAAAACGCTCGCTGCAGAAAAACTCCATGTCCTATTTGAAAAAAGTCTGGACCATGAGTGAGGGCACAAACACAGCTAAGATATATCCAAATGGCAAGTTGCTCCTCCTTTCGCTTTTGCCGAGAGAGCAGTGCGTTTGAGCCATTGAATGATGAACAGGAAAAACTTGACTTTATTCTCCTGCCATGGGGGGGTGCTCTTTTAACGAGAAAAAACTCCTTCACAAATGTGTTGATGGCTGGACATTGCATCATCCTAGAAAACATGGAGGCCAGTGAGGACAAAAATAAAAAGTTATAAGACTTTTAAATATGTGGATTTTAGGGTTATCTTTGGCGCCCCCTAGAACCTAAACCGTGGGGTGCAGCGTCATGATTTGAATAACTTTTAATGGCCATGGGGTGTAGATTGGCCTGAGCAAATGTGGTGCCGGTGGAACGAAAGCCTTCGGAGGATTTAGCGAAATTCCAATGTGTGCGAATCTGCAAAAAATGCGAAATAACCCTTTAACCGTACATTTTACAGATACGTGGCCATTGACTTTTTCGAAGATCTTATTGAAATACACGTGTATGTAAAATTTTGTGTCAATACGACAAAACATACAGGCGTAGCACTCAACAATGTGTATTTTCACCTTAGTGGAAAAGAAAAAATGGACTTTTTTCTCCTGCCATGGGGGGGCGCTCTTTTGGCGAGTAAAAATTCCTTCATAAATGTGTTGATGGCTGGACATTGCATCATCCTAGAAAACTTGGAGGCCAGTGGGGACAAAAATAAAAAGTTATAAGACTTTTAAATATGTGGATTTTACGGTTATCTTTGGCGCCCCCTAGAACCTAAACCGTGGGGTGCAGCGTCATGATTTGAATAACTATTAATGGCCATGGGGTGTAGATTGGCCTGAGCAAATGTGGTGCCGGTGGAACGAAAGCCTTCGGAGGAGTTAGCGAAATTCCAATGTGTGCGGATCGGCAAAAAATGCGGAATAACCCTTTAACCGTACATTTGAAAGATACGCGCGCATTGACTTTTTTGTAGATCTTATTGAGATACATGTGTGTGTCAATTTTTGTGTCATTTTGCCAAAGCGTACAGGTGTTACACTCAACAATGTGTATTTTCACCTTAGGGGACAAGAAAAAATGGACTTTTTTCTCCTGCCATGGGGGGCGCTCTTTTGGGGAGTAAAAATTCCTTCACAAATGTGTTGATGGCTGGACATTGCATCATCCTAGAAAATTTGGAGGCCAGTGAGGGCAAAAATAAAAAGTTATAAGACTTTTAAATATGTGGATCTTAGGGTTATCTTTGGCGCCCCCTAGAACCTAAACCGTGGGGTGCAGCATCATGATTTGAATAACTTTTAATGGCCATGGGGTGTAGATTGGCCTGAGCAAATGTGGTGCCGGTGGAACGAAAGCCTTCGGAGGAGTTAGCGAAATTGCAATGTGTGCGGATCGGCAAAAAATGCGAAATAACCCTTTAACCGTACATTTGACAGATACGCCCGCACTGACTTTTTTGTAGATCTTATTGAGATACATGTGTGTGTCAATTTTTATGTCATTTTGACAAAGCGTAAAGGCGTGACAGTCAATAGTGTGAATTTTCACCTTAGGTGGCGCTATGGAGCCATTTTGCATTTTCTTGTTTGGCCGACTTCGGAATATCAAATTTTTCACCAGGCCCGGTCGTCCTGCCAAATTTCATGAGTTTTCGCCAGTGGGAAGTGGGCCATTTTCCAGTTCAAAGGGGAGGAAAAATAATAATAACTAGGGCCCCGTTGGGGCACTGGCGGGCCCGAGCCGTGTCGCGCCGCCCCCAGCGCGACCGCCTACCCCTCCCGATCGCGTCACACTCAAGGTCCAAAGATGGTGTGCGCACTTGTCTGTGGTCATTTACCATTATAATGAATGGGAGGCGCAGTTTCTACCAAAACGCTCGCTGCAGACAAACTCCATGTCCTTTTTGAAAAAGTCTGGACCATGAGTGAGGGCACAAACACAGCTAGTATATATCCAAATGGCAAGTTGCTCCTCCTTTCGGTTTTGCCGAGAGAGCGATGCGTTTGAGCCATTGAGCGATGGGCAGGAAAAACTTGACTTTTTCTCCTGCCATGGGGGGGCGCTCTTTTGGGGAGAAAAAATTCCTTCACAAATGTGTTGATGGCTGGACATTGCATCATCCTAGAAAACTTGGAGGCCAGTGAGGACAAAAATAAAAAGTTATAAGACTTTTAAGAATGTGGATTTTTGGGTTATCTTTGGCGACCCCTAGAACGTAAACTGTGGGGTGCAGCGTCATGATTTGTACAACTTTGAATGGCCATGGGGTGTAGACTGGCCTGAGCAAATTTGAAGCCGATGGGACAAAAGATTTAGGAGGAGTTAGCCACATTCCAATGTGTGCGAATCGGCAAAAAATGCGAAATAGCCCTTTAACCGTACATTGAACAGATACGCTCGCATTGACTTTTTCGTAGATCTTATTGAGATACATGTGTGTGTCAAATTTTGTGTCATTTTGACAAAGCGTAAAGGCGTGACAGTCAACAATGTGTATTTTCGCCTTAGGAGACAAGAAAAAATGGACTTTTTTCTCCTGCCATGGGGGGGGGCGCTCTTTTGGCGAGTAAAAATTCCTTCACAAATGTGTTGATGGCTGGACATTGCATCATCCTAGAGAACTTGGAGGCCAGTGAGGACAAAAATAAAAAGTTATAAGACTTTTAAGACTGTGGATTTTTGGGTTATCTTTGGCGCCCCCTAGAACGTAAACCGTGGGGTGCAGCGTCATGATTTGTACAACTTTTAATGGCCATGGGGTGTAGATTGGCCTGAGCAAATGTGGTGCCGGTGGAACGAAAGCCTTCGGAGGAGTTAGCGAAATTCCAATGTGTGCGGATCGGCAAAAAATGCGAAATAACCCTTTAACCGTACATTTGACAGATACGCCCGCACTGACTTTTTTGTAGATCTTATTGAGATACATGTGTGTGTCAATTTTTGTGTCAATATGACAAAGCGTAAAGGCGTGACAGTCAATAGTGTGAATTTTCGCCTTAGGAGACAAGAAAAAATGGACTTTTCTCTCCTGCCATGGGGGGGCGCTCTTTTGGCGAGTAAAAATTCCTTCACAAATGTGTTGATGGCTGGACATTGCATCATCCTAGAGAACTTGGAGGCCAGTGAGGACAAAAATAAAAAGTTATAAGACTTTTAAGACTGTGGATTTTTGGGTTATCTTTGGCGCCCCCTAGAACGTAAACCGTGGGGTGCAGCGTCATGATTTGTACAACTTTTAATGTCCATGGGGTGTAGATTGGCCTGAGCAAATGTGGTGCCGGTGGAACGAAAGCCTTCGGAGGAGTTAGCGAAATTCCAATGTGTGCGGATCGGCAAAAAATGCGAAATAACCCTTTAACCGTACATTTGACAGATACGCCCGCACTGACTTTTTTGTAGATCTTATTGAGATACATGTGTGTGTCAATTTTTGTGTCATTTTGACAAAGCGTACAGGCGTGACACTCAATCATGTGAATTTTTCACCTTAGGGGGCGCTATGGAGCCATTTTGCATTTGATTTTTTGGGCGACTTCAGAATATCGAATTTTTCACCAGGCCCGGTCGTCCTGCCAAATTTCATGACTTTTCACCAGTGGGAAGTGGGCCATTTTCCAGTTCAAAGGGGCAGAAAAATAATAAGAAGAAGAAGAAGAAAGAAGAATCCATCAGGAATAATAGGGCTCTCGCAGCTGCTTAGCAGCTACGCTCGGGCCCTAACTAGGACCCCGTTGGGGCACTGGCGGGCCCGAGCCGTGTCGCGTCCCCCCCCCCCCCCCAACGTGCTGCCTCCCCGTCCCATTTGTGTCCTCTGGCCATCGCCCTCTCTGTTAACGCCCATCACTGCAAAGACCCTTTTCCTTCATCGGCGTTTGCTGTTCTTCCTGCCAGTGCGTGTTGCTTTAACTTACACTTGCCACAGCCAGCCTCGTGAGTGCCTAGCCTATTGGATATCACTGTCACCTACACAGGACAGTCATTACCTTTCTATTAATACTTTGTGTTTTAATTTCACATTAATTTCCATATTGTATAAACGACTGGAAAAAACTTGAGCCCCTGCCCCTGTATAATCATGTGCATGTCTCTGTTCTAGCTCCAAGGTGAATCTTCACTGCTCATGTTCTCCTCAGAAGCACTCACCTCACTCCCCTCAGGTTACTGTACACATGCACCAACTGCATGCTTCAGGTTTGGATGGAGCTTCTTGGTTGTCTTTTGGAGAAATGACCAGTCAAGTTGTGTTTGAAATTTGATTTTTTTCAGGGGCAAAAGGAGCCTCTGCATTCTTGTCAAATATGTAAATAGCATGTTTTTGCAGGTGCTAAAAACCAGACTCTGAGTGTGTGTGTGTGTGTGTGTGTGTGTGTGTGTGTGTGTGTGCGTGTGTGTGTGTCTATGTGTGCGTTCAAGTCACATGACATATTTAACCGGATGTAGCTGCAAGACGGAGCCTCGTTGACTCTCCGTTTTAACTTATCTCAAAAGTGAGGACCTCAACCTATATACCAGTTTTTAAATTGTGTTGATAGGCCAAATAAAACCAGAGTTATGATAAATTATGTCCGCGATACTTTTTTTCTGCTTATTTTGATCACGTTCGGCGCTCGATCGCGCTGTATGAGACAGGAAAACATAGCATGCAGACATTAGCGACAGGTCTTACAGGCGGAAAAGGCTTGCCAAAAGAAAAAAAAACACACCACAACATCTCTCCTATTGGTGGAAAACTTCACCACAACAACCAATCCAAAATTATATGGTGACTGATTGACAAGGGGCGGGCGCTTACGTTCTTCCTGCAACATGAGAAGGGAGGGAGGGACTCTCAGCAGGGATGCAGTCTGGGACACGTAGTTGCAAACCTAGCGACTTTGTTGTTAGATTCAATGACTTTTCAGACACCCTAACGACTTTTTTTAGAAAGAAAGTGACTTTTATCGACTTCTTCTGGAGTTTAGAGACTCTGACATGAAGCAGGCTTTCCATACTGAGGAGTTAGCAACGCTGCTAAGGGTGCAGAGCCACACATGCGCTCAGAGCTCTGCATGGGAGACTGAAGCTGACAGAGCTGCAGCAGTTAGCAGGTTTCACCCTCAGAGACCACCAGGGGTTCATGTTGAGGCATTTTAATTTTTTTTTTTTTTTTGTGCCATAGACACTGTCAGCACAATCTGCAGTTACACTAACAAAAATGCTGCAAAAAACAAAGAATTATGGAAAAATTACACATGGACTGACATAGAGGAGGATCTACACAAGTTTTTTACATCATGTTTTACATCATGCATCATTTACATCATGTTTTTTTGTAGTGGCATAAATAAAAAGTGACATTTGTGAGACTATACAGTGTTTTGTAAATAATTTTACAAAGAACGCCTGGGCCATTGCCTGCATTTTGATGTAAATAGAGGTAAATTACTATGTTCTTTGTTAAAAATTTGCATATGTTTTGAAGTTTACAATTTTTATTTGAAGTTTAAGTTTTAAAAACAGTTCATCACACATATTTGTGGTTTAATTTCACATTAATTTCCATATTGTATAAATGACTGGAAAAAACTTGAGCCCCTGCCCCGTATAATCATGTGCACGTCCCTGTTCTAGCTCCAAGGTGAATCTTCACTGCTCATGTTCTCCTCAGAAATAGTCACCTCAATCCCCTCAGGTTACTGTACACATGCACCAACTATCTGCTTCAGGTTTGAAATGGAGCTTCATGGTTGTCTTTTGGAGAAATGAACAGTCAAGTTGTGTTTGAAATTTGATTTTTTTCAGGGGCAAAAGGAAGCCTCTGCATTCTTGTCAAATATGTAAACAGCATGTTTTTGCAGGTGCTAAAAAACAGACTCTGAGTGTGTGTGTGTGTCTGTGTGTGTGTGTGTGTGTGTGTGTGTATGTTGGCGTGTGTGTATATGTGTGTGTATCCTGCAGTACTCTGTACTCCTGCAGTGGCCAAAAAGACTTTTAAGAATGTGGATTTTTGGGTCATCTTTGGCGCCCCCTAGAACTGCAGTACTCTGTACTCCTGCAGTGGCCAAAATGACTTTTAAGAATGTGGATTTTTGGGTCATCTTTGGCGCCCCCTAGAACGTAAACCGTGGGGTGCAGCATCATGATTTTTACAACTTTGAATGGGCATGGGGTGTAGATTGCCCTGAGCAAATTTGGTATCGGTGGGACGAAAGCCTTAGGAAGAGATAGCCACATTCCAATGTGTGCGAATCGGCAAAAAATGCAAAATAGCCCTTTAACCGTACATTATACAGATACGCGCTCTCTGACTTTTTCGTAGATCTAATTGAGATACACATGATTGTCAATTTTTGTGTCAATATGACAAAGCGTTCAGGCGTGACACTCAACAATGTGTATTTTCATGTAAGGGGACAAGAAAAAATGGACTTTTTTCTCCTGCCATGGGGGGGCGCTCTTTTGGCGAGTAAAAATTCCTTCACAAATGTGTTGATGGCTGGACATTGCATCATCCTAGAAAACTTGGAGGCCAGTGAGGACAAAAATAAAAAGTTATAAGACTTTTAAATATGTGGATTTTTGGGTTATCTTTGGCGCCCCCTAGAACCTAAACCGTGGGGTGCAGCGTCATGATTTGAATAACTTTTAATGGCCATGGGGTGTAGATTGGCCTGAGCAAATGTGGTGCCGGTGGAACGAAAGCCTTAGGAGGAGTTAGCCACATTCCAATGTGTGCGGATCGGCAAAAAATGCGGAATAACCCTTTAACCGTACATTTGACAGATACGCGCGCATTGACTTTTTCGTAGATCTTATTGAGTTACATGTGTGTGTCAATTTTTGTGTCATTTTGACAACGCGTATAGGCGTGACACTCAACAATGTGTATTTTCACCTTAGGGGACAAGAAAAAATTGACTTTTTTCTCCTGCCATGGGGGGGCGCTCTTTTGGGGAGTAAAAATTCCTTCACAAATGTGTTGATGGCTGGACATTGCATCATCCTAGAAAACTTGGAGGCCAGTGAGGACAAAAATAAAAAGTTATAAGACTTTTAAATATGTGGATTTTAGTGTTATCTTTGGCGCCCCCTAGAACCTAAACCTTGGGGTGCAGCGTCATGATTTTGATAACTTTTAATGGCCACGGGGTGTAGATTGGCCTGAGCAAATGTGGTGCCGGTGGAACGAAAGCCTTCGGAGGAGTTAGCGAAATTCCAATGTGTGCGGATCGGCAAAAAATGCGAAATAACCCTTTAACCGTAATTTTGACAGATACGGCCGCACTGACTTTTTTGTAGATCTTATTGAGATACATATGTGTGTCAATTTTTGTGTCAATATGACAAAGCGTACAGGCGTGACAGTCAATAGTGTGAATTTCCACCTTAGGGGGCGCTATGGAGCCATTTTGCATTTTATTGTTTGGGCGACTTCAGAATATCGAATTTTTCACCAGGCCCGGTCGTCCTGCCAAATTTCATGAGTTTTCGCCAGTGGGAAGTGGGCCATTTTCCAGTTCAAAGGGGAGGAAAAAGAAGAAACTAGGGCCCCGTTGGGGCACTGGCGGGCCCGAGCCGCGTTGCGCCGCCCCCAGTGCGACCGCCTCCCCCTCCCGATCGCGTCACACTCAAGGTCCAAAGATGGTGTGCGCACTTGTCTGTGGTCATTTCCCATTATAATGAATGGGAGGCGCAGTTTCTACCAAAACACTCGCTGCAGACAAACTACATGTCCTATTTGAAAAAAGTGTGGACCATGAGTGAGGGCACAAACACAGCTAGGATATATCCAAACGGCAAGTTGCTCCTCGTTACGGTGTTGCCGGGAGAGCGATGCGATTGAGCCATTGAGTGATGGGCAGGAAAAACTTGACTGTTTCTCCTGCCATGGGGGATGGGGGATGGGGGGGGGGGGGGGGGGATGTGGATTCTTTTAAGAATGTGGATATTTGGGTCATCTTTGGCGCCCCCTAGAACGTAAACCGTGGGGTGCAGCGTCATGATTTTTAAAACTTTGAATGGCCATGGGGTGTAGATTGGCCTGAGCAAATTTGGTGTCAGTGGGACGAAAGCCTTAGGAGGAGTTAGCCACATTCCAATGTGTGCTAATCGGCAAAAAATGCAAAATAGCCCTTTAACCGTACATTTTACAGATACGCGCGCATTGACTTTTTCGTAGATCTTATTGAGATACATGTGTGTGTCAAATTTTGTGTCAATATGACAAAGCATACAGGTATGACAGTCAACAATGTGTATTTTCACCTTATGGGACAAGAAAAAATGGACTTTTTTCTCCTGCCATGGGGGGGCGCTCTTTTGGGGAGTAAAAATTCCTTCACAAATGTGTTGATGGCTGGACATTGCATCATCCTAGAAAACTTGGAGGCCAGAGAGGACAAAAATAAAAAGTTATAAGACTTTTAAATATGTGGATTTTTGGGTTATCTTTGGCGCCCCCTAGAACCTAAACTGTGGGGTGCAGCGTCATGATTTGAATAACTTTTAATGGCCATGGGGTGTAGATTGGCCTGAGCAAATGTGGTGCCGGTGGAACGAAAGCCTTCGGAGGAGTTAGCGAAATTCCAATGTGTGCGGATCGGCAAAAAATGCGCAATAACCCTTTAACCGTACATTTGACAGATACGCCAGCACTGACTTTTTTGTAGATCTTATTGAGATACATGTGTGTGTCAATTTTTGTGTAATTTTGACAAAGCGTACAGGCGTGACAGTCAATAGTGTGAATTTTCACCTTATGGGACAAGAAAAAATGGACTTTTTTCTCCTGCCATGGGGGGGCGCTCTTTTGGGGAGTAAAAATTCCTTCACAAATGTGTTGATGGCTGGACATTGCATCATCCTAGAAAACTTGGAGGCCAGTGAGGGCAAAAATAAAAAGTTATAAGACTTTGAAATATGTGGATTTTAGGGTTATTTTTGGCGCCCCCTAGAACCTAAACCGTGGGGTGCAGCGTCATGATTTGAATAACTTTTAATGGCCATGGGGTGTAGATTGGCCTGAGCAAATGTGGTGCCGGTGGAACGAAAGCCTTCGGAGGAGTTAGCGAAATTCCAATGTGTGCGGATCGGCAAAAAATGCGCAATAACCCTTTAACCGTACATTTGACAGATACGCCCGCACTGACTTTTTTGTAGATCTTATTGAGATACATGTGTGTGTCAATTTTTGTGTCATTTTGACAAAGCGTACAGGCGTGACAGTGAATAGTGTGAATTTTCACGTTAGGGGGCGCTATGGAGCCATTTTGCATTTTCTTGTTTGGGCGACTTCGGAATATCAAATTTTTCACCAGGCCCGGTCGTCCTGCCAAATTTCATGAGTTTTCGCCAGTGGGAAGTGGGCCATTTTCCAGTTCAAAGGGGAGGAAAAATAATAATAATAATAATAACAAAAGAAGGAAACTACAGGAACAAGAGGGCTCTCGCAGCTGCTTAGCAGCTACGCTCGGGCCCTAAGAAAGAAAGAAAGAAAGAAAGAAAGAAACAAAGAAAAACCACTTGGGGAATAATAGGGCCTACGCCCGGCTGCTCTGCAGCTGGCTCGGGCCCTAATAATAACTAGGGCCCCGGTGGGGCACTGTCGGGCCCGAGCCGCGTCGCGCCGCCCCTAGCGCGACCGCCTCCCCCTCCCGATCGCGTCACACTCAAGGTCCAAAGATGGTGTGCGCACTTGTCTGTGGTCATTTCCCATTATAATGAATGGGAGGCGCAGTTTCTACCAAAACACTCGCTGCAGACAAACTTCATGTCCTATTTGAAAAAAGTCTGGACCATGAGTGAGGGCACAAACACAGCTATGATATATCGAAATGGCAGGTTGCTCCTCCTTACGGTGTTGCCTGGAGAGCGATGCGATTGAGCCATTGAGCGATGGGCAGGGTTAACTTGACTTTTTCTCCTGCCTTGGGGGGGGATGTGGATTCCTTTAAGAATGTGGATTTTTGGGTCATCTTTGGCGCCCCCTAGAACGTAAACCGTGGGGTGCAGCGTCATGATTTTTACAACTTTGAATGGCCATGGGGTGTAGATTGGCCTGAGCAAATTTGGTGTCAGTGGGACGAAAGCCTTAGGAGGAGTTAGCCACATTCCAATGTGTGCGAATCGGCAAAAAATGCAAAATAGCCCTTTAACCGTACATTTGACAGATACGCGCGCATTGACTTTTTTGTAGATCTTATTGAGATACATATGTGTGTCAATTTTTGTGTCAATATGATAAAGCGTACAGGCGTGACAGTCAATAGTGTGAATTTCCACCTTAGGGGACAAGAAAAAATTGACTTTTTTCTCCTGCCATGGGGGGGCGCTCTTTTGGGGAGTAAAAATTCCTTCACAAATGTGTTGATGGCTGGACATTGCATCATCCTAGAAAACTTGGAGGCCAGTGAGGACAAAAATAAAAAGTTATAAGACTTTTAAATATGTGGATTTTAGTGTTATCTTTGGCGCCCCCTAGAACCTAAACCGTGGGGTGCAGCGTCATGATTTGAATAACTTTTAATGGCCATGGGGTGTAGATTGGCCTGAGCAAATGTGGTGCCGGTGGAACGAAAGCCTTCGGAGGAGTTAGCGAAATTCCAATGTGTGCGGATCGGCAAAAAATGCGGAATAACCCTTTAACCGTACATTTGACAGATACGCGCGCATTGACTTTTTCGTAGATCTTATTGAGATACATGTGTGTGTCAATTTTTGTGTCATTTTGCCAAAGCGTACAGGTGTTACACTCAACAATGTGTATTTTCACCTTAGGGGACAAGAAAAAATGGACTTTTTTCTCCTGCCATGGGGGGGCGCTCTTTTAGGGAGTAAAAATTCCTTCACAAATGTGTTGATGGCTGGACATTGCATCATCCTAGAAAACTTGGAGGCCAGTGAGGACAAAAATAAAAAGTTATAAGACTTTTTAAAAATTTGGATTTTTGGGTTATCTTTGGCGCCCCCTAGAACGTAAACCGTGGGGTGCAGCGTCATGATTTGAATAACTTTTAATGGCCATGGGGTGTAATTTGGCCTGAGCAAATGTGGTGCCGGTGGAACGAAAGCCTTCGGAGGAGTTAGCGAAATTCCAATGTGTGCGAATCGGCAAAAAATGCGGAGTAACCCTTTAACCGTACATTTGACAGATACGCGCCCATTGACTTTTTTGTAGATCTTATTGAGATACATGTGTGTGTCAATTTTTGTGTCATTTTGACAAAGCGTACAGGCGTGACACTCAACAATGTGTATTTTCACCTTAGGGGACAAGAAAAAATGGACTTTTTTCTCCGGCCATGGGGGGGCGCTCTTTTGGGGAGTAAAAATTCCTTCACAAATGTGTTGATGGCTGGACATTGCATCATCCTAGAAAACTTGGAGGCCAGTGAGGACAAAAATAAAAAGTTATAAGACTTTTAAATATGTGGATTTTAGTGTTATCTTTGGCGCCCCCTAGAACCTAAACCGTGGGGTGCAGCGTCATGATTTGAATAACTTTTAATGGCCATGGGGTGTAGATTGGCCTGAGCAAATGTGGTGCCGGTGGAACGAAAGCCTTCGGAGGAGTTAGCGAAATTCCAATGTGTGCGGATCGGCAAAAAATGCGCAATAACCCTTTAACCGTACATTTGACAGATACGCCCGCACTGACTTTTTTGTAGATCTTATTGAGATACATGTGTGTGTCAATTTTTGTGTCATTTTGACAAAGCGTACAGGCGTCAGGTGAATTTTTCACCTTAGGGGGCGCTATGGAGCCATTTTGCATTTTCTTGTTTGGGCGACTTCGGAATATCAAATTTTTCACCAGGCCCGGTCGTCCTGCCAAATTTCATGAGTTTTCGCCAGTGGGAAGTGGGCCATTTTCCAGTTCAAAGGGGAGGAAAAATAACTAGGACCCCGGTGGGGCACTGTCGGGCCCGAGCCGCGTTGCGCCGCCCCCAGCGCGACCGCCTCCTCCTCCCGATCGCGTCACACTCAAGGTCCAAAGATGGTGTGCGCACTTGTCTGTGGTCATTTCCCATTATAATGAATGGGAGGCGCAGTTTCTACCAAAACACTCGCTGCAGACAAACTACATGTCCTATTTGAAAAAAGTCTGGACCATGAGTGAGGGCACAAACACAGCTAGGATATATCCAAACGGCAAGTTGCTCCTCGTTACGGTGTTGCCGGGAGAGCGATGCGATTGAGCCATTGAGTGATGGGCAGGAAAAACTTGACTGTTTCTCCTGCCATGGGGGATGGGGGATGGGGGATGGGGGGGGGGGGGGGGATGTGGATTCTTTTAAGAATGTGGATATTTGGGTAATCTTTGGCGCCCCCTAGAACGTAAACCGTGGGGTGCAGCGTCATGATTTTTAAAACTTTGAATGGCCATGGGGTGTAGATTGGCCTGAGCAAATTTGGTGTCTGTGGGACGAAAGCCTTAGGAGGAGTTAGCCACATTCCAATGTGTGCTAATCGGCAAAAAATGCAAAATAGCCCTTTAACCGTACATTTTACAGATACGCGCGCATTGACTTTTTCGTAGATCTTATTGAGATACATGTGTGTGTCAAATTTTGTGTCAATATGACAAAGCATACAGGTATGACAGTCAACAATGTGTATTTTCACCTTATGGGACAAGAAAAAATTGACTTTTTTCTCCTGCCATGGGGGGGCGCTCTTTTGGGGAGTAAAAATTCCTTCACAAATGTGTTGATGGCTGGACATTGCATCATCCTAGAAAACTTGGAGGCCAGTGAGGGCAAAAATAAAAAGTTATAAGACTTTTAAATATGTGGATTTTAGGGTTATCTTTGGCGCCCCCTAGAACCTAAACCGTGGGGTGCAGCGTCATGATTTGAATAACTTTTAATGGCCATGGGGTGTAGATTGGCCTGAGCAAATGTGGTGCCGGTGGAACGAAAGCCTTCGGAGGAGTTAGCGAAATTCCAATGTGTGCGGATCGGCAAAAAATGCGCAATAACCCTTTAACCGTACATTTGACAGATACGCCCGCACTGACTTTTTTGTAGATCTTATTGAGATACATGTGTGTGTCAATTTTTGTGTAATTTTGACAAAGCGTACAGGCGTGACAGTCAATAGTGTGAATTTTCACCTTATGGGACAAGAAAAAATGGACTTTTTTCTCCTGCCATGGGGGGGCGCTCTTTTGGGGAGTAAAAATTCCTTCACAAATGTGTTGATGGCTGGACATTGCATCATCCTAGAAAACTTGGAGGCCAGTGAGGGCAAAAATAAAAAGTTATAAGACTTTGAAATATGTGGATTTTAGGGTTATCTTTGGCGCCCCCTAGAACCTAAACCGTGGGGTGCAGCGTCATGATTTGAATAACTTTTAATGGCCATGGGGTGTAGATTGGCCTGAGCAAATGTGGTGCCGGTGGAACGAAAGCCTTCGGAGGAGTTAGCGAAATTCCAATGTGTGCGGATCGGCAAAAAATGCGCAATAACCCTTTAACCGTACATTTGACAGATACGCCCGCACTGACTTTTTTGTAGATCTTATTGAGATACATGTGTGTGTCAATTTTTGTGTCATTTTGACAAAGCGTAAAGGCGTCAGGTGAATTTTTCACCTTAGGGGGCGCTATGGAGCCATTTTGCATTGTATTGTTTGGGCGACTTCAGAATATCAAATTTTTCACCAGGCCCGGTCGTCCTGCCAAATTTCATGAGTTTTCGCCAGTGGGAAGTGGGCCATTTTCCAGTTCAAAGGGGAGGAAAAAGAAAAAAGAAACAAAGAAAAACCACTTGGGGAATAATAGGGCTCTCGCAGCTGCTTAGCAGCTACGCTCGGGCCCTAATAATAACAAACTAGGGCCCCGTTGGGGCACTGGCGGGCCCGAGCCGCGTTGCGCCGCCCCCAGTGCGACCGCCTCCCCCTCCCGATCGCGTCACACTCAAGGTCCAAAGATGGTGTGCGCACTTGTCTGTGGTCATTTCCCATTATAATGAATGGGAGGCGCAGTTTCTACCAAAACACTCGCTGCAGACAAACTACATGTCCTATTTGAAAAAAGTCTGGACCATGAGTGAGGGCACAAACACAGCTAGGATATATCCAAACGGCAAGTTGCTCCTCGTTACGGTGTTGCCGGGAGAGCGATGCGATTGAGCCATTGAGTGATGGGCAGGAAAAACTTGACTGTTTCTCCTGCCATGGGGGATGGGGGATGGGGGATGGGGGATTGGGGGGGGGGAGGGATGGGGATTCTTTTAAGAATGTGGATATTTGGGTCATCTTTGGCGCCCCCTAGAACGTAAACCGTGGGGTGCAGCGTCATGATTTTTAAAACTTTGAATGGCCATGGGGTGTAGATTGGCCTGAGCAAATTTGATGTCAGTGGGACGAAAGCCTTAGGAGCAGTTAGCCACATTCCAATGTGTGCTAATCGGCAAAAAATGCGGAATAACCCTTTAACTGTACATTTGCCAGATACGCGCGCATTGACTTTTTTGTAGATCTTATTGAGTTACATGTGTGTGTCAAATTTTGTGTCAATATGACAAAGCATACAGGTATGACAGTCAACAATGTGTATTTTCACCTTATGGGACAAGAAAAAATGGACTTTTTTCTCCTGCCATGGGGGGGCGCTCTTTTGGGGAGTAAAAATTCCTTCACAAATGTGTTGATGGCTGGACATTGCATCATCCTAGAAAACTTGGAGGCCAGAGAGGACAAAAATAAAAAGTTATAAGACTTTTAAATATGTGGATTTTAGGGTTATCTTTGGCGCCCCCTAGAACCTAAACCGTGGGGTGCAGCGTCATGATTTGAATAACTTTTAATGGCCATGGGGTGTAGATTGGCCTGAGCAAATGTGGTGCCAGTGGAACGAAAGCCTTCGGAGGAGTTAGCGAAATTCCAATGTGTGCGGATCGGCAAAAAATGCGCAATAACCCTTTAACCGTACATTTGACAGATACGCCCGCACTGACTTTTTTGTAGATCTTATTGAGATACATGTGTGTGTCAATTTTTGTGTAATTTTGACAAAGCGTACAGGCGTGACAGTCAATAGTGTGAATTTTCACCTTATGGGACAAGAAAAAATGGACTTTTTTCTCCTGCCATGGGGGGGCGCTCTTTTGGGGAGTAAAAATTCCTTCACAAATGTGTTGATGGCTGGACATTGCATCATCCTAGAAAACTTGGAGGCCAGTGAGGGCAAAAATAAAAAGTTATAAGACTTTGAAATATGTGGATTTTAGGGTTATCTTTGGCGCCCCCTAGAACCTAAACCGTGGGGTGCAGCGTCATGATTTGAATAACTTTTAATGGCCATGGGGTGTAGATTGGCCTGAGCAAATGTGGTGCCGGTGGAACGAAAGCCTTCGGAGGAGTTAGCGAAATTCCAATGTGTGCGGATCGGCAAAAAATGCGCAATAACCCTTTAACCGTACATTTGACAGATACGCCCGCACTGACTTTTTTGTAGATCTTATTGAGATACATGTGTGTGTCAATTTTTGTGTCATTTTGACAAAGCGTACCGGCGTGACAGTGAATAGTGTGAATTTTCACCTTAGGGGGCGCTATGGAGCCATTTTGCATTTTCTTGTTTGGGCGACTTCGGAATATCAAATTTTTCACCAGGCCCGGTTGTCCTGCCAAATTTCATGAGTTTTCGCCAGTGGGAAGTGGGCCATTTTCCAGTTCAAAGGGGAGGAAAAATAATAATAATAACAAAAGAAGGAAACTACAGGAACAAGAGGGCTCTCGCAGCTGCTTAGCAGCTACGCTCGGGCCCTAACTAGGACCCCGTTGGGGCACTGGCGGGCCCGAGCTGTGTCGCGTCCCCCCCCAACGCGCTGCCTCCCCGTCCCATTTGTGTCCTCTGGCCATCGCCCTCTCTGGTAACGCCCATCACTGCAAAGACCCTTTTCCTTCATCGGCGTTTGCTGTTCTTCCTGCCAGTGCGTGTTGCTTTCACTTACACTTGCCACAGCCAGCCTCGTGAGTGCCTAGCCTATTGGATATCACTGTCACCTACACAGGACAGTCATTACCTTTCTATTAATACTTTGTTTTTTAATTTCACATTAATTTCCATATTGTATAAACAACTGGAAAAAACTTGAGCCCCTGCCCCTGTATAATCATGTGCAGGTCTCTGTTCTAGCTCTAAGGTGAATCTTCACTGCTCATGTTCTCCTCAGAAGCAGTCACCTCACTCCCCTCAGGTTACTGTACACATGCACCAACTACCTGCTTCAGGTTTGGATGGAGCTTCATGGTTGTCTTTTGGAGAAATGACCAGTCAAGTTGTGTTTGAAATTTGATTTTTTTCAGGGGCAAAAGGAGCCTCTGCATTGTTGTCAAATATGTAAATAGCATGTTTTTGCAGGTGCTAAAAACCAGACTCTGAGTGTGTGTGTGTGTGTGCGTGTGTGTGTGTGTCTGTGTGTGCGTTCAAGTCACATGACATATTTAACCGGATGTAGCTGCAAGAGGGAGCCTCGTTGACTCTCCGTTTCAATTTATCTCAAAAGTGAGGACCTCAACCTATATACCAGTTTTTAAATTGTGTTGATAGGCCAAATAAAACCAGAGTTATGATAAATTATGTCCGCGATACTTGTTTTCTGCTTATTTTGATCACGTTCGGCGCTCGATCGCGCTGTATGAGACAGGAAAACATAGCATGCAGACATTAGCGACAGGTCTTACAGGCGGAAAAGGCTTGCCAAAGGAAAAAAAATACACACCACAACATCTCTCCTATTGGTGGAAAACTTCACCACAACAACCAATCCAAAATTATATGGTGACTGATTGACAAGGGGCGGGAACTTACGTTCTTCCTGCAATATGAGAAGGGAGGGAGGGACTCTCAGCAGGGATGCAGTCTGGGACACGTAGTTGCAAACCTAGCGACTTTGTTGTTAGATTCAATGACTTTTCAGACCCCCTAACGACTTTTTTTTAGAAAGAAAGGGACTTTTATCGACTTCTTCTGGAGTTTAGAGACTCTGACATGAAGCAGGCTTTCCTTACTGAGGAGTTAGCAACGCTGCTAAGGGTGCAGAGCCACACATGCGCTCAGAGCTCTGCATGGGAGACTGAAGCTGACAGAGCTGCAGCAGTTAGCAGGTTTCACCCTCAGAGACCACCAGGGGTTCATGTTGAGGCATTTTAATTTTTTTTTTTTTTTTGTGCCATAGACACTGTCAGCACAATCTGCAGTTACACTAACAAAAATGCTGCAAAAAACAAAGAATTATGGAAAAATTACACATGGACTGACATAGAGGAGGATCTACACAAGTTTTTTACATCATGTTTTACATCATGCATCATTTACATCATGTTTTTTTTGTAGTGGCATAAATAAAAAGTGACATTTGTGAGACTATACAGTGTTTTGTAAATAATTTTACAAAGAACGCCTGGGCCATTGCCTGCATTTTGATGTAAATAGAGGTAAATTACTATGTTCTTTGTTAAAAATTTGCATATGTTTTGAAGTTTACAATTTTTATTTGAAGTTTAAGTTTTAAAAACAGTTCATCACACATATTTGTGGTTTAATTTCACATTAATTTCCATATTGTATAAATGACTGGAAAAAACTTGAGCCCCTGCCCCTGTATAATCATGTGCACGTCCCTGTTCTAGCTCCAAGGTGAATCTTCACTGCTCATGTTCTCCTCAGAAATAGTCACCTCACTCCCCTCAGGTTACTGTACACATGCACCAACTATCTGCTTCAGGTTTGAAATGGAGCTTCATGGTTGTCTTTTGGGGAAATGAGCAGTCAAGTTGTGTTTGAAATTTGATTTTTTTCAGGGGCAAAAGGAAGCCTCTGCATTCTTGTCAAATATGTAAACAGCATGTTTTTGCAGGTGCTAAAAAACAAACTCTGAGTGTGTGTGTGTGTGTGTCTGTGTGTGTGTGTGTGTGTATGTTGGCATGTGTGTATATGTGTGTGTATCCTGCAGTACTCTGTACTCCTGCAGTGGCCAAAAAGACTTTTAAGAATGTGGATTTTTGGGTCATCTTTGGCGCCCCCTAGAACTGCAGTACTCTGTACTCCTGCAGTGGCCAAAATGACTTTTAAGAATGTGGATTTTTGGGTCATCTTTGGCGCCCCCTAGAACTGCAGTACTCTGTACTCCTGCAGTGGCCAAAATGACTTTTAAGAATGTGGATTTTTGGGTCATCTTTGGTGCCCCCTAGAACGTAAACCGTGGGGTGCAGCGTCATGATTTTTACAACTTTGAATGGGCATGGGGTGTAGATTGCCCTGAGCAAATTTGGTATCGGTGGGACGAAAGCCTTAGGAGGAGATAGCCACATTCCAATGTGTGCGAATCGGCAAAAAATGCAAAATAGCCCTTTAACCGTACATTATACAGATACGCGCTCTTTGACTTTTTCGTAGATCTAATTGAGATACACATGATTGTCAATTTTTGTGTCAATATGACAAAGCGTTCAGGTGTGACACTCAACAATGTGTATTTTTATGTAAGGGGACAAGAAAAAATTGACTTTTTTCTCCTACCATGGGGGGCGCTCTTTTGGGGAGTAAAAATTCCTTCACAAATGTGTTGATGGCTGGACATTGCATCATCCTAGAAAACTTGGAGGCCAGTGAGGACAAAAATAAAAAGTTATAAAACATTTAAGAATGTGGATTTTTGGGTTATTTTTGGCGCCCCCTAGAACCTAAACCCTGGGGTGCAGCATCATGATTTGAATAACTTTTAATGGCCATGGGGTGTAGATTGGCCTGAGCAAATGTGGTGCCGGTGGAACGAAAGCCTTCGGAGGAGTTAGCGAAATTCCAATGTGTGCGTATCGGCAAAAAATGCGGAATAACCCTTTAACTGTACATTTGACAGATACGCGCGCATGGACTTTTTTGTAGATCTTATTGAGTTACATGTGTGTGTCAATTTTTGTGTCATTTTGACAAAGCGTATAGGCGTGACACTCAACAATGTGTATTTTCACCTTAGGGGACAAGAAAAAATGGACTTTTTTCTCCTGCCATGGGGGGGCGCTCTTTTGGGGAGTAAAAATTCCTTCACAAATGTGTTGATGGCTGGACATTGCATCATCCTAGAAAACTTGGAGGCCAGTGAGGACAAAAATAAAAAGTTATAAGACTTTTAAATATGTGGATTTTAGTGTTATCTTTGGCGCCCCCTAGAACCTAAACCTTGGGGTGCAGCGTCATGATTTTGATAACTTTTAATGGCCACGGGGTGTAGATTGGCCTGAGCAAATGTGGTGCCGGTGGAACGAAAGCCTTCGGAGGAGTTAGCGAAATTCCAATGTGTGCGGATCGGCAAAAAATGCGAAATAACCCTTTAACCGTAATTTTGACAGATACGGCTGCACTGACTTTTTTGTAGATCTTATTGAGATACATATGTGTGTCAATTTTTGTGTCAATATGACAAAGCGTACAGGCGTGACAGTCAATAGTGTGAATTTCCACCTTAGGGGGCGCTATGGAGCCATTTTGCATTTTATTGTTTGGGCGACTTCAGAATATCGAATTTTTCACCAGGCCCGGTCGTCCTGCCAAATTTCATGAGTTTTCGCCAGTGGGAAGTGGGCCATTTTCCAGTTCAAAGGGGAGGAAAAAGAAGAAAGAAAGAAAGAAAGAAAGAAACAAAGAACTAGGGCCCCGTTGGGGCACTGGCGGGCCCGAGCCGTGTCGCGCCGCCCCCAGCGCGACCGCCTACCCCTCCCGATCGCGTCACACTCAAGGTCCAAAGATGGTGTGCGCACTTGTCTGTGGTCATTTACCATTATAATGAATGGGATGCGCAGTTTCTACCAAAACGCTCGCTGCAGACAAACTCCATGTCCTTTTTGAAAAAAGTCTGGACCATGAGTGAGGGCACAAACACAGCTAGTATATATCCAAATGGCAAGTTGCTCCTCCTTTCCGTTTTGCCGAGAGAGCGATGCGATTGAGCCATTGAGTGATGGGCAGGAAAAACTTGACTGTTTCTCCTGCCATGGGGGCTGGGGGATGGGGGGAGGATGTGGATTCTTTTAAGAATGTGGATATTTGGGTCATCTTTGGCGCCCCCTAGAACGTAAACCGTGGGGTGCAGCGTCATGATTTTTACAACTTTGAATGGCCATGGGGTGTAGATTGGCCTGAGCAAATTTGGTGTCAGTGGGACGAAAGCCTTAGGAGGAGTTAGCCACATTCCAATGTGTGCGAATCGGCAAAAAGTGCAAAATAGCCCTCTAACCGTACATTTGACAGATACGCACCCATTGACTTTTTCGTAGATCTTATTGAGATACACGTGATTGTCAAATTTTGTGTCAATATGACAAAGCATACAGGTGTCACACTCAACAATGTGAATTTTCACCTTACGGGACAAGAAAAAATGGACTTTTTTCTCCTGCCATGGGGGGGCGCTCTTTTGGGGAGTAAAAATTCCTTCACAAATGTGTTGATGGCTGGACATTGCATCATCCTAGAAAACTTGGAGGCCAGTGAGGACAAAAATAAAAAGTTATAAGACTTTGAAATATGTGGATTTTAGGGTTATCTTTGGCGCCCCCTAGAACCTAAACCGTGGGGTCCAGCGTCATGATTTGAATAAATTTTAATGGCCATGGGGTGTAGATTGGCCTGAGCAAATGTGGTGCCGGTGGAACGCCAGCCTTAGGAGGAGTTAGCGAAATTCCAATGTGTGCGGATCAGCAAAAAATGCGGAATAACCCTTGAACCGTACATTTGACAGATACGCGCGCATTTACTTTTTCGTAGATCTTATTGAGATACATGTGTGTGTCAAATTTTGTGTCAATATGACAAAGCGTACAGGCGTGACACTCAACAATGTGTATTTTCACCTTAGGGGACAAGAAAAAATGGACTTTTTTCTCCTGCCATGGGGGGGCGCTCTTTTGGGGAGTAAAAATTCCTTCACAAATGTGTTGATGGCTGGACATTGCATCATCCTAGAAAACTTGGAGGCCAGTGAGGGCAAAAATAAAAAGTTATAAGACTTTTAAAAATGTGGATTTTTGGGTTATCTTTGGCGCCCCCTAGAACGTAAACCGTGGGGTGCAGCGTCATGATTTGAATAACTTTTAATGGCCATGGGGTGTAGATTGGCCTGAGCAAATGTGGTGCCGGTGGAACGAAAGCCTTCGGAGGAGTTAGCGAAATTCCAATGTGTGCGGATCGGCAAAAAATGCGCAATAACCCTTTAACCGTACATTTGACAGATACGCCCGCACTGACTTTTTTGTAGATCTTATTGAGATACATGTGTGTGTCAATTTTTGTGTCATTTTGACAAAGCGTACAGGCGTCAGGTGAATTTTTCACCTTAGGGGGCGCTATGGAGCCATTTTGCATTGTATTGTTTGGGCGACTTCAGAATATCAAATTTTTCACCAGGCCCGGTCGTGCTGCCAAATTTCATGAGTTTTCGCCAGTGGGAAGTGGGCCATTTTCCAGTTCAAAGGGGAGGAAAAAGAAACTAGGACCCCGGTGGGGCACTGTCGGGCCCGAGCCGCGTTGCGCCGCCCCCAGCGCGACCGCCTCCTCCTCCCGATCGCGTCACACTCAAGGTCCAAAGATGGTGTGCGCACTTGTCTGTGGTCATTTCCCATTATAATGAATGGGAGGCGCAGTTTCTACCAAAACACTCGCTGCAGACAAACTACATGTCCTATTTGAAAAAAGTCTGGACCATGAGTGAGGGCACAAACACAGCTAGGATATATCCAAACGGCAAGTTGCTCCTCGTTACGGTGTTGCCGGGAGAGCGATGCGATTGAGCCATTGAGTGATGGGCAGGAAAAACTTGACTGTTTCTCCTGCCATGGGGGATGGGGGATGGGGGATGGGGGGGGGGGGGGGGGATGTGGATTCTTTTAAGAATGTGGATATTTGGGTCATCTTTGGCGCCCCCTAGAACGTAAACCGTGGGGTGCAGCGTCATGATTTTTAAAACTTTGAATGGCCATGGGGTGTAGATTGGCCTGAGCAAATTTGGTGTCTGTGGGACGAAAGCCTTAGGAGGAGTTAGCCACATTCCAATGTGTGCTAATCGGCAAAAAATGCAAAATAGCCCTTTAACCGTACATTTTACAGATACGCGCGCATTGACTTTTTCGTAGATCTTATTGAGATACATGTGTGTGTCAAATTTTGTGTCAATATGACAAAGCATACAGGTATGACAGTCAACAATGTGTATTTTCACCTTATGGGACAAGAAAAAATGGACTTTTTTCTCCTGCCATGGGGGGGCGCTCTTTTGGGGAGTAAAAATTCCTTCACAAATGTGTTGATGGCTGGACATTGCATCATCCTAGAAAACTTGGAGGCCAGTGAGGGCAAAAATAAAAAGTTATAAGACTTTTAAATATGTGGATTTTAGGGTTATCTTTGGCGCCCCCTAGAACCTAAACCGTGGGGTGCAGCGTCATGATTTGAATAACTTTTAATGGCCATGGGGTGTAGATTGGCCTGAGCAAATGTGGTGCCGGTGGAACGAAAGCCTTCGGAGGAGTTAGCGAAATTCCAATGTGTGCGGATCGGCAAAAAATGCGCAATAACCCTTTAACCGTACATTTGACAGATACGCCCGCACTGACTTTTTTGTAGATCTTATTGAGATACATGTGTGTGTCAATTTTTGTGTAATTTTGACAAAGCGTACAGGCGTGACAGTCAATAGTGTGAATTTTCACCTTATGGGACAAGAAAAAATGGACTTTTTTCTCCTGCCATGGGGGGGCGCTCTTTTGGGGAGTAAAAATTCCTTCACAAATGTGTTGATGGCTGGACATTGCATCATCCTAGAAAACTTGGAGGCCAGTGAGGGCAAAAATAAAAAGTTATAAGACTTTGAAATATGTGGATTTTAGGGTTATCTTTGGCGCCCCCTAGAACCTAAACCGTGGGGTGCAGCGTCATGATTTGAATAACTTTTAATGGCCATGGGGTGTAGATTGGCCTGAGCAAATGTGGTGCCGGTGGAACGAAAGCCTTCGGAGGAGTTAGCGAAATTCCAATGTGTGCGGATCGGCAAAAAATGCGCAATAACCCTTTAACCGTACATTTGACAGATACGCCCGCACTGACTTTTTTGTAGATCTTATTGAGATACATGTGTGTGTCAATTTTTGTGTCATTTTGACAAAGCGTAAAGGCGTCAGGTGAATTTTTCACCTTAGGGGGCGCTATGGAGCCATTTTGCATTGTATTGTTTGGGCGACTTCAGAATATCAAATTTTTCACCAGGCCCGGTCGTCCTGCCAAATTTCATGAGTTTTCGCCAGTGGGAAGTGGGCCATTTTCCAGTTCAAAGGGGAGGAAAAAGAAAAAAGAAACAAAGAAAAACCACTTGGGGAATAATAGGGCTCTCGCAGCTGCTTAGCAGCTACGCTCGGGCCCTAAAAAGAAACAAAGAAAAACCACTTGGGGAATAATAGGGCTCTCGCAGCTGCTTAGCAGCTACGCTCGGGCCCTAACTAGGACCCCGTTGGGGCACTGGCGGGCCCGAGCCGTGTCGCCCCCCCCCCCCCCGTGCTGCCTTCCCGTCCCATTTGTGTCCTCTGGCCATCGCCCTCTCTGGTAACGCCCATCACTGCAAAGACCCTTTTCCTTCATCGGCGTTTGCTGTTCTTCCTGCCAGTGCGTGTTGCTTTCACTTACACTTGCCACAGCCAGCCTCGTGAGTGCCTAGCCTATTGGATATCACTGTCACCTACACAGGACAGTCATTACCTTTCTATTAATACTTTGTGTTTTAATTTCACATTAATTTCCATATTGTATAAACGACTGGAAAAAACTTGAGCCCCTGCCCCTGTATAATCATGTGCATGTCTCTGTTCTAGCACCAAGGTGAATCTTCACTGCTCATGTTCTCCTCAGAAGCACTCACCTCACTCCCCTCAGGTTATTGTACACATGCACCAACTGCCTGCTTCAGGTTTGGATGGAGCTTCATGGTTGTCTTTTGGAGAAATGACCAGTCAAGTTGTGTTTGAAATTTGATTTTTTTCAGGGGCAAAAGGAGCCTCTGCATTCTTGTCAAATATGTAAATAGCATGTTTTTGCAGGTGCTAAAAACCAGACTCTGAGTGTGTGTGTGTGTGTGTGTGTGTGTGTGTGTGTGTGTGTGTGTGTGTGTGTGTGTGTGTGTGTGTGTGTGTGTGTGTCTGTGTGTGCGTTCAAGTCACATGACATATTTAACCGGATGTAGCTGCAAGACGGAGCCTCGTTGACTCTCCGTTTCAACTTATCTCAAAAGTGAGGACCTCAACCTATATACCAGTTTTTAAATTGTGTTGATAGGCCAAATAAAACCAAAGTTATGATAAATTATGTCCGCGATACTTTTTTTCTGCTTATTTTGATCACGTTCGGCGCTCGATCGCGCTGTATGAGACAGGAAAACATAGCATGCAGACATTAGCGACAGGTCTTACAGGCGGAAAAGGCTTGCCAAAAGAAAAAAAAAACACACCACAACATCTCTCCTATTGGTGGAAAACTTCACCACAACAACCAATCCAAAATTATATGGTGACTGAATGACAAGGGGCGGGCGCTTACGTTCTTCCTGCAACATGAGAAGGGAGGGAGGGACTCTCAGCAGGGATGCAGTCTGGGACACGTAGTTGCAAACCTAGCGACTTTGTTGTTAGATTCAATGACTTTTCAGACCCCCTAACGACTTTTTTTTAGAAAGAAAGGGACTTTTATCGACTTCTTCTGGAGTTTAGAGACTCTGACATGAAGCAGGCTTTCCTTACTGAGGAGTTAGCAACGCTGCTAAGGGTGCAGAGCCACACATGCGCTCAGAGCTCTGCATGGGAGACTGAAGCTGACAGAGCTGCAGCAGTTAGCAGGTTTCACCCTCAGAGACCACCAGGGGTTCATGTTGAGGAATTTTAATTTTTTTCTTTTTTGTGCCATAGACACTGTCAGCACAATCTGCAGTTACACTAACAAAAATGCTGCAAAAAACAAAGAATTATGGAAAAATTACACATGGACTGACATAGAGGAGGATCTACACAAGTTTTTTACATCATGTTTTACATCATGCATCATTTACATCATGTTTTTTTGTAGTGGCATAAATAAAAAGTGACATTTGTGAGACTATACAGTGTTTTGTAAATAATTTTACAAAGAACGCCTGGGCCATTGCCTGCATTTTGATGTAAATAGAGGTAAATCACTATGTTCTTTGTTAAAAATTTGCATATGTTTTGAAGTTTACAATTTTTATTTGAAGTTTAAGTTTTAAAAACAGTTCATCACACCTATTTGTGGTTTTCACAGTAAAAATGTTACTTTTTTCCACTCGGATTTTATGTTTTGTGTGTGAATTTGGGTCCATTGTGTAAATTCAGTATGTCAACATGATAAAATAACTGTAAATTCGCACAGGTGAGGTTGTGCTGAAAAAAATGATACCAGGCAAGGCACGTGATTGTCAAATTTTGTGTCAATATGACAAAGCGTATAGGCGTGAATCTCAACAATATGTATTTTCACCTTAGGGGACAAGAAAAAATGGACTTTTTTCTCCTGCCATGGGGAGGCGCTCTTTTGGGGAGTAAAAATTCCTTCACAAATGTGTTGATGGCTGGACATTGCATCATCCTAGAAAACTTGGAGGCCAGTGAGGACAAAAATAAAAAGTTATAAGTCTTTTAAATATGTGGATTTTAGGGTTGTCTTTGGCGCCCCCTAGAACCTAAACCGTGGGGTGCAGCGTCATGATTTGAATAACTTTTAATGGCCATGGGGTGTAGATTGGCCCGAGCAAATGTGGTGCCGGTGGACAGAAAGCCTTCGGAGGAGTTAGCGAAATTCCAATGTGTGCGGATCGGCAAAAAATGCGGAATAACCCTTTAACCGTACATTTGACAGATACGCGCGCATTGACTTTTTCGTAGATCTTATTGAGATACACGTGATTGTCAAATTTTGTGTCAATATGACAAAGCGTATAGGCGTGACACTCAACAATGTGTATTTTCACCTTAGGGGACAAGAAAAAATGGACTTTTTTCTCCTGCCATGGGGGGGCGCTCTTTTGGGGAGTAAAAATTCCTTCACAAATGTGTTGATGGCTGGACATTGCATCATCCTAGAAAACTTGGAGGCCAGTGAGGACAAAATTAAAAAGTTAAAAGACTTTTAAATATGTGGATTTTAGTGTTATCTTTGGCGCCCCCTAGAACCTAAACCTTGGGGTGCAGCGTCATGATTTTGATAACTTTTAATGGCCACGGGGTGTAGATTGGCCTGAGCAAATGTGGTGCCGGTGGAACGAAAGCCTTCGGAGGAGTTAGCGAAATTCCAATGTGTGCGGATCGGCAAAAAATGCGAAATAACCCTTTAACCGTAATTTTGACAGATACGGCCGCACTGACTTTTTTGTAGATCTTATTGAGATACATATGTGTGTCAATTTTTGTGTCAATATGACAAAGCGTACAGGCGTGACAGTCAATAGTGTGAATTTCCACCTTAGGGGGCGCTATGGAGCCATTTTGCATTTTATTGTTTGGGCGACTTCAGAATATCGAATTTTTCACCAGGCCCGGTCGTCCTGCCAAATTTCATGAGTTTTCGCCAGTGGGAAGTGGGCCATTTTCCAGTTCAAAGGGGAGGAAAAAGAAGAAAGAAAGAAACAAAGAAAAACCCCTTGGGGAATAATAGGGCTCTCGCAGCTGCTTAGCAGCTACGCTCGGGCCCTAAAAACCACTTGGGGAATAATAGGGCCTACGCCCGGCTGCTCTGCAGCTGGCTCGGGCCCTAATAACAAAAGAAGGAAACATGCAGGAACAAGAGGGCTCTCGCAGCTGCTTAGCAGCTACGCTCGGGCCCTAAGAAGAATCCATCAGGAATAATAGGGCTCTCGCAGCTGCTTAGCAGCTACGCTCGGGCCCTAATGATCCACTGATATTAGTAAGAATTTCAAAGGGTCAAATTCTTAACCAAACTGTGATTTTTACACATACTCCTACATTTACCATGCTACTAAATGACATTACATTAGACTCATCCTTTGTCTTGACAATTGTCGTTGTTTCAGTCAGCCAACTTCAATGTATGATGGGCTTTAACATTAGCGTTTCATTTTTTTAAAGACTGTCTTAATGTAGAAAATGTACCAGAACATTATATAAAAGTGACCACAAACCATAAAACTGACAGACAGGAATTATAACTGTAAACAGTTCTGTCTGTGTTGGTTAACATGACAGGACCTAAAAATGATTAAATGAACATAATAACTTATTCACAACTGTGAGAATGGTGCAAGAAATTTTTACATCTGTTATTTTCTCACAGAGAAAACAACAGGTCTTTAGGTTTAATACAGTTGTTTTATTGTTTTGAAGTGTGGTTAGTAACATGGCTACCGTTTAAGAAGTAAATATCAGTGTTAGCCTACAACATCACAGAAGTATTTGGGGGGACTTTGGGGGGGGGGGGTTGATTAACAAAGGGACTTACCAGCAGGCACACATGTCACAACTTATGTCACAACCCTGACATTATTTCCTCAAACTGTCTTTACTTCCTGAAATTCACATTTGATACTGTGCATTTACAGGACAAGTCTAGAGTGTAAAACAAACCAATCTCATCTTCCTCATATTATTTGATTCTTTAAATGAAATGGAAAAAACTGTGATACACATCATCCTCTTTGGAGTCATTGCAGGTAAGTCATCACCTCACACTTCAGCACGTATATTAAAATTTTATTCCTGCTGTGTTCATCCAGGAAGGTGTTGCAGAAGGTTGTGCAAATTTTTCATTAAAAATGACACAGATATATTTTGTTCTAGTAAATAGCTTTGGATAAAACATCCTTTTCAATTATATATTTTGTAAATGATATGAATGAAAAATAAATATGCAAAGCAGCAAGTAGAGATTCAGCCAACTCTTAAAGGACTTTAAAAACTAAATCAACTTAAATTTAATTTTTTTATTTTACTTAACAAATTTCCATTGTGTTCATTAAAAACAAATGCTTTTAAAACAAATGTTTTTACTAAAAATGTTTTGTTTCATTTTAATTCAAGAACATGGTTATCTTCAATCTTTGTTGAAATCACTGAATAAAAATTTGATCAAATCATAAAAACATTGACAAACTGAAATACTATTGACTTCCTTCATTCATCACACCTGTTTGTGTGTTTAAATGCCTTCAGCAGAGATCTTCTCAGACCTGTTTTTGTCTCTTCTAGGTGTAACCTATGGAGTTGGTATATTACCAGACAGTCTGGATGCAGCTGTTGGGGGGAAAGTGGATTTCACCACAACACTGAGCCCAACAGAAATCCCATTCATAAACATTCGCTGGAAGTTTGGTGATAAAGTTATAATCACTTCAAATGTTATTAACCAAACTGGAGAAGGATATGAGGACAGGATCACCATCTTCCCCTCTACTGGATCTCTGGAGCTCAGGAATCTGAGAGTTGATGATAGCGGAGAATACTCAGTTAGGATTTTAATGGTTGGAGTGAATGAGCCTGAGGGCACAACAACACTACGAGTTCATGGTGAGCAAATGTTTCACATGTATCTTTCAAAGTATTAATTAGTGATTATACACAGCAAATGATTAAGAAATATGTGAATATTAAACTTGTAAGGGGTTTCATTTAGGGTCTTAAAATAAACTTGCAAGCTTGAAAATAACTCAGAATCTAAAGACAGTTGTAGAGTTTTGATCTTTTGATTGTGAAGGATCTTGTTTTTGGCTAAAATTGTTGATCAGATCTGATGAAACAACACCCTCAAAATGTTTTAATGATCCATTTCTGTGTGGCCCTAAAGTGTTAAAACTCTGATGAGGACCTTTAAGTGTAAGATCAAACATTTCTAATATATGTTATATGTTATGTCAATGTTTAGTCAGTTCCTTTTTATAAGCAATAGACTGTATGGTGATAATTAAACTATTCTAAATCCCCAAATATTTTCTTCTTTTTTTAACAAAAAGTTTCAAAATAATCACAAGTCAAATTCAACACAAACATTTCATATTTCTGTCTCAGACCAGATGACTAAAGATATGAAGGCACAGTAAAATGATACACAGACTCCAGTGTAAAGATATCACAGTGACATGTGGTTCAAAGCTCAAACATTTGTGGTCAAACTAATGTTTCACAGATGGAGAAACACTGACAGACTTAAAGTGCATCACCATGAAAACTTAAGGCTGAGTTCTTACTGACTGTGGTAGTTCAAAGCTTTCGGTCAGATAATTTCAAAGAAGTTTTGTTCTCATATTTAGTTCAGACTTTCTGATGGTGTGAAATTGGACTGCTGTGCACTCTGTTAAAAATGGTCACTGCAGTTTCCCTCTGCTCTGCTTTTGTTAAACGGTAAAAATAAAAAACATTTTCTTTCTCACAGTGCCAATCACTGATGTTGAAGTCAGTGCCAGCAGCACAGACGTAGTGGAGGGTAGCTCGGTGCGTCTCTCCTGCTCCGTCACCTCTGGATCCTCCCCCTCTTTTCTCTGGATGAACGGCTCCTCTGAGGTCACAGCCAGTGACAGAGTCCAGTTCGCTGATGAAGACTCCACTCTCACCATTACTCCTGTGATCCACTATGATCAGGGGAATTATAGTTGTTTTGTGTCCAGTCTTGTCAGTGTTGGCACCAGTGGTCCAGTTTACCTCTCTGTAAGCTGTGAGTGTTTTACCTTCATATCCAGAACTTTATCTGAATCCCTCTGATTGGAAACGTCATCTTTAAATAATCTTTAAATCCTTTTACTGTTGTTTTCCCCCATCACTAGACGGCCCTGAAAATACAAAACTAAACTTATCTTCACCACAACACTTTGAGATTGGATCAGACATCAGCCTGTTCTGCTCAGCTGACTCCAGACCTAAAGCTCACTTTAACTGGTTTCTGAATGGAGACCAGCTGCCTGGTACTGGAGAAGAGCTGAAGCTGATCGACATTCAGGAGAGACAGAGTGGAAACTACAGCTGCCAGTCCTTTAATAACAAAACTCTGAGAAGTGACACATCGATGCTGTTATCAGTGTCTGTGCTGAGTGAGTTTAAAGACTAGCTTTGTTTAAAAAAAGGCAAATGGATGAAATTTAACCTTGATTCAAATGTAAAAAGGATGCACTAAAATCTGTGGAACATAAACACATTAACACTGGCATGAGACTGTGGTTTTGCTCACAGGGACAACTGAGAGGTCGCAGATTTAAAATGATAAACTTTTTTGAAGCAAGTAATGGATAAAATCACTGCATAGTTTGTATGCACAGGTTTAATGACACAGCTCTTATTCACATTGTAGTTTCATAATTATTTTATTTTTTCTCCCTTTCTCATGTCAACTCTCCCAGACCCAACACCACCTCCACTAAACCCCTGTGGGCCTGGTTGTATTGCTAGAATAGTAATTGCATGTCTTGTGGTCATTGGATCAGCCTGCGGTGTCGGGTTCTACTTTTACAAGAAAAAGTAAGTAAAAAGTAGCTTTCATACAATATCATGATTAATTTGCTAAAGTCATGTCTATCTAATGTCTAAGGTACACAAGAATGACTCATTATTTCATCTCTAAACAGAAAAATCCAAAAAATGTCCTCTCCCAGTGCAGGTAAGGTGTATACTGTATGAAGTATGGATTGTATTTTTTCACATAAGTACAGACACTGGGTTGATTGTGTGAGTGAGCTGATTTACTGCACATAAAGGTTAATGAGTCATTTCTATTATGGCATTGTCTGTGACTTTTCATCAGAATTTAAATGAGTCGTCTTGCAGCACTTCTGCTTTCCCCAGTAGCAATTTTTAGGTCTATTGTACAACGCTAACTCATGACCTTATGAAGCTTTTGAAAAAAAATGACTTGCCATGTCCTGATTATCGTGACAGGATAGATTAATGTGGTCTCCTCTACATGATTAACAAAACTCCATTTCAAAGTACCAAAAAAAGTGCTCAAAGCCCCGCCCCTTCTCTCTTCTCATTGGTAGTTGATAGTTGCAAGAAGTGACATTGAAAAGCATAGCAGCAGTGTTCCTCAAGTCAAACCATTTTCAACTGAGTACTTACCCACACCTGACAAAAAACGGCTGATGCTGAAAATCTGTTATTGCTGAAAATGTTGAACTGAAACCCTGTATTATCCTCTGTTCTGTTGTCAAAACTGAGCCAATACCAACTTGCTAGCTAGTGCTAGAACAAAAAATACTGTTCTCTGAACTGTTTGTTCACACTGAAAGTGTTTATATAAGGCGATCACAACTTTAACAAAAGTTTGTTTTTCTTACAGTGCAACTGCAACAACCACAGAGAGAAGAACCTGTTTATGAGAACGAAAATACGAAAGAATATAAAAACATATAGACTCAACGTTTTCACCCAGGAAGATTTTTTTTCTACTTTACACCAGATAAAATTTTAAATACTGGTAAATGAAATCACAATCTAATGCAGATACATAACAACAGAGAAAGTAAAGCAAATAAGTAAAACATTTAAAAAAGTTTTCCTGGTATAACTAAAGGGGCAAATATGTTTGAATTTAACTGTTTAATGTTGTTACCATGTTTGTGAATGTAGCATTATTTTCAGTGTAAACCTAGAATATATATATAGAGAGAGATTAGATTTTAGAAGATGCAGAATCATCTAGAAATATTTTCTTCTTCATGTGATTCTCACAGCGACTCTACACATAAATGTGTTAAGATGAAATTATGAAATTCTGGCACCTGTGGTAAGGTATGTTGTGTGTTTTGTACACCTTTTAAAGGTTTAATATATGGCATTGTTAGAGGAATAGAATATAAGATTGAGAACACTTAGGCAAAGCCTTGTCAGATATAAAGATATGGTTTCGCACGTCACTTTTGTTGTTGTTGTTATTATTATAATTATTATCGTTATGAGGTCAGGGTTAAGGTTAGTATATAACTGGTTTGACCTTCAGTACAGTGTTTCAAAAAAAAAAAAACAACCTCACAAATTAACTCCAACCGTTTCACAAATCACCAAATATATGTAAATATTTTAGTCTTTTTATACAACTGTATGACAAAAGAAGCAATAAAATGAGTCACCATGGTTGTGAACCTTGTTTGTTTCATCAGTGATTACTGAAAAGTTTCCATTATGTTGTCTCTCCATCTGTCGAGTTCATCACAACATACAAAAATTAATCTTTGGATAGATGGTTTAAAATGCATATTTAAGGCTATACAGAAGCATCTTTTTTTTTAAATCTACACATAATATATACGAGAAAGAAATAGTTTTTGGGTGAAATGAAGTTGTACTTAGACTGATGAGATACAACTTTCAGACTCCAGTCCAAAATGTCCTCATTGTAAAGACAGGTCACCTTTGTGCCAAAAAAATGCAAAAAAAGGGCCATGTGCTGCCCTCTTATGGTGCAACATATTATGACAGCCAGGGGGATAGGTCACATCTATCTATCTATCTATCTATCTATCTATCTATCTATCTATCTATCTATCTATCTATCTATCTATCTATCTATCTATCTATGATCCTAATGTTGAATATTCATGTTGTCTGTGATTTTGAAGCTGTGATAATCTATGTGCATCATTTTCTAGGTGATTATTAAGCTAATTTATAATCGTATGGCAGTAACAAAGGTTGCATGAGTCAGAAAACATGTCACACCCTGACATGGCTCGAACATATTTAGACGTAAGAGGAAACTGTTTGACAGCTCAGAGTTTACACGTGTGTGTTTTATCTGCTCCTTCCTTTTTTTTTTATAGTTACTTGACTTTAAAGTCATAAAATGGGACCCAGAACAATTTTTGAAGTCAAATCATAAGAGACAACAACAACAGAAGACATAAAAACGTTTTCATGTTTATGTCTACGAGCTGTGAAAAGTATAATGACATGAGGAGTGGGTTGGAATAATCTTAGACCTTTGTTCGTCTTCCAGTAACAGCTCTGGAGGCTCAGAAAGAAAAAAAAATACTCAGATGACAATGAATCTGAATTTCACCACAAAAAGGACCTTACTAAGCTGAATACTACATGGTTATTCCTATCAGATCATTGTGGTACACCTTTTTTGATATAGTTAAAATCAAACATTGAAGAAATGATCCCCTCAGTGTTGTGGTTTTATTATTGTTCATAGTCCATATTGTCAATAATTGACAAAGTGATAACAGTGATTCAGGCAGGAAAACCGTCCACATTACTTCCTTATTCGGGGCTAATTTTCTGATACCCACATCCTGACATTCCAGTAACTGCTGAGAAGATGACTTAGTTTGAACTATGTATCGCTCTTTGCTGTGAAACGCTCGATAGTCCAGATGAAATGGAAACAGCAGCTGTAACCATCATCATCCTGGGAATCTTTACAGGTGAGCTATCAGCATGATACAGCACATATGGAGATTTTCTACTGTTGTCTCGTTTTGTTATGTTTTTCAGCAGCTTCCACTATAGAGTTTTTGACCTCACATCATCAGGATGGTTATATTGTTAATTTGCTCAAATACAATCTTTCAAAACTAAATAACTCATTATAACACAAATGCATCATGACTCATGAGTCAATACCATAAATGAAGTAATACTGTAAATAATGGTTTCTGTTTGCCCACATAACAGTAGTCCATTATCTTTAAATAGTGTAAAAACACACACTTGATACTACCTGATAGTGATATCAGATGCTGGCTTGTTTTGTTTAAACTGTGTCTCAACAAATTGAGTAAAATGTTTACAATATTAGCTTTAGTTTGATGTACTTAATTATCTGTTCAATTCAGCATACACCTGAATTTTTCCTCCCCTTGAGAAAATGCTGTCAGAGAGAAAATAAGCCTGTGGTTTCTCCGATAAATTTATCTTCCTTTAACATTTTAGCCATTGTTTTCTTCTGAACAAGTAAACGTGTTCAATATATGACCATCTCTCTGATGAAACACTCAGGGTGGGGAGCTCAAATGATTTAACATAAGGTCACCAGGCGTGTCGTATGATTAATTTCCTGGATGTTTGAGCAGATATTTTAATTCCACCTCACTGACTGGTCTGAAGACGATACATCACACACACGCACACAAAAAAACTATCGAAATTGAGCACAATTTCCCATGGTAAAACACATGATAACAGAGTCAGCAGGTCACCTATGCTAAATTGATTTGTCGAGTGTGGAAAACAGCAGCAGAGCTAGCAATACTAGCTGCGGCGGTCCTTCCTGCAGGTTCATGTCTGTGCTGGCTCTGCATTGCTGGTTGAGAGGGTGTATGCCAGTATAACCTGAAACAAACATCTCTGTCCCCATTATCAGGATCAAAACACTATCACACTTCGATGGTAACTTGTTGCACCTTCTGGCTCTTACTACCAACAGTTCTTTCAGTTGTTGATCAATGTCCGGTGTGAAATTTTTAACCCGGAACAAATCACTACAACACTTAAATTTACATGAAAGTATTTAGAGCTTTCCAGCCTGAGTATCAGAGGAAAACGTGGTCATTTGAAATAAAATAAACTTATTGAAGAAAGCAGCTGGTGTTTTGAGTAGAATAAATAACAATACAATTCTTTTAGCATCATTAAATTGTGTCCTTAGCTCAGATGTCTTTCTGTGTATTTCAGGTTTATCCTGTGGAGATGGTGTGTTGCCTGACACTCTAAATGCCTTAGTTGGAGAAAAAGTGAATTTCAACACTACACTGAGCCAACCTGAAGAGCCATTTATTTTTATAAACTGGAAATTTGGTGATCTAGAAATAATCGCTTCAGGTGTTTCAAACAGTACTGGACCAGGGTATGGCAGCAGGATTACTCTCTTCCCTTCCACAGCTTCTCTGGAGCTCAGGAATCTGGCTGTTGGAGACAGTGGGGAGTACAGAGTAATCATTATACCGTATGATAAACCAGCCAGACATGGAAGCACAAGACTACAAGTTTACAGTAAGCAGATGTTTCAAAACAGCCTTTTCTGATGCTTGGACTATAATCAGGTAGATTTGTAAAAGTTTTGATCATTTAAGCATCCAAAAGTGGCCAATAAATGCATGTTGTAGTGTGTATGTTTTGAGAGTGAGTCATCTAGCCTTTTTTGTATATCTTTACTTTTGTATTATTACTATTACTGCATGGTTAAATGCTGCTAACATCCTGGAGCTTGTTTCTAGCCTCAACAGTACTGTACTGTGTGACATAATGTGTCTTTTTTAGTCAAAAATTCACAGTAAATAAAAGTCCTTTTCACTCATAGTGCCAGTCTCAAACGTGGTGGTTGCTGACACCGACACAGACTTGGTGGAGTTCAGGGACTCTGTCCGTCTCTCCTGCTCCTCCTCTGGGTCGTCCCTCTTTTTCCAGTGGGTGTTCGGCATCAAGGCAGTTACAGCAAATGACAGAGTTCAGCTGACCAATGGTGGCGCCACTCTCACCATAACCAATGTGACCCGCCATGACCACGGACGATACTTCTGTTCTGTATCTAACTCTGCGTCAAGAGGAGTTAGTGAGATTGTGAGCCTCGACGTCAGCTGTGAGTTACCAACTTGCACATTCAATGCTCTCTCCATCCACATCTGCATGTAAATGAACAAACAGGTTTCAAAACTGCAGCTTCTTTAGGATTATTGTTTCATATTGTGAGGAAAGGTCTTAATAGACTGTGATGAGATGTTTCCTTTTTAGGTTGGTTTACAATTTTTTTTTTCAAACTTTAGGAGTCTTTTGTGGGAAGAGCCCATTAATTTAACTGGAATTACATCCATTTGTGGTCCCAAAAGATTAAGTTGGTATATTAGTGTAAAATGCTAATGCTGGTTTCTTACTGACTGGTTTAGCTTGTCGTTTTGTTTGTATCTTCTTTTTGAAGTTGGCCCTGAAAACACCAATATGACGCTATCTTCAACACAAGAGTACTTTGAGGAAGGATCGAACTTTAACATGTCCTGCTCAGCTGACAGCAGACCTGCTGCTGTGTTTAACTGGTTTTTAAATGGAGAAATGCTGCCTGAAACTGGACCTGAGCTCAGACTGATGTACCTTAACACAAATCAGAGTGGAAACTACAGCTGCCAGGCTGTTAACAACAAGACCCTGGCAAATCAAATGTCTCAGTCCTCAGTTATACATGTACTCGGTAAGTTTATTTGTTTTTTTACATTTTGCTTTAAATCAAGAACAAAGTTTTTCTTTAAGCTAATTCTACAACCACATATTTTTCGACCCACAGAGAGAATCTCAGGGGCTTCAGTCAGACCATCAACAAACCAGGCGATGGAGGGGAACTCAGTCAACTTAACCTGTGATGCAGCTGGATCTGTGTTTAGCAGAGAGTGGATGAAGGACGGATCAAATCTGACTGACGCTGACAACATCATATTTTATGAAGAGAACAGAGTGCTGTCCTTTCAGCCTCTAACCAGAGAAGACAGCGGAGAATATTCCTGTAAAGTCAACAACCCCGTCAGCAATGAGGAAGCTAAATTTGTTTTGGCTGTCATCTGTAAGTGAGACACAGCTACACTGACTATTAAAGTGAGCTTTGTTTGTCTAACGTAGGCTTTTTGTCACCTTCTAATCAGAGTGAGTCTTGTTTGGAAACTCTTTCCTGTTTTTAATCCTGCATCTGCTTTACATGATATCTACTTTGTTTGCCTTTCATATACTGATTCAGATTTATAGGACAATCATTAAATAGCTTCTTTTGTTACATCAGGGGAAATCTATACCTTTTTTTTTTTCAGATGGACCAGAAAATGTTCAAATCAAAGGTCCAAGGGAGGTGATTCTTGACCAAACCTTCACATTAACCTGTACTGCTGAGTCCACACCAAATGCTGCCTTCACCTGGATACTGAATGGGACAGTGATATACAACTTGGCTCAGTACATCCAAAACAACACTAAACACGCCGACAGTGGGAACTACACATGTGAAGCCAGGAACAGAATAACAGGAAGAACATCGTCTGCTGTGCATGGATTAACCGGTAAATATGTCCATCTGTCTGTCTGTCTGTCTGTACGTTATCCTGAATACATGTAGGTATGCGTGCAAACAGACTGAAATGAATACTGGTGTCTGTAGGAGAGCAAATAAGACTCTTAGAAAGAAGATTAATTTCTAATATATCTATCATCACAACAGAGACCATAAATACCTTAGTTAAATATCTAAATATATTGGACTGATAGTGATAATAAGAAGCACAGTGAGATTTCCAACTCCAACAAGTAGTGAATAAAATCAACAAAGAAATAAGATGCATCTCTTCATCCAACAGGGTCTGCAAAAGTGACACATATAGAAAGTTCATGACAGTTTGTAATTTCCACCTGTGGGACTAATAAAGGAACATCTTATCTTAAAGTGTTTATATTGTGTAGAGGGAAATGTAGAGAGAGCAGGTTGTGACACAGAATGTTAATATAAACAGTCCTTCCATTTCCTCAGCACTCCCATGGCTGAGGTATATTGTTATAGGCTCACTTGTAGGCCGAATTAGCTTCAGACTTAATGATTTAATTTACTGTTGACAATGAATGTTAATGTAATCCCTCTGACATTTGAACTGATGCATAAAATGACTGCAGCCCTGATTAAGTTCTGCTGCCTGGTAACTGTTAAAGCTGGTGTGAGAAGTTTTTGGCTGGCTATGAATCAGACTGACATTGATATCCATGGCTATTTATGACTTGAAAAGCAAACCAGAACATCAGTGACAAGATTGTTTATTTCTATCTACTGTAATTATTTGTGTTTTTCAAAACTGTTGGCGTACATGATAGACAAATTCATTGACTCCAGGCTGCTGAAACAGTCGTTTTACTTTCATTCTCCCTGGCAAAGATGTCCAGTGAGTTTTAAAATGAGGCGTTTTTGTCAGACACACACAGTTTACACGTGTACAAGACAGATTAACGAAGAGAGAAGAGGTACCTCTACGTCCAAAAAAAAAAATAAAATGTCCTAGACTCCTTTTCTTCAGATTCATTTGATTTGATGTGTGGAGTCAGGCTGTTGATTTGTAAAGATAAATCATAGCTGTTATGGGTTTTTAACCAATCAGAATAAAGTATTTCGCACACCCGGGTATTAAGACTAATATTTCAGCATCTGTATTTGTCATTACGTGCTGTTTATTTTCTGTTTTAATATTTTTTTTTCCTTTTTTCCCCCCATGTATCTCAGTGAAAGATCCTGAAGGTCTTTCTGCAGGCGCCATTGCAGGAATAGTGATCGCATGTTTAGTGTTTGTTGCCTTAGCAGTTGGAGGAGGAATTTTTATTTTCAAACAGAAGTGAGTAAAATACAAAATGTCTCTAATTTTCTTTGTAAATCGTGCGCAGTTTTGATTTGGAGATTCATTCATTTTGCACATTTAAACAATGTTTTATTCTCAAATTCAGAGCCAAAAGGAAACCTAAGCCAATGGAACAATCCAACAAGACAACAAGTAATCGTAAGTGCTAACCTGGACACTTTTTCCTGTGTTACCATGGCAATACAGACAAAACTACATGAGGTATCGGGTACTCTTTAACAAAGATGTTGTTTTGTTACAGTGCCGCTTGAACCGCAAATACAGGAGGAGCATGTGTATGAGGATCTATCGATATATGAGAACGCATAAGGTCGCTGGTTTCTTCCCTGTGGAGGCAAACGTTAAACTCACCATGGGACGATGGGATACATGAGGATGGAAACCAATAAAGTATCCGTCAAACGCTGAGCTCTCAGTTAACAGCAGTACTGAAAGTTTTTTTCTTAATCTTGCAGATGTTAAAAAAAAATGAATATAATCATTTATTGCCTTTTGTGCAAAGACAAGAGGCGATCTTTATACCTCATTATACCTTTAATTTTTATGATTGTGTGTTGTCAAAGTCATTCATAATTGAATAGAGTGAATATTAGAAGTAACAGGTTAGCTTCTGTTCTGACAGGGTTATTAATAAAGGCAATACCGATGTGTGATTGCTGGTGACAATAACAAGAGAACAGGCAGCTGTGTAACTCCATCGTCTTAATAAAGTGGGATTAAGCTGGACGCTTTTTTTCAGGTTATGTTACATTAACATGTAAATTGCAATTTAATTTTTGCAGTAAAAACAATAAATGAATGTGATACGTCTTGCTCTGTTGAGGAGAAAGAAAAAGGTAAATGCACATGTATTTATTGTTGGTGTCTGATTTTTGAGTAAATAAAAAAGCTTCTGTTTGGTCTTGAGAAGATTTTGGTTTTAAATCCATCCCCCTTAAATATTCTCAAAAGCTCCAAAATTGATACTGAAGACTGCACAGAGCAACTCTGGAGCTCCATTTAATATATGTGCCAATCGTCAATATTTTACTTAAATGCTTTCTGTATCACTCAGAGTCAAATGTGAAAAAAATGAAGATTTTCTGGGATTTAAAAGGGCAACTAAACATCTGTAAAATATTAACTCATTTAACAGGTCAGACCTCAAGAAAGAGGTCACAGGTCAACGTAGCTGAAAGATCTAAAAAGACTTCTTGTCGTCTGTAACGATCTTGAGAAGAGCGAGTTAAAAGCAGACCAGAGACTTTCTGAACGGCTTTGGACCTTTTTTTTTTTTTCCAGATCAAACAGATAACAAATCGTTCATTTTCTTCATTTTCCATAAAAAAACAGTCAAACTCATGGTCCACACATTATAAATGTAGAACAGCAATAAATAATTCAGATTTATGTTTGACGCTGTCTGTTTTCATTTACAAAAACATGCGGATTTCCTTCTGTTTGTACATCACACTAAAGAGGAGTGCGTGTATTTGGGCTCAGACCTGTTTTCAGACAGGATTTTGAAAATATATAAATAAATAATTAAAAATAAACCATAGATACATCATTGAAAGAAGCACCAACACTAGGCACTTCTGTGTCTTTCTGTGTCTGAAAGAGAATAGATCGAGATTTTGTTTTGAAAAGGGCAGAAAATCAAATGCATGCGTTTATAACATGACATGAAAGTCTTAACCCTTTAATGCCTGAAACCACAAATTATGGCCAGAAAATTCAGATTTTTTTGGAGCTGAAATGTTTATCTCACTTACTACTGAAAACCAAAAAAATTAAAATGTCCTTAAAATTAAACAAATATATTTATTTATCTCGTTTGATACATTAGATGTTTTTGGAAACTGATAAACTACAAGAGGGCATTTTTATCATTTATCGGATTGTATTCAGGTGTTTTTTTAGTAATTTGTTGATCATGTTGATTTGATAGAAGTATAAAAAAGTATGTATCAAATTTGATACACAGGCATTAAAGGGTTAAAGTTGTGATGAGTGCATATTTCTAAGTACAGTACCTTCTGGAACTATTGACGCCACTATTCTATTGAAAAAGGGGGTTTGGTTTGGTCTGTCTGTCTGTTCTGTGTACTTTACAGTGAACTAATGTACACTTTGTGAATTTTTATGAGCTCTGACTGGATTCTGTGGCTATTTTCCAAGTCTGTAAATTGACAAAGATGTTGCATGACTCCTTATGTAAAGAGTGTTGTATCACATAAAAATCCAGTTTCTGTTTTGAGTTAAAAATGTGAAATTAAGTGAAAGATAGGAATTGGTTTATTAAGATACGTATACATTTCCGTAGAGATAGTTTTTTTTTGTTTTATAGATCATCCCAAAAAATGTGCATTTCCCGTGATAAACTGAGGAAGGAAAACATCTACAAGTGAACTTGAAGCTTATCTGTGCTTTGGTTGAGTGGTATTATATTTCTCTGTGAGTGAGACAACTCTCACTTGAGTTTTACCTCCTAGATTGTTCATTTAAATATCAGGAAATATTGAAATTTTGTACAGTATGTGAACATTTCACAGTTTCAGCCCGAATGAAAGTGAATATAAAGCAACAACGATAAACATTAGCTAAATAAAGTGAAGAGACCCTTTATGAAATATTTCTGTTGTCTTTCAGTTTCAAACCGAGAGTATCTGCAGATACTGAAGTTGAGTTTCTAAAGGAGTCAAAGTGTCGCGTGACTCTTTGATCCTCCTCGTACAGGAATGCCTCGGCTCACTGCAGCTCCTCAAACATGACCCTGTGACAGACCCAAAACCACTCACCGAAGAGCTCGTAAAGTGATGCTCAACACGTCTCCACCACTGTGACTCACACTTCTGCAGCACGTACCCTTAAAATAAACCCAGAGTACTCATATGATTTTACAGCTTTGACATTGTTATAGTGAGTAAATTAACTTGTATTTGAAATTAAATCATATCTCAGTGTGTGCATTTTTAGATCACTTGGCTAAATACTGATCAGGTCAGACTGAGACAAAAGTGTACATCAAATACAGTTAAAGTTTTTTTTTTGTTAAGTTCTCAGCCTTTACAAAACCAACACAGCATGAAATTTTGATAATCAAGCAATCACAACATTATGTTTTCTTTTTTGTTTTTTTTTAAAGCTCCTGTGAGGAGTTTTTGAACTTTATAGAAATAGACTAAAATTCCTAAAACTGGTTCAATGATGTAGATGTCAGCCGAGTAGCTCAAGAAACAGCCTATTTCCACATAAAACACTCACAGTAAATGATACGTCATGATGTTACATGTATGGATTGCTTTTACATACATACATTCTCAGAATATATGAAGGTGTAGGTTTGGAAAGTGTATGAATTACCCATATGACATATTTATATTGACATAAATTAAAAATATACACAGATATATGATCTGTTGTGCTCTTTAGTATAATATTTTTATTATTACTCTTCAGTCAAGTGAATCAAATCAGGGGTCATTGTGACAAAAACTATCAGGTCCAGCAGAGCCCTTCAGTCTGAGTCCAGGTGACTCCTGAAAGAACATACACCCACGGGCATTTTGGTGTGTGTGCACAGCGGCATCGTAAACAGCATGTGTGTGTTTCATCCCTGAGTGGGGGCTGGAGTCGGCTCTGTTCTGTGGGTGTGGGACAATAAAAGAGCAGGAGTGTATGTGAGTTTTCATTTAAGAGAGAGCTGGCAGACAGCATGGGGGTGTTGATGATCATGGAGAACAGGATGCTGAGGATTACTACTTTCTTGATGCTCCTCTTTTCAGGTAGATTCGATTCAATCATTCAGTGAAATGCATAATGAAGTCAGTTTTGCTGTATTTTATTTCAACGGACATAAAAGTCCTAAATGTCTCTTCATCTTAGGTACCTGTGAGGGCGAGGGTATCTTACCTGCAGGACCCCTGAGTGGAGCAGTTGGGGGCAAAGTGATGTTCACCACCACCCTCAGACCTCCAGAAAGTCCTTTCCTCTCAGTCAGCTGGAACTTCAAAGGCGTGAACATCATCACCTCAACCAGCACCAACATCACCGAACCCGGACATGTCAACAGGATCTTTTTAGACAGAGCCACCGGATCCCTGGAACTCAGGAACCTGGTTCTGGAGGACAGCGGGGAGTACACAGTCACCATCATACCAGATGGAGGGCTGCAGAAACAGGGCAAGATTACACTCAATGTGTTCGGTGAGTTTATTATATACAGTCATCACTTAGAAGGAATCACTTGTCTGATTGGACCAGTTGCAATTATTCTTGAAATTTTTTTTTTATTTATATAAAATCTGGAAAACGACAAAAGGTTTTGCAATAACCTGAGAGACACAAACTGTAACTGTGCAGAAATCAACATTTTACTGGGATCTCACATGTGCACAGCATGTGTCCGTATCATATTGTATTGTATTGTATCGCGTTGTATTGTATCATATCATATTGTATCGTATCGTATCGTATCGTGTTGTATTGTATCGTATCATATTGTATTGTATCGTATTCTGTCCGTATCGTATCATATCGTATCATATTTTATTACGTTGTATCGTATTGTGTCATATCGTATTGTGTTGTATTGTATCGTATCATATTGTCTTGTATCGTATTGTGTCATATCGTATTGTATAGTAATGTGTAGTCAGGTTTGACATTGTATGATTTTAGCATGAATTTAATCATAACACATCAAATCCTGTCATCTTGTCCAATATTCTATTGATATGTTTTAAATGGTTGCATCATAAACCAAAGTATATGATTTTGGTAAGTATCACATTGGATGTTATAATGTCATTTGGTACAGTTAATAGCCATAACTAAAGCCCTTGGTTGAAGCCTGATCTCTAACCTTGGGTGGACGCATATAAATATGATAAGTAGTGTGTCCTGATGTTGATGTAAGCTCTGATCTGCTGTTGTTAAATTTCACAGGAATCATTTCATTGGGTCCAATATACATGATATTTTTAAATCCTTTTACCTTTGTGTTTGAGTCTGCTGGGACTAAATGCCAATAGATTTAGTTTTCCATATTCACAAAAGTATCAGCATACAAATCCAATCAAACTAACTGAAATCACAAGCTGAAAATATGAGTTATCAAAAACATACAGTTATTATTAGCAGTGATTTATTAAACTGATTTGAATTAACTTGTAGGGCCATTGTTGCTCAATCTTTTAACATTAATGGATAACTAGCCTGCATGGAGAGGGGCTGCATTGTCTCAGCAAAGTTTGAGTCATCAAACAGTTTGTGTATTTTGCTTCTTTGATACCACAGTAACTACAAACTGGACTAATACTCTTCATTTTCTGACAGTTATGATATCTGAAGTGACCATCCGCAGTCCCACAGCTATCTTGATCGAGGACAGAAGCTCCACCAACCTCACCTGTGAGGCCTCCGGCACCATCACCACCAGAGAGTGGATGAAGGATGGATATCCTCTCCAACAGAGTGACCGGGTTCATCTCTCCTTGGACAACAGAACAGTGTTCATACAACCTGTTCACAGCTCCAACCACGGCACCTTCCAGTGTCGAGTGAGCAACCCCGTCAGCTCCATGACTGCGGCCCACAATCTCACCGTCAACTGTGAGCCACAAACAGCTTTTTATGAGTCAATTTTAAAAAAGTGATTCTTTTTTTTTAATATCTAGGGAAGGAAACATTTCTTTCTTACTTCTAAGTCCTTTATGATATTTTATTTATACAGTTGGACCACATAACATTTCAATATTGGAGCCGTCAGCAGCTGCACTGGGCCACAGAGTGTCCCTACAGTGCACAGCAGCTTCTGTCCCACCAGCAAACTTCAGCTGGATGTTCAACGGCAATGAAACACGTGTGGAAGAATCAGAGTATGTGATAGAGAGGCTGGGGGAAGATAGCATCGGGAATTACACCTGCACTGCCAGAAACATGGTGACCCTGCAGGAAAACTCCACTGTTCTCTATCTCAGAGGTAGGATTTGCTGAATGAGGCGCACATGTATGCATTTATCACTTGTTTCTTTTTTCATTGCAAGAGGTGACTGGTGTTTTTATATTTCATAAAGCATCCAGCACTGCCCCCTGCTGGTCATTTTCAGTGCTGCTGATCTGTGCGCTGGCTGTTGGAGGGTTGATGTATGAAGAGGTATCAGGTGAGAATTAGTGCTTGCAAAAATTATGACTTTTATCTCCTTTTACTTCTTCCCTTCTATTAAAAACCTGATTTTCTGTTTTTTTTTCTTAGACTCTTTTTACCGTGAGTCGATTTGACAGAAGACCACCACGTACTGAGCCAAAGTGTAAACTGGCACTGGAAACACAATCATCTGAATTGTTAATGACTTGGACCTCTGTAAATCTCTTTGTAAATTCTTTATGAAGACAATAAAAGCGACAATAATAAATTACTCATTTAAAAAGTTAATGTATAACTAAATATACTGTTTTTGACTGCATGCATGTTCAAGTACAAAGTCACACATTTGCTTTTACATTTAGTCCAATGAACTCAAGCACACTTAGCTTATATTCCAGAGTAATTCACACAGTAGATACACAGCATAATTTTTTAACCAAAGGACACAGACGACCGGAGTGAAAAGAAGGTATTGTTTTCTCTCCTAAACAAATGTGCATCTCAAACCATGAAGAACATTTGGATTGGGGTTTTTCTATCCCTACTCACAGATAAACCAGAAAACACAAGGAAATATCCATATTTTATAGAATTTTAATCTTATATACGATGCAATTGTTTCTGAAAGTGTCATAAAGTAAATGTAAGATTTCTTCAGCTACATAACTTCATAGTTTTCAAACCTTGAAAAAATCTCAATCACATAGCAGCCTAAGTACTAAACATTTCCATAATAGAACTGCAGTCATGATATGATACAGAACCAGACTGACACCTCTGTAGTGTTTGTTGATGTGAGTGTAGGGGGGGGGTTTAAGTTCCCCTTAAAATTCACAAGTAAACTTCCCTGAATGTAAATGGTATCATTCCTCTCAGCTGACCATCCAGAAGGAAGTGTTGTTCAAAGAAAGATTTTCACTCATCAAGTGTTACCTGAGGAAATGTTTTGAAATAGTTTTAAGATGACAGGATTTGGATCTGATCCTTTAAGCTCAATGATCCCTGTCTGACTGTCAGTGGAATTCATCATCAGCATTGAAGCAGGTTTTGGTTTTACTTATAGAGCCTATCTATCTGTCTTTGAGGTCTGGGCAGTATTTCATCTTTTTTCTTTTTACATTTCTCTAACAAATTCTCAGTGTTCACTGCACCACTATCTTGTCCTTGTAGGGTTGCAGCTCAGGATGCAGAGCAGCTTTTGCTGCAGTTGTTATTCTTGCCTCATCCTGTAGACCAGTAATTTACATGCAGACTACAAGCTCAGTTCAACCAACTGAAACAGGAGAAGCTCTGCATCCCTGACCTGATTATCCTGATCAACACCTGGGGCCGATGAGCCAGGGACTCTGATTGGTGGAGATGATTATCACTTCTCAGAGACAAACCTTCCTTCAGGAGGTTTGACACAAAGGTCAGCTGTGTGAGGGTTTAAAATTAATAATCTGCTTTGATTTACACACTTATACTCTTATGTTTGAGCATCTGGACTAAAACTGTCAAACACACTGAGCTGTAACTTTAATTGTCTCATTAGAGGTTGTTGGATAACTGTTCTATTGAAAAATGAACACCAATCAGCTAATAACTTTGTCTTGCATTAATAAGCCTTTTCCTCTGGTACTAATGCTTCATGTTTAAATCGTGTTACACTCCATGTTCATCTTTTCCCACTACACCCCCATTTTAAAGTATATGTTTGATACTGACTGATAGTCTCAAGCCCACCCTTCAAAACAGTTTTTATTGAATGTACTCCACCAGTGTACGGCTTTTGTAATGCTGAGACTTTGACTCAGAATAATCAGGAAATATGATGGCTACAGTGTGCTCACCTGTCAGTCAAATCAGCTGTGCCCTTGACTCAACAGTCCTGGTGGGAGCCCTGGACTACCCTCTTAAAAAACAAACAAACAAACATAAAAAACAGGCTTTTTACGTATTTACTTCAGCTATAAAGCCAGTTTTTTGGGGGCTCATTGTGTAGGCTATATGGTTTCTGGTGCTTCTGCAGCCGGCCTCAAGGGCACTCATTATGATCTGCATATTCAAAAAGTCCCATAAAGGAAAACATTTGAGAAAAAAAATCACAGACATCAACTAAGACAGACATTTCTACTGTATGTTGAGTAACTCCCTGTTGAGATTATTTATGCAGCTCATTTTGTATTTTTTAAAATTATTTCTTCATATTCATTATTTTTATTTCAATTCAATTTTATTTCATTTATTTTCAGTAATTCATTAATTTCATTGAACTTTGTGTGTAAAGCGTTGATGTTCTTGAGGGTGTTCATACTGTGAGTGTGCATGTAAAATATGTTATAATCCAGAATAAATAACGTTCAAATATTAGGCCTAAATATTTCCTGGTGGAAGCTCGTGCTACAAAACAATACTCCACACCACTCTACGCCCCCTGCTGGTGTCTTCTAGTAACTACAGCAATATTTTCTACTGTTGGTATTTGACTGAAAATAGAACATAAACTTTTCTTTACTATGTTTTATGTAATGATTAGATTTATAACTATTAACTCAGTCTTTAGTTAAAAAATCTTTAAGATGATACTGAATGTAAGACAATGAAATGACCCTTTACCAATGTCATCCTTCTATCCTTTACTAACGCCCAAATTAACAGGAGAGATACAATAATTTGGAGGTAAGGGAGAAAGTGTTATGATTACAGGTAGACAAGCAGATGGATGGGTGAAAGGGTAATTTTATTAATATCAGAAATGTCACTGTTTTCATGAAGATTGAGAACTGTTTCAAAAAGATTTAGTGAGTTATAGGTGCCAAAGCACAGTGTTAAAACTGTACCTGGTTCCCTCTGGTAGTTTCTGTTCAGTCATTATAGTTATGAGACCAAATGGGGTCGCTGTTCTACTGAGAGAACCAGTAGATACTTCATATGAGTCAGGCCAAGATCAAGAACACATAAATGCTGCTAAATTCGTTTTTAATGACAAATAAAGGATAAATAAGCTTTTGAATAAATAAAAAAAACATATAATTCGGATAAAATATCTCAGAAATGGGGAAATGGTGACATGCTCCTCCCCCAATTCTTGTAAGAGAGTTTTTATTGGCCTGTCACCATGTAAATGAATTCACTTTACTTTTTAACAGAGGTGTTTTCCTGCTCACTTCAAAAAAATATTATTCTCTTGTACGTGGTTTTATTTCATGTGTCAGCTCGGTGGGTTTTTATGCCGTGATGTAACAGCTGTTGCTTCGCTCCGCCTGATGTTCCTCTTTGCACATTGTATCTTTGAGCCACAAGTTGGCTCACTGCCTCATTTACCACATTGTATTCTCGTTCAGTGTTTCCCTCTAATGCACCTGCACAGATCTGCATTACAGGAACTGCGAGGGTAGTTTTATATAAACAGCACCAGGTTTGGACAGAAGCTGATGACCAAAGTAGTAGTCGGTGTGACCTCCTGACTTGCAGGCTGCTGTTTCTTAGGCGTTTCTGTCCTCTACAATGTTGTGGCACTATGGATTACAATAAGTCATCTCTGATACTGCTGAAGTTGTTGTACGTGATATTTCTTCCAGGTAAGACAAACCTATTAATCTTTTGATTTATGTGTCAGAAAGGCTGATTTAAACAGCTTTTTTATCAGCCCATGAAGCTGATATGTTTGTAATGGGTTAAAGTGTTACTTTTCTTTCACGTCTCTTAGAGCACAGAGCTGAACTGGTGTACAATGTCTGTGTTAGAGTAGGTCTAAAAGTTGGATAAAAATTAAAAGCATAATACATGATGTTGATGCCACTTCACTCTACATTTAACAGACAAATACTGTGCTGCCATTATTCCATCAGACATCAAATCACCTGCCATAACTTCTCCTCATGATTTTTGCAGATCTTCAAGCAGAAAAAATTCGAGTTTTGCCCAAAGTAACTGGATATATTGGCCTTGATGTCACCCTGCCATGTAACCCCATCAGAGAAAATGACCAAATCAGCCAGATTCAGTGGACACTCCAGCAGCCAGGCTCACAGGAGATCAACATTATTGTTTCGAATGGTAATGCAGAAGTTCCTGCTAACGATACATTTTTGAAGGACAGAGTGGAGATCTCTAAACAATCTTTGGTCATCAGAGATGTAGAAATGAAAGATGCAGGAGCCTACACCTGCATCCTTGCAACTTTTCCGGGTGGCATAATTAGAGGAACAACCAACCTTGTCGTCCAAGGTGGGAACACAAACACTTTGGCATTTTTGTTTTGCTATCAGCTTTACTGATTATTCTAAACCAGAATTTTAAATACCACATAACTGAAGACAAATCTGCTTATAGACATCCGGTCTTGTTTCCTCCTTCAGAACAGATGCTGTTATCAACAGGGGAGATCTCTGCTATCGTGATTTTTGTCATACTGCTGTTAGTGATCCTGACAACTGCAGCTTACCTCATCTTTATCAGAAGGTAGGTGTTTGTGAGAGAGGGTGTGTGTGGGTGGAAAAAATAACTTTCACTGAGTATAAAGTTGTAGAGGAAAAAAAACACAGACTTTGGTGTCAGAGAATAAAAATATAGAATCTTTTTAGGAATGTAAGGGTGCAGTGTGTGGCATCTAGCCGCATTCAGCAGAGCAGACTGGATGGAAAAGAGCAGAATCAGAGCTAGGTTTGATTAAGTATCATCGTCTCATCTAAAAAGTATTTGTTTTCATGAGAAGCAGGTACCTTTCTATGGGGGCCATCATCCTGCACCTCTATGTTTGACCTTGTAGCAGAGAACAGACAAACTAGAGAGGGTTGTACATGTTTTTGAGTAAAATGAGAGGCTCAAAATGAAACGTACGAGAATGGGAGATGATGATGAAGAAGAGAGTGGTTTTTGATGTTGTGTGCATCGAAAAAAAAAAAAGAAAGTACGGATAAACTTTTTCTCATTGTAAAACTTGGAAAATGAACGATCACACTGAGCATGCACAGGATCTGCTTGTTTTTGTTGATTCTGGGACCTCAACAGTAGTTGAGATGAGCAAGGAAGTGTTTTGATCTAGAATCTGCTTTATATTTCCATCTCCACACTGTACCTTCACTGAACATTAAACAATAAGTTTTTCTTCAATAGCAAGCTAATTTAATTAGATTTTTGTCTTTGGGTCTTTGATTTGTCTAAACAGATGGCAGTATGTTGATTTGTGAACTGCTGAATAAAATATGATTATGAACCACCCTGATATGGTTTTGCTCATTACATATAGTTTTTCCCCACATGTTCAATGCATAATGAGATAGCCAACTGTTATTTTTAAATATTTATTTTTGATCTACAAAGAAAATCCACTTTAGAACAAGAGGAAAATCACTAATAATGTTTATGTGCAGAAAAACTAACCACAACACTTTCTTCCTCTCAGCGCGGGTTCTTTGGCCAGACAACATGTCACTATCGGTATGAACAGCATAACTTCCTTTTCACTCTGCTATCACATGATCTGTACTTATATTTTCATGATATTATTTTACGATTGGTGTCATTTCCCTTTTCTAAAGCATGTCTGTCTTTCAGATACTGATAGTCCAGTGAGGGATGTGCTGCGGCCGTCCGTTCTTGTCAAAGAGCAGGTGAGCTCAGACATGGTGTGAAAGTACATCTCTGATTTTAGTTCATATTTATAAAAGTTTAATAGTACTCTTTTTGTGATAAAGAAAAAAAGATTTACAATATTACAACAAAGTAATTGAAATAATTTAACTAAACCACACTTTAACTGTCTTTTAAACTTGTAGGATGTGGTCTACTCTGATGTCAAGCATAAAGCATCCAGGGTTCCTGCACCTTCCTCCTATGACAAACACGCAGAGGCTATGCGCACTGATGATGTGACATACTCTGTGGTTGCAGTGTCTCGTGGAAATGACATGAGATGTGTTTCGGAGATATGATAAAATTCTCTTTTTTTTTAATCTGTGAGAAGAAACAGAATTCAAATATAAGCAGGTATAGTGTAACATCTGTGCTCTTTAAATGATTCAGTCGTTCTTAAGGACATGTCCTAATTTAAAGGACACTGACAGAACGATCAAACGAGAGCAAATATGTACTTCGATTAATGATGACTAATAATATACATAGGGAGATAATAAGAACTCGGTGCCATAAAAGTTTAAACCAAAAGACTTTTGCAAGAACATGTGACCTCTTCACGAGGTCACGAGATGAGGATTTTTTGACCAGTTTACGAGAAGTGATAAAATTATGAGTAAACCAACGCCTGCTTCATCATACTGTAGGAGGTGCAGAGTGCAATGATGAGTAGTAGATAAACATCCCGCTCTTAAAGGAGTATAAAGATTTAAAACTTGTGGTTGAGGAGTGAAAACAGAGGCGCAGCTACAGATAACATCGCACTAATCCAAGACACACAATAGGACAGCTGTTATTAGTCATTGCCCTTACTTATTCAAAGATTAAGAGTCTTTGGAGCCAAGCCTGAAGCTCTTTAATGCCAGACTCCATCATATACATATATAGCAACCTGTATATGGTGCAAATATTTCTTTTTGCTATTATTACCAAGATACACTCAGGATGACAGGAATGCCAGCAGTTTCTCTGATATTTTGACAAAAAAACAAACAATATAAATCAAGAACAGCAGATTGCAAAAGATAAAAAACAGTCTGTGGCAAAGTGAATTCCTGAACCTCAGCTGCCATTCTCTTTTGAAGCTGTTGAGATATTTGATAAAATCCTGGCATGCTGTTTATTCTACAGAAAAAAATGGTCATTTTTTATTGTAAGGGATTTTTTCTTCAAAAATGAGAAACTATCAGTAACCTCCAGGATGTCATCACAGTAAGAGGGTCTTTCAAGTCTGCCAGGCTGTGCTGTGATTCACCTGGATGGTCACAGTTGCTTCATGCTCAGCTGGATACAGCTGTCACTCTGGCTATTAAATGAAAAGCATAACCATTATCAGTCCATTATTCTGTAAGAGATTTCAGTTTTATGGTGTGAACTTGTAAAAATATTGGTGTATCTGCAAACTCATAATCGAGCTCCCAGGGTGTCACATGAGCCACAGATCACAGATCAGGAACTTTTTTTTAGCAACGTGGGAACTCATCAGTTTTTGTGGCCCTTTACTGTCTGACAATCAAAGGAGGAGGAAGACCAAAAAGGAAGACAAAAAACAGGAACTAACTCAGTAATGCAAAACAAGTGTTGCATAAAAAAGAGCAAAAGCTGAATGTGAAAGGTGAAGTTTAAAGTGACTCAAAATGTCAATTTCTGTATGAACATTTACTCTTCACATTGATTTGTAAGGATCAGATAAACTTGAATTTACGTGACCCTGATGTGTCTCTTCTTTGAATTTCTGTGTGCATGTGAGTCTTTTGGTTTGTGAATCCGAGACATACCGGGGTTATTGTGGGTGTAAATTTATGTTATCACTTCTTTCACTCGATCCTGACTATTCCCTCAAACTTACTTGCTGTAGCTTCAAGTATGAAAGAAGGACATACCTGTTTGGCTTCAATGTACAAACAGTAGTTTTGGTTGTAGTCGTATTTAACCTGACTCTGAATGTCGTCTGCTTTTGGTCCTCTGTGCTGAACGTTATCGGTGTGAAAATCTTGTGAGCAGATGTTGCAGTTTTAGCACGCCAAGTGTTGCGAGGTGACAAAATATGGTTTGCAAAGTTTCTGTTATGATTCGCATCACCGCTGGAAAACGCTAACAGTTACTGTCTGTTATATGTAAATATACAGCAGCATGTACTGAGTGTGAGAATGTGGGTGTGAAGCTGTATGTGTTCATTTTGATTCTGGTGAACTTGCGGGTGTGGATTTGTAGTCGTTCACTTTAGGTCTTGTAAATGTGTCTCCAGGTGTTGTGTTAAAACGCAAACTTAGCAGCCTGCAGTGTTGTTTTGGGTTATGAGTCTATGTCCTGATTGCAGATAGTATAAGAAGTGTATTTGAGATGTTTCAATCCTGTTGCTTTCCATCAGTGTTCTTGAAATTGTCTGAACTTTTTCTCCGAAATTGAGCTTTTTGTGGTGAATGATGCACAATAAAATCGAACACTTTCACAGACCTCCCTGATCTGTGGCTTTACCACCTGGCCTTTGAGTTTCAAAATTCTGACATGACAGGAAGTGGAGGAAAGATAAGAGAAGTGCTGCCAGACAATTATGAAAGTCTTTCCAGATCATCATGTTTCTCAGACTGAAAGGAAACCGACAGCATTTTACTCTAAAAGCTGAGCTGGTGTGTGTGAGCTGCAGCTGTCTATCACATGCTGTGGAAACATCTGGACTACAATAAAAAGCACTATAATGTCTTTTCTTTATACACAACTTGATAGCTTCACTACCATCATCCTACCACATGAGGCTGCTGTGTTACGGAGAAGTGATGAAGCAAACAGAAGGGACAAGTGTGTAGCGGTTTGATGTCAAAACTGCAAAAACTTAAAAACAATACTTACATTATGATGTCTTCCTCTTTATGCACATCATAAAAACTTACAGCCCATCACTTCCCCTATCTCTGTGGTTTATTTACATAAACCAGGTTTTGGGGAAGAAGGGGTGATTTAGAAAACGCTGACAGAGATGGAGAAATCCTGAGGTTGTCCACTGATGTTTTGGTATCTATATAAGAATATACACAATCTAAGGTAAAGAAGACACATTTTGACAGCAGAATAATTGACATTAATGTTATTCATGTTTGGTTAATTTTAAAGCTTAATGTTTTAGTCAATACAGCCTAAAAAATGTATGATAACTGTTTGATTGTGCTCCTTAAAGTAACCACTAATGTTACAATGCAGTTGTGTAATGGAGCAAAACTTAAGTATAAATTAAATCAAATCAAGTCACTCAAGTGAAGCACAAGTATCTTAATGTTTTCCCACAATATAACATTCATATGAATCCTAACATTTTAATATCTCCAGGTCTGTGTTTGCAGGTCTAGAGCCTCTGAAAATCGGCCACCTGAGAAACTCATCATCACTGTGAAAGGCTGTTTAAAAATGACAATTAAACTATATATAAATATAATAATGATACATCAGATTTCATATAGCACTATATCAGAGACCCTCAAAGTGTTTTACATTGGTTACATCATTCATTCGCTCACACAGTCACACTTTGGTGGTGGTAAACTACAGTAGTAGTCACAGCTGTCATAGGGCAGACTGATGGAAAAAGGGCTGCCAGTTCGCGCCTACGGCCTCTCCGACCACCACCACCACACAACACACTCACAATCATACCCCAGTGGAGGACACACACTGAGAGCAACATGGGTTAAGTGTCTTGCCCAAAGACACAACGGACAGACTAGGGATAGGGGGGAATCGAACCGCCAACCTTCTGGTTATTAGACCGCTCTTCCTCCTGAGCTACTGGCACCTATATATATACAAATATATATAATTTTTTTTATAATTACTTTTATTTTGTTTTATTTTTTACTATACTACAAAAAAATCTGTAAAAATTGTCCATGTCTTGTCACAGATGGTCTTGTTTACTTTTGGAGCTCATAAAAGGTCATCCTTATGAATTTCAGTCTATTTCATGAATGTCAAAAAAAAAAAACCTCCTCATTCAAATCTTAACTAATGACTTTGCCTCAATAATTTTCAGATTTTTAAGTCCACTTGTTGTGTTTTTATCACGCTATAGAGTAGATAAAAAGAAGGGATGCAGTTCTTCAAGCTGACTGGTTTTATTTTTTTGTATGTGGCTTTTGTTGCAAGATTAAAAGCTGCATTTTTAGAGACCTTATCAAGTCCATGGTTTCATTACTCATATGCATTGTGGAGTTCTTTCGAGCACAGACCAGAGAGATAACATAAAGGCTTCATAGAAAGTGGTGTCATGTTCCAGGAGATTGTGGTTTCTAAGAGTTATTACTCGAAAAACATTTTTTTTCTGATAACACTTGAGACATAATGGAACTGCTTTAGACTCTGTAGTCAGGTGCAAATATGACTTGACACCAAAATTTCTAACAAAAGGTTTCTCAGCTGTTTTATAGTCAAGTAAAACAGTTGACTCCAAATGGTCTGAAACATGCTCCTTAAAAGGTCCTGGACAGAGATTTTAACCCTAACCCTATAACCCTAACCACAATACCCAAACGTTACCACAGTGCAACCCTAACAATATTTTTTTTGACATTTTTCCCATTTTTTTGTACCAATTGACCCCAAATGGTCTGAAACGTGCTCCTTAATAGGTCCTAAACAGTGATTTTAACCCTAACCCCATAACCCCAACCCCTAATGCCATATCTACTCAGCCTGTTCTGTTAAATCAATCAATCAATCAAACTTTATTTATATAGTCAGGTGCAAATATGACTTGAAAATTCTTACAAAAGGTTTCTCAGCTGTTTTTATAGTATTAGATGTGCTTAACAACATACTAAAAGTTTACCAAAGATTGACCACGAGAAATGTGTCATTTTCAAGATGGCGTCCATGATGGGTAAGAAGCCCAAGGGAGACACTCCAGGTGAATAGGGTAAAAATTTGTAACTAACAGATATCAACATAAAACTTCCCCAAGATTATAACTTACATTAAGAAAAAAAATCTTTGTATTACAAGTTTTGTCAGATGTTATGAATATTTAAATGAGGCAATATCTAATTAAATGTGGACTAATTTGCATACATTTCCAGAACCGAAACCTGAACAATAGATAAAACCCCTTACAGACTTAGAATCTTTTTAGCATTAGGTGTTTTTTTTTTTTTATTTTGCACCCGCATACTGGGTATCCATGTTCACTAGGATCACCCCAGGGATGATAAGGTTTAAAACTGAGAGGCTGCATATCCTCCACTGTGGCTGAATTTTTGGTGTTATCTGAAAACCTTACTTGCAGCTCAAAGTACCTTTATATGAGTCCTTTAAAGAAGTCTTTCCACCTCTGGTATGATTGTATTTGAGTAAATGTGAAAACTCAGACATGAGAATAACAAAGTCAGCAAACCTTCCTCTTAAAAAGCACAGAGCCATGACCCTGTGGGACTGTTTGAATGTTTTTTTATTCCAAAAGAAGTCTTTGTGTCTATAGGTTTGAACAACAGGGCAGTCTCTCTGAAGAATATCATTGCACCTCCATCCCAGCACCTCCCATCCCCACCCGTCACCCACAGTTATACTATAGAACCTCTTGCTCTTCAATAGGAATAATAACAACAATTTAATCATAATATTCATCATCAGTTTTAATAATCCATTTAGCACTAGTATAGAAATATGAAAAATTACCAAAGAAAAGAACATAAAAGTAAACAAAAAGGTTTTGTTTTGCGGAGTGACTCTTCAGACACCCCGTCTGATTTGTTTTGTGACCCTCCCTTCCCTTTCATAATCACTCAGGTGATATTTTGGCTTCACTCATGCCTTTACACAAAAATGCTTTGCAGCTAATAAATGCTTTCAGCTGATGGTTTAAAGCTGTTGATAGCCACTTCATGGCCCTGTAGTGCTGTCACATATAAAGTTTTGTAATTTATTATTATTTTTTACATACAACACGCAAGAGAAGACATGGAAAGAGACTCCAAAGACAAATTTGAAAACAACAAAACAACCAGTTGGTTTTCAACTTTAAGACAACGAGGGATGTGGGAATGTAAGATTTCTTTAGGAGTTTGAGTTCACACTGGGACTACACTCAGAAGGAGGGAGACTCCCGCTGCTCGGTCAGGATTTTGGACACAGAGATAAAAAACAGAGAGAGATGCATCATCTCTGGGCCTTTTTCTGCTGACACCAATCATTCAATACAACAGCATGGTAAGTGTACTCACTGTTAACACACATCAGGATTGCAAAGATATGTTAAAAAAAAGATGTTTTACAGCAAAAAATTGAAAATAATTATTAAAAACGAGCAATGCAATGTTGCCATGACACAAACTCTTTGAAGGGCTAAACTGCTGGTTTTGCACGTCCCCTTTGTCACATACCTCGTGTCACTGCTGACTATGAATAATTGGGAGGCCAGTGAGAGATACATCCTTGTTCCTCATTAGGGAGACACCCATTAATGTCAAGAGATGAGGAAAGTAGCATTAAGTAAGTAAACAAGACTAAAAACCAGCCGCAAAGAGTGGAAAAAGTAAAATAAAAAAAAAACAGATTCAGGATTTGACGACCGTCTGCTCAGAGCACAACATTCATTAAAATTGCAGTGGCTAAATTTAATCACAAAAAGAGCAAACACTGACACAGGAAAGAGAAGCTCGCACTGACAACGTTGAATCATTGAAGCTTTAGATCTCAAACATTAGCTTTTCCCTCAAACACCCTTTAACTT